CCCAACCAGCTGCAGTTCAATCAGGCGGGCTTCGAAGCCGGCGCCAATGTTACTGGTACAGATACCCCCGCCGACATTCAGACCTCGAGACGCGCTAACATGTGATGCCAGGGGACGGCCGAGTCAACATCAACATCAACCAGAGCGGCAGCCGCCTCGCCGAGATCCTCGCCCCGACGTTACGAAGCCAGCTCCTCGATGACAAGCGCCCCCAGGGCCCCCTCCCTCCCGCCTACATTCCCCAAGCCTCGGAGGTCAGCCGGGCCAGACGCCTCCGCCGCAGCTGAACCTAGTCATACAAATCGTCGGCTCCCGCGGCGATGTTCAGCCCTTCGTCGCCCTCGGCAAGGTCCTCAAGGACACGTACGGCCACCGTGTGCGGATAGCCACGCACGCGACGTTCCAGAAGTTTGTCGAGGAGAATGGGCTCGAGTTCTTCTGTATTGGCGGCGACCCCGCCGAGCTCATGGCCTTCATGGTCAAGAACCCGGGGCTGATGCCCGGCTTCGACACGCTCAAGAGCGGCGAGGTCAGCAAGCGCCGGAGGGGCATCCAGGAGATCCTCCTTGGGTGCTGGCGGTCGTGTATCGAGGCGGGCGACGGGCTGGGCCCGCCGCCCAAGCCGCATGCCAGGGACGAACCGTTGGACGAGCATTATGGGATACCCGGAGACCCGGCCCAGAAGCCCTTTGTGGCGGATGCGATCATCGCGAACCCTCCGAGTTTCGCCCATATCCACATTGCCGAGAAGATGGGCATTCCGCTGCATCTGATGTTCACCATGCCGTGGACGCCAACGCGGGCTTTCCCACACCCCTGGCCAACATCCAGTCGACAAACACCGATACCGTCATGACCAACTACGTTTCGTACGCGCTGGTCGAGATGATGACCTGGCAGGGCCTCGGCGACGTCATCAATCGCTTTAGAGAAAAAGCGCTGGACTTGGAGCCCATGTCGCTGATCTGGGCCCCTGGTGTGTTGACGAGGCTCAGGATTCCTTACACATACTGCTGGTCGCCGGCGTTGATCCCCAAGCCGAACGATTGGGGGCGTGAGATTGATATCTCTGGGTTCTACTTCCTGAACTTGGCATCGGCTTTTACCCCTGAGCCTGACCTGGCCGCCTTTTTGGCCGCCGGCCCTCCTCCGGTTTACATTGGTTTCGGCTCCATCGTGGTCGACGACCCGAATGCCTTGACCAGGATGATCTTTGATGCCGTACATCGCACTGGCGTGCGAGCGCTGGTTTCCAAGGGCTGGGGTGGTCTCGGCGCCGAGGATGTTGGACTCCCGGACGGCGTCTTCATGCTGGGTAACGTACCCCACGACTGGCTGTTCAAGCATGTGTCGGCCGTTTGCCACCACGGTGGCGCCGGAACGACCGCAGCTGGTATCCAAGCCGGCAAGCCCACCATCATTGTACCGTTCTTTGGCGACCAGCCGTTCTGGGGAGCCATGGTTTCGAAGGCCGGTGCTGGTCCGGATCCGATTCCCTACAAGGAGCTCACTGGAGACAAGCTTGCTGAAGCCATCAACTTCGCCATCAAGCCCGAGACCCAAGCCAGAGCACAAGAGCTTGGCCACAAGATCCGTGAGGAGAAGGGAACTGATTTGGGCGGAAAGAGCTTCCACGATCATTTGGATACTGATGAGCTCAGATGTTCCATTGAACCCAGCCGAGCGGCCGCTTGGCGCGTCAGGCGGACAAAGGTCAAACTGAGCCCCATGGCTGCTGCCGTGCTCGTAGACAGGGGCCTCATCAAATACTCTGACCTGAAGCTGTAAGTTCTCCCGCCGATGGAGCGTGTGCCGATAACTGACAAATCGCAGCTACCGGCCCAAGGAGTACATGACGGAGGGTCAACCGTGGGATCCTATTTCCGCGGTCGCAACCTCGCTTGTGGCAGACCTCAGCAACATTGGCATGGCTGTGGCAGATTTCCCCCGAGAGTTGTTCAAAGCCAGAAGCAAAGGAGACAAGACCCTGAACCCCCGGCGACCCCGTCGTTTCCGGAGGAATCAGGATCTGGCAAGAAGTCTCTCCAAGGAAGTGACAGTGCATCGCTCGCTCCGAGCACGCGCGCTTCAGAATCGTCGACACAACTAGGTCTCATGGAAACGGGTGGCTCTACGCCGACGCTCCCGCTTTCACCGCAGCCCGATACATCTTTGACGCCATCGCAGACGACGTCAACCGCACCCTCCATGGTATTTAGTCCGGCAGAGACTGGTTCGATTGCTCCGAGTGAGACGGCACCGTCGGAGAACCCATCGGCGGGCCAGCCCACGAGACCACCCAACAGCCCAGGGAAGCGGTCCTTTAAAGAGTCCACGCCCGCGGCCGTGGGCGTTGACGCAGCTGTGGCAGCCGGCACCAGCGTCAGTCGCATTGTCACCACCGGAGTGAAGACGCCAATGAACGTCTGTCTTGGTCTGGCCAGGGGTTTCCGAAATGCCCCCCGCCTATACAACGACGACACCGTCCGGCCTCCCGAGAAGGTGACGGACTTTGCCAGCGGCGTCAGAATTGCAGCAAAGGAATTCGGCTACGGCATGTTCGACGGCATTGGCGGGTTGGTAACGCAACCTCTGAAGGGCGCCGAGAAGGAGGGCGTTCCTGGTCTCATCAAAGGATTCGGCAAAGGCATTGGCGGCTTGGTTCTCAAGCCCGCATCTGGTGAGTGCTGCAAAAAGTGACGGGCGAGTGAAATGGTATCTAACTTTGACAGCTATCTGGGCCGTCCCGGCGTACACCATGCAAGGTGTCCATGCAACACTTCGCAATGCGTTCTCTACCAGCGTCCAGAACTACATCATTGCGTCTCGCATGAAGCAGGGAAAGATGGATATGGAGGCTGCCGGCATTCCGGAACGCGAGGATGTGATTGCTCGGTGGAACAACGTCAAGTTTGACTTGAAGAACTTCCAAGCCATGAAGCTCAAAGAGCAGCGCGAGAAACAAAGAGCAGCTGGCGAAAGCCCCTATATGCAGAGCCAACCCGAGAAGAGTCTCACGCCTCCAGTCACCGGCTGGTCGCACACAAGGAAATTGTCCTTTGAGGAGAGAAAACAGCTACACGCCCGGAAAGAATCGTGGAAGAAGGGACACGTTGAGGCTATCGTACCTGCTTCGAGGTCTGACCTGTCGCTGCCCGAGAGCAGCACTACCAGCGCTGCCGAAGATGAGGAGTTTGAGCGGGCTATTCGCGCGTCTGTCGCGGAGACTTCCCGCGGCAACCCCGAAGAAGACGCGGCTGTTGAGCAGGCGATCAGAGCAAGCGTCAACCACTTCCGTAGCAGCGGCACTGGGATTCCGGACGTGCGACCTGAGAAGCCCATGTCGTACGACAGGGACACGAAGAACCAGGACCAAGACCCGTTTTCGAGTGCCGAGTTGCAAATCACGGACGAAGAGTACCAACGGCTCATCGAGCAGGCGATTCAGCAGAGCATGTCGGTGCGGGCTGCGGGGGTGCATCCCGGACAAGGCTTGCACGAGGACGACGAGGAGTTCCAGCGTGCACTCGAGCAATCCAAGGTCGCTCAACACACAGGACACGAAGACGACGAGGAGCTGAAGCGCATACTGGAAGAATCGAAGCGGAGCCACACCGAGGGCACGACAAATGACGACGAAGAGGAACTGAGAAGGGCAATCGAGGCTTCTGAAGCCGCACATCGGGAGCATCTGAACAAGGCCGCGGCGGTGCAGTCGGAGGAAGAGATTGTGATGGAGTACGTGAAGAAGCAAAGCCTGGCCGAGGAGGAGTTCCGGCGGAACGCGTCCAAGGGGAAGGCGCGCGAGGTCGCGGATGAAGATGACGACGACGACGAAGACCTCAAGAGGGCGATGGAGGAGAGCCTGAAGATGAGCGGGAGGCCGGGACAGTCGAGCTCTTTCCAGTGAATTTAGACAAGAGGACCGAGGGATAGATGGCACACCCGAGATACCATTTTGAGTTTTTTTCCTTCCCCCATTGTAATACGACTATTAAACCTTTTTGTGCACAATTTTCGAGGCGGCTGCATACGTGACGAGCGAACCCGTCTATCCCCAGCTACTCCTTGTCCCTCGCTTGCAAATGGGCGGGAGGTCGGGGCCCTTTGCGTTCGTGGAGCCGTCGGCGCCGAGGACGGCTGCATAGTCAAGGCCGACCTCGGGGGCAGCGTGCGATGCCTAGCCGAGTGAGACGGAGGTGGTGGAGGGGCGGTGATTTCTCTCTCGTGATGCTCTGGCCTTGGTGTCGTGTGAGCCCCGACTTTGATGTTCTCGGGATTTCGCCGCCCCGAATGCACTCAGCTTTATGGACGCGCCCACGTGTGGCATTGCACACCACCCGCACACCTCCCCCACATTGGAACGCTGACCTCTAGGCCACTTAGAACGGCAATGTCTGCCCTCCACGCGGAGTTTAGTCACGCGGTGCGCCCATCGGTTCTCATCTCGTTCACTCTCGAGGAACCAGAAGTAAATCCAAGGGCGAGACCTTCTCCCCAGAATGTACAGGCCTTTTGCCCACGGGACGGCCCTCTTTGTAGGACACTCGTCGCGAGAAGCTTGACGGCTGGAACATGGCCCGATCGGGAAGCTGGACATGTGAACGGGCATTCGTGATTGGCTCGTTGATCCGAAGGGAGAGCAGAGCAGCGACGGGATCCAGCTCTTCTGCATCGAGCCAGTCATCGTCCTTTTCTCTGACCAAGCTGTTTCACGGGAATTAATGAAAGGTAACGTTAACAGCTAATGGATGTATTGTTTCTCAAGTCAGTCTTCATCCAAAGAGCTGGCTGGTATGCACCCTCCTATTAATACATGTTTGTACACAGTCCGGCCGTGCAAGCTTGATTACCACCACCTTTTCCCTATCGTACCGGTCCGTTGGTCTCTAATCTTTTACCGAGTTCAATGAGAGCTCAAAAGTCAAAGTGCAAAACGCGAAGCCAAGATCGCAAACCATATTATCTCCCATCACTTCGTGTTTTGTTTCTCCTCTTGCTTAGTGCAGCTTCTCCTTGAGATAGATGACTGCCGCGTATCCTGCGCAGCATCGCGTTGTCATTCCGTGAGAGCACCACGGGCATTTGACCGTCGTCGAGATGACACCGCTGACCCCAAGCTTCCGGTCTTCAACCTTTCCTTCGGGGTTCGCCATGCATTCGTAGACCTTGCTCGGCATGTCGTGCAGAAATTTGCAGCTGCAGCACTCCACCAGCATCTTGGCAACCGGTTCGGGGGCGCCGTTGGGAGGTACAATGGACGCGCGTGATACGCGATTGGATCGTGGTGGGCCAGGCGGACCCTGCATGGATTTGCGAGCCTCCTCGAGGTAACTCGAAGGGTTCGCGGGAGCCTTGAGAGCCACAGCCGACTTTCTCCATGCCGCATCCGATGGTTGTGCTGCTTGAGTCGCTGCCTTGCCGGCCAGGTTACTGACAGATCCGCGCTTAGATGAGCGAGGTGGCGGGGCCGGAATAAGTGCCCGGGGCACTAGAGGCTGGTGCTTGAGCTTCGGAAGGAAACTTGTATCGAGGACAAGATCAGGGCTCGAGCGACTCTTAGTCAAGCTCGGTTGACGCTGAACTGCACAAGATGGCGCATCTTGCACCGGCGCAGCGACGTTTTCTGCCTGCCTCTGTTCCCTCTGGTCGTACTCCTGCGGGCTCGTGAGAGATGCAGACGTCAGCGGCGAGGGAAACACTGAACTCTCTGTGTGTGTAGGAGTGGGATAGCTCTGGGACGAGTCACTGTCCTCAGCATCGGCGACACTAGCATTCCTGCCGAACTTCTCCGTAACAAGAGCCTCCAGCTCGTTGAGATGAGCCTCGTGGTTCTGGACTGGAATCTGCGGGGGGAGACTGATCCTTGGGTTCGAGACAGTTGGCGAGCATGCCAGCAGGGCCGTGTGAGAGAGTCTGTACGATCTCGAGTCGTCCGAGACCAACACAGTCGCGTTGTCCACTCTTCCTACTTCTCCATCCACCGGCATCAACCCCTTCTCCGACTGGGGCCTTGAGGAATCCGGGGTCGTGGCTGTAGATGAGGTAGGCAAACCTTCATCACACGACGACATGGATGACCTATCAGTCGGACGAGCCGACGAATCCCTTGACGGCATGCTGGACTCGCCAGACGCGGCAAACGGCCGGACAGGCTCAGCTGGTAATGGCGAGGGCTCGTCGGTCGAGTACCGTGAGCTCGATGGCGAGTCGGGTGTCATGGTGTTTTCGCGGACGGCACGTGTAAAATAGTTGGAGACTGGGGGCCTGGAGGGTCCGGGGGACGATACTTTGTAGAAAGCTGCTTTGGCCGCATCTTTGAAGCTCCTGATTGCGGCTCCTGGTGTGGATGGAGGCTTCTCACGCGACGATGACCTCACGGAAGGGAGAGGTATCTCCTTCGGTATCAGCCTGGACGCCGGTGGTCCTTGCGAAATTGAACGGTCAAACGACCCTTGATTGGGACTGCCATGAGCAGGGGGCGTGTAGGGGAGACGGAAGGTGATCGTGAAGTCTTCTGCTTGGGACGACTGATCATTGTGAGCGCTAAGGCTGGTCGTGGAGCCACTGCGCGGTGGATAGTTGCCACTCAAAGTACTGCTGTTGGAAGGCGATGAGTGGGAGCTAGATTGGTGTTGTCGGTTAGTCTGGGGAGGATAGTGGGACTTGGCTGACGAGACACGGGTCTCGTCCTTGAAGCCGTTGATGGACCGTTCTCTGCTCTGCTGGCGGGACTGGTGGACGTAGCTCTCCCTCCGTCGACCTCGTTCTTGCTCGAGCACGAACTCGCTCAGTGCAGGGGGAGGCTCCAACTCATCGTCGTCGTCGGCGACTGCAGAGTCTTGCTGTTGTGCCGCGTTGGATTTCCACTGCTGGAGGTTGCCTCCATCCGGCACGGGTGGTGCCGTAGGAGACACCAGAGGTTGACACCAAGAAGGCACATGCATTGAAGCAACTCGTGGTGTCCTCGGAGCGAACGCGTCATCCTCTTGATGCTTGTTTATCTCGGCCTCCAGCCCGTATGAAGTAGATCGTAGGAGGCTAGGAGCCGTGAACGCCGGTGGCGTCACCATCACCTCGGGCCCGAATGAATTTGCTCTTTGGTGCGCCAGAGAAGCCGGCGGAACAGGCTTTCTCAGAGGCATCCCAGCAGCTGCCTGTCTCTTCTGCTCCAGTTTCAAGCCGCCGATGAAACCGTGACTCTCGTCGGGTTGAGACTGACTGGGCGTCTTGTAACCCGTCAACGCAGCCTTCAGCTGCATCGCTACCGAGTCAGATCGCTGTCTGGTGTGCTGGGGACGGATTGGCGGAGGCGGCTCGTAAAAAGCTTGAGCGCTTGACGAGCGAAGTCGGTCGTCGGCAAACGTGGTCGGGCTTGAGATGGACCTTGAGGCATTCGGAGGTCTTGACGGGGGAGTCTTGGTGAGTTTGGCAGCCAGCATCTTCTTGACAGACTTGGCCTCCTTCTCAACCTGCTTCTCGGCCTGTTCCTTCTCCTTCTTGCGCATCTTGGCCTCGTTCTTCTTCTCCTTCTTCTTGTTCTGGCCAAAGGACTCCCAGCTCGGGGAGTGGCAGATGGAGGATGCGTCGTCCGCGGTAGGCTCCTCGAGGACGTCAACGTCCAGAAACGTGACTGTCTTGTGCTTGTGCTCGACAGCCTCCTTGCGCTCCGCTTCGCGATCGATCTGTGTCTTGGTATTTGAGGGCGGAGGCGGCACAGAGATGGACAGAGAAGGCAAGGCGGTGGCTCGGCGGGCAGCTTTCATGGCAGAGGGCGGCAGGTCTGTCTTCTTGACGGGAATTTGCACAGATGACTCCCTCCGGCGAGACTGCAGTGGGACGAGAGGCTTCACGGGCGGCGGAGGACTGATGGTGGGAAAAGGACTGAGTCTCGGCGGAGACTGGGGAGGGCGACCTTGATTTACATGATGCTGCAGAACCTGCTGAAACGCCAGGTGAGAGGGATGTGTGTAGACGGGCATGGACTGGTGCCCCTGAAGACGCTCGAGCTGCAAGGTGAGGCGTGTTAGTGGGTGGGAGCTAAGATAGCCAAATTGAGGTGGATGCCACGCGGGCCCGAGGCGTCAGGTTAGTTAGGGTGGGATCGGCGTACCTTCCGGGCATGTTCCAGCTCAAGCATCTTCTGAAGGCTGTCAGACCTAGACCTGGACCTGCTGCCTCGCGGTGTGGTCGAGCCGTGTTGAGCGGCCGTCGCAGTCATTTTCGGGTATCGTGGTCTCGCGGCAGGGTTGGAGATGGGTGATCGTGGGTGGAGTCGTGGCGTCAAGAACGGGTGGGAATCGCCGACTAGCGGTCGCAGAGTATGGGAAAAGGATGAGGCGATACTAAAGAAGGCGTTTGCGTGTTGTCATAATCTTCGTTGTGTTTCGTAAGGCGTTTGCTAAAGGACACTGGCTGGAACGCGGCGGCATAGACAGTTTGCGAGAAGGGCAATCGCAGCCGGAATCCGGATCGCGACGGTGAATTAGGTGCTGAATGTCGTGGCGATACTGAGGGTGCGGCCGAAAAAAGCCGGTGAACGAGCGGCCAAGATGGGACGAGGGGGAAAGAGACGAGACGAGATGGACGGATTAGCTACTGGCGAGGCAAGGGCCCACGAGAGAAAGTGCGACAAAGTAACGTTGCTGTGAAACAAAACAAGATATTCAACGAGGGGCAGTCTTGATGACGGAAAGGGAATTTCGAAGAGGAAAGAGCAAGCAGGGTGATATCTCTGGGACGCAGCCGGGGTCGGGTTGAGACTAATAGTTCTCTTCCTATTAGGGTCAAGGGGAAGGATTTACAGATCGGGGTGCAGCTGTTTACCCTGGTCTCCCGAGTACATTGACCCCATGCAGCGTGCAGAGCTTGTTTGCATGGCAAGGCGAGACTACCTTCTCCACGACAACACAACACTACACACACGCAGCCAGTAGAATTCTCTCACGGCCAATTTCGTCAAACCTCGTTCTACGCGACCACTGGGTAAGGAAAGGCCACGGCCACGGCCACGGTCGCTGGGGGGGACACAGACCGGCGAGATAAAATAGGCTATGGTGCGAAGGCCTTCCCGTAGAGGTTGACCGTAAACAGCGCACGTTGGGAAGTAGCTCACGTCCATCCATTGCTGACGATCGGATGGCTTACCCCGTCAAGGTCGGGGCTACGGTGAGATGGGACGGTGATCCGCTTCCCACCGTCCCCGAGCAGGTCTGAGGTGAGGGCCGGATCCAAGAACAGGTGCAGAAGACCGGAGGCCCAGGTACAGGTCTCGCTAATGTCCAAAAAAGCGAAAAAAAGATTAAGAAGGGAGACTAAGGCAGGTAGGTGCCATGGAGGAACATGGTGCGTCTTGCATCTCGGCGAGCGCCTGGACGTGGCCTTTCAGCGCGACCCTGTCGCTTGGAACGGATACAGCTGAGGAGGACAATGTACCTTGCCGTGCCATGTCATCATCCATCGATGCGTTGTGTGTCGTCTAGCCGTCCGGTCGTGTGGGTGGTGTTACACGGGAGTGGAGGCAATGTGAGACCCTGGAGGGGCTCAATGAAGGAGCACCGGAAGGCCCAAAGACTGTCGTCCTATCTGCATCGCGCGTTTGAATGTCTGATGTATCTTTCCATATGAGGTCGAGTTCTCAAAGCAAAGGGTTGGGTTTCCGGAATCTTTGCCACACACATACAAACACACACGCGCGCGCAGTGCCGTTTTTCAGAGTTGCAACCGCTCGATAATACGAGCTTTGAGGTGCATTGGAAGAACTCCAGCTCGGCAAGGGACCGCTGCAGGCGCCACCCCTCCCGGCCCACTGTTAGCGAAGCTCGGCGTGGCTTCCCTGGCCGATCGGCTACCAGGTCATGGCTAGGTAGCTTAACACGGACGCCTATTTTTGAGCATCTCCCTTGGCAAGTGGGGACCAACCAGGCACAGCTCTGCCCTGCCGACGTTTTGTTTGCCAGCAGGGCAGAAGCTCCAACGTTTCCCTCCCCGCGATACCATACCTGAGGTAGTACAGGGCCGTCTCGCGTTTCTGGTCGTTGGCTTGTGTTTTAGCAGGCGGTGTCGTTTGGTGTGGCTTCTTTCGGGCCCCCACCGCGACCTGGCTTCTAATTATCGCCTCGCCTCACCTGAAGTTGAAGCTGCGGACGACATGGACGACACGACCTCGTGCCTGCTACCCTGCCCGTCAAACCTCCTTCGCAGACGTCTCTCCTAAATCCTTCTTCCGACTCTCTCTCTCTCTCTCTCTCTCTCTCTCTCTCTCTCTCTCTCTCTCTCTCTCTCCGTCTCCCCCCTTCTCCCCCCAAATCAAGGTCACGCATCTCCGGTTCCTTCCAAAGACCTCACCAGCATTCTGAACAGGCCACCGGCTGCGCGCACAACCCAATAGTCCCTGACGGCACAGCTCGTATTCTTTTTCGTCGCATCAACTGACAGCTGCATACTGTCCACTCACATCCTCCTCCTCCACACCACCGCCAACAGCGCCGACCTGCATGCAATGATCGATGGCCCTCCCTGCTTCTCTGTCTTGGCTCTCCCTAGTGCTGCTCACGCCACGGCATTTCTATCCGAAAAGACGGTGCAGGCAAGCGAGACACAAATGCCAGAAATAGCCCACTCAAGCGGTCGACCTGCAGATGGAACAAGCCTCCTCCTCGTTGACCGCCACCACCAGCGTAGCCCATCTTCAACTTTCGTCCACCCTGCTCTACCTCGTGGCGCCATCCCTCTCCACATGTCACAGTGCCGGACAACCCCTGGCTCGACCGATCGAAATTGCCGCAGCCGTCCCTGGGGTCTTTGGCGAGCTAGCTCCCTTGGGCCGTGAGTCCGAGCCTCACCTCATAGTTCAAACCACAGCTACCATCTCCCCACGACAAAGCGCACTGCGCACAGGCTTCGGTTCGGAGCAAGCGCCAGAACGTTCCCACAGAGCTTGATGGGCACTCACCCAGCTGTCTTGCCCGTTCGCCCATCCATCCGATGGCTCGCAGAACTCTTGACCAATCTACGCCGGAACTGAAATCACGGGGGTTTTTTTCGTTTTTGTTCTTTTTGCCGCCTCACACTAACGGCTAACCGTCAATCCCTCAGGACGCAACCAAGCGAATCTGTATTGCATGGACACTTGCAGCTTGGTAAGTCGAGGAGAAATCGTGTTTGCTTGCTCAGACACTCGCTCTATATACACAAAACATCGCTGGTAGCCTCCCAAACCCGTGGGTATGGTAAGTCCGCCCAGGCCCCTCTTGAACGCCAACACTCGAAATCGCTACCCAGTCTAAACAGCTTACAAGATACAGGTATTTGTAGTACAGCGCATGATGCACCTAGCCAGCTAGGCTTGGTTCTCGCTCGTTCTCCGCTCGTTTTGCTGCATATGCTTCTCCACGGACTCGCGGCCCGGACTCACGTGCATCCAAACCTCGTTGCCCTCGCCCCAGTTGATCAGCCCCGAGGGCATGCCTGATCCTTCGCCCTTCCTGAAAAGCACCCGGTTCTTGTGACGGAGCCAATTCTTCATTCGCAGCGCCGCCTCGTTCTCTACCTTGAGGCGGACGGCGATCCATCGATCGTCGGGGCGATGATTATGCGTCACCACTGAGAGTGGTTCCGATGGTGACTCTGTCGTTTTGAGAATCTGCTCATCAACCCATGTGTTGTACTTTGTCTGCTCCGGCGGCAGGGTGATCTTTAGGAACTCGAGTGACGGCGATATCGTGAGATAGATGGCTCTCAGGGGATTGACCAGAGTCTTCAACAGTAGGTCCATCCAGGTCGAATACAGAATGGCGAAGTCGGTCTGAGAGAGATGCGTTGATCCGCGGATGGTCATCATCCAAGTGAGTGCATCCTCTGCCCTTGCCTCATTGCAAATGTCGACGAGTCTGTCAAAGTTTTCCTGCCAGTGCATAAAGGCCTCGGACCCGATCGACAGGAGTGGCTTTGTGACGCGGTGTCGGACGTCGTCTCCCGCATGAGGCGTGGCCGGGCCCCAAGCATCGAGGATGATGCCCTGGCCGACCCAGGTGAGCGACTCCGTCCTCAGGGTTTCGACCGTCGTCGCTCCGCCGAACGAATGGCCCATGATGGTTACGTTGTCGAGGAACATCCTGCCCTTCCAGTCCTCCCACATGATTCCCGTCAAGCCCTTGGAGCTGGAGGCGACGTTGCCCTTTCTTCTCATGTTCATGGCTTCTACTTCGTGTCCCTGGCCGCTGTTGATGTACCCGAGGATGCGGTACACCTCCTCCATCTCCGCCATCCTCATCTCGATTTGGGCGGTTCTCAGTTCGGTGTCAACCCCGCGGGCGTTGTGCGGCGCCGTGTCCTGGGCATTGTCCTTGGGGAAGAGATAGTCGACGCAGTAATGCTGGTCGCTCTTTTTCCCCGTCTTGCTGTTCTTAATCTTCTTGGCGCTCACGGTCTTGACATATGCCTGGGCCACCGATGAATCACTGTCAGAAACCTCTCGGTTCTCAGGGAGGTTGACGTAGGTTCTGGCACCGCTTCCGTCGCGGTGCTCTACTGCCACGACGATGAAGCCGTAGCTTGCCAACTCTCCACAGATGGAACTGTAGCTCATCCTGGAGCCCCCGAGGCCATGACTGAAAATGATGACGGGGAACTTTGGCTTCGTGCTGGAGCTCGATTCCTCGTTCCGCGCCGTTCGTCCAGTCGGGCCCTCGTCGCCCAGCATTTCCTCCGGCCAGTGCCCCGCAAGCTTGGCATTGCGCAGCGCCGGGAGCTTGGTGAACATGGAGGTGGCGGCGATGTAAGCCGTCACCGGTAGGTTCGGGACGCTGAAGAACTTGGCGTAGCCCTTGCAAGTTAGGACCCGCGGACGCGGAAGCCATCCGACTCGTGAGAGCTTTGGCTTCTTCTCGCCGGCCTTCTTCTTCTGCTTGTTGTTGTTGTTGTGGCCGTGCTCAGGAGCGGCGTGGTCGTCCGTTTTGGACTTGAGTGCGCACGGGTAGTAGATGGCGAACAGGACGGTGTCGAGCCTGAGCAAGGGCACATTGTCGCGCCTGAGCTCGGAAACGACACGAGGGTGGCGGACCGGCGCCTCGATCTCGAGGAAGCCCACGCCGTACGGTCCCGTGTAGTAGGGCAGCGAGTGGAGGAAGCGTTCTCTGAGTGTCTTGGGCGGGTGCGTCGCCGATCGTCGTTTCCGGTCCTCGGCCGAGGCCTTCTTCTCTTCCGACACCATTGTGAGTGGAGTGGATGTGGAGTGCCAATGTTGTTGGTCTGAGGGCGCCGTATCCTCTTAAAGCCGTTCAGATGACGACTCGGTGAAAGTGTGGTCGTGGCCGTGGTGGATATCTTGCTGTTGGTGTCGTCGACAAGGGGCAGGTCGGACGAGAAAAGGTGGAATGGAGCTGATTATAGATGTCGCACTGGACCATGGCGGCAATGCAAAAAGACCAGCTGGAGGGAGAAATCGGGATCGGAGGGGAGAGAGAGACAGAGAGAGAAAAGGCCAGGGTCTAAACATTCCAGGAAAGACGTGCGCAAGATTCTGGCCGCGTTGGCGAGACTGGGCGGATGGGGGGGGGGGGAGAAACCAGGGCAGATTGCTGGCGTCGCGCTTGTCCTTTTCCCGTCGCTCGGTCGAGGAGCCTTTGATGGTCAAAGTGTGGATAAGTGAAACCGCAGAGTCCGGAAAGGCGCTGACGTCACGATTGCCTCTGGCAATTTCTACCCCGGATTCTGCTCATCATCGACAGGGGGGGTGTTGGTGTTATCATGGAGTTGTGGAGCGGCTAAGAGAACACGATTGCCCAGAGGAACAATGCGAGAGTAGAATGGGAAGGCAGAGTAAAAAAGGAAAAAGAAAAAAAAAAGAGACACCCATCGATATACTTCCGATTAAAGGTTCTCTGCAACGAGGCCTGTTTTGATTCTCAAGGGGAGGACGGGTTTCACTCAGCGAGACATTTTTCTTGGTCCGTGTGCCTGTATATTTATTTTCTTTGCGGTTGGCATGTCTTTTGGTTGCACCGGGACTAACGGGGGGAAAAATCAGACACGAAGCAGGTGGAGATTGTCAGGGGGGTGAAAACAGAAAAGTTCAATTCCAGTTGCCTGCGTCCCGTACGGTTGGTGCAGTAGTGAAGCCCTGCTTGCCTGTGCTACCGACGTCTGTCTTGGCGCGCGGGCATTCTCTTTTCACATGCCCATTCCCTCTCCAACTCGTCGAAAGGGCTTCGACTGTGTCCACATCCGACCATCATGCGTGTGTAGCGGGCTCACGTCGCTTTTGCGACACGGCAGCTTCTCGGACGGACATTACATCGTTTCTGGCCCAAAGTAGTGGGTGCTTTTTTTTTACCCTTCTTTTTTTTCAATCGTCATCGAGGACGGGGTACCCGTTGGTTCGGGCAAGTAGTCGCGTGCTGGACGATGCAGCACTTGTCGATTTCACCTTCGGGGCGGCGCCATGTGGGGCCAGCTACTGGTGCCGCCGATGCAAAGCGTCGTTCGGCGACTTCCCGAGCCCACGATACCACTGTCGACTGCCGGATGCCGGATGTGGCCCGTCACAGTGGGCCCCGATTATGCCAAGTCTGGCTCTCTAGCTCTCTAGCTCTGGTTCCGACTGCGGCGTGTTCTCAGTTCTGGTTGGGAAATTGGTTATCCAAGAGACTGTCATACTGCCACAGCTCCGGCTGGTAATCCAACGGCAGCCGCCAGTCGGCGGCTATGTCCATGAACCCGGTGAAGAACTGGCCCTCATTAGGCTGCGTCAGCCCCGCCCCGAGGTTCATGAAGCCTTGCTGCTGCTGCTGTTGCTGCTGCTGCGCGTCGGACATGGAGAGGCTCGTCATGGGACCTAGGACGTCGGCAGTACCACTGGTGATGCTGCCGCTACGGGCCGACCCGGGCCCTCCCATCGGGGGAGAGAAGGCATCCGTGGGTACCCCTGCCGGCATCGAAATATCCTGCGAAGGCTGCTGAGGTTGTTGGAAGGCAGCAGAGGGTCCACGCGAGACGGGGAGCATGTGCGGCGGCAGTGTTGGGGTGTTTGCGAGTACGGAAGCGGCGACGTCCGCGATAACTTTAATGACATGGTACGACACGACAGACTGGTGTTCTGGGTCGTACTTCTCGAAGAAGGAGATTACGGTGCGGATGAGGTCGAGGTCGCGACGTGCGCGAGGGTTGGTCTTGTTCTGGAGGATGTTGACAAAGAGGATGTCTACGCTCCAAGCAATCTGATACAGCAGATACCTATGCAATGTTTGTCAGTTTTGACATGAACCTGTCATATACACTGGTTCACTTACGGTGTATACGGGTGTTCAATCTGATGGTAGTTCAGGAGTGAGATGGCGGCACGCGACGCGCTCACACACAGGGCAAGACTCGGGCCTATATCGCCGGCCTCCGTACCCTCCTGGTCCTCCAGCAGAGGCAACCTGAAAGCAGCCGAGTGGATTGCCACGACGAGCTGGAAGTACGTGAAATGCAGCGTTGTCAAGCACACCATCCTGTGATAGTCGCCGTCTAGCAGCGCTTCAACGTTTTCGGCGCGGATCATCGGGGGAATGCTCTCGCGCCACTCCTGCAGGTCGGCGTCGAGGCGGCGGATCTCAGCCTCGAGCTCAGCGGGCGGGACGCCGGTACGGTGGTACAGCGCACCGGCAATACGGCCCTGGATCTGGGCGAGGCGGACCTGCTGGAGGAAGAAGTTGAGCGTCACATCGTTGGGGTAATAGTACATGCTGTATCCATCTGCCGGGTGCTCCTCGGGTAGGTCGAGGAGAAAGTCGTCGCTGATGAGCGGAGGCTTGCCGATACGTAGCATGAGGTCATGGTCGATGATATAGGCCTGCCAGAAGAGGCGGCGACGGTGGAGGTGATTCACAGGGTTCAAGCTCTCGGCGGTTGCGTAGGACGGGTCGGGCTCCGGACGGTGGTAGCCCGCCATCAAGAGGAGCTGCACGGTGAGACCCATAAGTGTCAAAGCGACATGATTCTCAGATGTGAAGCTGAAGTAGAGGACCTGCCGGTACGGTTAATAACATCCAGGCCGTGGTTAAGAGGCCTTGAACGGCTCTCTCTAAGGTCGCTTGGACTCACTGTCGACAACAGTGCCCCTATTGTCAGGGGCGTTGGTGTGCGTATAATGACATTGGGGACCATCCCAAGGGCATTATGAATGTACTTTTGGTACTCTTCCTTGTTTCGCATACGATTCCTCTTGCGGAGAGTGTGTGCAACGATGGCGTTCACGGCCATTCGCCAACCTGGATCGGCAGGAGGCTGGCCTTGGAAATAGGACCGGAGCGCGGCTCGTACTTCGTGCTCTTGGAACGTCCGTATGCTGGCGTTCATCGTCACAAAGTACTCTAGCGATCTGGTTTCAGTAACAATTTGCAAATTGCGACATCATCTGCCGCGGGCGGGAATAACGGCTTTCAAGCAGGCGGCTTACCGTTCACGCACTCCATGATCACATGGTTGGGAGGCAGAGGGTGATTTAGGTCGGCGTGGTTTAAATACGGTTGGTCGTGTAGCGCCTGTAACTTGGGCCGCGCAGCATGCAAAGCATTGGAGAATCTAGAGTCTCCAATGAGGAGCTCAATTTGGGCCAACCCTTGCGGTGAAAGCAGAGAGCAGGCACCTGGCGAAGGACGAGTGTCAGCCAATATGCTTTTACGTCCAGTGATATCTCTCTGGAGGACAGAGGCTCTTGTTTATTACCTGCTGCGATGACCGTACTATCATCGGGCGCGCCAGCATAGTACGGCCTCGCCCCCGTCGAGGATGTAGCGGACGGCGGCGAGGGGAAGGAGTCAGGGTTGCCCGAAGAAGGACTCGCGCTGCTAGCCTTCCGTCTCGACAGGGGAGAGCGGTGGTTTGGCGACGACGTCGTCGCCGCAAAGGGCGACGCGGTTACCGGCGACTCGCTGTGATTAAAATGCTGTGGAGGTGTCACCCCCTGCTCTGGCTTTGTGGACTGGAGCTCCTCCACCAGCTTTTCCATCTGAGCCAGTCTCGAAACTACATCTTCGTAGAGCCTGTTGGTCGCGACGACATGGCGAGCGTGTCAGTTATCCATAAGCCGATCAAGATCGGAGATAAGGGCCACATCGACCCCTCCCCCTACTGCGCGAGATTGAAGGTGAGGGTGAGGGCAACTCACGGTCTCTGGCGGCGTCCTGAAGAGCGACGGCCTTCGGGCCAGGCGCATTCCAACCCATACCTGACGCAGTTGGAGCAAACAGGCGTCTTGTGGTCGCATCTAATCTGTCGTTGCAGCGACGAGCCGTCCCGTCCGTTAGCACAGTGTTCTCCACGTCTTCTTGGACCCCCTCTTGTTTTTCACGCGCGTGTCGGGCCTTTTTTTATTTTATTTGGCTCTCTCTGATTCGAAGATCGAGGATCAAGAGCATCCTTCCAAGATCCCGCCAGGGGGAAGATCAACCCCTTACCTTGCGGCGCCGGCATGGAGTGCAGGCCAAAGGGCGCGGTCTCGGAAGTGCGTCGGACTCGCGGTTGGCCGCTTGTCCGTCCGTCGGCGAGTGCTCTTGCGGTTCGGGGCTCTGCTCCATAACTTCTTGGCGGCGAAGGGAAACGGACTTTCTGAAGTGCGGCAGCGTTTAAATAGCCTATCGGGCCTCCGTGTCCGCAAATGGAACAAAGTATTCTAAGTTGGTTGTTGGTTACCGGGAACGATGGGAAACAGACTGTTGGGACCAGTTGACTCATGGATTTGTAGTGTAGAAAAAACCGAAGAAAAAAAAAGTAGAGGTGGGCAGCACAGCACGCGCGCTCTGCTTCGGCGAAGATCGCCGACCGTACCTAGTGCTTGGGTGCAGATATGGGCTTGAGCTCTAGGGGAAACGGCTGGATTTGGGGGCGGGTTAAAGGAAGAGAGAGAGGAAGGAGTGTGCAATGAATGTGTCATGGATGCACGCAACGACCCCTAATTAGCTCACCTTCCTCCCCAACCTTGGCGTCAACGGTGCAGCTTCAACCTTTCAACCTTTTTGCTTTCTGCCTCTCTTTTTTCTTCCTTTCTGCCCTTATTCCCTTCTGTCTGCATTCCCCGGGAGACGGCGGCCTTAGCTTCTCTCTCACTCGCCACGTTCTTATCGCTGCTTAAACTCTGCTCTTCTCTCTGCTCAGCTCTGCTGCCCCCTTCGCCGATTGAACTTTGACGGGGGGTGGGAATGTGGGTGGGATACCAAGCGGCTGGCACGGGACTCTTCGTACAGCAATCTGCCGGAGCATGCGGAGGTAGAGAAAATGCGTACGTGGTTATAATGACTGCCTTGGGAGTGTGTGGTGCTCGCAACACTTTTTGCTCCGTCGATGCTTGTCTGGTGTTTTAGGGGCGAAGCTTAAATTCCCAACTCTAACCTCTGGTCCATCATCTTTTTGGGCAGTCTTACCGGAGGAGTGGGGCCCGTCGACAACCCCGAGCGTGGCGCCGTATCTCAGAATGAGACGCATCGTCGCATGTGCGAGTTTTTGCCGCTAATCGTCATATAACCAACCCCATCCAGCCCTGCCGATGGTCAGAGCGTTCCCTTTTTGGATTTCGTCTTTTCTTCGTCCCAGCTATGCAAGTAAGATGAGCTTGGTGAACTTTCTGTACTGTGAGTACCATGGGGTGGGGATTCTAGCTGCCCGCAACTCTATCGCTCTAACCATCTCCACCTTCATCTCCTCGCGAGTCATTTACGCTTCCGCGACCCGCCTAGTCCATGATTCAATGTCACTGTGCAGAGCTGCTTCTGCTACTCCTTGAAGTGCAGGCATACGCGGCGGCTGAGACGAGACGTTTGGCGTCGTGCGAACTTCAAGCACCGGCCCCCGTCCCTGCCCCAAGACCCCTAACGGCTATACTGGAATTACCCATCGGCGGCGAATCCACCGAGCAACGAACGGTTTGAAAGTGAGGGATTACTGATCCGGCAATCCTTTAGCGTCGTCGAAGTCAGAGTTTCAACGACGACCACTCTTCTCCATACGAGGACGACGCGCGCTGAGTCGGTTTTCTATGGGGGCTGCACAGCCATGAGCTACTCCCCAAAAAGGGGGACCCCAGCGGGCGTTGGTCAATGAACCACAGCCCAACGAAAACCCAGACGCCGATTCGGTTTGATTACTTCATTCCGTCTCGAACTAGGCAGCTACCACTCCCTGAGTAGTGTGTGGGTTACCCCGAGTTACAAATAGAAGACGGATAATCGGCGACGAACAGTCGACATGCAAAAAAAAACCCATTCTTGTCACTTATCATAGGTAAATCTCAACATAGCTAAATCCAGTCTGAGCCTGCTGACGTATAACGGTTTAGAAATCTAGCTGAAATGCAAAGACTTGCGAAGATGGTAAACATGTCACAACAGACTGGATACGACATATGGCGAGTACCGATCTAGCCCGCTCTTACACACAGCGATATGCACACCCTCGTGCGCCATTAAGCATAAAGTATCTTGACAGCATGGCAGCTGCTAGCGTCCCACAGAGCCAGAGTAAACTTCAATGCCCGAGATGAGGTTGTACATGAGACGCAGACCTACAGGAGTACGGGCACTTCACGAACGGACTAACCAAAGCAGCCGCTTTATGCTCGATCAAAAAGAGTTTGACTAGCCATTCCGTTACATAGTCGTTTATGCTTGTATTTCCACTTGTCAGCCTCGACAACGTGAACTGACTGCAACGGGAGATGACTGCCGTTCATGAATCTAAACTAGACAGAAAGAAGCACACGTAGCATATGTACATGACAGTGATCCTTTCAATGGTCTACGTCTGTGACACGAAAGTTTATGAGCATGTACCTATCGGTCTTGTTGTGATTGGACCTGTCGGCTTTGGAGACGTATAGCATGCAAAATTGGGCACATCCCTAAGTCTGCAGGTCGTTTCGCCTTTGTAGGTCATATCGTATGAGCATGATAGGCCTCTTTAAACCAGCTTTATTCGGATAGACCAATATTGTTCGGTAATAATAGCCGGATATAGGTATCCGTTTAAAATCTCGTTACCAAGCGAACCCTTGTATGATTCATTGTCAGATGCACGAGCTAGTTGACTGTCTACGGCCTGAAGTTCCGTTTTGACTTTTCTAGTTTCATTATCTTTTAGACCCAACACCCGTTGCTAGTCCAGATGGAACGAAGGAACCAGCCCCCGTAAGGCTGCGGCTAGGTATCTCACAGCTTTTGTGATTGACTCGGCTATTATCGCCAAACACAAACTTAACAGTCGTGGTCTATTCCAGTTCCATGATTGGGTGGTTCTCCTGCTTATTTTCTGTTGGTGTTGAAGGTTTCACTTCAATTGATCCTTGAATATTGGCGGTATGTCTATTTTGCTCCCGAACCTAGATATAAGTCGGTTTTGTAAGACTGTGGGACTAAGAAAAAAAAATGCGGCGGTGATTTGGAACCTGGTGCATCTTGGTAGCGCACGGGATCGAAGATCTTGAAAAAGGGGAAGAAGTTTGAAAAAGTGCTGAAAAGACGCCCCTGCTCGGAGGAGTTAGGCTCCCTCAAAGATCTTAGGGTTTTTAGCACCTTGCAGCGAAGCTGCAGCTAGGATGGGTTTAGCCATTCATCATCGGGACTGTGTTGAAAGCGTCCAACATATTCTGGCATGATACATGTATACACATGGGCGCTTGGGGGCAGAGGGTAATTATTGCTGGCATTGGTTAAGAAAAGAATGTTTGGGCTTCTTCCTGTTTTTGGTGGTTAGGGGAAAGTGAGGGTATTCCATTGAGGAAGGTCGGTCCTCCCCCCATCATATTCAGAGAACGGTGATGAAAAGATTGATCACGGAGCAGCTTTCCCCTGAACGGAAATAGGCATGAGACTCGAAGGATCGTATTTCTGAGTTTTTATGTCTTGCTCTTTTTGCTCTCCCAGTAAGAAGATACGATGCGCAGCTCTGCCATTCCAGGTCACGGTCATGACCATAGCCTCTCTAGAGGCGGACAAGAGTTGGTGGTTCTGGACTCGAGAAGGCAGCGTCAACCTTGGGTGGCAACCGTAGCATCTCGATGCGAGTGTACTGATTGTGTCGCTTGGCAGGGTGCACTAACACGCCTAGATACTTGCTCATCCACTTTCCAACCTACACTTGCTCACCCTGATCACCCTAGATATCAGGTGAGGCGATTGCACTTGAACAACATAGTCAAACACCACTAATCATCAGACGCTTGACATCTGCCAAACTTCATCGTGTCATGTTTCGATTGTAGCTAAAAACTGATGTGGCGTTCGATCGGGTCCATACGCAAAAACTATCAGACATTGGACCGACTCCACGTACCGGATACAATCGGTGCCTCATGATAAGACATAGAAGCTATCGACTCTGGCCGGAACTGCCGGGAAAGGGCTTGAAGGTTATTGCCTACCTGTGGCGAAGATGAAATTGGCCAGGCCCGTCCACGAAGGCTGCGACCTCTTAGCGCAATTGCATAGCACGGCCAAATTAGTGTTCACCGAGATGAAGTGGTCTCCTGGTTGATGGGATCGCCTGATGTGGACCATCGGGCGCTATCAGGCAGCGATAATTCGCATTTTTATCTCCTCCTGGTCTCTTGAGGCAAATCCGAGAACCGAGTTTTCGGTACGCCCAGGACTTTGATAAAGGCAAACGAAAGGTTGCACGAAAAATGAAGCTGCCTGGTGCAAAGAAGCCTGCTCGAACAAGATGAATCGGGAGAGGTAGTAACGCCTTAATGGAAACGGAACCTCATTAGGCAAAATTCTGCCTCATAGATAATTGTTCAGTTTAACTGTCAACTTGGCATTCAAACTTGGGATAGTACCAAACTTGGGATAGTGCTCAGGCCACAGACCTTTTCCTCTACTGTGGTGACTACACGCTGTCGTAGGAGCCCACATATGTAGATGGTTGAAGGATTGCTCGCTTGTGTTCTCGAAATTCCTCGAGCCAATAGCCTAGAAACAGTGAGCAGACTGAGCAAACTGAGCCCCGATTCTAATGTCGATGGTGCGGATAAACGTCTCCGTTAGGCGGACGAGCCCCGAACTAACGCCAGCAAACGTACTCCCGGTGTGTGGCCGTGGATATAGACCCGGCACCTCGAAAGGCTCGCCGAAGACAAAACCACCTTTATAACTCCGAGAATGTTGACATATTTGTGTTGAAAGCTTCACATTATCTCTTCCACATTTCCTTCTTGGATACTACAATTATTGAGAACTCTGAGTTAATAATTGAGTAGTCCTTGGATTGTCTCTTGTCAAGAGCATATCAGAGAAGAAAGCCAACGTGGCAAACTCCATGCCTGGTTTGGTACGGGATCGTCGGGCGGGACCGTCTCAGGACTTCAGCTGCCAGCGAGCTCGGAGGGCCGGAATTGGGATTGATCAATCCTACGACGGCATTGTTTTGAACTTTGGTCTCGTGACCTGTCTTTGGGACATGATCGGCATCAAGAGGATATAGATCTTGCCGCAAGCTCCGGGTGGCAAACCGGAAAGTTAGAATAGTGGTCTCCCTGAGATTTAGGGTATGTAAGTAATCGCACAATCCCACAAAGGGAATGTGTGGTTGCTATGTTGATGGCACGGGTTTTCCGACTGATCTAAAGTATTTAAAGAGAGAGGAAAAAGAAAAAAAAGGGAAAAAACTCTGAGCTGTCTGAATGTATAAACGATAGCATACTGATTCTGTCTTTAAACCAAACTCAAAAAGGCAGTCCCTTAAGTTGGCACAACATCAGATACGTCTTCGATCACAGGAGCATTCCGAATACATCCTCCCAGCAATGCCTACCATCCAGAAATGGGCAAACTGTCTGGTGTCGCCGTAAAATGAGGCTTCAATTTGTGTGCCCAAATTGGCACACGCGTTGGTACCATCCCGAAGCAGTCACATTTACAAAACACTGGAAGCCCCAACGATATTCTTGACCTCATGCTATGGAGATGGGAAGTGACAGTTGGCCATCTAGTAGAACAGATTTATATAGTACGGCATCATTCGAAAGATCAGGTGATACAGGTCGGGATGAGTGCCATTGATACATCGGCGATCGCGCCATTAAGACCGGCTGCAGGTGCCGGAGCGGTAAAACGTGGTGTCCCGCCCATGACTAAATACTCGGACGAGGATCCTGCATCGAAATTTTTCGAAGTTACCTAACTAGTCTGAGTTGAGTTTGCCCGCGGAAAAAGTAGGCCCGATTCTGCGACTCATGTGTATGAGGACCGGAAAGACAGTTTCTGTCGTTAGGCGTTGTGCATCACCTTGCTATACTCAGTTTCGGAAAACGTGGGCGTCGGGGATGTCACTGTACATATGCTCGATAAGAAGGAAAAGGCCCATGTTTGACGTTTCAATTTGGTCCGCAGGCCGCTTAGTTGAGTGTTTGAGATGTCTTGTTATGAACCATATCGGCAAACTGAAAGTACATAAGATGTATGACGCAGCGCTGTACTCAAACGAATGCGAGATAACCTTTGAAAGATTTGAGATCTGAAGTACGGGATGACTAGGAAAGTACATAGGAGCTGGAAGATAGTCATCACTCCAAGGGTGGCGCAGCGGTGCTTGATCCCGGGTATTTGCTGACTTTACCATCTTCTCAGTAGAGATAAGCTTTTTTTTCTCACGATTGGCTACTGTGGTTGAATATTGTGTATGTAAACTCTACACAGCATAGGCTGACAAATACCGTTTTGAGAAAAAATGAAAGGGTCCTTGTCAAAAGTTTCGATCGAACTAGTCACATTAGATTTGCGGCCAGATGCCCACTAGAGAAGCTGATATCCGCGATTGTAGTCCAAGGACTCGAATTATAGGTGGATTTAGTTGTCCAGAAAGTGAGACACCATCTAATAGTTTCTAGGTTTGAGTACTCAATTCATGAGGTTGTTAGCTGTCGGACACACGGACCCGAATCTTGTAGCCATGCTAAGTGGAAAGAAGCAAAACGTCATGAAAGACCGTAATTCTCTGAGATATTTAGAATAAAAGACAGGAAGCCCCCTCCAACGAAAGTGAAAGTAAGATCAGCATCTATACCAGCACAAGTAACTATGTCCAGTCCTGCCCCCGAAGGCGTGTAACACTTTCCACCGCCCGTGACGGAGTTACCCGTCTCGCCAATCTGGTTCTGGCAGTTGTCGTCGTAGTACAGGTGGCAGTTAGTGCCGTAGGTTCCGTCTCCGACAGCCTTGATGCTGGCGATGGCGTCGGAGGACTTGTAGCACGTCCCGCTGCATCTCTGCAGTTCGGTCAAGGATCAGTACATAGCACATGGAGTAAAGAGTGACGGTCAACTTGAAACGGGCAGATGGACACTTACACCAGGACTATTGGCTCCTATCTGGTCGTTGCAGCCCGTGCCACGGTAGTAGCGGCCACACTGGCCGTTGACAACGCCGGCGGCGGCGCAGGCGGCGCGGCGCTGGAGTTCAGTGGCGGCGAGGTCAACTACCTCAGGAGAGTAGTCCTTTGGGGGACCAACGACAGCGGCGGTGGCCAGCTCGGCCGTGAGGAGGAGTACAAGGTTCTTAAGAAGCATCTTGTAATAAGGAGTCTTGCGAAGGTAGATTGAGTACAAAGAGATGGCGACGTCTTTGGATGTTATTGGATGATGAGATGTCGAGGCTTGTTCAATAACGAGAAGTGAACAGGCAGCGGTGATGGTCTTTATACACGAGAATATGGCACTAAATTTAAACCCCTCTTCATCCAGCTATGTGTGCTCTTTTAAGTCTCAGTCTTTTTGGATGCTCACATCCGTAAGACCCCTTCGCCATCAATGGTGAACCCAGCATCCACCTACATCTCAAGTTGCGTATTGCGTCCAACGCCCGCGGCGATCGCATTGATTGTACTACGTCTCAACAAGTCTCGGAGGCGATTCCTTGGTTTTCTCACATCCAGTGTGCGTATAGTGGCGGTGTGGTTCGAACGTAACATTGTTGCCGTACCTGTATAGTTGTAGAATGCTGTATGTCTTGCAAAATGCCTGTCTGCCATCAGACTTGATTAACAGATCACCGTTATGGTGGCTAGAATCAAGTCTCATCGACTAGAAAGGATGAAGTAGCCTATCTCGCTTGAACGATCTAAAAGAGTACATGATTTCTGCAACACAAGACTACGATCCACGACATCTGACTGGCCGCCTTGCTTAGTAAAGCCCAATCCGTCTTAATTGCATGTCAGCTACATGTAGTGTTGCTGACGCACCCCGCATGTCAGCCGTACACAACATAGTCGGACCACTTCTTTCTCCAATGCAACATGCTCGGGGCTAGAAATGCCATTGGCCCTAGAAGAAGTTTGCCAGCAACTAATGCCGCGTTGTATGGTCATCGAGAGATATCAGTGGCCGGAATAGCCTTTGAATAGGCCTAGTCTTGGCTACAACAGATTTTGTTGTACATGACCGGTCAAGTAGTGCAACCTTCAGGTTCACCAAAAGGGGCGTGTTCTTTCTATTTAACGCCGCAAATAATGCTTTGATCCACATATTTGTAAGACAACAAGCTTCAAGGCCTTCCATTTTGGGCAAAATAGTGCTTAACTGATAGTATGAGGGGTTTTGAGAGACAGCCCTCGCTTGTTCTACGCTTGTATTAGAAAGAATGTGTTGACTGCGGGGTTGGATAGACTTGCCGCCGGGTGGGCTTATTGCCAGGTTTTCTGGTCCAGGCTGGCGTCTTAATCACCTTAGATGGACCGCGCGCTTCTAAGGCCCCCGGATACTTTGACCACCGGCTCTGAGGGTTTGCTGGTGACCGGGGTTTCGTACGAGCGTCGTCCATCTCGGCTTATGTCAGATTTTGCGTCAGAGGAACGGGCCATGCGGGCACTAAACGATTCCATTGTGAGGAGATGCAAAGACAAAGTAGGTAAACAGACTAGGCAACAGTTTCTGGGTCATTCGAACTCGGGCAAATGGCACGTACCTTGGCAAGACATTGCTGGTGCAGGTGGTGCCATTCTACCGCGTCTTTGTGGGGCGCATGCAAGGAGAGCATTATACTTTCTCTGTATATTAGACAGTGCTTTAGTATTGAGATGTAATGGTTTAGAGGTATAAACCTCTGTGTCTATATTCTCAATTTTTCCGTCATCTCCATCAGCTTACGGTGAGGCCTTACAGTGGTACAACATGCTGGGCGGATGTGTCTACGACACCAATCCCGGCACTAAGCTCAGCTGTAGAAAACTTCATGAAGTTGAGGGCCACCAGGGTGTTTCTTTGTTGAAAACAAGTCGCCCACTTCGGTAGACCCCATAGTGATTAGCTGTGACCGCTGACCTAGGAAATCAGCATCAGGATAGTTTATAAGTTCCCATGCCCATTCCTACGTCAAGAATTCGATGGGTCTTTGCCTCCTCAATTAGTGACTTGAACAACCTGTTTCAAATCGAGTTAACTTGCAGGTTGTGAGTCATGTCGAGTTGGTAAATGACGGCTTATGACTGGAGTCAGCTTGCTGTCTTGCACGCTGGCACAAGAGACAAGACGAGTTTGCGTCGTCATTGAGGAAACTGTATGTTTCAGCACAATTTTAGGCAGACTGACGGTGATATCGTAATAGTAGTCGTAAGAATACTGCAATAAGATGGTTCAGAAACCTACTTCCAGATCGGAATACTCAATATTAACACCGATCATAGACAGTCAGACAACCAACAACGGAAGATGGAAGCAATGCCGTATATGTGGAGTTGAGCTCTTAGTAAATGACATGTTGAAAGACTTTACCATCGTCACAGGAATCATAGCCTTTAATAAGTAAATTCTTTCAGCGGTCGTTGGCCCATCGTCCCAATAGTATGGTCACCGCCAACCGTAATTGAAGTTTGCGGGAAAGGACCGAACTACATCAAGAAAGTCACAGTTATACCAGCATCAAGTCACCGTGGTTGCTAGGTCTGGACTCATATGGATACCCAGCAGACACGGCGGGTGCTGTAACATTTGAACCCCATATCGAGGTTGATGGTAACATAACTGGCGGCGTGCTAGAGGCTGAGTCTACCACTGTTGCACAGCTTGAGCTAATACTCGACGACTTGCCAGAGATAACCTAGAGGCCGCGAGAACAAGGATGTTAACATCGGACGGTTGAGGTTTCCGCAATGAGCTGATGGGTTGTGTAGGATAGAAGGATCTGATGCGGTTTGCTCTTTGTTCAGTTGCCCATAATCATTGTGCGGCACGGGTTCAGGTTGTATAGCATGTCCTTGTCTCCTTCCACATCAAGACACTTGCTCGGCTGGGTTAACAAGCCTATATTGTTTTGGCGGCTGAAGCGAGTCCTGCTGTCAGCAGCATAATAAATCATATGGTGTTAGGCGTCAGTTAGTGAGCATGTGATGTGAATGGAGTTCTCTATGCCTTTTAATGCTAATGTCCTGGCCTCCTTCCAGGATGCGGGGCCATAAAGTTGTCGTGTATGGTTTCCTAGCATGGCAACGTCAATCTATTTCAAGGGGACACCTACACTCTCTAGTAGTGCCTAGTACGCTCTCGTCTTCTCATTATGCCTTTTTCATTATTGAAGGCTCATTAGAGAGTCGGGAACCTAACCTCTCAGGTCCTCATACGTTTGATATTTTATTCGTTGTCAGGACTGTCAGATCATCACGGGCTGTTATGTGTCTTTCTGATAGGACCCCAATTTTCTCCTTTTCTCCTTTCAATGTCTATCAACTGGAATTGATAGACAAACCAGGCCAAAAACCTCATCGACAACCACAAGCTGAGGCCAAATGCCTTGTGTTGGTTTTTGCCGTATTGAGGTGCAAGCCAACCGTGGCTTGCGGCGTGTGGCGGAAGGAGGTCGATGTCATCGGCGATCGGCTATCGGACCAAGAAGGTCAAGCTCCGGACATCAAGAAACGTTCCCTTGGCAAAACGGGTCCGACAGTGGCGATCTCGACCGGCTCGATTTGTCAAAATACCGCCGGTTACACCGGGTCCAAAGCGCATCTGGACCATTCAATTTTGCCAGAGTATGAAAACTTCCACTGTAATGGCAAGTATAGACCAGTCCTGTGCCGAGTGTTCATCATTCGCAACGGGTCAGAGTACTTCGTTTACCTACTAGTGGGAACGAGCGATGGGCGTTCTTTGCGATCGGCCGTTGCAACGGATGGAAAAAAAAAAACCATTTGAGGAGATTCCGCCTTCACGTGGATCTCCAAACATGTGCTTGGCTGTAAGGTTAAGGTGGGGGTTGTTGGCTTTTTACATAATCGAGCGTTGAGCGGCTCGGGCTCCATCGGAGGTGGGGGAAATACACCAGGTCGCCGGGCCTCGAATCCGTTTCATTGGCTGTTTTCAGTCAGGACTTGATCTGGACTCCAGGGGGTTGGCGCAAGCATCAAACAAAGTACAGGTGAAGGACGTTGGACGACGGGCGATGTTGCATGAGGCCTCCACTTCAATAGACACCCAAAAGCAGTTGCGGTGTGGCAGCGCGAAAGCAGAGGGAGGTAACGGCTCGTAATGCTTCGCTTCACTAGGTACGTTTCATCGCTATTCGGGCCGTCCAGGCTGGATCTGGATCTTGGCAGCTTCCAGGGCGGCTGAGGCTACGGGAGCGGCTGATCTTCGAGGACTTGAGTTTACGGGTGCATGTGGGTGCCGGGCTCTAAACAAAAGGTGTGGTCAGTCACCCACCTAATGTTCTGCCTCTCCAACTAATATTGTGGTTATGGCATTTTGCCCCATGGTGAAATAGCCATTGCGATCAAACAGATAATGTTGCGGGGGAAACACTAGATAGATGGAGATGGGATGGACTCATGGAGAGCAAAAGCCGGAGATAAGTGTGGAGTGGAAATATTGTAGATCAGAACTGGAGGCAGGCTACGCAACGATGGACAGCCGCTCAGTGTTCACCAACCGACACAAGTTCGGACCCCCCGGGCCAAAGACGTCATAGCTCGAGCTGTTCGCGCTCCCGCATCACGCTTTGCCCTGTTTAGCAATCCAAAATGCCTAGTGTCGCTGGAAGGCTGGGCAGCAAATGGGGGCTTTTTTCTTCTTCTGGTTTGTCCTTTGTTGGTTTGCTGGTAAGAGTCGTGGGAAGCAAGAGAGATAGGTAGAAGAGTTTGCGACTGGGTCTCGTCATCGGTACCAAGGCGGGTGTTCTTGTTAACTTTGCGGCCCAATCATGGTGTCCCTTGGCATTGCCAGGCACAGCTGGACTGGTAAGCCGCCACAAGAGCCGCCCAGGGAAACAAGCTTTGGATACCGTCTTTGCCAAGTTCGCTGCCGCTTTCCCGCCACTTGGTACAGGCCTCAGCTCTCCAGTGGCCCCAGGGAAACGAGCCGCGAACCTCGACCCAACCAACTGTGGGCCGGTGACAGCTTACTGTGTATATCCGGCAACCACCGGGGTTTGGTCAGCATCAAGTCACTCGATGCTTGCTGTTCACGTGGACGTTGTCTCCATCCTCTGACCCTCCTCCGGACTCTCTCCGTCGAATCCACAGTGGACCAGCCATGAACGTGTGACGGCGCAACCGCAACTCCAGCCAGTCTAATGTTCGGGCGAGCACCGCTACCAGTTGCTTACCATTCCTCACCCCGTTGCCCTCCTACGCTGCATTTCGAAATGTGGGACGTGCTGCGCTAGAGATTGCCTGTTTCGCGCCACCGTCTTTTGTCGGTGATGTCACGGTGGGCTACTGCACGTTTGGGGCCAGACGGAAGCTTGCTTCAGTCAATCGTCATGGCGGTTGAGGCCATGTCCCTCTGCTTCCGTCCCAAGTCGTGTTAGGCATTGATATACCGAATTTTCCCCAACAACGGTTCTCTTTGGTCAATCTCTGGTTCTTTTGAATCGTATCGAGTTTGGTCGTGCACACCACCTCCCTCTCTCCTGTCTCCCCTTATCTTTCCTGTCCTCTTATGAACAGGACGACAGCGACAAAACCACGCTCTATCCATCTTCCTCCACCTGTTATTGCACATCCTCATGATACCGGCCCATCATGCCTAGTACACGTTTCGCCGAGGAACCGCCTCAGGTCATCAACGAGGCCGACCTTGAAGTCGCCAATGAGAAGCTCGAATCTCGCGACGACCGCGCCTCCAATGTAGACGCAAGCAATAGTGAACAAACCTCCTCCAAAGAGCTTGAGCCTGGCACCGGCCACTCGGAGCACCACACTGATGGCCTTTCCAATAATGTCAATGCCAATGGCAACGGAGCCAAGCTCGAGAAGCTGGGCACCTACGACAAGTACGAAATCAACGAGGATGACTGCTACGATGAGCTGGGATTCTCCTTCCCCAAGTGGAAGAAGTGGTACATCCTCACCGTCATCTTTTGGGTCCAGGTCTCGATGAACTTCAACACCTCGCTCTACTCCAACGCCATCGCGGGCATCTCGGAGGAGTTCAATGTCAGCGCCCAGGCCGGCCGCTGTGGCGCCATGATCTTCCTGGTCCTCTACGCCTTCGGCTGCGAGCTGTGGGCCCCGTGGTCCGAGGAATTCGGCCGGTGGCCGGTGCTCCAGCTCTCGCTGTTCCTCGTCAACATTTGGCAGCTGCCCGTCGCCCTGGCGCCCAACTTCGCTACCATCATGGTCGGTCGCGCCTTGGGCGGCCTGTCGTCTGCAGGTGGTTCCGTCACGCTCGGTATGATTGCCGACTTGTTCGAGTCCGATAAGCAGCAGTACGCCGTTGCCTACGTCGTCTTCTCCTCGGTCGGCGGATCCGTACTCGGCCCTATCGTGGGCGGCTTCACCGAGGCTTACTTGCACTGGAGGTATGCAATCACACCATCCCATCTAAAATTAAGCTAACATAATTACAGGTGGTCCATCTGGGTCCAGCTCATCTTTGGAGTTGCAGTCCAGGCCCTTCACTTCTTTACCGTTCCTGAGACGCGCACCACCATCATGATGAACCGCATCGCCAAGCGCCGCAGAAAGGAGGGTAACCCTAACATTTGGGGTCCCGACGAGCTTGTCCCCTTCAAGGACCGCTTCTCCGTCAAGGAGGTCCTGTCCACTTGGGTCCGCCCATTCAAGATGTTCCTCACCGAACCCATCGTACTCGTGCTGTCGCTGCTCTCCGGCTTCTCCGATGCCCTCATTTTCATGTTCATCCAGTCCTTCGTCCTTGTGTATGGCCAGTGGAACTTTAGCACCGTCCAGGTTGGTCTCGCCTTCATCCCCATTGGTGTCGGCTATCTCCTCGCCTGGCTCCTCTTCATCCCCGCCATCAAGCGCAACATCAAGGAGCGCCAGGCCAAACCCAACGACGACCGGGCTCAGTACGAGTCCCGCCTCTGGTTCCTCTTGTACACTGCACCCTGTCTGCCGATTGGTCTCATTGGCTTCGCCTGGACCATTCAGGGCCCGCCCATACACTGGATTGGTTCCATGGTTTTCGCCGCCATCGTCGGTATCGCCAACTACGCCATTTACATGGCCACCATCGACTACATGATCTGCGCCTACGGACCCTACTCCGCCTCGGCGACCGGCGGCAACGGGTGGGCCCGTGACTTCCTTGCGGGTGTTCTCACCGTGCCCGCGACGCCCTTCTTCACAAACATCGGCGCCGAAAGCGGCAAAAACCTGGAGTATGCTTGCACGATTCTTTTCTGCATATCCTTCGTTCTTGTTGTTGCAGTCTATGTTATCTACTGGAAGGGCCCTGCCCTGCGCGCCCGTTCGCCCTTTGCACAGAAGCTGGCGAACGCGAGAGATGACGTTGGAGGCCGTCGTGTGAGCTATGCTCCTGGAGATAGACCAGCTAGTAAGTTGTTATCGGATACTGCCTTAACCGACCCAGTTGCTCACCATGTTCTTCTAGGTATTGCATCTGGCACTGACCAGCCCGATCGCCCCGTCTACCAACGATCGTACAGCCAGCAGTCCCGCTTCTTCGGCGAGAACCGTGTTACGCCCCGTGGTACCCCCAGAGGTACCCCCTCCGCCAGCAGAGCCAACAGCTTCATCGGCACAAGGCGCACGGTGGCAAAGTAATGTTTAGTATTACCTACTCAAAATTCGGCTCTTGGTTTGGGGAGCTGTCCTATCGCAATTTATTCCCCACCATCTTTGATACCCTACGCATTGTCGACATTACATAGACATAGTCGTAATACAGTCGTCGTCATAGTGCAATTCTTTTCGATCAATGTTGTGTGCGTGAAAACTATATAACCATCACCTTTTGTCATTCATTCTCCAGCATCCGGCAGCAACTTTGCTTTCAGATGGACGACATTTAGAGTCCACTTGCCCTTAGGCTAGTAAGATGTTATCGATATAGACCTTTGTCTCCAGGAGTTCAACTTTTTTAAGTCCTGCTCGGTTCTGATGAAGCCCTTAACTTCCAAGTTATCTGCCAACATACACAGCTCATCCTTGGCATTTTCTACGTAGGTGTCTGGTCACCTGCAGAATATGACCTTCTTTAAGATTGCTATACTGCCTCAAGTTACATTCTGGTGAGCCTCTGCGTATGGAAATGGGGGAGACGGCCACCCATTGCAGTTTGAAACAAGGCTCAAAGATCTGTAGATGAAGAACTCAAGGTACCGCAAAAGCTATGGGTAACTCCAGGGGCTTTCTTCGCCAGAGGCTTTGACATGAAGATTAGGAAGAGAGTCTACTGAATGTAATAAAAATGAAACGGACCTACTCTCGATGCAGCATGTTTGATGTGTGACCCGAAACTTGAAGATTTGACCCAAACTTCCGAAGAGAGTGACTTGGCAAACACATCCATATTGACAGCATGAAGGCCACATAGTCACATCCAGATAATTGTGATTATTTGAAGAACCAGGAATGAGTTGAAAATACATGCAGGACACTCACAACAACCGGACAATCGCATATCGCATTACGCTGTTCATATTGCTTGTGAGGGTATATTAGTTTATCGAAAGAATATCCGTGCAACCAAGTAATTGTGCTATGGTCAAGGGATTGCCTCCTTTAAAGGAGTTTCGAATTGATCCTTTTCCCCCAAACGAAGCATCGTGACCTCTATTTACATGAAGCGGCGTTCTTCCATGTTTGATACCCGCACTAAATAGCTATAAGTTGTCCTGACTTATATAATGTCGGTGTTCATTTCATTCCCAATGCATTTTCACCACTCTTGCGAGGCGCTCTACCCCAGAAGTGATCTGTTCTCTCTATTATATGCCCAAGTCAGTACTCTTCTTTGTCTCCACGTACAGACATAAGAGTCATCACTTACCGTGGGTGTAGCGAATGAAAAACGGAAGTGTGCAGTGCGTGGATCCGCACCACGGGCTTTGGTAGTCATCTTATCCGGTCCCTGCCAAGCATGATAGTATGAACCAGGGGTGAGAAGCACCAGTTCGGTTGCCCACGCATTCCACAGCTCACTTGCGAAGTCTTGCTCAGGATCCTTGCTTTTGCCGGTGGATTCAATCTCAAGGAAGCGCTGAACTCCGTCGAAATGGAATTTGCACCAGACAAACATGCCAGCTCTCGGGTCCAAAAAGCTAAACACAGGCTTGAGCTTTCCGTTACCTTGGTCTTTAACACATGCGACAACGCCCTGAGCCTGGGGTATCGGCGAATCCTCAGTGGATAACAGGGTGAAATTCGCAGCGAAAGCGTCAAGCAGCCAGTTGCGTCTTGTTCGGTACTGGAACTGCAAGCTTTGAAGCCAGGTGAGATATCCATCAATTCCCCATTTACGAAGAAGACCCAATGCGAAGGCCTGACTAAGACCGGCTGGATCCTGCGTCTCTACCTCGGTCGCTCGAAGGAGACGCTCGGTGAAGACCGCGTTGGCGACGAAGTATCCCAAACGTAGGCCGGGAAACAATGTTTTCGAGAACGACTCGAGACGGATTACACGACCTTGCGTATCCATAGAGAGGAAAGTGGGCACAAGGGTATCGAGAAACTCCGATACTGGCTTGGGCTCGAATGTTGTTTCAGTACAGGCACTATAGCCTGGATACTGTAAGAAGTAATAAGGGTCATCTTCGACGATAATGATGTCTGAAATCTGTCAGAGGCTCATTCGTAAATTTGATGCAGATTTTCGGGTCATACCAAACTCGACACAAATCTGGTAGATTTCTTTTCTCCTTTTTGTTGAGATTGTGCAACCCGTTGGGTTAGATCCTACAGACACGAGGTAGAGCCTATCGTTCGTCAGCCCAGAATCGCTGCTGAGTGGTAACATTCTGACCGGTGACTTACACTTTCGGCCGCCTAGCCCCTCTTCCCCGTTCATCCCAGTTTTGCAAGACGCTTTTAAGGTTCGTCGCCAGTATTCCCTCCGCATCCGCAGGCACTGGAACAGCCTTCACTCCAAGGGGAATCCACAGCGCTTGGGCTGAAGGGTAGGTGAATTCCTCTACAATCACGAAGTCGTTGTCTTCACAGAGCAATCCGACAACCTTGGCCCATGCATTGGTGTTACCCGGATGCAGTAGACATTCGTAATCGCATGGCGGTGCATGCACTTTTTCTGTCAGTTCTTTCGCGAGTTTAATCAGCTGGCCATTGCCAGCTCCAGAACCTAATGATTGTAAGTAACATGCCCATCGGCTGAGCCGGTCAACCGGAAGCACTTACCATACTGCAGAAATTGTGTCAAGTCCAGATCTCCGGGCGATGAGCCGCGTCCGAGTGTAAAGCTCAGCACATCTGTCTCCTGACCTAAGGGCGGTCCGTAGACAAGGAGGCTGTAGCAGGAAGACATTCAAACTCTGCCCGTTCAAGAGGAAACAGAGACGGATGAGGAAGCCCTATAACAGATTTAGCAACCAAATTAAGACATTCAGCGTTGTGACTTCTCTGATGTTACCTCCCGCGAAACTAATCATGCCATCGTAGCCCATGAACTTGATGATGTCTTTCAGAGGCGAAGGATGGCGAGCCCTGCTCTTGGCATTAATGTGGTGAGACAGGTCAACCATCCCAGGTGTACTACCAAGGCTTCCCATCTCTATGGACGTATTTTACTGAAAATAAAATAAAGGAATAATCCGGGAAATTCTATTAGTCCATTGGAATGGTGAAGCTACCGGTATTTACCGTGCGGCGTAGTCTTGGATAATGGAGGAAGAGGGCGTAGATACAAGAAGTAATTACAGCTTACCTTATACAAAGGAGCGAATTTTACCTAATCCAACCACAAATTTGTACAGGTGCCATTGTGCATAGGTCAACAGACGACTGCTCGGGCGGAGATCCGATTGAAGCTAAGGAAGTTGATTTATCAGGAAACGGCCCGCGGGAGATAAGACCAAGCAGTATCAGCTCCACTACGGAACGGATCTCGGACCATCTCGGAGGCCACTTCTGTAGCCGAAAGGCGACACAGGTGATTGCGAAGTGGCAGCTAACTAGGTGGTTCAAGTGCAATCGCCTCACCCAGCCGTTCATCTTGCTCTGGCTTCTTTGTTGCCTCCTTGGGCAATGCTTGTGGTGAGCAAGGTGAGCCGGGTTAGCAGGTACATGGATGAAGGGGCGTCTGTTATTGGCGTGTAAGCGCTAACCGCCAGCCGCTAAGCACAAGATAGTACGTATGTACTCTAAACGCTAGGATTTGATTTGCTGCTTATGCTGGTGTTACTTGCTTGAAGAATAGCATGAGTAACAACAGAAAACAGAACTCACATTCTTAAAGGCAGGTATTGTTGAAGTACGCCTTCCAAGAATTCTGACTTGGTTAAACAGAACGGTGGTGACTAAGTGTATGGTCGCCACGATGAGAATCTGTCTGAAAAGATAGTAAGACGTCGACGCTGATGTGAAAGTATTCACGCGCAATCGCCTGCTTTGAACGGCATCTTAGAAATACTACACCAAGGGTGACTTGAAATATGCGCTAGATTGCATTACGAGCATGGGATTCACATCTGTAATAACCTCCGATTTGCTATAGCTCTGTCGACCTCTGCCAGGAGTCAGCCCCCAAGAAATCCAAAACAACCCCAAAGTGCTACACCCGAGAGTCAGTTAGAAGAGGGGAAATCCAATTTGAAATACAACATAAATACTATGATAGGTTATTTCGGCAATGAGTAGATCATCCAGCTGTACTGTTTGGTGGGGTAAAGCAGTGCCGTCGTATACTAGTCGCAATTCCGTGAAAATGCCGAGGACTCACAAGTCCAAAAGCGTTCATAGAATATAATGTTTCTTACTCTCCCTGATGCTCAGCATTGTAATCTATAACACTTTCGTCTTCCAAAAACTGTACCAACCACTAAGGAGTGATACAAAATATATCTTGAATGCCCAAGAGCCGATCGTAGTCATTGGGAGCGCCTGCCGTTTCCCGGGTGGCCTCAACACAACTTCAAAGTTTTGCGAATTCTTGCGGCGACCAAGTGACTTGCAGAGCGAAGTACCCGTAGAGCGCTTCGATATTGATCAATTCTACGATCCGGATGGGTCATTACATGGTTGTACAAACCCACATCATGGATATTTCCTATTTCAGGAGAAGCCGCTGCCAGCGTTCGACGCGCGAATCCTCAACATTTAAGCTGCATAAGCCTAGAGCATAGACCCACACCAATGACTTCTGACGGAAACCACCTACGACGCTCTTTCGACAGCCGGTCTGAAGATGGAAGATCCTAGGGGCTTAGAAACGGCCGTCTATGTCGGAATCATGGCCCACGATTTCGAGTTCTTAGGGGCTCAGGATATAGTTTACATCACATCCCAACGTACTTTGCGATCGGGCGGCTACTAGGATTGCAACCATTCGTCTTTCCTACTACTCTGATTGGCACAGCCCAGGCGTATGTAGATCTCCCAGTGTATATCCAGGAACTCTACTAAGCATCACTGTAGACGAAAACTGACATGGCTTGTAGTTAGTCGCTTGTTGATGTTAATAATGCTGTACAACAGTTGCGAAAGGGAGGCAGCAGACTCGCGGTGGCTGCCGGTGCAAATCTGATTTTAAGTCACGAGCTAGAGCGCACAGCAGAGCACACGAGAAAAGGGGTAAAAGGTGCTTGATTCTAGGAAATGTTGAAGAGCCGTATAGAGCCTATATATGTACTCATTCCATGAGCTGAAACGCATAAGAAAGGGCACGTGACAAGGCTGTTGCTGGAAGCTGTGTAGGTGAGGCATGTGAGGCGGCGGAGAGCCTCCTGAAAGTGAGGTTCTCGTGAAATTTTATCACCATTTAAGGGCTCGCGACGAAATTATCATTACTAATGATTAAGGACGCAATGCAAACGATGACACGGGCACTAGCGATTCACATTACGGCAAGCAAACTGAAATTGCTATCGCCCACAAGCAGATCGTAATGTAGGATGCTACAGCAGACGGCTACGCGCGGCGTGTAAGTAGCTATCAATAACTGCAAACGGTAATACTATAATATCCTTCGAAACGAGCGAAACTAGGGATATTACTTTCCTAACGGATAACTACACACTGAAAAGAGTCGCTATAGTTGTTTTGTAGACGCTTAGCTAAGCGCTGAGTGATGTTGACGAAATTGAATGCGTTATCCGTGAAACTACCGTGAATCAGGATGGCAAAACGCCCGGCATCACTGTGCCAAGCGCATCAGCACAAGCTATATTGATTCAGGATACATATGCGAGGGAAGGCCTTGGTACATCAAAGCCTTGGGATTGACCTCAGCGTTTCGAAGCCTACGGTAAGCTTCAATCCTTACTGCTAGGCCTAAGGAAGTGAATGTCGACTTTGGCTTAGACGTTTGTGCCTCGCGCACACAGACCGCTCGTTCGTCTCGTCTCAATTATGTGACTTTTTCCATTAAGATTCTCAGTCTGGAATCAGCAAGATTGCGATAGCCCGTTGTATAATGCTCAACAATAAATAGATGCAGTTCCTAAGCAAGCAGTCCGAGAAGATTAACGGCATTTACATATAAAGGAAAGGGCAGACCCTCTGAGGTATTGTCCCATTCGCATTTACCACTTGCTTCCTTGAAATATTCATATTCATACATTCCAAACCCTTACCAAAGCAAAAATGCAGTTTCCTATCTCCGCTCTTATCGCCAGCGTTGTGATCGCTACAGCCTCCGCCCAGAACGGCAACTATATCCACTCGCCGTCGACCGATCTTTCCTACTGCGTACAGGGGGATGATGTCTTCTGTGGTGGCATCGAACCAGTTTGCCCTGATGGCCAGACTGCTACTTATGACGCCACGGTCAATCAGGCCAACGTGGATGCATGCAAGGGTATTGAGGTGAATGGTATCGCTGGCTACTGCACACAGACTGTACTTTGCGTGCCGTCCTGATAGGCAGTCCCAACTAGGTGGTTTTTTTATTGAGGTATTCTGTTTTTAGCAGTCAGCGAGATTGCAATGGTCTGTTAGTTCTCAGCAGTTGGCAAGCAGATCGATTAGAACTTCAGCGTCTCTATATAGAGAGAGAGGAAAAAGTAAACCCTCTGACATTTGTCAGATTCTCATCTATTACTCAGCCACAACGAGGGGCACATTCCACTTCACCTTGCCGCTGGCCAACTGGGAAGTTAGACTTCCCATCTTCATTACCAACAACCATCAATTATCACCACTTTTGACGTGATCTTTGCTATCACTCGTACGAAGGGGAATAAGAAGGTGGGATTGCGTAGAGAAAAAGATTCCTGTTGTGTAACCCCGTCCGAATGGCGAGCGGTGGGCTGGGCTGGCTGTTCTTGACAACTGTCAACCAGCTGCCCACTGACATTACAATAACTCTTAATTCAAGTTGCGTGCTGATGGTGGTGAGGTGGCCAAGTTCTACATCACTTATACGGCATCCGAAGCCGGAGATGTATATGAGTGAAGCAGATGGGAGTTCTAACGTTTCCGTGTAGCAGAGATTCCCCTTAGACTTTCTGCCCTTAGTATTAATCCGCTAGTACTTGTACTTGAAATGAATGTTTTCCCTATCAGTCATATCGGCCTCCGCGTTTAATTTTCCAAGACGTTCGCTTTCTTCGTCTGAAATGCCCTGTTGTCGAATGATTTTGGCGCGTCTTCTGTTTTCCCAGATGTCTAGAACGCATTGTCAGCGTGTTCTCACGCGAGAATAATACATTGGTACACTTACAGTAGAACCGCCATGTAGCCATGCTGCAGAACTCGACGCAGTAAAGAACAGCACATGCAGTAAGACCGCGAATGTATTTTGGTGCATCAGAAGCCACGAACATCTGGGCTCCAACCGCGTTTCCGACACAGTAGGCAACAAAAAGCACTGTAGCCGTAACGGTTTTCTTCGTTCTTCCTGCCACGTTCGATGGTAAAAAGGTCCATATCACTGTTTAATCGTTAGCTTCAGTCGTGCGTGTATATCACAGCACCCAGTGACGGCTTACTTAGTCCTGGCAAAGATCCAAACACTTGCATAATGTACATGCCCCATCTGGTCCACTTCATGCTATCTGTTGGGAGAAAGGCAAGAGCCATCATCCCACTAAATGCGGGAATGAGAGAGAACATCATCATCAGGACTACGTCGACGGCTGATTAGCTAACTAAACATCAATAATTCCGAAGATCTTACACGCTGGACTTACATCTGAGGTTCGGTTTCTTCAGCGTGACAAAGCCAACAATCAAGAACCAAACAATGCTGACGCAGTAGTATGGAGTAGAACCCTTTAACAGTGTTTCTAATGGTGTAAACCCGAACGAAGTCCATATCAACTTGGAAAATGTCGTGTTCGCACCGTTAGGCAACGCATTGATGATGGTGACGAAGAAGAAGAAGTAGGTCTGTGGGTCTTTTGAACATGGGTGTCAGTTACTGACGTCCTCCGTACAATTGCTTGAATGCTTACCCTTGAACGTTGCCCAAACCTGCTCCCACTTGAACTCTGATCTCTTCTGATTATCTGATCCTGTCTGGTTTGCAATAACGCGGGCTATTGCGGCCTTCTTTTCGGCTTCGTTGAGCCAGCGTACCTCGCGAGGTGTGCCAAGTATGAACCAGACCAAGATGCCGCAGGCTATTGTAAGACCGCCAAGAAAGAACGATATCCCTTTCCACTGATAGCACGTGATTAGCTGATGCTCGCAAGTTTATGGATGATGCTTGATGCTTGGCTTACAGCTGCTAGGCCGTTCGGGTCTTTCTGGGCGTGCAATCCAATTCCATACATGCAAAGACCGGTGATGATGTTCATCCCAGCGTTGGATGTCCCCCATATCAAAGACCGCAGAGTATGTTCTTGAGATGTGTACCATGCACCCGTGATGAGCATGAAGGTAGGCGAGATCGTGCACTCGAGGGCGCCCTGAAGCGTGCGGAGAATCATGAGGTGCGTAAAGTTCTTTGCGAAAGCAATGCATAAAACAACTACACCCCATAGAACCATAACAGCCGATAGAAACTTGCCAGTATGGGCTTTTTGCATCAGCCAGTTGCCCGGGAACTCGCAGATGAGATAGGATAGGTAGAAGATTGTGCTCAGCCAGTTGTACTGGTCTCCAACAAGCCCGGTATCTTCCCTGATGCCGAAGACTGCTTGAGTACTGAGGGCTGTCTTATCGGCTTGTTGCGTGCCATAGCACACCCACATAAGCGGAAGAAGCCATAAATCGATCTTGAAGCGGAGTTTTCGAAAGTAAGAGTCGGAATACTCGGTTACATCTTGGATTGAACCCTCGAGAACGTCGTCTGGCTTGCCGGTCTCGTCTACATCTGACCCTCTTTTTACGTCGATTGAGGACGCCATACTGAAATCTGGAATAGGGACTCAGGTCTCGCCGTCTGATGAGAGAAATGACTGGCAAAAATATCAACAGTCGACTTTTATTTTCACTACGTAATCCAAAAGGTAACCCCGCTGTGTAGGGAAGAGAAGGTTTATACACATGACTATTGCTAAGCAACCTCAATAGCGAGGCTCCTTGTCTCCTTATCAATGGCAACCATTGTTGAGTGATCAAGCTCACAGGCAGCCCATGAACTTCGGTCGGATCTCCTCCGATCGTTTATCAGTACTGCCTGCACGCGATACCGGAGATAACTGTACAGGGGATGGCCTAATCCGCTGCAATGATTCGTTGATAAGATCACTGTGCAGGGAGTTAGCTATCTGCACTAAGACGATCATTCTCCCCTTGGGACCCTATCGCGGCCCGTGACCCGGCCGAGCTTACCTCACCTCAGGTCATGTCTTCGGTATCCAATTAGCAGCAATAAGGAAGACTGACATAGATATGGCCAACTTCTAAAGAGTTCCTAGCACTCTCTTACATCCAACCTCGGTGATATCCACCAAGATCTAGTTTACAGTTGAGCCACATTGTTTGGTCGAATGCTGTGAAACTGGCAGATCAACCTCTAGTTCTACGACCGTGCAGTGACAGCAGAACGCCATTCAAGCACCGCCATGGCGAACCAGATCAGATCTCCAGTTGTAGACGACACAGGAAAATCAAGATTACGCGATTCTTTGGAGCGTGCCAACAGGGGCGAAGGGCCTAGTGTCGGCCAATGGCTTGAGTTCCCCGGATATTCTCTGGCTAAAACGATGGCGCCGTTAGGTGAAGATGTAAGTCGAAGGCAACACCAAGAAAACAGTAATGTAGCGCTAAATTAGTGGATTATAGTGGGTTCTAATAGATACAGAACACGGCAACATCGACGACAGTCAGATGTATCTTCAAGTTGGGGCAATTTCAACATCAGGGGTGTCACCTATTGTACGAATCCCTGCATCAGAGCACTGGATGATGAAAAGAGCTTTAGACTGTGGAGCACATGCAATCATGGTGCCGATGTGTGAGACTAAGGTATACTGCACTCATTGTTTATTTTCATAGATAACAACCCCTACACACAGAACTACATTTGTTTATGAAGAACGATGCTGACAGTCTTTTTAGGAGCAAGCTGAAGCTATTGTTTGTGCCTGCAAATACCCTTCCTCCCGGTGGCCACAAGGATTACGAGGCGCAGGGGCTATGTATGCCCCTGCTGCTTTCAACCAAACTGGAAGAGAGTATCTACTCAGTGCCAATGATAACGTAATGGTTTGTGTCCAAATTGAAAGTCGAAAAGCTGTCGAGAACGTCGAAGAAATCGCAGCAGTGGATGGTATTGATATGTTATTCATCGGACCTAACGACTTGGCTTCGTCCATGGGATATGTCGCTTTTGATCATGCCTCGATACCAGATGTCCAAAAAGCTTCGGCCCGTGTATTAAAAGCTGGCCTTGATGCTGGGAAATATGTTGGACACTTTGCGCTCAGCGCAGATGCTGCCGCGGCGAAGTACCAACAAGGCTTTCACTTTGTCAATTGTGGTGCTGATATTGTTGCTATCACAAACTGGATGTCTTCCGAGATGGAAAAATTGAAAAGACTTGTGGAGCCTGGAAAGAAGAAGACTACGAACAAGCTAGGACATGAAACAAATGGGAAGTACGAGGCGGGCTGTTCTGAAGACGTACCGAATATCGAAAGCCACATCGGATACAACTGAAAGATTAGTTTTCAAATCTTGTGATATAATATGAGCCTCAGATAACTTACTTTGAAGAAACTTTTTCTCTGAACGGGGTTAACCATACTTCTTTCCAATTTCTCACAACTACTCACTTTCAAAGACTGGCCGCCAAATGTCTTGGAACAGTGCATACAAGACCACGTGTGACTTTAGCATTTTGAATGTAACCATGCTTACTCTGCCCGAGATTTTACTCATTCTAAGTTAGGGTTAACTATCATTTTGGGTACATGTAGTTTCGACACCCGGCAGCAAGCCAAAGGTCTCCCATATCCTACTAGACCAAAGTTTTCATCATCGACACGAAAGCATGTGGTCCTGACTTAATACCGCTACTAAACTGGCGATAAAACCCCACGTAACCTAGTGCTAGACCACGAACCAAACATCATCATTCAGTTTGATGCAAATACAAAGTATTAAACAGGACCGAGATCCGCATTGAGTCCGGATTCTCTTGCATTCAATATGGCGTCAATACGCTTCAAACACTCAGACAAAGAATACCAATAATACAATGGATAAATGCGGGCTCTATAAGCAAATACCGCTGCGTAGCTGTGTGGACTTGAGAGACTGTGGGCAGGACCCTATATATGCTACTTGAAGTCAATGCTTCTCTTCGGAGCATCCAAAACAGTTATATATGCGGAATGCACCATAAAATAGAAGGCTGGAGCATTTATACTTCAATCTGTCACGGTCAAAGTCGCTTAAAGAGCGGCTCTCAGCTTTCGCCAAACAGTAGCAACAATGTGGGGGTTCTGTTTGCCATCGTCACAAACGTCCTCCAAGAGTCTGAAATGAACTTTTGCGACGTGTTCATAGCGACTGGGACCTTCTTGGCTTCCTGATAAATGCCAATAACGAAGTTTGCGAGATGAAAAACGACCGTCCTATTCGGTCTTGAAAAGTCACGTCTTTTAACCTTTGTGGCAGTGTACGGCGCTGAAATCGGCGTCTTCATGTTTCTGAGACCGGTTTATATGCTAAGGGTGATGTTTCCCCCGCAAGTTCAATTACAAAGTTTCGTTTCAGAAAACCAATTAGTCAAATACAAGATTTTGATATAACTAAGCCATCGAAGTTGGATGTTCCGTCTAAGGGATGCGTTCGATTGGAACTACAGACATTTGATCCGCACTAGAAACTCATATGGCGTTATGCCGCTGTTTCCAATCAAAGACAACCTAGCTGAATGTGATGGAAACGTCAGCATTATGAGACTAGCTCAATAGTCGGACTGGCTGACAGTAACCACACGGCATAACAAAGACTGATAATTACTTCGTAGTATACGAAACATAATCAAATTACAGATCTCTGATCGATAATAAAATGTTTATGGTGAAGTATACGAAACCGTCTATGTAGCGATATATTTATGATCATCTAGCCCAAGAAGGGAATAGGACAGGATCCAATTGATTGGAATCAAAACTCTCTGATAGTGGCCAGTTACCGAAAAAATGGTGGCTGTTTTCGGTCGCTGAAGAAATCGCATTGTCAAAGTCGGCGAATGGTCTCTTGCGAACTCTCGAACTACCCGGTGGCGATCTGCTATCCGTATCGCCGTTGCTTCCACTAGGGACGCTAATAATCTCAGTGCGGCGATGAAGTAGCAGCTGTTCGATGATCGCTCTGCTCCTGCTAGCACCTGACCATCGGGGCTCGAGATCTTTGAGAGAAGCAGCACATTTCTCGACATCCCGCAGAATCTCGCTAGTAGTAAGATCGAGAGGTATTCGCAGTCTATGATTGTAGTTAGTTATACTTTCCGCAAATAGTTCCGAGGAACACGAGCTCTATAGTCTTACAGCACAATGCCCGAAAGTGTGAGATAGTGAATACATAGAGCAAAATGATGTGAGGATGGTACTAAGTCTCGAACCAAATCAGCAGCATAAATGCAACCCTGAGCAGCATTTATGCATTGAGAAATGGCCCCTGAAGTATCAATCTCATTTTTGAGAGCATTCTCTTTGGGATAATTCAAGAAGAATCTGCCATCCTGTCAATGCATGTTCATGGACAATAGATAGAGAATAACATACCGGTAAAGGTTTATGAGTGATCCTGCATGGAGGAAGAATATTATGACGCAATTGACCATAGAAATGTCTCCTTGGCCTTTGTCCATCCTGTTAGCAGAAAACTGTATATCGCCGGGCAAACTCTCCAGCCACTTTCGGAGCACCTGATCATAGGTATCGACTCGAGTTAAGAACCTCTGAGTTTTGTCTGCATTCGCGGATGCAAGCTTTCGCAGTTGCAAAGGGGAACTGAACTGTTGTATCTTGCCGGAAAGTCGGCAGAGTCGAGCAAAGGCTAGGAAACCGCTCATTGGACTCGATAGACCTCTTGCCCCGACAGGGATCTTCTCCTGGTTGTGACTGTAAGATCCTAAATCTTCATCTCGCATATCTAAAGGTAGTTCACAGTCGCAGTCTTCATCTTGAACCGCCATTGGTCGGCCGAGACATATTGACGTGACCCTAAGTGAGATACAATTTAGCTTCAGGATAACTGATAGTTACTTAGAAGCATACCTGTCAAGAGTGTAAACACACCACCATACACGACTGGACATTTGCGATTTTAAAAACTCGGCAGTGCTTCCGTTTGGTAACTTGAGAGTGAATCTCGTGATCTGTTATCAATTTAGCCTGGAAACTGGGAACCCATAACTGGAATCAATTAGTGTAGATACCGAATGACTACTAAGATGTAGACCTAAATCTAAAGCTGCTCTCACGGCTTGACCCGCAAGATTCCAGCTCTGAGACAGAGTATTCCAGCCAGCCGAGCACATAGCCAAGAGTGAGAGACATTGGACTTTTTCGAGAGATGCCTCTCCGGTTGCTGCATAGCAGAGGAGAAGAGCTTTTTGGTAGTAGTCGATTCCCGGTAGTCCGGCCTCAGAATCACTAGGTAGAAGTCCAGATGAGCACGCACACACTGCAAAGAATGTCATCAGAAATCTTCTATGCTTTGGTGTAGAACAGTCTGATGTGATTTTGAGCATCTTCTGATACCGACGCATGAAGTGAGGCTTGAAGAGCACCGGAAAAGTGTAGTGAAGCTTTTCAAAATACAGACCGACTAGTAAGTCTGAGACATATTGTGGCGGGCGAGAAAGGTTTTCGGGTTTAGGAAGGTATGGCAACTCAGGCCAAGTCTTTCCATGGACAAAAAGAGGAGCCTCAAGGTTTTCGAGACTTGGCGTGCTGTGGCTGGCTCCAGCTGTTGAGGATGGAGTTTGGATAGGGGCAGTCGGCAAAAGACTCTTCGCAGCTTCCATGAGCACGTTATTTGTAGCTCCTCCGACGAATCTGTAATGATAGGAACATGTGAGTTGGTGCAAAGCCTGTGTATACTGAACCAATGCTCACCGCAGACGTTCGTAAGAATCTAACACAAGAGCACCTGCTCTGTCATCTCCTCCGGTCTCAGCTTCTGGTTGAAGGTGTATATCACTGTTTAATTCGATGTCGGAATCTTGGCTTTCGGATGTCGAGGATTCTAGCTCGTCATCCGCTTCTAGAGGAGCCTCCATTGGAGCCTCCATTGACAGGGACCCTCTTGCAATGACAGACGACTGTGCATCAACATCTTTATCCTTTGCGTTTGCACGTCTTCGAGTTTGATCGAAGTTGTTGCTAGGGTCTGGTGGGGACCCCAAGAACTGCGCTGTTCTATGTAGCTTTTCTGTCTGACTCTCTTGTAGACCACCAGGCCGGCAATGACTAAGGATGCCTATGGACTCCGACAACTGCCCAGTAAGGATCTCTAGGCGCTGGCATAAAGTGTCCATTTGTTGGCATCGCGCCTCAAAGGACGTGGTATAGCTTTATATGATGAGTGCTCCATGTCAAACAGTCTAGAAATTGGCAAGATCACTTACTACCGGCTTGCTGAGGCATTATCATTCGCCACGGGGAAATCGCAGGCCTGGCTACGTGAATTACAGTTGTGGCAGGGTTGCTTGCCATCGCATTTGATCTGAGTAGTCACAGTCAGTTCTGAGCCGCAGCACTTAGGCCTCGATCTTGATAAGAAACCTTTTTGCGCCGACATGCGACGCACGCTTTCCAAACTCGATTGCCTGCAACATCCGGAGCAAGTGGGACGGCCGGAGCAGCATCGGTGATGGAGCCGCAGTTAGACATTAAGATGATCGTGACAAGCCTGGAATCTACGCATCAAAATGCTTTAAGCCTTTTCGCCAAGCATGAACTGGATGTTTCGCTTCACAATAATGACAAAGTTGTAGATTTGATAGAGTCGGCAAGATGTCGGAGACGATAGATATGGATCGAGATACCTTATCTCCAATCTTTGTCAACGAGAATGCCCCATATTTCCTTATCTATGGAAGTTAGCAACGATCCGATACCAAAAAAGGGCATTGGCTGCTTATCATCTAGCTACTCTCAACATCGAATAGCGACTATTGCGAATGAGCTTGCATCACTAGCTAATTCAAGCCTTTAAACTGCCCCGAATCAACAGGATGTTAGGCACTTAATGGACACTTGGCATGCGGCTCTGACCTACGAATGTTGATATGGGCAAGTAAGTTTGGGGAAAAGAAGATGAGTTTGCGAGCGCACCACAATGTACGTTTTTAGCCTTTGGTAAAGGTTCGATTAGTGTACTGTACCTCTGATCATTTAATTCAACATCTCGGGCTGCTGCAACACTAGCTTTGAATTGCTAGAACAGTTGCAAAAGCGTGCTAAGATTGTGGATAGAGAAAAGATTAGAGAGCAAAGACTTGACGCTTGATGGCGATAAAGCCAGTACGGAGCCGGCTGCAAAAGACTAGGCTCAGGAGATCATGAATATGATGCACACAAGTTGTCGTTAACGTCGAGGGTCGTGGAGCGAAATCTCTCCAGCCCATGTTGTTGTTGAGAAGCGCCCGTCAGATTTCTCGTTACAATATCTAAAGTACAATGGGCATCTCGGCTCCGAAACAGTGTGACCTACGTGTACAAACCCAGAAACTCCAAACACGAGTTGCCACGTAATGTAATACATTTTTTTTGGAAATACATGTCCCATCAAGCGCCAGTGGGCTCACAAGAAGATCTACAAGTGACCCGATTTTACCCACCACGATTGTCATGCGGTCTTCTACAATTGGAAAGCGGTCGATTATGTCTAGATCGGTACTCCGCACTGCCTTATAGTGACGCCTGCTGGCCATCAATCAGAGAGATAGGACGTAGCCGATCAAAGCATAGCAACTCATGGTAAGGCTTTTTTTACCTGACAAACACATAGCTTTGTTACTTGTGGCCGGGTAGCGATGACATCTCGACCTCATAGGTCGTCTGCCTTCGAATACCACGAATTGGTACGGTGCTCTCTTTGTCTGACACGTTGTCCTCGTCAAGGCGAGTCCAGTCGCCCTGTTCGGCCTCATCGATCTCAAAGTTCGACTTAAGACCCTTGCGGGACTTGGTCTTAGACGTCCCTCCCGAGCCCCCTATGGTAACAAGCCCAGCTGATACTGGATGAAGTCCGCTGGAGCCGTCCGTACCGCGTGCTGTAACTCGTGTTGAGCCGTTACCCAAGAAGAATTGACGCAGGGCAGGGAGAGATCCGGCAACGAGACCAACGGCGGTCTCGACATTTGACCAAAGTGGTATATTTGCGATGTGGACTGTGAACCGAATTAAGTCAGTGAGTGAATCCACAGAAGAGGTGCGGGTAATCAAGGCTTTGAACATACAGGCAAGGTCATCGGTAGGACGATTGTAGTTATCAATGTAGGGAGTTCGAATCATGGTGCAAACTGAAGCACTTTAGAACCAAAGGGGTTAGCTGACGTGCTCATCCAAGGTTGAATGTTACAACAGAGACATCTGAGGGGTGCAACTTACAAAGAACCAAAAGAGAGGACAGTGGAGACCATGATCTTCGTCGAGAGCTTCATCTGCGTCTGCCAGAGAATGATTGCTGGAAGAACGGCACAGGCGAGATCGGTGGCGATGGTGGTCGAAGTCGACGTGTACGACAAGGCTAGCATGGAGGTGACTGGAGAGCACTCGCCACGGCCTTCCGCTACGATACTTGCATCCCAGTTGGCCGCAACAGGGCGGCACAGAAGCAGGATGCCAATGAAGGTTGTGATGAACGAGGCGATTGTCATCCCCAACAGAACGTAGACGGCGATGCGCAGCTTGGGCATGGTCGTGGCGATCCGTAATGTAGTGATGCAGATTGCTGCTTTGACCAAGCATAACGCTATTACATATAGCAACATCCAGAGCATCAAGTACTTTATCGACTCAACCATCATTGTGGCGCTGAGGTCCGCATTGCGCGTGCCCAGGCCACTCTTGGCACCAATGCAGGCAAGGACGACATCCACCAGGTAGACGACCTAAAGTTAGGTGTCAGTCAATACTAGAGACGGTGGTATGACGCTCACGAACTATCAGAGTGCGAGCGTGTTAGATTCTGCTTACCAGACCGCCCAGCATCAATCCATCGTCTAGGCTGAAATTCCTTGCTTGAAATCGGTGGAACGACCTTAAGCCTACCACAAGCAACGACATTATGCCGCCAACAATGGACACGACAAACAAACTCAGGCCTGTGCCCTCAAGCGAGTTGACAAAACGCTGGTTGGGGTCCATAGTCGACATGTTGTTTTGCCAGTTTGCATAACCTGCTGCTTTTGGCTGAGTAAATCGGGTTGCGCTAGAAAATACAGAAAAGAATGACTGAAAGTGAAATGATTACAGAGCAATCGCTGGATAAAGAAAGGGCAACGGCTGTATATCAATCAACACTTTACACAAGCGAGTAAGTGTTGACGACAGTTGCCAGGACATGCCCTTTTCTCGAACGATATTCTAATACGTGAAATGGCAACGTGCTGACTTTTCCTAAAGAGTGAGCTACCAACCAGCATCTGCATATCTACTGTTCATCGCTAAAATCATACACTGACTGACTCGAGGATGGCAGGCTGGCCCACCTAAGTCCCGAAAGGATCCCTGGAGAATCCCTGAAGAATCATTGAATACCCCCTACCCACAAGGTCTCAGGATTTGTTGGTTGGTCGTTGCAGAGTAGTATTTTGGCACTATCGGTGGACACTGAGAACTTGAGGCAATTCTTTGTGGAATGACCAGGAGGCGAGGGTTTGACCCTTTTTCTCAAACTTGCAGGTCTGAGTATCGGACATAGTATCCCAACTTTTTACTTCCTTACCTTTCGGCCCTCTCGTGTGTCGCTTATGGATATGACTCGAAATGTTATGGGGTAAGCAAGGTAGATGGACTCTGACCAGCTCGACGGGCCAGCTCCATCGATGGAACGAACCAAAGGTTTTTATACTACACGGTGTGACAATTTCTCTTTTTGGCACTACTCGACATGGGGTTGAGCCTCACGTCGGGAAATCACTCTCTAAGGGGTTTAGGGCCGTTGCTGGAGACCCGGAAATGGGGAGACAGGGCACAGGTTAGCAAGCAAGACGTTTGAGCTGTCATATTGTGTCCGTCCTTAATAACCATGTCTCCCTCCGGAACCTGTGGTACTGGACGGTAGTCACACTTTGCATGCCATTTTAATTGCAGATCGCCACTGTATTATTCACAGCACAAACACCACATTACATTCTCTTTCGTGTTCTTTTCCCGACATCATGGCTGCCTCAGACATTACCGTTCCCATCACGCAGGCCCCTCCGTACAGGGTACACGAGGGCAAGACGGCCGTCATTACAGGCGGCGCAAGGAGTGAGCTCTCTTTATTTTGATCTTGGTCGGAGCATTCTGCTAACAGATTACCAAGGTATCGGTGCTGCCATAGCCCAGAACCTCGCCTCCAAGGGCGCTAATGTTGTCATCATCTACTTGACCGAGGCCTCTGATGCGCCTGCCGCCGCTCTCGCCGCCCAGCTGTCCAAGGCACACAATGTCAAGGCAGTTCCCGTGCGAGCCGATTTCAGCACGCCCGATGGTTGCGCTAAGATTGTCTCTGCGGTGAAGAACGATTTGCCGCCAAACGCCAAGACAGGAAAGCCTCAGGTCGATATCCTTGTCAATTGCGCGGCTCTCTTCCATGCCATGCCTCTCGAGGCCGTCAACGTGGAAGACTTCCACAAGGTCTACTCCATCAATGTCCTGGGTCCCATCCTCCTCACCCAGGCCGTCAAGCCGCTTCTGCCCACTGATCGTTCGGGCCGCATCGTCAATGTGTCAAGTGTCGGTTCCAAGGTTGGTCTCGAGTACCTAACGCTGTACGGCGGCAGCAAGGGCGCGCTCGAGGCCATGACACGCACTTGGGCCCGCGAGCTTAAGGAGCACTGCACCGTCAACTCTTGCAACCCCAGTTCCACCATGACGGACATGCTCCGCGCCGCTCCCGAGGAAGCCAAGAAGGCCATCTCAAGTTGGTACCCGCTAACACCGCTGTGCGGGATTCGCGAGTGGGATACGGATGAGCAGAAGGAAATGGCCGAGAAGTACGGCGGCCGCGCTGGATATGCTGAGGAAATCGCAGGGATTGTCGGTATGATCTGCTCGCCAGAGAGCGGGTGGATGACGGGATGCCTGGTTAGTGCTAATGGAGGACAGTGGATGGCCAGCTAGATGTTTTGTTCCATGTGATGACAGCGTGAATTCAAGACTATCAACCAAGTGAATGCGACACATGCCAATCAAAGAGTTTTAATCTATTGCCAGCAACCACGAACGGCACTTTATCTTATGGTAGATCTTACAAATTAATTGGTTGTCGCTTACTTCTTTACATGCATGTGAGCCCGGTCTGAATCCACCTGCGCTAAGAAACTATCAGTTTCAGGCTTCTGCGCCCATACAATATTCTGCATATTCTGCATGTTATACAGTAGGCATTTGGTAAACGAGAAGTGTATTCTCATCGACAAAGGTGTCTTACCGTGGAACTGAACGGAGCACGGCCTCGAGACTGTCGATCCTGCCCCAAGGGTACGCGGGCTCAGCAGGTCTGCTGGTAACGCGCGTCCCGATCCTCGATGCTGCCGAACCAGTCAGAGTATGTGCACGGCCTTGAGGGGGTTCTCCGCAAAGGACCCAATGCAAAGGGAGGGCCAGTGTTGCACTTCTTCGACAACACACTTTGAGCTAGTACATATCGGGAGGGCGGTGGGAACCGGCATCGTACTCGCTCGTTACTCGCAATGCCGGCTCCTGTTCCGCTCGCTTAGCACTTCCAGCGTAGACGAAATGACGGTACAGGTCAGATGGGGGCCGCCCCACGTATTACAGTGGGTCTAATCGTCGAGACAAGTCGAGACCACAGAATAAGGCGGTCTACATAATAACAGCGATTGATGGGGCGGCAGGTTGTTCCACTTCCCGGTCACAGTGGTGTCAAAGAAATTCTTTTCGCTGTGAGGAGTTAGTGTGAGTGTCAAATCATAACGAAGGGGTGTGATCGCCTTTATACACGTAGAAGCAGGAAGACGAGTCCGGCGAACAAAATGATAATCATCGTTTTAACCTTAACTTGCATTAATAAGCCGTAGACTACAGCAATATAAGAAACTTTGTGTTCTGATAATGGAGGTGTAAGACAATGAGAATCGAAGGTTTTAACTCTACTAGGTCAGATTTGTGAGGGTCGGATTAGTAGCTGGGTTGGTGTTGATCGACAAGTACTTAATGCTATTTGTCTTTCTAGGTAGCGGTTTGTTTCAATCACAATATCCTTTGGGTGAATGGCAGTGCCACTATGCTTACATGATGCTAGAGGAAAGGCACATGATCCACGCCGCAGGGTTCTTGTCCGGCATCGTCTACTTACTCGCAAGCACTGAGGAGAGGTAGATACAAATCAGTATAGGAATTACAGTTGACCTAGATGTTCATAAAAAAGTCTGTCAGCATCTGACGGCTGTGTGGTCTGATCTGCGTCTATTCCGCCCAGTCCAATGATTTACGGCCTGTTATCTTGAGCAGCTAACTAAAATATGGTGGTCGTCATTATGCATCGCAAGATTTGCACATTACTGATTCATAATTTCCCCTGGAGTTTCAGTCTCACACATCCCTGATTTATCAAGCATTGGATAGAGCCTATTGTCACGAATACGCTGTTAGTGTTTTCGCAAGTATTAAACTGATCATTCTTCAATCTCTACTTAGACATTTGCTTCACATGGGTTACACTGCCGCTTATCTCATGATTTGCAGTGATCAAAGAAAAGAGCCTAAAACCAGAAGTTTTATCTTGATGAGCCCCTGACCAGTGTTTCGACGCTCTGCTTTTTGTGTCAACCAGAATACCTTGACAAGATTAAGCTATGCGAATAGAGAAATATGTAGATTTTGTTAAATATCGCCACAATCGCAATCTCTTAACCAACCATGCCACTGGCGGAATATTTAAAATGCCGGCCTCCTTTATTATGTCTAGGTCGAAAACATCCTTGTGTTTAGCCATACTTCATAGTGGTTTCTTTGAAGAACAGACTTTACAAAGAAAACAGCCCGCATCAGCGAGTTGTCTTAAAAAAACAAGCGACGCGAATCTAGCGCACAAGGCTTTCTTCCCTGCGTCCATATTGCACCTCAACTGCTTGAGCTTCCTGTTCCTCAGGTATATATCTTGTAAAGAAACAAGTTCATAGCTGAAGTATAAAAGGGGGGGAAATCGGTTGGATAGCACAAGGGGAGCTTTTTTGGGGTGGATTTTCAATACGTTCATTAAACTAGAGTGTTCTTCTAGCGTCCTTAACCTCAACACTACACCAATATAGACTCTTCTCCGTCACTGGTGATATATGTAAAAATAAGCCAGCTATTCCTGGAAACCGGAGTCACCGGTCCGATCCGATGCCCGATAGCCCGAGACAGGCTGCGGGGTAATATGCATCATTTAAGAGTGTGTGACTTGGCGGTGGCAGTACAAAAGCAGTACCTATTCAATCTGTGCTAGTGTGAGACATAAGTAGCTCAAATCATAGATAAATGGTGAGTCCCGCCTTTACCGGTGCCCATTTCTCACTTTTCAACTCAACAAGGTGAAATACTCGACATTCGTCATGGGAGACATCGCAAACCCAAAAGCCAAATTCACAACCCAACACGACTTCGTTCAAATTATTAACGGAGAACCAAGTGCTACACAGCGAACTCGCCATGGTATAAACCCTGCAAACCTCAAGCCTAAGGAGGAGGTTCCAGTAGCGTCCCGTGACGATGTGGACCGTGCTGTCGCTGCTGCTCAAGCTGCGTTCAAGACCTGGTCAAAGTTCCCCTATGATAAAAGACGCAAAGCTGTTCTGGCATATGCGGATGCCATTGACGGCCTTAGAAGCCAGTTCCGAGACCTCTTGATATCGGAGCAAGGGAAACCGGTACGTGCTTGGGAGCTTCAGTTTGGCGACTTCATAGATGCTTACTGGTTGCAAATCAGATTCCTCAGGCGGACGCAGAAACCGACTCGGCGATTAGTTGGATAAGAGGTATGGCCAACATCCAGCTGCCAGAAGACGTAGTCGAAGACAGTGAAACCCGTACCATCATTACGAGATACACCCCTCTCGGCGTGGTTGGGGCAATCATCCCTTGGAACTTCCCGCTTCTCTTGGCCACTGGAAAAATTGCACCAGCCCTATTGACAGGAAACGTCATCATTGTCAAGCCATCGTAAGTCTGGAATTCCCAACACGCCATAGATACGTCTAGTCAGCTGACATATCAGTCCGTTCACGCCCTACTGTGGCCTCAAGCTTGTAGAGTTGGCTCAGCAATTCTTCCCACCGGGTGTGGTACAATCTCTGAGCGGTGATGACGACCTTGGTCCATGGCTCACGAGCCATCCGGGTATTGACAAGATTAGTTTCACTGGGTCGACGACCACTGGAAGGCTGGTCATGCAGAGCGCGAGCAAGACTCTGAAGAGAGTGACCTTGGAGCTGTAGGTTCTGACCGCCTGTTTTATACCTGGACGTTCATTTGAGAATAACGCGAAAACAAAAAGGGGTGGAAACGACCCAGCAATTGTCTTTCCCGATATCGATGTCGACAAAGTTGCCGAGAAGGTATGCTGCATACCACAGTTAATGGCACTGATGCTAACCAAGCGTAGGTAGCTTTCTTCGCTTTTCTGAACTCTGGCCAGGTACGAAGTTCTCAGGGAGCACACTTAATCCTAAATCTACTAATACTCCTCTTGTTCTGTTCTAGATCTGCCTCAACTTGAAGCGAATTTATGTCCATGAAAGAATCTTTGAGGAATTCAAAGAGTCTTTAGTGAAGCACGTTAGAGGCTACAATCTTGGAGATGGCTCTCAAAAGGGTGTCACTCACGGTCCGCTCCAAAACTCAATGCAATACGAAAGAGTCAAGACCTTCTTCAGCGATATCAAATCTCAAGGCTGGAAAGTAGCAGTAGGAGGCGAGGTTGATACCTCTCAGGGGTATTTCATCACTCCGACTATCATTGACCGTCCTCCTGAGAAGTCTCGCATTGTTGTTGAGGAACCTTTCGGTATGTTTAATCTTCTTGAACCTGCTGTATCCCTCTTTGAACCGTAATGATAACATACTCACAATCGGCGTTTTGTTTTCAGGTCCTATCGTGCCTCTCCTCTCCTGGAAAGACGAAGATGAAGTCATCGACCGCGCCAATGACACCGCCATGGGATTGGGCGCGTCGGTCTGGACGAACGACCTGGAGAAGGCAGCTCGAGTCGCCAAACAGATCCAGGCAGGCAATGTGCGGGTCAACACACATTTTGACTTGTCTCCGTTGGCGCCTTTCGCTGGTCATAAGGAAAGCGGGATTGGAGCAGAATGGGGTGCAAATGGCCTCAAGGGGTTTTGCAACGTGCAAACGCTCTTCTTGAACAAGCATGTCGTGAGCTGATGAGCTATTTGTGTTGGTTTGCTTTTTCTCAATGTCGACCGCAAATCTTTATTGCTTTACTTACAGTGAATGAATGAGTGAACAACGCATGTAGAACTCAGGGTGCGCCGGTTCATCTCTCATTCGTCTCTTGTCACAAACTACATTCTTACCGATTGGATGAGACCAGGTGGCCGGCCCTGAACCGAGTTCATTCCAGTACCCATGCGGAAGCTGTCGCAATGCGGGGATGATCCGAGACCAATCCCTTGTATTGCCGCCACTGGTCCCGGACTCCGACAAATTTGATGCTTTCTTGTGAATTGCGAGAAATTTCAATCCAAGCTTTTCCAGCTATAATTATTAACGGTGATTACTTTCTTCAGTCTCGTCAAGCTGCTGTTTGCGTTCTATTTGACTGTCCTCTCGGATTCGACTGTCTCTACCAGCACAGTCGCTTGCTTGATACCCATCGACTTCCTGATATCATGAAGTCTTTCAATGGCCCAAGACCGGATCTTCGGGGTATTTTTGATCTCCCTCAATACAACGTATAAAGGCCAAAGCATTGAAGACGCTCCTGCATTATTGGTCCGTCAGTACGCATGCTCTAATGTCAGATCTGGATAGACCTACGCGGAGAGCCGGAGAGACTCGAAGTTGAGATGCATATGTCAGTAGAGAGCCTCTGAATACACATGATGCTGTTGCACCGCATATTCTGCTTTAGTGAATCATTTTGGAACCTCTTATCGTCTACGCAATCAAGGATGATTCGATTCATCACTATCCCAAGTGATCGCCAGTTGTTCCAGACCTGTGCCCCCCAGGCGCTTTCATAAACATGGCGTTTTCCATTGAACGAAGACGATAGAAATGGTTCTTCAACGTCCCTTTCAACGAAACTTCGGTGATATTGCAGAGATGCCCAGACCTTGAGGCAGTTGTCGATGTCGAAAGCAATTCGACAGGTCTTGTCAGGGTCAGAAATTTTTTGCTTCTTGATGGCCGCGAGAAGGTTGACGAGCCGGAAGCCTATAACTGCTAGTGATATAGGACGTATGTTAACGCAGTTTGTGCCACGTCGGCTGGTTTCAAAGTATGTAGTGACTTTGACAAGACCCGGCGGGACTTCTATGCCTCTGTGCATGCAAGCTTGAAGCTGAGGGAACCTTAGCCAGATCTCGAGGGGACTTTTGTCTAGATTCTTAAACTTACTATCTGATTACGGAATTGTATGTAGAGTTGTATTCCGATCTCTCGATTAAACTGATCTCTACCTCGGAGTTGAAGCAGGGTGGTGGCGCCCTCAATGTGTGTCGCCCAAGCATGGGTGTCGCCATCGTGTTCGAAAGTGATTGTCTGCTTATGTTAATGCTTGTTCTGGTTCTCATTCTACAGCATTTCAAGACTTTTCTATCCCTACCATGAAGAGTACTAGCAACATAATTGCCATGAGTGTTGAGTCTTCCTTTACTTGATCAGGGTTACACAAAGCCAAGTTAGTAGCCTTCAAAGCCTGCCCATATCGTTCCTTGGCTTGGAATTCCCAGTCGGGGACGTGAGACACATTTGAGAGGGCAGCCATGCCAACTGCTTGGATAGCCATCCTGACCATGTTGTTGGGGCGATTATCTAGGTATGTCTCTGTAAGCCAGGATTGGTACGAGTCACAGTAAGGCGGACCACTGGTGGTGTATCGCGAGAAGAAGAAGTTGGCGGCGACATCCTCGACAGGCTGGCGTATTATGTAAGGAAATGATGAAGGAGTCCAGGCACTGAGTTTGCCTAAGTGCGGCTTTAGCGTCATTGACAAATGCGGCGGTGTATTTAAGGTCTTCGGTTGAGATCTGTGGTTGGCGTTGTGAGCGACCCGTCTTCTTATTCGGGGGCATTCATCCCTGAACAGTAGTTCTGTCAAATCCCGATAACCCGGGCATGACCTCTTCCCTTTCTCGCACTTGAGACATGCTGGCTGTCTTTGATCGCACTGGTTTAGGAATTGGATTTAGACTATTTATTTAAAGATAACCAAGCTCAGACACAGCACTTGCCTTGATTTTGCGTTGGCGACAGCTTTGGCAGCCCTTGCTCAGGGTACCATAGTAAACCATACTTCTACGAAGTATAGTTCGAGAAGCTCAATATGTTTTCTGAAGAGGAGGAACAGGTCCCGCCTCCACGCTGTGGTGCGCACTCAGATCTTTCCTAATCTGAGAGGATTGAAAATGGTCTTATGAACACTTGAGTATGGTTATTGACTGAGGGAATCAGAGGAAGAAATTCGGCATCTTGTCAACAGTCAAGAGACCGGAGTCCAAGTCGGACACGGACACGGGGTTGATAAAGGATCGCTGACAGGCGTTAACGACGGTGTGGACCTGCAGTGTGTCGGCGGGGAATCGCGTCAGCTCGCAGTCGTCGCCTGTATCGAGTCTAGCGCATACCGATATACGGATCTGATTGGCTTTGATTGACTTGGTTATCCCCCTTTAGAAAGATGCTAGTGGGCCGCTCTCGGATCTTTGTGCCAATCATACTTGAGACTTCGGTCCCGCTCGTCCACCAAGTCCTGTTCTTTGACAGTTCCAAGGTCTACTCCAGCACGAGCACATGGCAGTTATAAAGATGGGCCGAGCCACTTCCAACTTTGAGAAATTTGATCGCTTTTGTGTATGTGACTTTCGATCTTGCTTGTTCTGCTACGAACCATCAGAAAACCTGGCTGATACCCGGCAAATCCTGTGATAATGGCTGACAGCGTCACCGTCCCAACTCCGCCCCCAACGGAGAAAACCTTCCGCGCCTTCACCCAGGCACAAGGTGCGTCATACGCTCAAGGCAGGCTAGGCTACCACCAAGCTCTTTACAAACAAATCTGCGACCATCATACTTCAACAGGAGGGAAACTCGACACTCTCCTAGACGTCGGTTGCGGACCGGGCACCGTGGCCCGCGAGCTCGCCCCGCAATTTGCACGGGCCATCGGCCTGGACCCTGCCGAGGGTATGATCGCGGCGGCCCGGTCCCTGGGCGGGTCCTCCTCTACCTCGGAGCCGATCCGCTTCGACGTCTCCACCGCCGAAGAGCTAGGGTCAAATCTCTCTCCATCCATCCCCGACGCTAGCGTAGACCTCATTACGGCGGCTACGGCGGCGCACTGGTTCGACATGCCCGGGTTCTGGGCCGCTGCCGCGCGCGTGCTGAAGCCAGGCGGATCAGTGGCGATCTGGACGGGAAGCGCGAAATATGTGCACCCTGCGACGCCGAATCTGAAGCGGTTGCAGGAGACGCTACTCGCGTTTCGACAGGAGCATCTGGTGCCATACATGGTTCATGGGAATCGTGTGGGCGAGGCAATGTATGCGACGCTGCCGCTGCCGTGGACGCTGGAGAAGCCGGTGACTGAGTTTGACGAGAGCACCTTCTTCAGGAGGGATTGGAACAAGGATGGTGTGCTGACGCCGGGGGACGAGTACTTCTTGGCGCAGCAGGTGTTTGGGATGAACGACATCGAGAAATTCTTGGAGACTGTGAGCCCTGTCGCGCGGTGGCGTGAGGCACACCCCGACGCCATCGGGACAGAGCAGGATGTGGTCAAGATGCTGAGAAATCAGATCGAGACTTTACTTTCTGAAGCAGGGGTAGAGAAGGGTAAGGAGGCCATCATCACTAGCGTCTCCGGGGTTCTTTTAATGGTGAAAAAGAAGGCGTAGAGAGTAGAAGTGTTGCCGGCTCTGCCGGGATGTGGGATCATGGCAAAGAAGGAAGTATTGAATGAATGCATCCGCGAAGCCTTGTGCGCCGTCAATAGAACCCCAAAGCCCCGGTCGTCCAGCCGAATGTGGTGATGTTGGTAATGGCCAAGTGTTTGCCTATTTGCGAAATGACCCAGTCACATAGCTCATTGAGGAACACGAAGAATGTTTGCCTAGGCGGATCTCTAATCGCCCTCGATTAGGGTTTGCCGGTTATACGTAGCAAACTCGAACCTTGGGTGCTGCTGCGCTGCTCTGAGAACATGCATAAAATTTTTGCAAATCCATGAATGAGACAAATCAGTTGATCTTCTCTCCTACGTGTTATCTCTCTTCTCCTGTCCATTGTTCGAACTCCCTACTACAGATCCTGGAAATATGACCCAGAAAGCCATTATGGATTCTGACCTCATTGACTGGAAGGAGGCGTTTCTCTTCTTCTACTGGGATATCAAACAGCTTCGAGAAAACCGTCCAAAAGAAGGCTACATCGCGGACCGGCTGATCATGGAATTCTTCCAACAGACCAGGCCATCCATGGCTTATGAGGGTCCTGCAAGAAATTGGAACTGGACCCTTTACCGCGCCATGAGAGCTCTCCAAGTTCAACTTGGTAACAAACGACCATCTTACCCAGCGGAGACTGAACTGACCGACGTGCATCAGGGTTTGACACGGGGCCGGAAACCACTGCGTTCAGTTACGAATGGCTCGGCGAGAAATCGGGTCCGACCGACACAAAAGCCCCGTTTGTCGATTGGGTGCGCCTCGAAACTCAAACCCACTTGCTCTTCACGTACGCAAACAACACGGTCAACCGCTTTCTCGCTCATCTCGTCACGGAAGTCTATGGTCCACTGTCTCAGCGAAAAGATTGGGAATTGCAAAACCCCTTCCTGACCGAGTTTCAGAGAACTCACAACGTTCAGCCCTGGGGAGTGCCTCTGCCTCTGCCAGGTGCGAGTGAGGCCCTAGACCAGATTGAGTGGCCGGACGCCCCCATCCTTGCCAGCAAGTCAGGCTTTACACACTCTCGCCGCAAACCTATCCGATTTAGCATCTCCGTGGCGTCAACCAATAAAGAGAGTAACCATGTTATGCCTACTGCCACTCTCATGCTCCCTGAGGAGAGCCTCCTGAACGCTCGGCTTTTTAACCTGACGAAGCGGTACTACACAGCCATGCTCCTGTGGGTGAAGGGAATTCGCGATAATGATGGGTTACCATCGCTCTCGGACTTGCTGAACGCCCAGTTTTGTGATTGGGCCAAGGCCGCGGACGAGGGTAGTGATGAGTCTTTGGTGGTGTCGAGGCACTTGTGGGAGGCCTACAGAGCCGTTGGCTCAAAGCCCATCGGAATGAAGTCTGCTTTAACGGACAAGGAACCGAAAAAGACCCACGTATTCACGAACGGTGGCTGCTTTAGGGGATTCTAAGCTAGAGGAAATGTATCACATGATTGAGCAGACAAAAGTCTAGAATGAATATGACTACAAATTTTTAAGCGGGTGCAACAGAGCAGAAACGGGATTTGTTGATAATACCATCACTTCAAATACGTAATGTTGAATCGCTCCACCGTATCGAGAACATGACCTTGAAAGGCGTTGAATGTAGGCAATCTGATTCACGATTCTCTTTTGAGCTTTTGATACACAAAGCCTCAGTCTCTCCCCATTCGGTTGTAACTGCAACAAAGACCCATGGAAGAGGAAACTGTATCAAAAAGACTTGAACAAGACCACAGACACAATCACCACGTAACTTGCGTAGCCACTAGAGGGACCTCAATCTTCGTTCCCAGAAAGCCATCATCAAACAGGGACAACTTCGATATCAACCGCCACGGCGCCCGGCAAATCTCTTGCGTTGAACGGTAACGGTTCGTACCACCAAACCGCCCACGTATTTTCTTCTGGTCCCCTAGGAGGAACAGCCACCCAGCTTCTGTTTCCAAAGTTCTCGTTCTTGTAGCGCAGCAACAGTCTGTGAGTGGATGCGTCTTCCACGACCTCCCAAGAGTTATGGCAAATCGCGCTGCCAATTCCGAAAGGCGTCACCTTTGTGGAAGCTCTGAGCTGATGCTCTCCCTTGCCAACCGGACCTTGGAGAATCAAAGTCTCCTCGGTGGGGCTGTCAATGATGATAGTTGACGGGGTGGGACCGCTTTTCACCACGATTGACTGCTCAGCGGTGGCGGCCGCAGGTGTCTTCAAGAGCAAGTTCTGGCCGCCACCGAGGAAAAAAGTTGCGTTGTTGAGGTCACTCTCGTCACTATGCGCAGCTCAGTCAGTATTGCCCTAGAACACAAACGGGCTTTGTCAAACCGACCTAGTGATGCGCAGAACATATTTCTTCCCTGACTCCATGCTTGCTGTGGTTGGTGTTGACCTTGTGGCAGTTGTCATCCAAAAAAATGTTTCTGATCGGAAGGAGAGATGTTGGCAGGTGCTGCTAGAGTTGGTGAAGTCCCTTGAGTTCAAGTTGGAAAGTCGAGGATCAGGGGCTAGTTAAATAAGCTCCATGCCCCACCATTTTGTCGTTCATGACTCGAGCTACGTGAAGTCCGGTTGAACAGCCACTATGCATGGCATTGCATCCGCAATTCAGCTAGGGGTCAGCTCTCGGCTACCACGTGGCGTTCGTTTTTGAAACGGACAAAGACCATCTGCGGGTCAATATAACTAGGGGTATAACTGGGTATGTTAGACTCGCATCAGTGCCTTGGACGGGGTGTGAGGACATCTGGAAACTCTTCAGCTAGAACTCGGTTACCTGCCGCCAATCAATCCCTAGAAGGCTCCTCGGTTCGGGGCCCGTGCACGTTTTTGGGGACGACATAAGGTGAACGCATCATAATGGCTTTGGACAAGCGTCACTTACATACGACATTTCGGAATGATTCCTAAGTACAACGGCTCTCAGTATCTCAACCCCTCGCAACCGGCCTCAGGTAAACATTCAAAGGACCCTTCTCCCACAAGGTATAAATCTTCTGAGTCTCCATCCACTGCTGGCTGTCGTCCGCAAGGACCAGGTCAAAGTTCCAGAGCAACCTCGCCAGTATGATCCTCATCTCCACGTAGGCCAAACTCACGTCCACACATGTCAGCTCGGGTTTCCGACAAGACAGAAAATGACGCGAGAAGTAAAGTTGGTGAGACTCACTTTTTCCCAAGACAGTTCCGCGGCCCAAGATGAAAAGGTTGAAAAGCCTCTTTCCGATCCGACGCATACTCCGGGTCCCCCATGAACCTCTCTGGATGGAAGGCAGAATGGTTTTTGAAATTCTTCTCGTTGTGGTACATTGCCCACTGGTGGACAGCGACCAATGTCTGCGGGCATGGTCAGCAAAGATGGTCGCCTAGCTATACCACCCCCAATATCATACGCGTCGCGTTCCTGAACCGCGCCCAGCATCACAAACTTACCTTCTCCGGGACAAAGACCCCCGAGATCACCGCCCCGCCCTCTGGAGTCGTTCTTGGCAGCCCCGTTGGGACCGGCGGGTATATTCTCAACGCCTCGTCGAGACAAGCCAGCATGTATGTCAGTTTGTTGACCGACGTGAGGTCAATCTCCTCCTCCCTCGCAAACGCCGCCCGTACCTCGTGGACCAGTTTCTCCATCTTCTCGGGGTTCTTCAGGAGCAGATATGTCACGCCTGACAGCAGCGTCGCCGTCGTCTCGGATCCGGCAATGATGATGATGCTCGCGCTACTCTCGAGTTGATCGAGCGTGAGGTTCTGTTCGATGCGAATCCCTTTGTTAGTTCTCATTCATTAAAACAAGAGCTCCCTTCCTCTTTCACCCATGAAAGATAAAAAGAGGCCTTAACATGCGACTAGGCCTGCTCACGGAAGAGAGACCCACCCAATCATTCTTCTTCCTCAATAAACCTTCCATCAAATCCGCCCTCGGCCCCTCTCTCTCCCCCAACTCAATTCTCCTCACGAGCTTTTGCATCGTCATCTTCTGGTGCTGCAGCCTCCGGTCCCTCATCGCCCGTGTCGACAGTACCGTTGTGATCAGCCTCCGCAGTAAGGAGAAGTGGTTTCCCGTCTGTAGCACTATCCCGGCCTTCACCATCTGAAAGATGACCCGCACCCATGGGTGTAGATTCCCGTCCTCGAGACATCCGAACGGCTCGCCAAAGGCGAGGTCCCCAATGATGTCAAACGTGCAGTAGTTGTACCAAAGCGTCAGGTCGGCTGGCGGCTTCTGCTTCGGCTGCCAGTCCTTCTTTCCCTCTGTCACAGTGTCATCGCCATTATCGAGTCCGCAATCTTGACGGCCCCCGATAGTCCCCCGCAACCTGTTTATGAAGAGATCAACGTATTTCATGATGACAGGTTCCTGCTCTCTTAGGCTTCGATCACTAAACCCATGGCTCAGCTGTCTCCGCAGCATCGCATGCTCCGGTCCGAGCGCCGTGATGATGTTCCGCGGCAGACCCTCAATCGGCCGATAGAATACGTCCGCCTTCTCGAACTCGGGCGGCGTCTTGCCCCCATTCAAACCTCCGCCGATCCTATGACCCATGATTTCCTTCCATGCTGACGGGTCTGCGAACGCGAGTTCGTCGGGTGCAATGCGCACTATGTCACCGTATCTTTGGTGCAGTTCGAGCATGTCGAAGGATAGTTTGCCGCGCCAGAGACGGTAGCAGAACGTCGCTCGGGTGGCGCGCATGAGGAGCGGGCCGGGAAAGCGGCGGAGAGGGTGGAACCAGAGATTGTAGATAATGTAGGAGGTGATGTAGATCGCCGTCTATGAGACCCGCCAAGAATAACATCAGACGCCGTTCCTTCAGGAGTTGGTCTCTAGAATTCAGGTGGCTTCTCTCCGAAGTGAACTTACAAGGCTGAGTCCAAGGCACAAGGCCTCGTGCAAGGCTTTGATTATCGTCATCTTATAGAGGATCGTCTCTCGCGTCGAGTGGGTACCTAAATGATGGATAGTCAATTTGCTCATACAATTACCAAAGGAAATGTCCTGGCTTTCCAGAAGGGAGCTCATTGATATAATAATGCCCAATTCTGAGTCTAGTTCCCCCGAGGCCATGAAGGAGTACACGCGTTCGGTTGTGCTGATTAGACCAAACCTCATCGTTGCATCATGCCGAATACGAATACGTAAGTTTAGCATTTCAAAGACCCATTACCGCAGGTTCATCCACGACCCGTAAGAGAACGTAGCCAAAACTAAAAATCTGATGTTAGAACATTAGACGAAGAACGCAAGAACCTTCCGCGAGCAACACCGCGAGGCGGTTGGTCCTTAACTTAGATATTGAAACTGACAACTGCAACGCTTCCTTGCCCTATGTTTCAGACCATATTAGCATATGGCCTAGGACCACATCGCTAGCCGCAAACCTCCTCAACCCGCGATACGAAGAGCGAATGGGCTGCGATGATGTCTGGCGAAAACGAAAGCTTCCACTGCACTGTATTCTCCGTGCCGGACTCCCGGGTTCTTGGTCGTTCATTTGCCAAGACTTCACTTTCATGGTTCTTTTTTAGAATGTCTTCAAATCCTGCCACTGGTTTCGAACAGTCAATCATCGCATATACACAAGAACTTCTCACTGCGCCGTTCCGGAGGTTTGCATGGACGACACGTTGTATATTATCTACCAAACTCCATCAGTCCCATCATAGGAATCCGCTTCTGGCGACAATCAGAAGGCATTGTCCATCAGCTGTCTCGATTCCTATGCTCCTTTCGAGACACCAGAAATGGTGTTGTGGGATACGACGATATTAAAGCCTAACAAGACATGCGGTTTCAGCATGAAAGCAGTAATTAGGTATAGCAACGTAAAAAGAAAAAAAAAGAAAAAAAAAACAGTCTATGCCGAATTCATCCCTCTTCCTCTTGCTTGATCCTGACGGGATCGGTGTTGTGCACAAGCGGAGCTGCTGGGAGAGGGCGTTGAAGAATGGTACAGTTGGCACCAGTGGCGAAACGGCTCCCATCTCTCTTGTTCTGAGTCATCTTCCGCTTTTTCTTCTTGGATATTTGTCTAACGGGGTTCTGGGCCTCTGTGCAAAGCTTGATACCCAGTTTCTCCATTTTCTTTCTGACGGTACCGTAACCAGGATTGGTGCAGAGGGATTGGGATCCCGGGCCAAGATTGCATCTTCTTCCGTCTTCGTAGACAGTGTTTGGATCGCGAGACAAATTGTGGTTTTCCGACTTGGCTTCAGCTGCGGATGTAGGATAACGATATGTTCTCCAATCGGGATAGGGGGCAATAGCCGTCTTGTAAGTGGACAATTTGAGAGCGAACGCTTTGGTATGGGGCAGGGTCATCCGCGGACATTCATACTTGACCCAAGCGACGATCCAGCAAATATTAGACCTCAAGGGAGCCTTGTTCTGTCGCCACAGGACCAAATATTCGAAGTCCATTACCTTCTTTTCTGCCTTTTTGAGCTTCACTCTTGAGCTACATTGATCATAGAGATGATCATTTTTGTTGCAGAGCGGGCAGGCAGCAATGAACCCATTGACATCTACCGGGCCAATGCAGTCTCGGACTTCGTGTCCTCTCCTTCGACAGTTACCACAAGTAGTTGCGAGGCTGACGAGAGGCTGAAGAAGGTTGGATTGACCGGCCGAAGCAAAGTCTTTCTCTAGAGACAGCAGACCAAGCTTCCGCAAGTCGATCTCTCGGGCGATAGCAGCGGCTTGCCTCTTCGAATCCAGAACCTTCTTGCAAGCCTCTTCTTGGTCAGTGGTGACATTCCTCAGCTGATCAGTGAGACGGACCAAATTATGTTGGCCCGGGTTTGCATACTTTCCCCAATCAGTTGAGCTCTCTTTACTGCTCGGATTTTGTGCGCTCTCAGTCCCATCGATTGCGAACGCTTCGATAGATGAGGTTCGCGGGTCCGCAGGTAACCTCATTGAAGCCCATGCGGAATATGCCCTGTGGAGGCCACCACCGTAGGCAAGGTGCGATTCATGAAGGGTCAGGCCGTGAACATATGTAACAGCTACGTTGTGCGGCTTCGGATGACTGAAAACCCGGGACAGGTCTAAGACGGTGATGAGGTTGCCAGCGACTGTTCCAATCGAACAGACTGTGCCCCGCTGATTGCCTACAACACAAACAACATCGTCGTAGACAGTCTTGACGTGTGTATCGCCCCGATGGCAACCTTCGAAATCAAGGCCAAAGCCCTTGATCAGGTTGCCGAAGAGGCGAGTACTGCCCCACTTGAAAGGAGCGAAGTAGGCATAATCGATGAGATAGACGTTGCCCATAACGAACTCGACGGATAAGCTTGAAGGCGGACGAGTGTCGCCTTGAGGCTGGCGGTCGTAGACAATGAAAATGTTGGCAGCCGCATTGGTGATTTGGAGCTCGCCATCGTGGATATAGACGTCTCCTTGGGCGGGGACGGGAAGGACGCAGCCTTCTGCCATGGTTTGGTGGATGGGTTGGCGTGGTCGATTTCGGTGTGGTCAAAGTGGGTTAAGAGCGCGGATCAAAGATTCAGACTCGAGACAGAGACCATACCAAGTAGGATCGAGGTCGAGGTCGAGTTCGGGATTTGGATTTCAAAAGTCGAAGTACGGCTGTGACTGGTGATGTTGGGAGAAGATTTGATGGCTTGGTTGATGAGAGCGCCTACCGACCTAGCGACGGAGATGATTTCGAACAGGGAGAAAAGAGAATGTGCGGCGGTTGAACAGAAGCCTGCTGTCCGGCTGCGAAAAGGGAAGGAAGGAAGCAAGGCAGCTTTGAACAGGTGCAGTCGCCCTACCTCCTTCCTCGTGTCTTTCGCTTCTGAGCACACAACTACTCACCAGGGCATCAGCAGCGCCCTGCCTTTGAACAAGGCCCTTCTACCTTATCGTCGGTCAAAGGAGTATATGAAACGTGATGTGACCCAGCGAGAGAAGACGTTGAACAAAAATAAGATTTTCATTACTGCCCTCTGACCTGTTGTCAGGGGCTATGATACAAACGGACGATGCCGACAACCCTTTTACGCACCCAATGAACAATCCAACAGCATTCACTCAAACAGCCCGACGATGCAACCAACCCGCTGAATGCCGATAAATGTTTTCGATACCGATAATTATACACGCTCGCGAGGAGTCGCTGCTCTATCCCTTATATGCAAGATACACCCAGAATAAGACGACCATCCAAACTACTCTCCATGTCGAGGCTACGATCTCTCGAGCAACCCGTCCGAGAGTCGTCCGAGAGCGTTGGGACGCCGCTTTCCACGTCAACCGCGGCTTGTTGGTGCCGTAGAAATCGTCTTGGAAAATCTCGATTCTCGGGGCACGATGTCCCCCCCATCCCTGCTTTTTGAGCTTGCTCTTCGGCGGTGGCATGGGACCCGAGCCGTTCGACCGGATGGATCCGCTCCTAGTCCGTGATGACGATGACGTGAGGAACCGAGATCCGGACGTTGCTGATGTTGAGTTCATGTTGTAAGTCCCATCATCCTCGACCTTGTCCTTGATGGTAGGTAGAATCGCGCCTTGCGGCTGCTCTGGTTGCAGTGCGAAAGGCGTCAAGTTGAGAACAGGCACCAAGAACGACCTGATGCTAATCGCCACAATGGTGACAAAGACGAGCCCGGCGTACTTGGCGTACGTTGCGAGCTGGTTCGGCAGCAGGCAAAGGTGAGTCTGCAAGGTCTTCTCGGGAGCCCCAGGGAGTGGCTTGCCGTTCGCGTCAACTGGATTGTACAAGCTAACCATGAGAAATCCAGGTGTGGGAACCCCCATGGCCATGCTGATACTTTTGACAGTGATTTCGCGGACATTGTCCTTCGCAGGAGAATGAACTAGCTCGCAGTAGTCGTGGTCGTCGCCAGAGAAGACATGGACAACGTTGCCGACGCTCTTCACGAGCTTGACGGAGTCGTCCTCACTCAGTACGTTCTGGTATTGGTAACCACCCGAAACTGAGATCGCGTTGCGATGGTCCGGGATGACAGGATCCTTTTCTCCTTTGGGCGGTTTGGCCGGCGGCCAGTGCTCTCGCAGCGGCCCGCAGGGCGTTCCCGGGTCTCGGAACAGAGGAACGTGGGTGAGAAGAATTGTAGGAAAGTCGGGTCCATCTTCGCCCGGCACAATCGTCGGCACTTTCACATCCGCCTTATCCAACTCCTCGACGTTGTGCTCGTAAGTCACTCCTTCCAAGTCGCCTCTCCAGAATCGCAACTCTTTCTCGACGGCCTTGCGCTTGGTGAACTGGACATCCTTCAGAAAGATATCCACCGGTGTGTGAATAGCCTCCAAATCAACGTCGGCTTGCCGCGAGGCGCTCGCGCTCAGGGAAAGGGAGTCGACAGAGACGATCGAGTGGTTGCCAATGACATCGACACGGTTCACGTCTCCAAAGAAGGTACTGAAGCGCTCTCTAACAGACGCCTTGACCTGGTCGCCGAACCCCAAATCGTGGTTCCCTGGCAAGCTCACCACCAACTTGCGCCCTCTCTGCCAGTTGCCCGCCTTAGCACCACCAAGCGTCCAGTCCTTGAAGAAGATGTTGCCGAAGCGCTCGTATTCCTTGAGCCAGAAGTCCTGGCCATAATTATCGTTCCAATCCTTGACGTGTTCTTTCTCATTCTTTGGCCGCCGGTTGACGGCCCACTCGGGATCCTTGAAGTCACTGTGCAACGTCTTCCACTCTCGCCCGCCGTCGAATAGATCGCCCAGGAAGAACAGCGAGTCGGGCTGCAGTTGTGACTGGAGCTGCTGGTAGCCTCTTCGCATGTAGTTGTCGGTTATCAATACCGTCAGATCGGACAGGGGCCACGGCCGGCCGGGGTAGGATTTGGGGTCGATGATTTGGGGGTCGGCGACAAAGACGAGGTGGTGCGGACTGGATCCGGCGGGCTGCGAACCATTAGCATCTTGTACTCTTGCGCGCGTGCGACACGAACTTGACATACCCAGTTCTCCCAATTGCTCCATTTGCAGTCGGCGACTCGACTCCTAAACACCCATCGCTCGCCCCAAAGCAGCACGAGAAACCACAGACACACAAGCAGGTGCGGGAAGCTCAGAAGGCGGCGCGCAGTCAGGTTCTGCCTCAACTGCCTGCCTGCCTGCCACATTATGTTGGTCGCCAGTCGTCGTCCACGGGTCTGCCAAAAGGCCCAGATTGTTCTCAGCAATCGCACTACGGCAGCAAGCACGGGTCGGAGGCGGGCGCGGAAGCTGGCATCATTTTGGTGTTGAAAAGGCAGAAAGGCAGATTTGGACCCCTGGTGGGCGTAGCCGTTGCCGTTGCTGTGAGGCGGAGCCATGCTGTGCGCCCGCCTGCCATTCCCCTGCAGCACAATGCTCCCTTTTTTTGCTCTTTTCCCCTTTGCGCGGCCCCAGAATGGATTGGCGCCGCGAATCCCGACTAGAGGTGAGATGTGGGCGGGCTTGCGTATGCCAGGTGTTTGGTGCGTGGGTGTGGGTGGCTCCCCGGGAGTTCGCGCGATCGTCGTCTGTAACGTCGTCGGGGAGGTGTTTGATTCAGATGGCGGACATACTATACTTCATACAACTGAGAAGAAACGTGGAGCGTAAGGAAAGGAAACGACGTCGGGTCTTTTGGAGAGGCAGCTTGATGAAGGTAAGGGAAAACGTGGTTATCGTCGCGTAGTACAACTCGGCTATCGGGCGCCTGCGTCGGAGAGCTAAGGGAACCTCGAAGTCTTGGTCGGACCCGGAGAGAGGGAAAAGGAGAAGACGCGTGGCGACAAGAGAGGTTACGCCCAGGTGCCATTCACGAATCACGATGCGCACGGGGGCGGCCCTGGCAGGTGCCAGCCAAGCAGCAGTGCTCATCATGGGGGATTCCGTGCCGAAATCCAACAGCGCGATTCCCCCCGCCGTCGGGAACAAAGGGGGACGCTAACGCACTAGAAACGTTGCTGAAAGCGGATAGCTCCACTTTTGGCGATGACAGCTCGACCCGGAAGGAAGCTCCATCAAACACTCCTTTTCCTCCGTGCTTCCCTCTTCAGGAACAGGACTTTGGACTGGAAGTGCAAGTGCTGTACATGCAGTTTTTCCTTTTCGCTCTGCGGAGTTTTTTGAGACAGAAAAGATATAAAATAAATCTCAAGTCCGGGATGAAAGCTTCTCGAAAGATTGTAAAATTCACTTGGGGACAGGCCAAGACTACCGGCAACTCCATGACGTGATGCCATGCATGTCCAGCACTGACAATCCAGGCTTAGAAATCAAGCATCTCAAGTGAGGTCGCCAAACAGGTTCCAGCACGATGGCTTCCGGCATTTCGAGGCTTCATACAGGAATGCCGGGTATATGAGATGCCTTATAGTCCATTAAATCAAGACTTCTTCGCAAGGTAGTCCAAAAAGGAGCCGTCAAATGCATCACAACTCAAACACAGCACCTCTCAGTTCCCCACGACGAAACACGCCGCTCAGAATGGAACAGTTCGAATTTCACCCCGCAACCACGTCCCCCTCCTCCTCCACAACCCGCACCTGGACCGCCATTGAACCCGGCATCGACGAGATGCTCCTCAACGCAGACCCCGCCACCGGCCGCCGCACCACCCTCCAGCGCTGGCAGCCCGGCGCCGCCAACCGTCAGTCGTCCGTCTTCGCCCATGACTACGTCGAGGAGATCTACCTCGCCGAGGGCGACCTCTTCGACGTCCGCCTGGGCCGCGGCTGGGAACGGGGCGCCTACGCGTACCGGAAGCCGGGCATGGAACACGGGCCCTTTCGGAGCGAGTGGGGGTGCCTGATGTTTATTCTGTGTATCCCTGTGGGCGGGGACGGGAAGGAGGTGAAGGATGAAAGGTGATGAGGCGGTGCTGAGATGCTGCAATCCGGGATGAGGCGGTGGTAACGTTGTGCTCTCGGAAGTCGAGCTGCGAGAGCATCGTTACACGCGGTGTCATCATGAGAGTGCCAAAGTGCTGCTTACATAACACAGCCAGACGAATGAATGAAGCGATCACCACCACCTCCCACTCGGTCTCACCTCTGGCTGAATGCTTTACCTGACGCTCGCTGTTGACCAGCCAGGATAAGGACACAAAAGAACCACTCACAAAAGTCCCCATGCATGTCCGAACCAACTCTGAGCAGACCGAGGCACCATACTTCCGTCAAGGAACCTCCCATCTCCTTTTAAACAGGAACCGCGGCACTCCCGCACCAGGCGCCCTCGTGACCTTCTAGAATACTACTGCCATTCACCCGGCGACCGAGACGGAGATTACCACGACGTGGCAGATCGAACCCTCCTCTAGGACGGACGGCCGTCTCTGCCTCTGTGTCAGAGGTTCCTGGGCACAACCCCCTTTCCAAGACCATCTCAACGATATCTTTGGATTCGACGCATCACATCACAAGCCGGTCGTCCGGCATACACCGCCATTCCATCCACCACAGAGCAGGCATCCATCACGGGGTGCTCCCCCACGAAAGCTGCATCTTGATCTAGTCTTGCCTTTACACGGTGTCACTGACCCAATGTGCCCCCTGCATGGGCCTGATTGCCATCTCACCGTGACCCCAAAGATACTTCTGCACACTCATGTCTACGCGTACGCCCTTCGTCACGATCCATAACCAGCCTGGTACATTGGTGGAAACGCTCAGCCTTTTGACCGAGGCATCGATGGGGTTGGACAGAGCTGCTGCGAAGTGATAGGGTGTCATTGAGCTATCCCCCATCCTCTTACCCCCCTTACGATGGAAGATAAGGTCAGGCTCGGAGCTCCCGCACTTTAACCCCCTCTGGGACCATGGAGGATGTCTCCCGAGGTTCTGACCCCACCGTCTAACATGCCCACTCTTACGGTGCCGGACACCAGTCTCGTCGTCCACAGTTAGAGACTCTGGCTGCAAACACATGCAGACGCAGACTCGTGATTCGACCAACCCATTATCTTCTTATAGCAAAACGGTATCCAGAAGCGTCTCGACAAGAATAGCATCAACCATGTTGGCACGAGACCCATGTGCATACCCCCAGCATGCCTCGATGTGACGGCTCGACCGAAGGTGTAATATATGCATCTACGATGCCAGACTACTTTATGCTGCTCGTCACCTCTCGACCGTGCTCCTGGGTCCACTCGGATACGAGTGAGCTACGTGACCGGCTCTCCCTGTCCCTCATTTGGGTGTTCTGGCTGCCGCGGGCTGAGGGCTCGTGATGTGAAGTGAGGGGACAGCAGCGGATATTGAATACAGCCGGAGCAGTTGTATCATTTGTACGCGGGGAAATTCCCATAAACCATGCGTCTTTCTATATGACCAAATGCAGCATCAGGTGCATCAAACAAATCAAGAAAGGAAACATGACGTGGTATAATATGTGTCAACAAGATTAGCTAAAAGACCCAGTTGAAAGACTCCTTGACGTCAAACTGAACAGAGTGCCTGAAAGAAGTTAGCTCAACCTTCCATGTTTGACAAAAGGAAAACAAGGGGCTCTTGATAACTCACTTGATGTCTGCAGAGGATGCGCCAATGAGGACCTTAAAGGTGCCCTCCTCAGCAATCCAACCCGGTACCGATGTGTCATAGTAGCCCACGGCGTACTTGTCGAGGTGGATGTGGAGGTGCTTCGTCTCCCCGGCCTCCAAGAACACCTTCTCAAAGGCGACAAGCTCCTTTTCCGGGCGGGGCAGCCTCGATTTGTCGTCTCGCACGTAAATCTGCACGGCTTCGGAGCCAGCCACCGAACCGATGTTGCTGATGGCGAAGACCACCTCAATCGTGCCCCGGGACGTGAGCGTCTTGGTGCTGATCGAAGGACGTCCGTACTCGAAAGTAGTATAGGAGAGGCCGTGTCCAAAGGGGAACAGCGGCTCGATGTTGACCCTCTCGTAGTGGCGGTACCCGATGTATAGGCCCTCGCCGTAGTTTACCTTCAGATTCTCGCCAGGCCAGTTGTTGTAAGCAGGCGTGTCTTGGATGCGTTTTGGGAAAGTCGACTATTGGATGTCAGCAGAATCCCCTCAAAAACAACAACAGTAACAGTGAAACTTGAACGTACCGGGAGCTTTCCGCTGGGGTTCTTGAACCCGAACAAGACATCGGCGAGCGCGTTTCCGGCCTCTTGCCCCTGGTACCATCCCTGAATGATGGCCGGGACCTGGTCAACCCACGGCATCGTGACGGGGGTGCCCGATTGGTTGATAACGACCGTGCGGGGATTCGCCTTCACCACAGCTTCAATGAGTCGGTCCTGGCTGCCGTCAGACGGCAGGTCCATTGTCTGTCTATCGTATCCCTCCGACTCCCACTCAGCATCGAGACCGACAATGACAACAGCCACATCAGCCGCCTTGGCAGCCTCGACGGCTTCCTGAAGGAAGTCGACCTGGTCCTCCTCCTTGAACCCGATTCGGCAGCCTCCGTACTTGTGCGTGATGCCGAACTGCTTCTGCTTGGCCACCGGTCTGAGTTCGTTGGTCATCTCTACTTTGAGCTCCACCGGCTTGCCAGCTTCCATGTCGACCTCGACCAGGTAGTCAACGGAGCCATCAAACATGGCCTCACCCTCTTCGGTCCAGTCCCATAGATCCAGAGCCAGCTTTCCGTTGACGTACAGCTTGCCGGGGCCGACACTCATGAAGCTGACGGTGTGCTTGCCGGTGGTCTTTGGCGTAAGGTAGGTCGTGGCGATCGCTGACCACTCGGGACCGATCTCGCTAAGAGGAGCCGAGTCCCAGAGAAAGAGATCAGTGTTTGTTCGTCTCTGCACGACGACCACCTCGCCTTCGAACTTGTCTCCGGAGTACCAGTCAATACTGACGCCGGGCTTGCCTGACTTTTCAGTGCAGTAAGGAGAGGCCACTGGGAGCCACTTGTAAATGTGGCATCCTTGAGCAAACGTCACCTCTTGCTCGGCTGCGGCGCGAATGCTCTCGAGCGGGATCGTTCTGTAGTAAGGGTTCAAACTTGCACTGCCGCCACCGCCAGCGATGGCGCGGTTGGCATTGGGCCCAATAACAGCGACCTTGGTCGTTTTCGGGTTCAGAGGGAGGACTGCGCCTTCGTTCTTGAGAAGCGTCAAGCCCTCGGCGCCAGCAGTACGAATCAACTCTCTTGTTGATTCACGGTTGTCTTCCCTCTCCGGTTGCTCTTCTGACATGTCGTCGCCTTTCAAGCGCTCGACGAGTGTGAGAACGTTCTCAGCTGCGCGATCAATTTCCTCCTGAGTAATACCGCCCTCCTCCAAAGCCTTGATCACCTTGTCAAAGCGCCATTTTGGAGAGTAAGGGAATTCGACGTCGCATCCAGCAATGATTGACTCGGCCGTGGAGTTCGTGCCGCCCCAGTCAGAGACAACGGTTCTGTACAAAGTCAGTCCAATGTCCCACCATCTTTCAGGCTCAGCTCACCCGTCGTAGCCCCATTCACCCCGGAGGATGTCTCTTAACGTCAAGTTGTGCATATCCGCATGCACACCGTTGACAAGGTTGTAGGACGACATCAATGCCCAGGGGTTTGCTTCTCGCACGGCGATCTCAAATGGCCGCAGGTAGATCTCACGCAACGGACGTTCTTGAATGAGCGAATCGATTGTGAGTCTGTGTGTCTCCTGCTCATTGCCAACGAAGTCTGTACACCGTTAGGAGGAATCGGTCCTTTGAAGAATGAGGAGACGAACGCTTGATAGTCGCCGCGACCCCCTTTTCCTGTAGCCCACGAATGTACTGAGCGGCCAGCTTTCCCGTCAAAAGAGGGTCTTCGGAGAAAGACTCAAAGTTGCGCCCTCCCAAGGGATGACGATGCATACAGACAGTCGGCGCAAGGAGGATATTGGCGGATCTCGCTTTGGCCTCGTCCGCCAGGTGTTGTCCAACTTCGTATAACAGTTCCTTGTTCCATGTTGCGGCAAGGGAGACACCGCAAGGGAAGAGAGCAGCCTACTCGAGTTAGCATACCATCTCTTCGGATGCCAACCACGCGACAAACCTTGGTTCCACCAACGAAGATGCCTCCGCGCGCACCGTTGGGACCGTCTGATGTTTTAACGGCGGGGATGGACTTGGAAGGGATGGACTTAGTTCTCCAGAAGTCTGCGGCAGTAAGCAGCGAGACCTATGCGATGTTTAGCATAGAGGTTGACGTCAACCAGGCATCCACAGGTTCATCATACCTTCTCCTCCAGCGTTAACTGGTTCAACTTCTTCCTTGCCGCCACTCTTGTGTCTTTCATCAGTTGCTGGACTTTCTGTTGGGGGCTATACGGCGGTGAAAACACCGTGTTTGGTGTTGAATTGGTCATCTCGGTTTCGGGGGGAGAAGCAGGCGGCTCAATCCCACGGCTCTCGTGGTTGCTGGAAGGAAGATCCATCATTGAGTTAATGTCGGGATTTGCCTCAAGATTTCTCGCAACAGCGGTTCAAGGGCGTCACGGGGTATCTGTCAATGTATGCTGGTGCTCGTAACGAACCAGGTGTGACGGGCTAGTATTGAGTGATAGCAACCATAGAAAAGCGAAGGTGCTATGAAGGAAACCAAATGATTGCAAAGAAAAGAGAGGCTGGGAGGCTGATATTTGATGCCCCCAAAAGTCGATCTCTCACGAAGTCGCCAAGTTTCGAAACTTTGTTACTTGAGCTGACGGAATGGGGTGTAGACGAGGTCCAGGGACAGCACGGAACCATGTAAGACTTATATGAGAACCGATGGGTGGGAAGGCTACACACACAAGTGCACACACGTGCCAGATATTTATCCGTAATAAATGAAGTCGACCATTGAATATGAAGGCAATATAGAGCAACCATAAATGAAGGAACGGAAAGAGAAAGAAAAGAAGTGATACAAAGGGATGCGGAGGGGGGTAAGAAAGGAACGACAGTGGCCAACGGCACCGCAGAGTTGGACGTATGGGGACTAGTATGCTTCGAACAGAGTGTGACTTTCGCCGGGGATGTCTACCAAACGGAAGCTTCAACGACGACGTGTCGGCTGTTTGAGGGCAATTCTCCGTCCAGCAACAATGGAAAACGGAGTGGTCGATGGTGCATGGCAACATCGGCAGCCGGGATGGGGAGAGTCATTGTCCACCGAGACATGGGCACTGAAAACGAGTCGTCTGCAGGCCAGGACTACCGTAAAGCCGCAGAAAGCAAGGGGAGTGGAGTTGGGGACTTGCTTCGAGTCGAATCACTTGACTTTCTCTGCCAGGCCTTGCCCTGTCCAACTGTGCCATGAAGCATATCCATGCTTGCGCTCACTGTCGGCGCTGGCTCATGGGAGACTATTTCTGGGCATTATAACCACATCGGTAGGAACGGTCCGTTCGAGCGGTCGCAACCAAGCAGGTTGATAGGGAAGCAGTTGGGGTCATTGGGGGGAACGCATAGGATTAACGGACAACTGACCGCCAACAACCTGGCGTGATGAGTGGGGGATTTGGGGTTGCGCTATTCGGTTTCGCGTCAGCCCGCTTTAGGGGGGTGAGATTAAAGACCTTTCTTTCGCGTCAGTCATGGCCGCTTTTCTGTGCATTTTACAATAGGCTGCCACCGCTGCAGCATCACGCAGCGCCGTCAGAAGTTGAGCCGAGTGAAGCTTGGAGCTGCCTACCGATCCACAACAACGATGGCCCCTGGGTCACTCGGCAGCACCGTTTTTGTCAATACGGTTGCTCGATACTTTTTCGCCAAAGTTTCCTCCTTTCCTAGCAGCATGTGCTTTCGGATTTGTTGAAAGATGTGGCTTAGCCCATGTCAAGGTACCAAGATCTCAGCATAGTACCTCCGTCAGCACTTTGATCATTCTACATGGGGCTCCCCACGGGCGTGAGGAAGATGGCCCCGGGAGGCCGGAAACATTCGCCGCGAGGTTGGGGATTCCAGGGACGTCGGACAGGCTGGCCTTGATCGCAGTTGTCCGAGGAACCAAAAGGCAGACAAACGTCTTTTGTTTGGTGATTTATCCTACCGGATATTGGCTGGTGGTATGTCGAAAATGCAACGCTCGACGCGTTGATTCTAGCAAGCAGCTTACACTCTTCGGCGACAAAGGCACAGCGCCGTCTGTGGATCATACTATCGCAGGAAAAGCAGTCCGACGGCCCTGCGTCGCTGGATTGTTCTCGAATTGCCAAGTCCTTGGTAGCTCGGCTGTGCCGTACGCACACAGGGTCACGGGAATGATCCCGCAAGTCAACGGTGCTCACGATGACAGTATTCATCTCACCCAACTCCGCCAGTGATCGGACTCCTGGGTTGTCGAGTGGGGAGATATAAGAGACTGCAGTTGGCCACCTTGAACGCTGTCCGGCTGGTGGCGACACTGTCTCGCGAAATAGCATCCAGTAGGATAGTGCGGGCGAAAGACTGCATGCCTGACAAGCATATATCAAGATATGCGGCGGTTTTCCTCGATTTTGCATGGACCCGAGGTCTCCTATGAGGGGGATACCTGAATTGCGGCACGGCGGCCCGTCTTGCCCCAAGAAGATGGCCGGATTGGCTGGCCGGGAAGGAATGCCAGGGGGACTCTTGGGGAGGTGGAGTCCGGTTTCCGGGTCCCAGAGGGATGGCTTCTGGGTTTGCTCTGTCCGCGGAAGGGTGTGCCTGTCTGCTTGCTTACGGGCCATTGTTATGCTGTCTGCATGCAGCCATGGCAGGCAAGCTTTCCCATTGGTGCCGACTCGTCCGTCCAGCTGGTGATGACTTACAAGACCCCCGGCCTGTTGCTTCTGATATCAATGCATCATTGATTTGATGATGCAGTCGGTTGGTTACACCTTTCACACCTTGTCGGGACAAGGCAAACGGCCGCGGTGACACGTTGCGAGCCGTGGGATGCGATCCCAAAGCTGTGATCAGCAGCAGACCTCTGACCTATCAGTTGTTGGGGTGAAGGAGTATAATCTGCAGATAATGCGGCGAATAATCTTTCCATGAACGGGGAAGCGAGCCACACATATACCTTGACCGGATGCGAGATACCTGACGCAGGTGTATTTCGCTGATAGGTTGTGTCAGCTAGAAGGAGGGCACACCAATGTCGGCACCGTAGCGATCGTGCCTGACCTGCTCAAGGGCTTGGACTAGATGGGGTGGGTAGCAACGGCATCAAGAAGCCTTCAGAATGTATAACTTTTGGTCAACCATTTGTTGGCCAAGAAACCGTCTCAAGGCCGAATACAGTGATGTGCTTTGTCGGGCAATTCTGCGCGCTGTGCATGGCTGTGTTGCATCCGCGGTGTGCAGAGGGTCGTTGCCGTATTGCCTATCATCGTCTCAATAAACCGAGGTCCGGTCTGAAAGCCGTCAGTAGAGTTTTCTTAGGGTGCACTCGTCCAAAAAAGATGAAAACTCTTCCTACGGACTGGGTTGGTCAACCATCTTAAAGTGGCCGTTCGTCTCATGTAATGCGACACCAGACGGAACGACGGCAACGAGGGCCTATGCAAGACGGTGCTCCATTTCCACTGGAGCTTCACATGCCAGGTTCTCACGTCGAGCGACGGAATCGAGTGTCATGATGCATTGGCTGTGTCTTGTGTGCTAGGGGACTGGAATGCCATCAAGAAGCACCGTGGCAGCTGTTGAGCTTGGCTGGAGGAGCAATATAGAAAGAATGCTGTGGTGGCAGATGCAACAATTCCACGTGTAATACAAGAACCTCGAGGAAGAAAACGCCCCCTTCGTCTTTCTTTGTTTCTTTCTGGAAAACTTCCAAGGTAGACTGAAGCGCCGAAGGCAGGTGACTACGGGTGCCTGGCAAGGCATGTCAGGCCCTAGAGATCGAGATCCCAGCTGCAAATTCCGGACCCAAATCTAGTTCCTGAACGTTGGAGACCAAGCCAAGAAACGCAAGCCGAAGGGTTTCCTGTTGCGATTTCTACCTGAAATGTTTATATTGCTTCATTAGAAGGAGATAATATGTTTTCTCTCCAAACACAAGCTCTCAAAGCCGCCCTGATGGAGCCCTTTACTGCCGCGGTTGCCACCATTTTGGTCAAGCATGTTTCAGGAAAGCTTCTTCCGTTCAGTGGGAAACTTGCTAATTGTAACGGGTCCGGGGAAAACGTTGGAGTGCGGGGATGTCTGTGTATGTACATGCTGAGGCCATCCGCTATCAAATAATTCTTCGCTGTCCAGCGACGATCGGTTCTAACCGTTCCTTGGTTGCATTCCCTTGTGGGACGCATATGCCATCCCCGTGTCCCAGTTACGGATGAAGCCGTTGGTTTGCTGCGGCGACCGGGAGCTCACAAGCACAAGGAGTTACAATACGACCGAGTCAAGTCTCCGCCAGTCGGCTCCGGTTCCCTCAAGCAACCCCCCTGCTCCCCATGTCAAGCAACAAAGGCATTCGGCACATCCACCGCTATCATCGTTTGTGGGTCCGAAACTGCTTCATTCACCCGTATCTCCCTGACTATGGCGACAATAATGTCTTGTCCCTATCACCGGCAACCGGCGGCTCCATGCCGGCGACTCGGTGTGCCGCTCCCGACAGCCGTCTATCATGAGTCGTACCAGAACATTCTTTGGTGTTGATTGAGAATAACACTTCTCCGAACATCCTCATCATTTCAACCAAATAGCGGCTGATGGGCGTCAACGAAGATACTCTAATTGTTGCTGATTGTCCGATCATCTGCAAGCCGGAAAGCTCGCAGAGACCCGTGCCACGGCGCTGCAGGCCCTTAACACCACCACACCACATTCGTACATCCTACAGGGTCAAGGACGTCAAAGTCGTAACCTCGCACCATTGACGACATCAAGGCGCTTCTACTGCCCTCGTTCAATAGTCGACCTGCCGGTTGCTCATTCTGGGATTGTAGCGCCGAGTCTCGAGTGATCTGCATTAACCGCCAACGCAGGTCATCTACGGCATCGCCGCAAACCTCTGTACTACAACAAGCCCACAGGATGTCGCCGCAGGTCATCCGAACGACGTCGCAAGAAGCGATGCAACATTGTGAAAAGCAAGAAGACAACGAAACCGGTCAACAGCTGCCGCAAGCAGACCAGAATGCTTCCCAACCGGCAGAAAAAAAGACCCAGTCGTCAGCCGCGGGATTATCGGCCCAGGGCCCGATCGCGTCCAGCAAGCTGTGGGCGATTCAGCAATTCTGGAGCAAGCATGTCAGCGTGGTAGTCGACTTCGAAACATGCCGCGACCACCTAGGTAAGTAATTTGCGCATGAGAATCCTATCCCGCACTTGTTTATTCGTGAAGTTTCACGTAAAAGTCCCCGAAGATTAAGTTCGGAAGACGTATCCGCACCCTCTCCGCATGTCCCTCCCTCCATCCCGGTTCTATGGGAAGAGGGTGTGTTGCTGCGGGGTGTGGCGGCACGGGAGGGCCCTCGACGAGCTCCAAAGTCTGGGTCTAGCGACTCCTAGCTGCTTTGGCATCCGTCACGATGAAGTTTCTCTTGGAAACCCTTCAACTTGATCCCTGATCCTTGGGTCGGAGGGTTCGTCTGTCCTCCTCCGTTCCGCAGACGGGAACATCTGCGAAGCCAAGCATGCGGATGTCATCCCGTCGGCGCATTCACACTTGATGTTACATCAAGAACTTGAGTCTGCAGGTGTATTTATTTCGGTGATGTTAGAAGGGTAGTAATGCGCTCCAGATGCGCTCCCCTGATGCGTCTTATCATCCAGGTTTGGGTCGTAGCTTGATCGGAGTATTGCTTGAATTCCTTCTTAATCCCAGCAAAACGTGGTCTACAGCGAGCATGATCGGAAGAGTCTTCCGGGGCCCCTACGTCCCTACATGGCCTTTTCTTTTTCGCATGTTTCTTACTTAACCGTCGAGTACAAACCGTCAGCTAACGGAAGTTGTTCCGCTTCTCCAAGCTCTCGAGCGGACCTTTCTAGGGTACCTTCGCACGGGTGTCGCGACGGCTACTTTGGGAACAGTGATATCGCAGCTTTTCGCGATGCAGCACTCAGACTCAGGGTTTGATTACGCGACGGTCGGGAAGCCCCTGGCTACCATGTGCTATTGCTTCTCCATATGCATTACATTGCTTGGGGCTTGTCGGGCCTGGAGAATCCAGCACGCCATGCTTCTCGGCAAGACACTGTCCGGGGGATTCGAAGTCATGACAATCGCAGCGGGCTTCCTGACGGTACGTAACTGGTCGAGCGTTCCAGCTTGCGAGGAGTGAAAGTGTTTCCCTTGACTGACGGGACCACCTAGATTAGCGTCGTCTTTCTTGGCATCTTGATTGCGCTTGACGTCGTGAAAGAATCGTCAGATGGTTGAATTACTTGGCACCCTAGTCCTCCCCGACGACATTGCATGGCCCTAAACGACGCGGCCAACTCGCAACTTCGACCTTACGAGGAAAAATTGTCAACAGCTACGAATACCCCAGTCGGAACTAAACATGGTGCTTAAATTAGCTTGGTCTCAACTACCCAGCATAGCAAGCTCACCGACTGATCACAACCCCCAATACGATCGCCGATCAACACTTGGGTGAGCAGAGACTCCAATTTATGATCGGGACAAGGCTACTGACCAACACGAATAGATTGATTCGTTTCACAATGGAAATGGGTGCTACTGAATCTGAACCTTGGTTCGGAATACGGCAAGGGACCACATTGAGCCAGGCTGAACTGCTTCCCAGCTGCCGTGCCGTGTCTTGGCGGACATTGGGTGCCACATTGGAGAATGATCCCACCAATCCAATACCATAGAGGACCTTAAACTCCCCGTCTCGAAGGTTCCTGGGGCGTGCAAAAACCCTCCAGACTTATGATGCATAGCCGGCGCGTTTCATTGGCAAGCTTGCGGGAGGAATCCGGACCGAACGAAAGCTGGTCATGTCAGAGAAAGTCGAAACATTATATTTGTACTGGAAGTGTTATCGTGGACGGCCGTTCTTACCGGTACAATGCTATTTCCGGCGTCAATGTTCGGACCAGAGCATGTTTGCCAATGCCACGGAACATAGAGCCAATGGGTGGGTATCGCCGACGTCTTCCGGGACGAGTCGGACAAGACGGGCCAAAGTGGGTATCGAAAGATCGGTACCCCGCGGAGCTACCGCACTCCAGGCAGAAGCTCACGTGCCGTTTCGTCGACTTTGCCTCGGCAAGGAATAAAACTTGCTTTCTTCTATTTCGTTCGAAATATCAATGCACTTATCCGCTAGTTTTCCGAGTCGTGTCTATCTCTCGGAACGTTTTTGTAAGCGGAACAAACCACCCCAAGGTTCCGGCTCTCGGCTCTACTCCCTGACCCGTATCTCGAAGGGGGTACCTCAAAGGAAGCCTTATCTACTGCAGAGGCTAATTTCAAGACCTACAGTCTCGTGTTTATTACCATCTCAGCTCCACCCTATCGCCTTCTCTGCCATGGCGCCCGCCCGTTCGGAAGACAATGTTCGTGTGGACGATCGCGCACCCCCACCCGGTGAAGACGCGGATCCCACACCGGCAATACACACTCCGAGGAGGCGCCAGCCACGCAGGCGTACGTCTGAAGAATTTCCTCGTACACAGAACCTCGTATACCAGTTCCCTCCAGCTGATCTTTCCTTTTTTGCAGGTCCTGTCGATATCGAGCGCCAGTGCGGGGTGTCACTGGACGAGGAGCGTCAATGTGGCGGGGCGTTAACATGCAGGCGGCACTCTATGAGCGCGAAGCGTGCGGTGGCTGGGAGATCCGCGCCATTTGATCTGTTGCTGACTGCTTCTGTGGAGGAAAGAGTTTAAATAAGGCATGAAGTCTCGTGTTCGGGGTGGAGTCGGGGTGTTTATGCCTGGCCATCTATGGCGTTGCTGGGTGATTGTTTGCATTGTCGAGGTCCTTTAACTTGATGTTGATGATAACAGTTGACAGTCACAATCTTGCTTTTCACGGATGCGGGCTCGAGTCCTAGAAGCTGGCTGTCTCCATTCTTCTGAGTCGAGTAGCACTTTATGACAGTTACAAGCGCCACTATATTTTAAGGCTTTCTCAACTGCACCTTTGGTCAGTCCTTCGGAGGTTGCTTCCTTGCAGCGCGTTCCCATTCCCTCCATTTATTTGATCTGGGTAGGATGGATACTATCATGCACTGCTGGGCTTCGGGAACTTCCCGCATAGGCGGTCCTCTTGCAGCGTTTAGTAGCCGTAGTGCTAGAGTTTGTGGCGTTATGAATCTCGTATTGGATGACAGTTTCTTCTCGTGTAGTGACCCACGACGTCTAGTTGTTTTGTCTACTCGACCAAGGGAAACCTACCTGCTTGGTGTGACCCTATCGGCACTGTGGTGTGTCTCCGGCGCTGTGGTGTGTCTCCTTCCTACCACATTCAATGGAGGGGACTTGTTTTAGGGAGAACCGATGGTAATGGTCCATGATTAAGTGAAATGTGATATTTTATGATGTAAACTCCATAAATACTCCCTAGACCAGCCTTTCAAAGTCATGCAATCACCTTATACAAAAGAATAGACAACTTGTCCTTGGTGGCAGACTAATCGGTATATTCCTTCCCGCCAAACCATCACCACAGAGTCGCCCAGAAGCTTGCCTAATATCGGATGTTCAGACAATCGTTGAATCATTACAGACTCCTCGATTTCTGCGAAAGATTGAAAACCTCTTCAACCTCTTCTGAGCCACGACTAGAGGCGCCGTAACCGGACTCGATGTCCTCTCGGTTGAGTTCTGTGCTTTCAATCGTTGCTTGAGCTGTTCCTGGTGTTCTTCCCAATCTCGGCGTCTACTTCTCTCAAGCATCGCGGCAGTGAGCTGGTCGTCCTCGCTGCATATAGATTGAATATGGCCTCTCATCTTGTCTCTGAATTGAAGTTCGTCGTCCACTCTCTTCTGGAGGGAACCTTCGGTGATATCGACTGATCAGAAATATTGTATTAGTTTTGACAGTTATGGCGTTGTAGTACAAGGGGTTAGACTACTTACCATTTTCGCTGGCTAGCTGCTCTTTCTCCATACGCTCTCGGAATAGCTTCCGAATGAGATTAATATTGTATAATTTCGCGATATCCCCGATAAAGCCACACTGAATCATGCAATGCTCGTATTTGGAGAAAACTTGAAGCTCGAACAGGAAATCGCCACTGAGCACAACGTCGACGGGAAGGTCATTGAGTACGTAAAAGTCGCAAACGACGCTGCTCTGCGTACTTCCAAAAGACCACCTCAACCCACGCACTATTCCCGTTGTCATGTCTCTTGACCCATCAGCGAATACGACCTCCTCGCAATATCTCGAACTTCTGTCGATGTTCATTCCCTGGGACATTGCGAACCTTTCGGAGACCAACATAGCATTGGAACCCGTGTCAGGGAGAGCCAAAGTAGGGGTATCATTGATGGAGCCCTGAAGGCGATGTCCTTCGCTCCCAAGGAGATTAAGGCGCAAACGCTTCGGGCTTTCGCATATCGTAGACTTGACCCGATGAATGAACTTTGTTAGCGTCCGGGTAGCGCGCAGGAAGTCGTGTGACAGGATGAGATCGTGGACGCATTCTGGGATGATGAGGCAATCGATGAGGGTACTCCGTCGTTCTCCCGCAAACTTGAAAGGTGCTTGGACGATGCCTGGTGATGTTACGAGGCGTCCGGACGGAAGTTCAACCTGCATTGCGGTGCCGGGCTGTGGTTTGAGGCCCATTCGGTCAGCCAGGCTGTGTGATATCGAATTGTACTCGGCCCCGGTATCTGGCAAGGCTTCGACCTTTTCTTTCCCAAGCTTTCCTTCAACTCTATATTGCCGTTTTCCGGAGAAAGCCTGAGGCATGGAGGAGAATCTTGATTCCAGTTGATCGATGGCACATTGCAACTTTGCCCCCAGTTGATCACCTTCACCTATGTCAGCTTCCAGGTTGTCCATAGTGACGCGTGATGTTTCGTGAGTCTAACATCGATGAGCTCTGAGAGGGGGTAAATCCTTGAGATGATGCGAGTAATTTGGGCGGTTTCGTCCGCTGATCGGCCCCACGGAAACTGCGTTGACGGCATGGCTGGTTCCCATGGCGCACGATGCGATAGGAGTCGCGGAGCCTTTTCTGCATCCTCGACGGATTCCGTATCCATGTTGTAAAGGGTTATCCCGGTGCTGAATTAACTGCTGGTTTTGGTCTTTGGCACCTCGACGTGGTTGATGATGCGAGAGCAATGGCATAAAGCTTGGTATATGCGTTGGCATCTGCGCAACACAAGGCGGGGATGGAAAAGAATGGAACAAGAGAACGATCGTAATATCACTATTATTGGACCGCTGATAAGTCAGCTCATTGGCTGAGGCGAAATGGAAATAAGGCTACCCTGCGACTGGCCGCCTTATGTTTCAAAAGGATAGCCTCATTCACTGCCACTGTCGCTCATCTTCCCATCCACACCATCCTCGGCGTCTGCCTCACGACGAAAGACGCAAAAATGCCAGCGCAAGGCAGTGAACAAAGCTTTGCCGGTGTCTCATCATGGCTGTCGCAAGATCCGGATTCCGAGACCTTTATATTTAGAAAATTCAACGACTTGAGCGCTCGCAACATACTATACCTACAATGCGAACTATTAGACCTCGAGGAAAAGCTTCGGCGTATCGACCAACGAGTCTGGCCAAATGGTCCTATTGAGTTGAAAGATGCCGCGAGGACATGGGAAGAGCTCGTGGACCAAGCCAAAGACTCGGACTCGACGGCCAGTGAGATGATGACGGCAGTGACCGAGGTGAGGAAGAAGCTGAAAGAGTATCGTGAGTAAAATACCGCTCAATAAAGCTTGAGAAGAACGGCAGAGGCCGGGAGCGTCAGTCTCTAGGGCAGATTGGGTAACCGGGCAGCAGACGAGGCTTTAGTTTTGCAAAGCCAGATCGCCGCATTGCATCGACCTAGGGACGGGGCCCTGGAGGCCACACGATACTGGCTGGATGGTGGCCTGGTGTCACCTACTGGGGGAAAACCGAAGCCAAAACTGGGCGGCAAAGCGAAGAGCTATCTTGACGATAGGCACGACCTGGTGTCGTTGAAAGCGCCCGTTGAGAGGGACTACCTCTCAGAAGCGCTTCGTACTTATTGGCCAGGCAAAGTGAGAGGCCCTCAGCCGATCATCCGCCCTACGACAGCTGACTGACGTGTAGTACGACTCTTCAAGTGACGGGCCTTATGGCATACGCCGGCACGATGAGCAGTCCGTCACGATAGTGGTGGGGGTCATCAGCACGATTCTCGCGGCAATCTTGCTCATCGGAGCCATCATAGGATTCTCCTATGTCACGTCCTGGGGCGCGAAGCTCGGAATGATATGCACGTTCACCATCGTGTTTGCGTTGAGCGTAGGCATGATGACGAGCGCGAAGCGGGCGGAGATTTTTGCGGCGACGGCAGCGTAAGACGGGGCACCCGAACGGGTTTCAATGGTACTGACGGTCGTCTCCAGATATGCCGCCGTCCTGGTTGTGTTCGTCAGCAACGGGGACTTGACGGGTAACCAATGCTGTCCGGTGCCGGGGCAGTGACGCCGGAATAGCAGCAGTCGTGAGGCGGTTCGGCTCATCTTCCGGAACCCGACAACGGTTGGCGGCCGCGTATTTGGGGCAATTCGCCGACGAAAAGTAGAAGCGCCACTCGGCCTAGACCCTACGTGGTCGGCGCCGTCTCTCCAGAGCAGCGGAGGAAGAGGAAACGTAAAGACAAGACCTTGCATACCACTTTCGTGCGCTCTCAACCGCGCTGCAGGTCAACTGCGAGACGGTTGAAGGGTACAAAGTTTCTGCACTCCTGCCAAAGCGGGCTACATAACCCAATCGGTCAACCAAAACCGCGCCCGCATAGGCGAGAAGGCCTCCATGGCGATGGAGGCCAGCGATCTGTAAAGAGAGGGACGAAGTGGGCGAGGCTTGTCCGGATTCCGTAATCACCTCGCCCGAGCCAACAGCCCCTAGAAGATGTCGTGAAAAGGTTTAGTCAACGGGTCCGAGATGGAGAGCCCACAACGGCTCCCGGCTTGGCCGGCCGGACCCAAGCGGGTATCGCGACCGAGGGAGGGACATGGGGGGCGCGATGTCGGTTTTGGGAATAGCGCCGAGATCGGGCTGGGGTACGAATGAAGAGCACGAGGTTCTGTAAGACTGTGTCAACGATTCCAGATTCCAGATTCCAGGGAAGGGGGAAAGATGGTCGGCCTGTGACGGATATCCGAGGGTTTGGAAAGGGTCATGGTACGATGACACGCCGAAGATTAATCAATCACTCCGAGCCGACATTCCCACCGCGACGGTACTCCGACCCGAAGTGGCTGCAGTTGCGGGTGCTGTTGCAGTCTGGGTCTGTTGCAGAATCGTAGGGAAACAAGGACCAACGCACAGCGAAAGAGACCGGAAGGAATGAGACAGGGAGTGAGTGGTGGGGGCAGTTGACGCATCTCTCGGATTCGTCGAGGTGACGGTTCTCGGCCTAGGTCGGCCAATGACAAGCTGATCGCAAGGAGGGAGGAAGCTCTCCCACTCCGCTGGACTGCAGCAGCGAGCCCATTCCGGGCCACAAAATGCGCAGACAAGGCGTCGGGTGGTGTCGGTAGGAAGGTTTGATAATGCTGCATCATCACCGTCTAATACACGTACAAGCTGCGATGGATGTTGCCTCTGTGCCACCGTCTCTGTCCCCGGTGTTCTTCTGGGTGCAAGCCGGCCAGAGGGGGAAATGTCCGAGCTTTACCTGTTAGGTTCCAACTTACTCCGGTGGCGGAGGTGGGCCGGTGCAAAAGCAGAGGGCTGATGGCCGATGGACATATCCGAAGCATTCCTGTGGGAGGCCTGGACAGCAATGACTCCATGCCCTTACTGCCTTACCTGTTCTCTTTAGAGAGACCCTTGAGTGCCTCGGGTTTGTCAAGAAGAGTGAAAGGGTCGGAAATGCGTCCTCTTCTCTTTCGGCATATCCCTGCCACGAGGATCAGACCTCTCTCCCTGCGCATCGTTCGTCTGCTAGGCCTCTCTTGCTGGGTCTTGATACCTAGACGGGTCCCCACGTCCATGTTCGATCGGTGCGCAGCGCAGCGCAGCGCCGCAAAACATCCACCCTCAAAAGTTCTTTGCCCCCGCCGCCAGCGCCCCTTCCCTTCCTTCCTCTTCCCTGTCCGTCCCCTGCTGGAGTCGCCCCTCATCCCTTTGCATCCATTTCATTTGTTTGTTTTTGCGTGCTGCGAGCAGCTAGCACGTGTTGTTGTTCGCCTGCAAGAGCAAAATCCCAAGCTGCCTTTACGTACCGATGTAGTGTACCTTAGTATCTGACAAGTCAAGAGAGAGAGAGAAGGGAGGGAAAATGGCAATTCCGTCATAATACCCACCCTGCACCAATACTGCAACCTGCTCCTGCTCCTGCTGCTACGCATCGTGCGGCCTCTGCGTCCGGCCGTGTTCCGTTCCTTTTTTTTTTCCCTCTTCTCCATCGTCCTCCAAAGTGTGACTATTGTTGTCCCAGCGTTGCGCTGAAAGAGACAAGAGCCCCAGAGCAATCAAAGCAGTGACAACCAGGGGACGCCGGTACCAAAGCATCAGACAAACAGAAACCGGGCAGAAAGGCGGATCAGGCACTGGGAAGAGGGCATTTCCATTTGCCGCATCGCTCGATAATCGATAATCGACAATCGCTCCATTCTTAGACACAGCGTAGCGCCAAACTTTACTCGCGTCTACACTCTCCACCCTCCAACCCTGCGCCCTCGCCCAAAACTCAATATTTTCCCTCCGCCGGTACAAAAATACCATTCCGACAACGCCCCTCCGACTCCGTCTTTCCTTTCCCCTCCCCCTTCTCCCACCCCCGACCTGCGCATCCTCACGACACAGGGCGTCAGCGACTCTACCTCCCACCACAATTGCTTACTGGCTCAACCCAATCTATTCAAGGGCTCCCGGAGCTCTCTTTTTTCACCCGCCATCCGCGATTAACATCGACACTTGCCCGTCATGGCGTGGTCAAAGTCGACGCGGATCAGCATCATGCTGGCCATCGATGTCGTCTTCTTCCTCGTTGAGCTGATTGTTGGTTTGGTTGTTAAGTCGCTGGCCCTGACGGCGGATGCCTTCCACATGGTACGTCGAGCACTCGACACCACGCGCGCTGCCGCTGTGTGCGACGCTTTGCTAACCGACGTAGCTCAACGACATCATTTCCCTTTGCGTCGGACTCTGGGCTGTCGCCGTGGCGAGGAAGGCCACCACCGACAAGTACTCGTACGGAGTAGGTCACCCCTCCACCCCTGTAGCAAAGTTGTTCGCGAGCTGACTTCATCGTCCAGTGGCTGCGCGCTGAGATTCTCGGTGCCTTCTTCAACGCCGTCTTCCTCATCGCACTCTGCGTCTCCATCATTCTCGAAGCCATTACCCGATTCTTCGACCCTCCCGAGATCGATAACCCCCAGCTGATTCTCATCGTCGGTGCCTTCGGTCTCGCCTCGAACCTCGTCGGCTTCTTTGTCCTCGGCGGCCACGGCCACTCCCACGGCGGCGATCACTCCCACGACGACGGCGAACACGATCATGGCCACTCTCACGGCCACTCCGACGAGCACGCCGCCGAGGAAGGTCGCGCCAACTTCTCGAGCGCTGCCAACGACGACGGCGGTAACGTTGGCGACATCCTTCCCGAGGCCATTGTCGCCAGAGCTACCGCTGGCGCCGCTTCTGAGACGACTCGTCACATTAGGTTCGACCGGGAGTCCGACCCTTCGGGTCGGGCCCAGAGCCGCGCTTCCGCCGCCTCCAAGGGTCATGACCGCCGCAGAACTAGCTCCCGACACCACTCGCGCCTTACTAGCATTGAGGACATCAGCATCCACCCTTCGAGTTTCCGACAGGAGATCATCGACGCTAGCCGGCCCCAACTTGATGGCCAGGATTCTGCGAGCGAGAGCGAGGTCGACGAGACTGTTGTCGAGGATGGCGAGCCCGACGAGGAGTCCCCTCTGCTCAAGTCCAAGGGCAACAACCACAGCTACCTGATTGAAGACCACCGTGGTCGCACCGCCTCCAAGCGCCCGAGACGCGAGTCCAGCCTTCACCACGAGCACAACCACAACAAGGAGCGCAAGAAGGCGACTGGCGGCCACGGCCACGACCACGGCGATATGGGAATGAACGCCATGGTTCTTCACGTCATCGGCGACGCTCTCGGCAACGTTGGTGTCATCGTCACTGCCCTCATCATCTGGCTGACCGACTGGCCCGGCCGCTTCTACGCCGATCCCGCCGTCTCTCTGTTCATCACTCTCATTATTCTCAAGTCCGCTATTCCCCTCACCAAGGCGACTTCCAAGGTTCTCCTCCAGGCCACCCCGGACAACATTGACCTCCAGGAGGTCCGCGAGGACATCCAGAACCTGCCCGGTGTCCTCAGCTGCCACCACGTCCACATCTGGCAGCTCTCCGACACCAAGATCGTCGCCTCCCTGCACGTCCACGTCAACTTCCCCATCTCCGCCGAGGGCGGTGAGAAGTACATGGAGCTCGCCAAGCGCGCCCGCAAGTGCCTCCACGCCTACGGCATTCACGCAGCCACCATTCAACCCGAGTTCTGCGGCGACGACGAGCACCACCGCGCCACCGAGGAGGAACAGATTGTCCAGTACGACGGCGGCGCCTCCGTCGGCTCACCGAAGCAGACCTGCTTGCTGGAGTGCGTCGACAACTGCGCGGCCGGCGGCTGCTGCTCCGAGTCGACGGCTGCCGGTAGCCTGCGCAGCCAGTCCGCCCACAGCCACGACGGCCACGGTCACGACCATGACCACAGCCACGACCACGGCAACGGCCACTCACACTCGCACGCGCATTAATATCAATCTCGGCGCGGCTCCCCCTTAATACCCCCTCCACTGAGGGCACGCGTACACCTTGAATAGGGTCAGGGTTTTCCATCGTTACCATCACCAAAGAAGGCGAGGCTTTCTGTTTTTTCGTTGCTACTGCTTGAGCTACCAAAAGACTGGCGTTACGGGGCTGGGTAGAGACGGGAAGAAGTGGATAAGCCATCAACCACATTGTTGAATCCAGGGGCGGGTTTGGTTGTCTGGTTTCGGGTCCAGGAAGGGTTCACGACGTGATCTGGGGCATCATTACCACACAATTCGGGCTGACACTTGCCCTTTATTTTATTTTCCTTGTCGTCATTTATCCCCTCGTCATTTGAGCGGTTCCTTTCCTCTTTGTAGAATATCCTCACATCAGCTCAAGCCATGGAGACTGGTGCGAATTCTGTCTGGATGTGAAGCGTGTACAACTATACAAAAAAAAAAACATCTACTAGTCTTCTAGATTCCACGCGCCCTGTTCTGTTCGTTCACGTGATGCCATGTTCGCCGACCTCGAGTTCGCCGCTGCGCCTGACAGCTTCAGGCCGCAAAGGGCCGCTTGCTGGCCGACGAGTATACGGAGGGGAGCACGCGACCGCTGCCGCGGCCGGAGCTCAAAGCCAGGTCCCCCCCAAGCTCTCCGACCTCGTGTACGTGGTTCCACGAGAGCCCGTTTCTCAAAAGACGCAAAAAAATAAAGAACAAAATAAAGACCCCCTCCGACGTCACTACGCAGCGATCGTCGCCGCCCCTGCCCGTTTCCGACCTTGTAATGAGTGCTGCTCTAGCGGAGGAGAGTACACGGAAGAAGCAAAGACGAGGGGAGGGTGAGAGTGGGTGGCTTTTGAAACAACGCGGAACGCGGAGGCGGCAGGCATCACAAAGCCACACTCTCACGAAAGCCATGGACCGGGTCGAGGGCATATCATTACGCTTGGGGCTTTTTTTCTTGCTTGGGCTAAAAAGTCTCTTTTACTGGTACACAAAAATGCCGCTCTTGCATGGCGTTTTCCCCCCTCGCGGACCCCCTTCCTTCGCTCGCTGCTTTCCTCTCCTTTGATTTTGTTCGTTCTTCCCCTCCCCTTAGATGTTGGAAGGGAAAAGCCTGGTGTTGATAACAATGTTTATCCGCTGCCATCCGATACCTCTCTCCTCATTTCTCAGACCAATGGAATAAAACGCCTCGTGAATGGTTGATGCCGCCATGTCTCGGAAGCAAGATAACAAGTGACGAAAAAAAGAAAGTAAAAGGACCAATCTGCGAGACCCCTTTATAAACGACTCCTAGGCTGGAAAACAACTGTCTTCAACCCACGGGTTCCCACTGCTTCTTCTCGGAAGGGCATCGCGTCGTAGCTCACTTTGACAGCGAGGAGGACGGCTTCTTAATGACGAGCTTGACCTTCTTGGGGGCTTGGCCCTCAACAGGCGGCGGAGATGCCTGCGGCGGGGGCTTGGGTGGCAGTGATGCCGGACCGGGTGAAGGGCTGGCCGCAGAGGGACCACCCGGTAGGGGCTTCCGAGCTGGCTTCGCATTGATGCTCTCCGACGGTGGAGGAGCTGGAGACCCAGCCGGAGACGCGCGAGCGCTCAGCGGGTGCCCGGGCTTGCGGTTCTTCAGCTGGGATGGGTCTCTGACGGGACCCATATTCTTGACGCCGGCCTTCTTGAGAATCTGCCGGAGGTTGGGGTGCTTGAACCGGAACATCCTCCGTTTCTTCACAACAGTGCCGTCGGGCCGAACGCTCAACTTCGGCTTCTTGAGAACCGGCGATGCGTCGTCCACTCCAGGGACCTTGTCAGGCCGAGGTCTCTTCTGCAACTTATTAATGTTACTGCTGCTACCTGGTTCAGGAGTGGCCTGAGGAGTTGAACGTCCATTTTGTTGCAAAGATGACCCCGAGGACACCACAGTCTTGGAGACGCCAGGCTTCGCAACTCCGGGCTTCGAGACGGTGGGCTTTGTAATGGTAGGCTTCGTAGTCGGCGGCTTGAGTGCGGACGAAGAGGGCTTTGCGATGGAGGGTTTCGGTGTAGACGCCTTGGCGCTTGAGTGTGCCACGATGGAGTCTGCCTCGCGAGGAATCGGGGATGGCGCCGCAGACGGGCCAGGGGACTGCACAGCCGCAGCCGGTGCCGGGGACGGGCGAGGGGCAGCAGAGACAGGCCGTGGGGCGGCGGGGGGCGCTGTCTTGTTGGGTTTGGCGGCGCCACTCTTCATGTTCACAATCAGACGCTTGGGTTCGGGCGGTCGAACCGGCGGTTCAGGCTCCTTCTCAATGAGCTTCTGAGGGATTGCCGTCTTGAAGTATGACTTGAAGTGGATCATGTTCTAACAAAGGCATTAGCAAAAGATGAACGAAAGTAGCACCGATCAAAACTTACCCTGCCTGGCTGACGCTGGACTGGACGATTGACTCTCCACCGCTTGGGATACTTCATCGTAATCGTCCATCGGTCAGCAGCATCGAACATGGTGCCGCACAGCTCGATGAGCGTGATCTTCTCGGCCCGGCCAATCACGTTGGAGTCAAGGGCCTTCCAGACTGCTCTCATCAAAAGCCTCTCTTGTTCTGCGTATTGCTCCTCCATCTCCGCTCGCAAGGCCGCAAGTGCAACATTAATGTCTTGCTTCCTAGCAAATTGCTTGCGCCGCTCTTGCGTCTCACCCTCGGTGTTATTAATAATAGTAAGCTCACCACTGTCGGCAGCCACAGGGGCAGGCTTCGCCCGGGATTGCTCGCCGAATGCGAGGCTTGCCAAACCCGTGCAGAAGATCTTCAGGAGCTTGTCTCGCACGAACGGGGACCTGTCGGTGCTCATCACAGAGACGATCAGGCGGAAGATGGGCACTTCCATCATGTAGCCAAGATCCACAAGAGCCTCGAAAGCCTTGATGCGCACGAGATCGCACGTGTCATCCTGCAGGTACTGGATGAAGTCCAGTGCGCTTCTCGGAATAACGCCAGCCTTCATGAGCTTCCGTCTGCACTCGAGCGCAGTAGTCGTCCATATGTTTTGATACGAGTTAGCCCACTCGTCCATCCTACGGAAGCGGTCGATTTCGACAATGGCCTCCCCCAGGAAGCTTCTCTCTTCAACAGATGTGTCCAAGTCCATGGCATCACCTGTGTCCCGTCGTTTCTCTGGGATCAGACTATGTGCTAGAGCCTCGAGAAGCTTCGCAACGTAGAAATGGTCCGAGTACGGGTTGTTGGCATTGTTGTTGAACTGAACCTGGTTCAAGAGTAGTCGTCGGGCAGGCTCGGGACATCTACCGTTGGAATCCCGGACCTTGGCTATGGCCATGGGGAGTGCGCTTTGCACAAGATACTGCTTCTTGTCTGAAAAGTCGTTCGGCCGAGGAGTCGCGGAGTCTGGGTAGCAGAAGAGCTCTGTAAAAGCCTTCATGAGGTGGGTCATGCCTGCCATGGCGACTTTTTCGGTGGCGTGATGATACAGCATCTCGGCAGCCATGGTTCTGATGCCGTGGAAGTATCGACGATCGACAAGCGTTCTCGTGAGAAACGTCGAAACGAGAGGGTGGGGCGGGCTCTTCTTCAAATACAGCATCGAGTCCTGCTGTGCCACGACGTCCCTGTCTTGCTGGAGCTGAGAGACGTACATGTAGCTCTGAAGATTCGTCTTCATTTCGCAGGCCCATTCGAAATCGGCGTCCATTCGGATCCACTCGTAAGACTCTTGGTCCATGGCCTTCTCGATATCGGGCTCCCACTCGGAGAATTCCCATTTCCTCATGTCTTCTGGGTTTGTCAGAACGTCACCCAGGCAGTACAAAAGCGCCTCCTCATTGTTATCGGGATCCGCAGCAGACTGCGCGCTAAGCTTCTCCGTTGCCCTCCTCTTCCGCTTTAGACGCTTGTACTTGGTGTTGTACGGGATCTCGAACTTGGCCGCCTTCGCAGCATCCTCGCGAATTTCTACTATGTGTTCGTAGGGCGTGCCATCGGCTTCGTGGATTCTGATCGTCATAGGCCCTGTGAAGAGACCCATCGCTGCATCCACTTGGACACCGTTGGCCCTCTCCTTGATGGCGCGAAGGAACTCAGTCTTTTTCAGAACCTCCGCTTCGCTGAGAGCCTTGTCTTGGACTTGCCGAATCGTCATTTCAACGCACAGTCGCTTTTTATTAAACCGCTGGAAAACGTCGAATCTGGGGCATCCGGAACCGTAGACCCATTGGGCCCAAAACGCCTCGAGCTTGTTTCTAGCGTTCTTCTCACAGACCCTCTGGAAGGATTCCGTGTTGATGATCCACTCACTCTGCTTCTCCCCAATGTTGGCCTTGTAAAGGATTCTTGAGATGATGCGGGTAAGATTGGTCTGGGCGGGTGCCTTCATCAGGCGCTTATCCAGGATGAACAGCACCAAAGGCGCCTTGAGTGCCATGAACTCCATTTCGAAATCTCCGATGTGCAGGAGATGACCAAGTTCATGCAGCGATGGCCGCTTGATGTCGACCGTTACCAGCTTGTCTGACATTGTCTTCATGCGGAATCTGTAGTCGTTATTGCCGCAGAGCTTCTTCAAGAAGAGATCAGTCATGTAGTAGGCGATGCCGATAACGACCCAGAGATCTCTTCTAGTGTTGGGGAAAAGGTTGATTCCGCTCCATTGCGACGCCAAGCTGTACACCAACTGCCTTGTGACGTCGACTTCTGGGTCGATCATGTCCTCGGGGAACAATAGACGAGTGCTGGCGAAGGAAAGCGACTGCAAAGCCACGGTGTCCTCAACCATGTCATCGAGGAAGCACAGCTTGTAGCTTTCAAAAGGAAACCGGGCAAACGTGAGAGTGAAGAAATCGGCGGCGGCAGCAAGCGCCGCGCAAGTGTTCTGAACCTCCGCGGCTCTTCCGGGGAGACAGTAACCATGAATCTTGAGAGCGCTTCCGCCAAGTTTTTCGTCGTTCTCCTCCGTACGGAAGTCTGAGAAGAGGTCGACATGCTCGAAAGGACCAACCGCAAAGCCGATTTTCTGGACTGCGACCCGCTTGTCGAGGTCAAAGGTCATGATCTTCTTCCGTTCGTCCTCTGGGTCTACAATCTCGTCTGAAAGAGTCCCCGAGCACACCACCGTCATCTCCAGAAGCTTGTCTTCCTCGGTGAGAGCGAAATCTCTCTCGGTCTTGGACTGGTTTGCAAGCCCGCGATCCCGATGGTTGTTCGCGTTGCCGTTTGCTCTCTGTGTGGCCAGAGGCTGCCAGAGTGCATCACCCAGCGTCCTTGGACATTTGACAGCCATCGTCCAGGTAGGAAGCTGACCAGGGTCGTCGATGCATGGGAAGATGCACGATGCCGTTCCTGGCTCAATTGAATGCCGAGTGTAGGCGTGTGGGTATCTGAGATCGCCAGGATCGACTCCAACGAACTGGAAGCCATCCCTCACGAGTTTGGTCTTGAAAGGTATCGTAACTCGAAACTCTCGCGAGCCGATCAGCTCGCTTTCCAGCAGTTCGTTCGGTGTCACGCTTGAGACGCGTATCTTGAGAAGCGGTCGTTTAGCCACTCCCGCTCCTGATGCCGGTTCCTCCTTGACTTCCTTAGTGTCCTTGATCTTCTTCGCCTCTCGCAGATTAACACGCAAAGCGCCGTCGACGGGCGTACAACCAACGAGCTCTCTATTCTCGGCAGGCACATCGTTCCGTCGGGTGTGCATGAGGGGGCGCATCCGGATCTTCCTAAGGTCATGATGCGAAGCGTTCCAGTTGTAGTACTCCGGGTAATCCAATAGCTTATACGGATCCGTGTACGTAGCTGAAACTTTTCTCGGCGGGGCGATGGGCATTTGGTCCTTGAGGGCAGTGATCGTAATGTTGTCGACGTCGATGTCGGATTGCCGCGCATCAATGGCGAGCTCGTCGAGCTGAGTAATGGCGCCGGATACCAGGCCAAATGTGATGTGGGATTTTCCTTCGATCCGCTTCGCTCGAAAATTGACCTCGATCTCGACATCTTGCTTGAGAACAAAGTATGGGTAGGGCGGCTCGTCTTTCAGAGGAGGTAGCTCGTCCTCGGAATCGCTGGCGATGGCCTCGTCGACGGCCGCGGCCGCCGCAGCGGCTTCGATGGCGCTCATGTTTGCTTAGTTTGCGCTCGAGGGGACTGCGTCGCGGGTCGGCATCAAGCGAAAGGCCGAGTCGCTCGAGTCTTTGATGACCTTTTCGGCGGGTATGAGATCGGCGGATACGATCCAAGAAGGTGCGCCGGCGCGAGATTCTCAGGGGCGGAATGCGTCGAGGGCCTCAACCATCCTGTCGCAGTTAACTGTCGCGAGGCTGAGATTCGGTCGTGGGAGGCGCCGGACGTGATTAAATCTGGTGGAGGAAAAGACCAGAAGCTGCTGATAATATTAATAATGCCTTTTCTCCGGTCGGCGGCGAGGTGAGAGGTACGAGGTCGAGCGAGGTTCTGCTGCGACCAAACACAAAAACTGAGGTCGGCAGCAGCTGGTACGGTTCAGGCCTTCCAAGGTCAGCGCGTCCCACGGCTCGTTCGCCCGCGACTGGAGATGGAGCTGCCGGAGCCACCTTGGCTCTTGCGCCTGCCCGTTGGGCGGGTCAGGTTGGGCCTGCGTTACGTAATCCGCCAAAACGCGCCACGCAAGGAAGAAGGTGCGACTGGCGGTTGAGCTCACATCAAGCTCCTTCCCAAGCCCAACCAGGTCCTCCTGTAATAGGTAGCCGTCACCCGTCCACCATGTACCGACAGCACTTTGGGAGAACCGACGCCGGATTTCACGACTTGTTCTTCTCAGCAGCACCGGACTCACGATTTGACACGACATCCAGGACCGCAGCACTCAATTTGGTACTGTCGACGTTTTTTTGGGACAAATCAACGCTTGTTCTCGAGCCATGCCACCCAGCAGGCTACATATGATAATGGTACAAATAAGAGCATCACGCCAACCCGATGCAGTGCAAGATGCCGCCGCAGGACACTCCAGGTATTACAAACGCATCGTCGGTTAGTCAAGCAAACCTCATCAGTGTCGGCCTCGACGATCACGACGCTTCTTCCTCGCATGCACCCTCAGCGTCTCCTCATCGCGAAACTCTTCAGGAAGATCGAAATCCTCCTCGGGTATCTCTGGTACCGGATGTCCCCATGCCACCACCTTACGACCGGCGCGCCTGTGCCGGTGTAAGGCGGCGTCCCTTTCGTATCTCTTTTTGAAGAATGACTTGAATTCCCTTGGAGGCTCAGGCTTCGGCGGAGGCCGAGGTTGTGGTGTGGCACGTGGGCGCTTCCTGCTGTTCTTTGACGCACCCGATCTTGCCCTGGCCTCTTCGCGAAGCTGCTGGGTCACCGAATCGTCGTCGTCGTCTTCGTCGTCGTCATCATCATCAGAGCCTGGAGGGTCTCCGTCACTGATGCCACCAGTCTGCTCATCCTCCTCGGCGTCCTCCTCGCCACTTGCGGAGCCTGCAGATGACTGAGCCTCGGATGTGTCCTCCGCCTCTGCTTTCTCAGCAAGGGCGCGGTCTTTCTCGGCCTTGCGACGCTTTTCCTCCAAGCTCCACTGGCGGAACTTGTCGAGAATCGCCTGGCAGCCTTTGATGAAGTGCTGCCGTGCGGGCTCGAACTGCTTCTTCCGCGTCTCAGTCACACCACTAACACCCATGACTCGCAGCCAGTCATGGCCTTGAAGGCCATCGAGGAGACGGGCGATCTGGTCCTTTTCATGCTGGGCCCGACCCTTCTCCGTGTTGCGTATGGACTTTTCCAATCGTTCTGCCCTCTTGTGGGCCGACACAAAGGTTGCATCGGGAAGGGGGTCCTCGACGGGTTCTCTTTTGTGGGAGATGCCGAGGAAATCAAAGTCTATGCGCTGTGCATCGACCAGTTCGTCAAACAGAGCATCGCCGTAGCCGCGCACTGGCACTCTGTGTGCGTCGGGTAAGCTTGCTGAGGCGTCACGTATCGCTCTAAATTCTGCGGTGGTGCCCAGGTATCGCTGCCAGGAGACTGGCTGATGGCGTGTGGGGTTTGAGTCAAAAACGACTATCGGGGTATCGATGGAGAAGAGTTCTGAAAGAAGAATAGGTGTCAGCAAGCGTACGACGCGATGGTGGGCTGCGGGCAACACGAGATGGAAAAGCAGGGAGCACGTACGCTGTTCCTTGGGCTCGTTCCCAATGACCTCGTCGTACTCGGGAAAGTAGGCCGACAGTTCGCTCTTGAAGCGAGTGGCCTCTTGGGAGCGCAGCTTGCGGCCTCCCTCCTTCGTGTGGGTATCTACATCGCGGGGCTGCAGGCGATCCAGCTCGTGTTTAATTCCGTTGATAACCTTTTCTTGGTGTTTGGTCAACTGGGCAGCATTGCCGTTGGCGGGAGCCGGTGTCGGATTCGGGGGATGCACCGTCGCGACGTGTTGCGGTGCGGATCTCGGCGTGGGCTTTGGTAGGGGGGCGGGCGGGCGAGGCGTTGTCGTGGTGGTCGGTTGCGGAGTCGAGGTGACGTTGGGGGTGGTGGTGGTCGCGTTGGCGTTGGCGACGGCAGGCCTGGCGGGCGAGGGCGCAGGGCGAATGAGGATCTCGATGCTCGTCCTCGGCCGCTTGGGTTTCTGGTGATCGAAATCGACGACGTTGTCGGCCGCATCGATCTGGCGCTTGGTGCGGCCGGGGATCGAATGGTGGTAGGTGTTGATGTTTTGGGGGGTGCTGGCGGCGCGCGTCACAGTGTTCGTGTTGGCGGCGGCGAAGGCCTGGACGGGATGGTGAAGGGGATGGGGATGGGGGCGCGGAATGGGCACCGGGTGAAGCTGCTGCTGGACGAGGCCTTCAGTGTTCGTCGCCCTCCTGGTGGAGCGCGTGACGGAGGCCATTGGCGACGATTGAATAGCCATTCATTGTTCTCCCGTCGGATCGTCGCGAGGGCGATTGATGGTGTCGACTGATGAATTTTTTTTTCTGCAGAGTCTCCGCCGTCAGTTCTCGGTCGCAGTGTCACGGTGTCGTCGTCGTTGATGCGATGCGGGAAGTGGCCTTCTGGCGGGATTTTGGAGGGGGCGCGCCGCCTGCTCTCCTTCTCTCTGCCCAAGCCTCTGAGGAGCTGTCTGCACTGTGCTTGCTTTACTGGACGCGTCGTTCACTGGGCTGGCCGGTAGGTAGGTGCCTGCCCAGTGTTTGCGTCCTCTCCCACGGGGAATGCCTGCCTCTGCTGGCAGCAGTGGGCGCCCGCTGTGTGTGGTGGTCAGCCGCTGTGATGCGCTGCCCGACTGCCTGCCTGTCTGCCGGCGGCACCGATGTAGGGGAATGTGCACCGCGGTACATCCAGGTTCAGCCAAACACTGGTGGAATTCCATGTACCTTTCTCTCCCTCGTCCACCCTCCCTCCCGTCGTCTTCTTCCCCTTGGCACCTCGCCGGAAACCGCCCCCTGAACCCGTTGCCGTCCACGTCAATGCATTAATTGAGCTGAAATCAATAATTGCAAGGCCATGTTCCGGTAGCTTTGACTACAGAACCACCAGCCAGGTGCGGAACATGCGCATGGGACTTTTTATTTGTTTATTTTATTTATCGCACATTTCACTACCATCCCTTACAACGTCGCGTCTTCGGGGTACCTTTTCCGGCAGACACGCGACCAACCCGGCGGGCTCAACGACTCGGAGTCGACGACTTGTGCATTCTCCCTTTACGCCCAGAACCTAGCACAACTTACCACTAGGCCTCTTCCCATTAGACTTTATCCCCCCCCCTTTTCCTAAGCGGGATTACTACGTCGAGTGTTCTACTCCAGACTACCGCATCCACAAGCATAGTGATGCACATCCGCCATCGCTTGCTTTTTGGGGTTTGATCAGCGTATGCTCGGCGGCCAAGCACTGGCTCAAGCAGGTAGAGTGGTTCTTTGGTTTTGGTGAGCACTAACAACATGACCTGAACCGGCCATGGACACATTCAAAATGCTTGGTGTTGCTTGAATAGCAGATGCCTGTGTAAGAAACAGAAAAAAGAAGAACAAACGCCTGTTCTCGATACGACGCGGAGCCAAAACGGATTTGGATTTGCTCTCGGCCCTTTGAGTCGATACCTGGGAGGTAGCTGGCGTGCTGTCTTACACATGGATGTCCGTATTATGCCCACGAAGGAGGGCCAGGGGTTATGTTCATGTTCCCAGACTCAGCAATTTGTGATGATGGATGTTTTGCAGTTCTATCAACTTCGGAAACTCTTCAGAGAGAATTAGGGTGAAGGAAGAGTGACGTGGTATGACGGGACGGTCTCGTTGGACATGTACCAGCAGTAGACCTCTCTGCTCAAGCATGGATGTTCGAGTGATTAGGCAACTGAGTGACGGGGTCGGGACCCAGCTCTGGGCTCCTGTCGGCTCAATGCTCCCAGGAGATAATTCGCCGAAGCTCGACTCGTTCTCATGAGGGACCCTGAGCCTATTTCAGATGATTCTACCTATAAAACGCTTTCGACCGCACCAAGGCGAGCTATCAGTGGCCAGAGTCTCGTCTTTTCGCGACCAGTGACAATGATTCCGACCAGGGTGCGACTCCATAAAGACCAATCGAATCCCTGTGTTAAAACAGTACACTCAAGAGTCGGGTTTTCGGTCAATATCCTGCATCCAATACCTCTCACCTGGCCTGTCTCTGACACTCACCTCGGACTTCTCTATCTGAGTGTCGTGGTTGTCAGGTTGAAGACAGGGTGTACAATCTTACCAACGTATACCTTGACATGCCGTTTGTTTTGGGAAGCGGAGGGCAACTGCCCATGGTCCAATAGACGTAAGAAAACCAGACAGGAACGCAATTATCTATACGGTGCTGCCACTCTTTCTATAGATGGTTTGACGTCTTGTCTTGTGTGGCTGGCAAGCCTCGGCACAGAAAATACGCAGCGTTTCCATGAACAAGTCTAGCTTCTCCGGCTTGCCACCCTCTGAGTTGAGTACAAGGTCACGACTCTGTACTCCATACGGATGTACTCATCTTACGCTGCTCGATGGAAGGGCCCCTTTTGGCCGGTGCCCTGGAGACTCGCAAGACTCTTCCAAAGTCCACGAAATAGCGTAGCATAGTTCAGGCCCAACCTTCCGGCCTTGGCAACTGCTTGAGTTGGGCAGAAAGGCGCGGCTTTCCCTTGTCTTGAAATCTTGACATCGCGCTTTTTTATCAACAGACAATGTCATAAGTCTTGTGAACTGCCGGCCTTGGGAGAGCATGCTCTCTACAGCAAAACAATCGAACAGCAAGGGCCATCCAGACAGCACACGGACAGGACCCGATCATCGCACCATCGAGTGTGGAAACACGCACATCATAACTCTCGTTGGGCATCATTAAACATTGCCATCTACTTACTGTTCTATACGCTCAGAATTACAAACTTTCAAAGCCAGCGCAGTGCAAGTTGAAGGGGGGGTATAAGAAACTCTCAAAGCAAAACCAAATCTTATCCACCCAGCCCGTGACGCGAGACCCCAAGACCGCTTACGGCATCCAGGCCCGCGGCAACACCCAACGACTCCATACCCAAGACGCCCGCCGACAATCCGGAGTCCTCTACGCTCCAGCCCTCCGACCGCCGCCCCCCTCCTCTCGTGTCCGCTCCTCGGCCAGAGTCTCCATCACCGGCTCCCCCTCCTCCCTCTCCTCGGGCCCCTTCTGCCCCGACGGCACCTGCGGCGCGAGGTTGAGCTTCCGCATCAGCTTCACCGTCACCCGGTTCTCGTCCCTCTCCTCGGCCTCCTTCTCGAGCACCTGGCGCTCCTTCTCCGCGCTCTCCGACTTGTCCCGCTCGTCCTCCTCGCGCCGGCGGAACTCCTCGGGCGCCATGATCTTCTCCTTCTTGTGCGTCATCTTCTCCAGCGTCCGCTTGCCCTTCTTGCGCGTCTTGAGGTACATCTCGAGCCCGACCAGCACGGCGTACGACTTGGAGATGCTCACGTGCGACGTGTCGACGCCCACGTCCTTGAGGTTCCGCACAAAGGCGCGGAAGTTGGACGCCGGCGGCCGGTAGTGCCCGCTCAGCGGCGACAGGCTTGACAGCCGCCCGTCCTTGATCTTGATGAGCCCGGCCGACGAGATGCGGCTGCCCTGCAGAAAGCTCGAGTGCTGGAACGCGCCCGACGACTTGATGCCCACGTACAGCCGGAAGCTCGTGTCGGCGACAAAGATCCACGTGTTCTTCTTGACCGACTTGCGCAGCAGCTTGTTGAAGACGGTCGCCGCCGAGATGTGCGACACTTTGCGCACGCCGGTCGCGCCGTCGAGGTCGGGGGTCGCGTACTTGGCCGCGCGGTCCGCCTCCAGCGCCGACTCCACCGACGACTCGGACCGGCTGTCGTCGGCGTCGTTGTTGCCCGAGTTGGGTGCCGGCGGCGGCGGGTTGTTCTGCGACCACGCCGGCGTCGGGTCGTCCGCGGGGACGATGCCGTGGATGCTGTCCTTGAACGCCTCCGTTGTGTCGATGCGCGCGCCGTTCTTGGCCCAGCACAGCCGCCCCTCGTCGTCGACCTGCACCAGGTAGTACTGCCTCTCCTCGCGCGACAGGTACCGCACCTGCTCCCGCTCGAGGCGGTCGCGCGGGCACGCCTCCATCTCCACGTTGCGCCCGCCGCCGTAGTCGAGCCAGTAGAAAAAGTTCTCGTTCGTGTCTGCCTTCTTCCACTCCTCGTGGTACACGCGCAGGTTGCTCCCGTAGCGGTGCTTCAGGTCGACCATCTCCAGGAAGTACTGCAGCCCCATCATCTTGGAGTCCTTCTTCCTCTGCGCGACGGCCTCCTCGCGGCGCTTCCTCTTCTCGGCCCGCTGCTCGGGCGTCTCCTCCGCATCCGACGACGATGCGGACGCGTCCGAGTCGGACTCGACGTCGTCGTGGCCCGCTCGCCGCGCGATCGTTGCCGCCTTCTTCCAGTTGTCCCGCGCCGTCGTCGGGCGACTCATGCCCCCCTCCGAGTCTCTCGAGAGCAGACTGTGCTGATCGTTGTTGCCGGCGGCCAGCCCCGCCACGCTGGCGGAGCTCTTTGCGCGTGGGCGGTTGAGCTCGCGGAACTGCAGCTCGTCAATGGCTGAGACCCATCTCGTCGAGGGGTCCAGGCTCAGGCCCTTCATCTCTCGCCGCACGCGATACCCGCGGTAGTTTCGTTGGATCAGCGCCGCGGCCCGGTTGATGGCGTCACTGTCACTCCTCTCGCGCCCTCCAGTCTCCGGCTGCGATTGCGGTTGCGGTTGCGGTTGCGGTTGCGGTTGCGGTTGCGGTTGCGATTGCGCCTCGTGCCCGGCGCCGGCTTCTCCTCCCCCGTCCTGCGAGCGCCGGGGGCTGTGAAAGTGGTCGTGGAGGTGTTGGGTCTGCATCGAACGCAACTTGGACTTGTTCCTCTTGATTTCGTCTTCGCGCGTGCGCTGTACTTCGGCAATCTTTTCAAACTCGTCCTGCGACGGCGGCACCAGACTGTCCATGTACTCCCTGCGCGAACTGTAAGCGGTGCTTGTTTGCGACTGCGCCAGCGAGCATGTGTCGTCACTGGGGGGAGCGGTTGCTGCAGCTGTGCCAGTCACAGCGGTCGAAGAAAAGTTGGAGTGGGTATCGTCCTCTTCAAGCGGCCTTGACGGCACGGGGGGACTGGCCGGCGGGGTAATGGCGGCGCAGGAAACGTGGTGGTGAAGAGGGGTCTTCTGGGGCCCAGAGGCATCAGCAGCGGCGTCTGAAGAGTCTGCACCATCGCCGTCTGTACCAGGTTGCTGAGCAGGAACCGGAAGGTTGTCGAGCTCGTCGTTAGGTTTCGTCATGGCTGGCGGTGTTATTGCGGGGTCCGCCCGGTTATGATGAAAGAGTAGGGACAGGGACCTGATCCGAGAGCTGGTTGGCACAGGCATCGGGCCTGTTTTGTTGGATTTTGTTCAGATGGTTCGAACTATGATGTGAGAGAGCTGCCAGCCTGTGTGCCGTCGCTGCCGGGTCCAGGTGCCTTGCTGATTTGTTTGGTGTCGGCGGCGTGGTGGACGGCGTTTTTCTCTCTCTCTTAGGGACAAGTTGAATTCACCCGGATGGTGAGTGTGGTAGACGGTGGGATGGCGCCAACGACTTGGACATGTGAACGGCAGGAGCCATAAGATATGGGGTTAAAGTAAGCATATATGATTACTATGTCTCCGGGGACAAAAGCATATAGTAAGGCCGTACGTAATAAGGCGGTCCCGAATATGGTGCGATTATAGAACAAAAAAAGGGTAGTTCGACTCAAGACTGCGCCTAGAAGGAAATGGCCGATCGATAATATATTGCGGCCGTGGGGCGCTCTCAGATCCTTTTTGATGGGGATCTCGGCGACGCCTATCGAGCAGAGTTCTTAGTGCGATACGGTAAAAGGAATAACAAACACCGCCCAGCACCTAAGCATCATACCATGCGAGGGGCCATCCTTGCGGTCAAGAAAGCTTGGTGCGAGCACTGCCAAGTTACCAACCCGCCAGGGGAAAACGAACGAGTAACAAGATGGGGTGGTGCTCAGCCAACTGCTGCTGCGTGCGTTTCGCTGGGCTGTGTGACGCATCATGACAAGACCGGCAAACCAAAAGAGTGTGACCTTGGAGAGGGTGGACCACCTCTTTCCACTGGATGGTTCGGAACCACGGATGTGGCCGTTGGCACGCGGCCGCCTTCCTCTGCGTTCATGAAGAATCCTAGTGATCGCCTAGCAATCCGCTGAGCCTCCGCGTTCAGTTGTCGAAACACGCGAAACATAAGCCAGTCGTCGACAACCACCAAGGCCCTAGTCAAAGGAGAGAAGCGGATGAGGAAAGGAAGCTCATAAACGCGGGTCCGTAAATAGCAAGCCAAGTGCATCGACAGACGCTTGACTCTTTTCTTGTCCTCGGAATTTACGTATTGAAGGTGGGCTGAGTTGGGCTGTCTTGGAGTCCCTTTGGACCCTCGGGTCCATTCCAGAGGAACAGACAAACCGCTAACCGGCTTAACGGCTGACTAGTCCCCGCCAAAAACATCGCCCAGCCCTGCATGTCCTGCTGAACATTACGCGTCAACTGGTGGGGAGGGTCCCCCTTCCGAGCAGCCCAACCAGCTTGGCCCATCTCCCGCCGAGTGACAGCACATCGTCACGGGCCACTTCCGGCGGTGCACCTTTGCGTCTTGCCTTTTTCCGTCCTACCCACCTCACCCCGCGGCCGCGGCCGCCGAGACTTTTACGGCAACGGGCTTGGCGGCCCCCAATGATCCAACGGCCTTGTACGAACCACAGTACTGACCGCATCCGCCGACTGTCGAACCTGTCGTGCAATACATTATCATTATTTTCCCATGATTCGGGCCGCCTTAGCCCACTATGTATGTGCAAATGCCCCTCCTCTTTCCGCCGTTTGCCGCCCTCGTCGACCGGCAGTCATATCCCCGCATCGCTGCACCCATTTCCGCCGCCGTACCCTAGAAAATGTACAACAAGAAAGTAAAGTGCGTATAGTCGGTATTTAGACACTGGGGGGTTTTTTTTTTTACGAAAAGAGGAAGTCCTTGAGCACTGGCGAGCCAGAGAACTCGGGATTCAACATTATACAACTGCCACGGGTCAGCAAAGAGCAGATTCATAACCCCTTCTGTTCGCAGACGCACTTGAGAAAGTATTGAAGGCCTGCTCTCCTCTTGTCGAGGAATCTGGGCCGGAATTTCGATATAACGCTCTTGGGAGGCAGAGGAGGTACAGCTGCCTCGAAGTTGGGGAACGTCTTGACTAGTCTCTCGCGGAGGTCGTCGAACTCGGAGTATCGCTTACGGATGTTCATGTAGCTCCCCTACGCAGAAAAGGTCAGCATCTATCGTCACATATCGGAGATTTCCCCAGCAAGCCCTCCATGTTTCGGGTTCCGAGTATGATGGGGCGGTACTGACTTGCAGCGTCTCTACTTTGATGTTCCAAACGACGAATGCCCCGATATTGGTCGCACTGCCGTTCACCACAACATAGTCGGTAATCTCAACGCTCTTCGCCCAGCAGGCTCGGTTGCGGCCGTTGACGTCACTCGCTTCGTTGTCGTGCATCGTTATTGCGCCATCGGGGAGAATCGACTCGGCCGACATGTTGGACACAGAGCGGTGGTGGCCGAGCCAGTACGGAGGCGACGTTACCGACGATGGGCTCGTGACAGTAGACTCGGTATGCGATTCTGTATCCTCGTCCTCGTCGCCGAACAAACCCCCGCGTGATGTCTTATTGTTGTTCTGGCGCGACAGCAATCCTTCAATGGTACCGTTCGTGGCGACCTTGGACGGCGGCTTTGGGTGGCCTTTTGCGCCGCCGTTCATGTAGCCGGAACGGAACTGGGGTTCTATCGCCGAGTCCATGAATCCATGTGCGAGGTCGCTACCTCATGGACAGCCTTTTGGTAGTTTGCGATGCAGTGCGTTTGGGCGCAGGTCGTGGGTGGTGCTTGCAGCGAGGTTGTGACGTATTGACGATATCAGAAGTCTGAGAGGGCGGCTAGAATGCAAGACGTGTGTCTCGGGGCGCTTCTAAGACTCCGGTCCGTTGGGGTGGTGCCGCGTGGCTGTGCAAAAACGACCGAAGGTGGAATGGCGGCCACTTGGCTCGCATTGGGTAGGCGATCTGTTGTTGACGGTTGTCGGCGAAGCTACCTGCGGACGGCGATTAGTCGGCCCGTTCCCTGGGGCCGGAAGGTAATGAATGTCTGGGGAAGTTGGTCAAGACGTAGAATGGGAAGAGCCGTTAAACAACAGTGTGCAAACCAATCGTCAGTTACTGTCGGAGACCGTTGGGACTTGCAAGCCAACCAGAAGAGAGGTCTGCATTGTTGATGTCTATGGCCTCATACTGGGATCCATGCGAATAAAGCATAACAATGAGGAGGCGCTCCTACCAGTACCTTAGTTGGCCCCGAGACTCGTCCTTTCCTCCCTCCCACATCTGCTAGTTCGTGCACGGAAGGAAAGAAGGGTCTTTTGCGACGGATAATCATGCTTAGGTAAGGAGCACTGGGTTGTCTCCTCTCCACTGCTTCACGACGAATACAGGTAGGAGGATGTCAGCAAAAGTCTGCCAGGTGCCAGTGGACAAGGTGGATCAGAGGTGGTGGTGTCGATGCCATTGGATGAGAGATTCAAGGTGCCACCGTCAGCGCTGAGAGCCGTTGCACGCACGCACTTGCACCACTGAACTCTTCAAATCCCAAGAACAACGATGGCGTCTTCGACAACGGGAAGCCGTCTTTCTTATTCTGTTGCCACCCGTCGCATACTTATCTTAGCACCTGTTGCTGTTCCTCGGGCCTCTGAATCGGTCAATCCGGGATCCTGGCTAGGTGGCTCTGACGGCCAACCACCAGAGACATCCAGCCGCAGCGCTTTGAAGAGAAAACGGAGAGCATGGCAGGAGAGCACCCGTGGATCCCGATTTCTATCGGTGTGAGCATTCCCCCGCGCGCCATCAGGAATCCCGCGCATCTCACTCCCACCCCCAAGCACATCGGTGCGGATACGAAGCTGCAGAACCAAAGCCAGAGTGGATGTGGATGGTTTGACACCTTCTCTTCTAGCGCATCTCGCCGACCGGGGTGTTTGGGCTTCTATCTTGATTTCACGCCGTCTATCCCGGTGCGCTCTCTCATTGGCGCTGGGCAAGGTTGCCCGGTACTTGCTACACCACGGTCTTCGAATATATGAATCATTACTTGGACCACCGTAGGTTCATGGTACAGTTGATGGAATAAACAGTCTCTCGAAAGGCATGGAAACGCGGACACCATTGACATGTTGACAGATTCAGTTGTGGCTGCGAGGCTTTGTACTCTCCGATTACAATCACGACGGCGTTGTTTATGACATCCATCCGGTGGCACTCCAAAGGGCAGCTCTGTTGTTCCCGATTTTGCACTATCAGCGCTCGACCTGGCTCCCACAAGTCACAACCAAGGCAGCAGACACCACGCGGGGACGTTGGGGGCTTCTTCAAAGGCTTGGGATCGTCGCCGGCCGAAGAGGGTCTCGGAGGCAACAGACAGCATCCGGGCGGAGCCAGCCACCTCGAATCCTCGAAATCGCAGCCTCAGGAGTCGGCGCTGTCCATACCCCTCTTGTGCTGTCTATCATATTTCAAACAGTCGACTTCGCCAAAGTGCTCTAGCTTGCAGAGCTAGCCGCCAAACTGCGTCGGCTGTCCTGCACAACGCTCTTGGTGAGGGAGCAGACATGCAGAATACGAGTGGCGATCGCCGGGAACAGCGATACTCGCCCTTTCTCGTATGTATGCATCAAGTGGTGTCAAGACCCTCACGGGAGAAAAGCTAGCGGTTGGGACAGTCGGAGACGGTTCCGCCAGGGCGAGAGGCACGACTCCTGTCTCGTAGCATTTGCATGCTGCATGTGGTGGTGGTCTCGTAAAGTTGTGCAAAGAGGAGCCCGGCGGGGAGGGGTCTGGCTTGTTTGGCCCAAAAAGCTACAGAGTTCCATAGTAGCACTGCACAATACCTCGGGTGGTCTTGGCTCCATAACTTTCACCCGCCGCATTTTTTTATGGAGAGCAGCAAGACAGTTCCAGTCTCTTCTGCAACCTCGTAATCAACAATGGGCCCGGTCATCCGACCTGCAAAGTGGCAGCCGAGTGGGAATTCGACCGACTCTGCCTTGGTCTGTTCTTGGGGCCGCCAGTGGTGGTCTCGAATCTCTCGCAGTGGATTGGTCGACGGGCAGAAACATTCGGACTCATCGTCGTCAGTGTGTCTTGAGAGGCTTTGGGATACGGGCGAGCACAGGAATGCTGAGCCCACGCCGCTGGCTAGCAGAGATGCCGATGCATGGACGGATGGCACAGCATTAGTAGCGAGAGCAGGGCGGTACACAAAGCTGGGGTGTGCGGGCGAGATCAGCAAGATGGCGATGGGCGGACAAACCGGCCCTCCCAATCTCAAACTGGTCCGGGGCTGCAAATTAGCGAACCAAAAGTCTAGAGTTCTCGGCAAGGCTGGGGGCGCATGAGGCGAGGGAGAGACGTACGGTATAGTACTCCGTACAGAGAGAGCTCTTGTCTCTGTTAGATCAGACCGCTCGAATGGTGCGGTAAAAGGGCCCTGGACAGTTTGAGTGGACTCGGTGCAAAGTTACATTTTGTGGAGGGGAGATTCATCTCCGGGCAACACTGGACACCCGATCTCGTTAGCGGGAACAGGTCAAACGCAGCGCTAGCAGCAGCCTCCTGGTTTACCTGTTGTCGTCGATGCTGCAGACTGAGAGTAATAACCAGCAGCAAGCAGCATCAACAACAGCAAAAAACAGCAAGCCAGTAGGTAGCAACAGCAGCGAGAGCAGCAGCGAGAAGCAACGCGAGAAGCAATCCCCCATCTCACGGATCCCTGCCGAGGCGTGCATGGCCCACTGAACCCTTCCCTTCCCAAGCTCCTAAGCCTCAGACTCCACCGAAAAAACAATACCAATAAGCTTAGGGGTGGCCACCGCTGCAGTAACCACACGAACACACCCAACAGGCGACCTTATCCAACCCCCGAGGAGCATCCCCAACCTGGCCGCAGCTGCTCGGTCGGGCCTCGAGATGGCCCTCGCCTCCCGGCTTGCCTGATTTTGAGGGATATGGCACCCCACGGTGCCGAAGGATCACACGTCCACCCCGACTATCAAGCGGGTCGACGGCAAGGGCAACAAGAGACAGACATGCCAGACCTCCCCCTCACAGTATCTGCACATCCCCATGGCTGTCGGTCAAAGTGGTGACTCTACGCTCTTCCTTGAGCCTCGACGACTCCCGACGACATGGGTGGTACGAGATGCCCTCCGTGATCCATCCAGCCCGGAGAGGTTCATCCTGTGATTGGGGGCGGACGAGCAGGGCCCCAGCGAACACGCCCCGGCCCTGGTCCACGCCTAGCTGGAAATACGCCGGGTGGCTGGCGTGGAGAACGTGCTAAACCCAATTCCGCCCGTTTTCTCTCTTGGGCTCACCCCTTCCACCCCTTTCCCCATGCACCCGTGGGATATCGCGAGCCTGTGGCGTCGTCGCCCAGGGACCCCGGGCCTCCTTTATTTTGGACCTCGCGAGAAGAAGCGCGCGAGGAGCTGCCGATGCGATGCAGGCCCTCTCTGCTACCTAGATCCGCTTGGCAATGGCGCTCCGGCTCCTCTCCACGGGCCCTCGCTCGCTCTCACGCGGAGGCACCGCGCTACGGATACGCCTCGACTGAGTTTTTGCTTGATATGAACCCCCGTCCGGCTTCTGTGACGATTCCACTTCGTTCCTCTTCTTCTCCTCTTCCTGTCATCCCTTCCCCATTTCCCTATCGAACCCTCGGTCTGTCTCGCCCTTCGTTGCACAGTTGAGCCTCCGTCGATCCGACTTGTGTCTGCACATATATCTGTCGCTAGCCCCCCATTGCTGCCCCCTCCATCTCTCGTTGAACCGCCGTCACAACAGCTCTCAGCCGTTTCCACGCCTCAGTCGCTACTAATACATTCTCGGACCAAGAGCCGCCATCCAATTCCGTCAGCAATATCGCTCCGAATCATCAACCACTCTCAGTGCGTAAGTCGGGTCGCCGCCCCCCATTCCTCGGGCGCCTCGCTCGTAGCTCTAGACTCTCGCCTCCCCCTCCGGAAGCCATGTGCCGTCTCAATGATGTTGCCGGAGCCCCAGTGGAACCCCATTCACTGGCCCGGGGGCCTGGGCGCCGGGCTTGGGATGAGAGTTCAGGAATGCAGCCAGAAACTGGCCCCATAACATATACACAGACGGGGTTCGCTGACCGGGGAACGCACTCTGACAGGTCGAGATTAATATTTTTGGATTTCGTTCAAGAACCTGTACAACCTTTTTCCACCTGGACACCTTTCGAAATATCCAGAGTCCCCCGACGGTTCCAGGCCAGCCCAGCACATACGCCTCGCCAAACACATAGCAAAAATGCCTTCGTTCAAGAGCACCTTCTTCGCCGTGGCCGCGGCCTTTGTCGCGACCGCCCAGGCCGACTATGTCATTGACCCCAACAGCGTCGCTTTGTCCGTGAGAAGTACGTTTTGAGAAAGCCGTCCCATGGAAGCAACACGTTTCCGAGTATTGTGCTCGCGGATTTGCTAACGCATGCTGCAGAGGGTTGGTGCAAGGACCAGACTTACTCGTGCCCCGTCATCTGCCAACAGGTCTCGACCAAGCCTGCCGAGGTGAACGAGTGTGACCCTGTAAGTAGCCATTATCTGCCAACGAAGGAGGAGAAGAAAGGGAACCCGAAGAGCTGACATGACTCCCCTCACCAGGCTGCCCTCACCTACGGCTGCATCTGCGGCGACGGCAAGCAGCCCAACATGTCCGAGTACTCCCTGACGCTGCCCTACCACGTCTGCCAGGAGTACGGCAACCAGTGCGTTGCCGCCTGCGGCCTCGGCGCCAACACGTGCTCCAACAACTGCCGTGTGAACAACCCCTGCGGCGCCCAAAACCCCACGCGTGTGAACGCGACGTCTTCCGCCGGCGACTCGGCGACGGCCACTGCTTCGGCTAGCGAGACGGCCAACGCTGTCTACACCGGCATTGCCGGCGAGACCAGCGGCTCCGGCTCCGGCTCCAGCGGCGCCGCGACCCTGGAAATGGGCCGCAGCGCCGGACTGGCCGTCCTCGTCGGCGGTGTGATTGGCGGCGTCGCTTTCCTGCTTTAAGTGAGCGTTTGGGGTCGAGCGAGTAGGTGGGATGACGGAGAGGAGGATGCGGTGTTGTGTGTTCTGTCTCGTCCACTCTTTTATACCCCCCTTGCACAAAGCTTTTTTTAAACCACATGCTCGGCGTTATATGGGCGCGGAATCGAAACCACCGGCGGCAGGGTCTTGGATCAAAACCAAACAATTAATGTCTTTTTAATATCTTTTGCGGGCAGAACACAGCAACGGAGGGAGGGGAGAGGAGGGGAATGACGGGATGCATATGGGCCAACATGTTGTCTGCTTTTGTTAGCGTTTTTGCGAGTCATCTGTATGAGGGATGTAGATGACGATGGAAAAAAGAAGAAATATTGGAAGAATGAAATCAGGAGCAAAAATCGAGCTCCCTTTGAGAAAGCAATCACGTTCATCCTTGCAGTCTTGGTGTCCGGTCCCGTCGTCCCGACTCGTTAGCGCCCCGCTCATGTCTCTGGCGGGTTGAAAGGCCTTGGAGGAGGAGGCGTATCTGACGGGCTGGGGGCACGAGACCATCTACCCTGTTCAGCCCGTCCGAACATCGTCCCGTGACGTGGAGTCATGCTAGACTGGCATGGCGGCCACCGGCGCGGTGTAGGCGGACGGCGATGCTAGGAGATATCTCGGGACGCGGACCCGGCGTATTTGCGTGGTTTACGAGAGTGAGAGCGTGGGGCGTTGATGGGTCGCGGGCGCCAATCAGAGTCGTGATGGAGTTGAGAAGCCTCGGAGACAGGCATGTAGGATTATCGACGTGTACGACATGAGACACGATAGACATGACAACCGGAAGCCCAGGGCGGGGCTCAAGGTCGGATTTGGCGCCTTTTAGACTGCTCGTGCCACATGCAAGCTAGATGCCGCCATGCCTGGCATTATGCCGGGACGGGGTCACGGGAGTCCAGCATGCGGTAAGGTGAGCGGCAGGCCAGGCCTCTGACCCGGCTCCCGATCTTGATGGCCTTGATCTGAGGCTGAAGCTACCTGAGTCTGCGCGAGAGTGGAGGGTTCTGAGCAGGGGGATTCCTCACATGCCAACGCTGCAAGACGAATCAAGTAGCCCTTGATTTACCTCGAAAAACGCATGCGAACCGCCCAGCGAGTGAGTCCCTCTGGGGAGCCGATAACCAGACGATCTAGGTTTGAACCTCGCTCGGGATCGGCCGGTCTGTGGTTCGTGGGGGTGAGGATGTGAGAAGCTACCTACTGAAGAGATGGGCTCGGTATGTTCGGCCAGTCGTGCCCGACGCTACCTTGGCCGACTGCTTGCCGGAGCTCCCCTTACCGCAACAGACGGCTTCAAAAAAATTACAGACAGCACGGAGGCCGGGTCTTTTGAGCGTTTCTCACATGCCAAGTACCCGTCAATGCGCATAATCATCGAGGCCAGAAGGAAGCCGTAAACCGTAAACCAAGATGCAAGCTTGAGCACGTTGCAGTTGGAGGCGGCGTTAGGGCCGTCCAGCGTCCCCCATCCAAACCAATGACGTTGGAGGGAAGCCGCGGTAAAAAGGCGGTAAAAGCGAGGGGGGGTCCCTGAGTTTCTCTGTCTCGGGCCTTTGGGGGGGGGGAAGCGCAAGCGTGGAGGAAACGGGTGAGGAGCTTGGGGCGTTTAGGAAAGCTGGCGCATGGTTTGAACAGGTTTGATAGGTAGGGGCCCTTGGGTCCTCGATTTTTGTTGAACGCCGAGAGCAAACATGGGACGGTGGACTGTGGCCATCCATGTGATTTGCTGCAGGGGAAGGAAGATCGCGAGATGCGAATGGAGAGGGGGAGCCGGTTTCTTGGTGAGTGGTCACCAGCAAGGCGGTGGTGATGATCTGGTCGGGACGTAGGAAGGGTGCGATGCAGCTCGCTCTATGCGTAGACACATGTCAGTGATGTGGTTGCATGGCATTCGCAGGTCATGTTTGCGGGCGGGAGGAATCTGGAAGACGGGAATCACGAGCTTTTCGACTGTCCGGGCCTCCCACATTGCGTTGCGGCTCGGGTACGTACCCCGCAGCTTCATCCGATCCATCCAATCCGTCCTTCCAGAGTAGTGTAGGTAAACTACCTCGCTGCGGTGAAGGTCGACGACAGACAGTAGTGGTGTGCAATGCAGGGCTGGGCTGATGCGCGTCGACGGCCGCGTACCTACGGCACTGAGCCTCTCCTGCCTCCCCCCTTCCCGCCCCGGCCGCGCCCCAGGCTCCTGGACCAGTTGCAGGCGGTACCTGTGTGGATGGAGACCTCACCATCTTGATTTGTTCCCGAAACAGGAAGCTTGTGCCTGCGCTGCCTGTCATTCGCTGGCCGTCGGCATCCCGCCCGAAAGGAAGTGCTCCACTTCATCTGCCTGACCCCGGCCACTTTTCACCCCTAAAAGAATTACCTTAAGTAAAGAATTAAATAAATAAAAAAACCGGACGGCACGGTCGACTATGATGCGAACTCAATAAGGCCAGTCTCGATCCCAAGTCTGTCATCTCTCCCCCTTCCCTTGCTGCATTGTGCACTTGCGGTGGAAGCCGGACGCCTCTTCTTGTTCTTCACACCTTCGGTCTCTTCTTAATAGGACCATTGATCCCTCCCCTCCTCCCCCTCCTCCACCCCCCACCGCCGTTGCCCAAAAAAACAATCCCACTCTATTGCTTCTGGCCCTTTTTTTGTCTCCCAACTCTGCCTCCCCCTCCAAACTCCAACTCCGACTCCTCCCCCGCCGTCGCCGCCGCCGCCGTCATTCCAGACTCTTATTTGGTCTCTGACGCAATTCCCTTGAAATGGGCGCCGCAACTTCAGAAAGTAAGCACGGAACCCCTCCATCCTTCCCTCCGCCGCTCCAGAGAGAGACCAGACACCTTGATGGCCTTGGCGTAGGCGTCGCAAACGCGCCCGTTGCATTGATTCGATGCGCCTGCTCTGAGAGCTTCCCCGGGAGCTATGGTGGACCTTGACGATGAACGACTGCTAACACCCCATTGAGCAGGGACGGCCTCCGCCGAATGCATTTCGGACGATGCCCTCATCCACCTCAAGTCCTACAAATACTCGTCCGTCGACAAGTCGCCCATCTCCAACTACATTCTCCGACCCTACGTGCGTAGCCCCTCCGACGATCCCCCTCTCCCCTCCCTCCCGCCGCTGCCCCGCGCCCGTCCGAGCGGCCACGAGCTCAGCTCAGCGCATCCCCTCCAACGACTCTACTAACCGGTCTCTCCGCAGTGGAATGCCGCCGTTGAGCTCCTGCCGCTATGGCTGGCCCCGAACATGGTCACCCTGCTAGGCTTCTTCTTCATCCTCGGAAACATTGGCCTTCTGGTCATCTTCATGCCTGATCTGGTCGGACCGGTACGTTGAAACACAAGCTTTGGAGCAGGCTCCGCAACTCCGCTTTGGAGCGTCTCGCTGACACTGCAATAGGGTCCGTCATGGTTGTACTTCAGCTTCGCCTTCGGCCTGTTTATGTACCAGACGATGGACAACCTCGACGGCAAGCAGGCGCGGCGCACCGGCACATCGAGCGGACTCGGCGAGCTCTTCGACCACGGCATCGACTCCTTGAACTGCACCTTGGCCAGTCTCCTCGAGACCGCGGCCATGGGCCTCGGCACCTCCAAGTCTGGCGTCTTCACAGCCCTCGTGCCCTGCCTGCCCATGTTCTTCTCGACCTGGGAGACATACCACACGCACACCCTGTACCTCGGCAGGATCAACGGCCCTACCGAGGGCATCCTGATCGCCTGCAGCTTCATGGTCGTCTCCGGCATCTACGGCCCCGGCATCTGGACCGAGCCCATCATCAACATCCTCGGCGACAAGGCCGAGCAGCACCTCTTTGGCTTCCACTACCTGCTGGGCGACTACTCGATCCGTGACATTTGGATCGCCATGATTGTCTTCTCCCTCTTCGCGACGCACATCCCCTTCTGCGTCCTCCACGTGATTCAGGCCCGTCGCGCGCGCGGCGAGCCCGTGGCCCCCGTCTTCTTGGAGTGGACGCCCATGACCGTCTTCACCCTCGCTATCGGCGCCTGGGTCTACTCGCCTTACTCGGCCATCCGCAGCGACAACCATCTTGTGCTCTTCTGCTTCATCATGGCCTTTGTCTTTGGTCGCTTGACCACCAAGATGATCCTTGCCCACCTGACGAAGCAGCCTTTCCCATACTGGACCGTCATGCTCGTGCCCCTCGTCGGTGGCGCCATCTTTGCCAACCTGCCGCATCTGGGTCTCCCTGCCGTCAGCGCCCAGGCCGAGCTGTACTACCTGTACGCCTACCTCGTCTTCTCCGGCGTTGTCTACTTCCGCTGGGCGTACTTGGTCATCACCAGCATCTGCAACTTCCTGGGCATCAACGCTCTTACCATACCCAAGGAGAAGCAGCTGGCGAACAAGCAGGCAATCGCTGCCGCCAAGGCACCGCCTCTGACCAACGGTCTCATGAACGGCATGAAGAAGGACTAAATCTCCGGTCCGCAAAAGCCAAGTCTCCGGACAGCCGGATGACTGAGGGGCTTCATCCCCAGAAAGAACCAGGTGTGGCGCAGAGCGGGGCGATGGTTCCAAACAATCGTACTACGAATTTCTAAAGTGGAATGAATTATAGCAAGTCTAGCGGCGGCTTTCAAAGGGAAACGGTTGCGCTTTATTTTTGCATGGATGTCGGCGTTGCTGGAGGCTGATCCCACTTTCAACATGGCATGCACTTGATACTGGCGCTTTATTTTGGTTGAGCAAAGCCATGGGATGTTGGCATGGATTGAGTTACAGGTACTCCACTACTATTACTACTCACAAGGACGGAAGCAGTCCTTGCATAATACTCACGTTCAACTTCAAACGTACTTGAAAGACGCAAAGTGGTCATGCTGTGTTGGGATTCTAACCGCTACTTGACAAGTGAGCTGTCGTGTGTACGGGGGTTTCAAGATGTTGGGTGAGATTTTTTAGCGTGTGTGGTTGGACATACCGAGTGACCAGTAAGAGTCTTTTGTTTCCTGCTATGACAAGGGTTAGAGCAGGAGAACTCAAACTTGTACGACTTGAGCAGTGAGAACTTGGTTTGTCACAGAGCTGTGGTAGGTAATAAATAACAGAATTTCCATTTCGATGATGACAGTCCTAGAATGAATGTGCCAAGCATCAAAAAGAAAAAAGAAAAAAAAAGGTAAATGAACTTGAGTTCACAGAGATTATAATACATATAAGGAAACCACTATTGATTCAGGGTAGTGGAGTGTTTATTCAAAGCCTTCTAACTCCCAATGCTATACCTTGTGTAAGCCATATCAGCCCCAGCATATGTAGCTATTCCACGAAGACAACATTTCTTTATTCTAGTGCGTAGGTTGTGCAAGGAATTTTCAGACCCTGGCAATCAGTCTCCGTTCAGCCTGTAGAGCTCAGCAAACCTAGTCTCCTCAGACATCAAGGAAGTTGGCTCGCCGAATTCCAAAAGCTCCCCGTCACCAAACAACGCAACCTTATCATAGCGAGCCACGTGCGTGAGTCGGTGCATGACAGCCAGCACCGTGCAGCCACCGAACTCGTTGTCGATAATATTCTGCATGACTGACTCCGTCTCGGTGTCCACGCTGTGCAATGTCAGTTAGACAGCTAACTGAGTAACAGACCATGGTCGAAACTCACCTGCTCATTGCCTCATCCAATATCAACACCTTGGACTGCCGCACCATGGCCCTGGCCAAGCAGAGAAGCTGCTTCTGGCCAGCCGACCAGGCCTTGGTATCCATGTCCTTGTCCAGGCCGCCCTGGCCCTGAACAAGGCCCCAAAGGCCGACCTTTTCCAACGCCTGGGTAATCTCTTCATCGTTCGGGCAAGCGCCAAAGGGATCAATGTTGAAACGAACGGATCCAGGCATTAGGAAGGAATCTTGAGAGACGACGTTGATGCGAGAGCGGAGATCGGCTGGCACCAAGGCCGACACGTCTACGCCGTCCAGCTCAATCTTGCCCTCTCTCACATTCATCATCTGCAGCAGGCTGAGGATGAGTGATGTCTTGCCGCTACCAGAACGACCCGCTATCGCAACGTGCTGGCCGGCATCAATGGACAGGGTGACGCCCTTGAGCACCGGGTCCGCGTCCGGGCTGCCAGGTGTTCACTTGGTTAGTTCGCTGTATGAGAGATATTTTGGAGGTTCTGGCGAAGTGACTCACCTGTACGACGCGACTATGTTGGAGAACTTGAGCGCCCCGGCCGACGGCCACAATGTCGGCAGAGACGTCTTCCCAGCGACCGCTTCAGTCTCAGTCTCCGTCACAAAGCGCCTGACCCTAGCAACTGCCCCTACGCTGGACTCGAGTTTGGTCCAGGTCTGGATAAGACGCGCCAGAACCTCGCTGAAGCCGATGACCATGACGAGACTGACGCCGACGCTGCTCGCACTGAACTTTGCGTGCCACGTCACCACGGTCGACACGAGCACGACGGCGAGCGCGGCCACGACGAGATTCAGCACAAAGGCGAGCCAAGCCTGGATGCAGCTCAGGACGTAGTTGGGGCGCTGCGACGTGTCGATGTGGCGATAGTTGCGCTCCTGGTACTGGGCCTGCCAGCGGAACGCGCGGATCGTCGCGACGCCAGCCACGGACTCGGTGAAGTGGGTGTAGAGGGGTGCTTTGGCCTCGATCCCCAGCAGGCGTATCTGGCGAGATGTCTGCAGGTAGAAGCGTTGGAGGAAGTAGAGCACAGTGCCGAGGACGGGTAGAGTGGCTCCGAGGTACTGGGAGAAGACGGCCAGGATTATGATTTTGGCCAGGACAGATACGGCGGCTGTCAACGTTGTCAGTACTTCAAGTCCCCGACTTTTGATTCAGAAATTACTGACTGGACGTGTAGTTCACCATCGTGGCGGGCAAGTCCATGTCGAGAAGTTGCATGTCTTCGCTGAATCTGGAAAAGGGTTGAGTTAGCATATTATCGTCTTCGTGGTGGAAAGGGTCACTTGCCGGTTGAGAAGCTCTCCACTATCTGTCTTGGTCAAGAAGCTGAAAGAAGCACTATGGATGCGAATCAGTCTTGTTGCGCAGATTTGAGCCGGTAAGTTGCGTGAAAGACCTACGCGAGAACGGTCTTGAGGAGGTCGGTGTGGAGATTGAGAGCTGTATTGGACACAACGTCGAGGAAGGCGAACCAGGCGGCCAGTGAAGCACCCAGAGTCCCTAGGACCCCAAACATGGCGTATATGCCCATGTAGTATCCGACGCTCTTGTTGGGCGCGGCCGTGTTCGCCTCGGACCACCACTTGACCCAGACGGCTAGGAACGTACACGCATCAGCTCCCCGTCTGCCGTGTATGTGCGTTGCAACTTACTTGAAAACTCGGAGAAGAAGATCCATGCCACGACAGAGATGCCGTATAAGGCCACAGCCTTCCACCCTGCGTTACGAAAGTAGTACATGTAAACCGCCTTCTCCCCATTCTTCCGTCGGACGTCGGTATGATGGGTCTCGTCTTGTCCACTCCTGTCGGTTGATTTGCCTGGTTGGTCAACGGGAGCTTCAGACTCATCGGTGTGCGCGTTCTCGATTCCATCGTCAGAGGGCATCCTTAGACCGAGCTTGCTGACATACCCCTGGCTCTGTACCAGGTTTGCAAGACTGCCAGCTTCCTGGATTCTGCCGTTTTCAATGGTAATCATATTGTCTGCAAGAACCATGATATTGCCTATTTTCAATACCATCAGCAAGGTGTACAAGAGATACGTGGCCTAAATGGTGCTAATGACATACGATGGTGAGTTACCATAATAACCGATGTATGCTGTTTCCTAAGGAGGCCATCGCCTTCAAGCAAACTGTTCGAGACGTGGTGAGAAGTTCCAGCATCCATTCCACTGAAAACATCGTCGAGGATCATCACCTTGCGTCTGGAGTAGACGGCTCGTGCTAGTGCCTATATAAGTGATGAGTAGGTTAATGCAATGATGCTGAGCGACAACTAAGACTGCCTGGATCACCTACGATGCGTTGTTTTTGGCCACCGCTGAGGTTGACGCCCTTACTACCAACGAGAGTGTAATCACCTTTCTGGAGTGCTCGCAAGTCGGCCTCAAGTCCGCAAGCATACACAACGGTGTCGTACCATTTTTGATTATAGGATGAAACCCCAAGAATGTTTTGTCGAATAGTGCCGTTCTCAAGCCAAGGAGTTTGAGAGCAATACGCCATTGCATCTCTCTTGTACCACTTTTCCGGAACCGGCTTCTGATTTGACGAAGTAGAGATCAGTTCGCCTAAAACCGCGTTTAAGAAAGTCGACTTGCCACTTCCGACTGGACCAACAACAACAGTCACAGCACCTCGCTGGATTCTGACAGTGAGGTTGTGGAGCAAAGTCTGTTCTTTTTGCCATCCAAAGCTCTGACCGTGCCATGAGACGATATGATCCTGCGGTAAAGAAGTAAGGCTCTTCGTGCCGTCAGAGGTCAGCGATATCAGCCCAATCTCAGCTCTCGACTGAGTGTCTTGAAGGCTAGGGGTAATGTCTTGCTCATCATTCTTTTCCGCATTATGGCTATAGTTGCAAAAGTCTTGAATGCGCTCGAAACAAGCGAATGACTGCACAACCATGGGCAACAGCTGGATGAAACTGACGACGGGTGTGGTGAGCAGTGCAATCAGAGCAATCGAGGTGAACGCTTGTGCAGGTAGCAATGTGTCATTCTTCCAGTAGACGGAAATAATGGTATAAACAGCAAAAGTGACAATAGGGGCGAGGTTGATCGGAGTGAGTGCTGAATCGTTCTGATAAGCATACAAGACAACCATAGCGCAGCCAAGATACTTACAGAGCAACAAAGTTGCCACAAGGAGTTTTCGGAACGACTTGGATGTGTTGATCTCCTCTTCTCTGAGACTTTGGATCTTGTTGGACATGACTTCAGTGAGCCCGAGCATCTTCACGGCTTTGATTTCACCAAGCATGCTCGTAGTCGCTCGGAGCCGCTCCTGGATCTTTTCAATCCACCGCGTCTGCGCTGTCTTTGTGGCCACCGATATTTTAGACGTCGCAGCTATGAAGACTAGGAAGTGTGGGTTAATACTCGTGGAAGCGGTACAGCAGACGCAGCGCTCACTTACTCAGAACAAGTACAATAGGGGCTAGACAAGCGAGCGAGAGCTGGAGTCCAAGCAGCCAACTGGCAACGGCAATGTCCAGTAAGGAGGCCCAAACTGCATGAAACATGGACATCGCCCCAAATATGCGTTCCACGTCGGTTCCCATGAGAGCAACCGCCGTAATTTCTCCTGTCTCGACTTCCCTGGTGTGTACTGCGTGTTGATAGATGAGCGCGATCAAGCCCCCGCGAAGTCTGGTAGTGAACCGAAGATTATGGTATTGGTAGATCGAGTTGCTCACCGCGATGCCCAAGTATACCAGTGCCCAGGCGCCGATCAGTCCCCTACCGTAGTTTGCATCGGGATCGTGTTGCCCTACAAAACTGACCGTTACGTTGATGAGGAATGGCTGTGCGAAAGTAAAGACGGTGAGGCACAGTCGAGGTATGACAGGAGACAGGAAGGGAACGAAGTAGCTCCGTAAAGAAGCTCTGAGAAGACTGCGGCGACGTTGGTGATCATCTGTGGGGGACCTAGAATGAGTGAAGTCCTCGCCATATCCGGCCAAAAAGTAAGAGACTCACATTTGTCCCAGGCAGCAGCCAAATCTTTATGCAGAGTGCAACTGTCGAGGCTAGGATCGAGATCAGGCAGATCGCTGAGGGAAATGACTCTGGAATACCCCAAGTAAAAAGTTTGTGCAAGCCAGGAAAAGCAAGTCCTCGCCCAGAAACCGCTGCTCTGCTCTGGCGTTGCAAGTTTGTTGCCTGAGCTTTCGTGGCCATGCATTCTCTTCTTCGATTCAACCGACTCAAGAAGAAGCGTCGCCACAGTGCAAACGAATACGAGCGTCAATGCAGTTGGAACCGAGACGCTTTCCTCCAGAAGCCATGCCGTGCGGACGCGGGCAATCCCTACAATGATTGCCGCGGAGAGGTACAGACTAAGTAACGTTGACGGTCGGTGTGAACGTTGGTGGCTCAGAACGGAGAGTAATGAGGCCGCGATCGTTGCGACGAGCGTCAAAGCATCAGCTGCGATTGATGCCGAGGTCTGAAATGACCTAACTTGAGTCCGCACAGTGAGGAAAGCTATCTGGGACGCAAGCAACACCGTCAAGACCGCCTGAGCACATACCACTCGTCAGACACTCAAATACATAGTTCTTGGCGACTTGCAAGAAACAGACGTACTGATTTGCCATACAGAAGCTTGGATCCGGCCGAGTAAGTAGGAGGTAGGCGAAGGAGAGAGACCATTCTTGATGGTGCGAGGAGGAGAAAGAAAACGGCTGGGAAGCATGCCAAAAAGACGTCCTCAAAGTACAACGTAAAGTCGAATGAGCGGCAGTCCGGATAGACTCGTGGCCCAAAGGACCGATCGTTGGAGAGAGCTGCGCATGGCATTGCGGACGGCTTACAGTCGATAGCGCCAGGCTGAAGCGATCAAAGCCTTGCAAGGAAGTGAATAAGTAACAACAGCAATTCACGATTTAAGTCGGCCGATACAAATGACCAATTGAACGTCCCCTTATAGTTAGGGGGTTTGGGTAAGATCAAATACAGAGAACAGTTCGGGACGGAGACAAGACGCGTACGTGACGGTGCCTGTCGGCTAACAGTGGTGTTGTTGGATCTGGGAGATAAGCCGGTCGTTGCGCGCCGACCCGCGTAAATGAGCAGGCAAGTGAATATTCATACGCCGTATCTTATCAGACAGAGCTTACTACAGCGAATAATATTCGGAGACGGCTGCTAAGATTACACTTTACCTCACCCCTGGTTTTTATCTAGAGTCAGGATGGTTGTGATTTGATATTGAGGTCCCTACTGTAGAGTTATTTTCAATTAACGTGCATGTGCTAAAGTCACGAGACTCAGCTGATATCTCCCCATCCAGGAGGCAAGCTAGTGAAAGTACTTGCATGTTCTAAGCATTCATCTATGGCATGGAGACCGCCCTGTCCTTTCCCTGACGGAAGGTACTGAGCTAGAGCAATGAGGTTCTTGCAATTTTTGTTTTGGTCTAGCTTCGCGTCACTCATAGTAGTGGTAAAGGCAACATTGTGTGCGTCTTGTCTGGACACTTGATACCCAGGAAGGAGTATTTGCCGCAGGACATAAGCCCCTCCCTACCATCGCATCCAAATTGCAGCCATCTGTGATGACCAGTGTATCTGCATCGCACCAAGAGTCCAAGGGATCAAAGAAACAGAGAGAATATCGATGGGAAATATATCTTGAACAGAAATCTCCACTCGACCAGCATGCTTCACCAGGAGCTCCAGAAGCTGTGAGCTCCCTGTTTAAGCAGAATTAAAACCCTGTAGCCCAGAAATAAGTAAAGAGCTTGCTGCCAGCGGCATTCCACGAGTAAGATGAGCAACTAGAAACGTTGTGTCTTTAAGTGGAACAAGCGTTCAGTTCCGCCGATAATTCCTAATTGGCCACTGCTCAACCCAGTTTTCACTAGGCGAAAAGTCCTTGTGGCGAACAACTAGGTAATTCAGTATCAACCAGCAATTGTAAATTGCACAGACTTTAACTTCTGGAATGGGACATTTAGAAACGTTACATATAAGTAATGAAGCCAGCTCACGAATGTGGCTTGGTCTGATTCAACCTAAAGTAGACCTACTTGTTGCTAGGTGACAGCTACTTGAATTTAGTATTACTGGGCCTTCAACTAGTATAAAGGTAATTCAAACTCGGAGTCTTTCCAACTTTGAGGTATGCATATAAGAGCAACTCAACAACCCACATAATTTGATGGATTTGGTTATCACGTGTGCTAATACAGCCCGTTATTTTCCTTTCTTTGATGCAGACCACTGGTATCCAATTTAAAGATTTTGGGGGAAATCTTTTAAGTGAACAATTAGTTATTTTCTCGGGTTACTATCGGGTATAATTACTGTTGGGTTCTGCGAGGCACAGAAGCGCTATATTCTGCTGGTGCCCTTTCACTTCTTTGTCTTGGGTTCATCTACTTTAGTAATCTTGCCCATGGCTTAGGCATGCTGTGCAGTGATGTATGTCGATTTCAACGCCTTGTTTATTCTTTCTTCTCTTGGAGGGGTGAGGGCCGTTCATGAAAGCACTACTGTGATTGACAAAACTATTCGTCCAGAAAATTGCAATTGTAGTGGAACGATGGCCGAGCCACTTTAATGCTGAATCTTGAACGAACAGATTTGCCTATAGGGGTATTCGTGGTTGTTGTTTAGCACCTCGGGGAAGAAATTATGTTGGTACAAGCAGGCAACGTCGCATGCCACTCCGGAAGCTGTTCGGTCAAAGAGATCAGCGATGATGCTGGCCTTTCCACAAGATAACGCTGCCGTGTTCCCCGTTCTTCGCTGTGTCAAGGACTGTTTCGAGTGTGAGGAAGTATGCGACAGGGCTACAAAATCCAACGGGATCCGTTTGTCTCCTTAATCTTGATAACACCATCGGATGCTATCTTTAGGACGCTGGCCTTGGGGATGGAGCTGCCTAGGCGGTAGATTCTAGAACCAGCTGATGTGAAAAGGCACCCAATCAAAAACGGTTCCAGCATTCCTGGCAGACGCTTCATTCTCATGATCGGTAGATACTTATTCAGTACTCTATCATTTGCCGGCGAGACAGACGAAATCCTTGTGGCGCCTCGGGATTAAGACATTGTGCCTCCGTTAGCTTATGGAAATGACGCACCCGCTTCTTGCTCGCGTTGTGACTGCAGATGCTTGCGTGGAGACCGCGGATGGGCAAATCTAATAGAAGCGGCACACCCCTGAAATAGGTACTAGATTTGCTGGCTTCCCGGGACAAAAACGGCCGGCAGCTCCACCAATGCATCGTCCGTAGCGGCACCGTGGATTACAAATGGAGCATGCTACTGCTCAGCGGTCTTACAAGCGGACCCCGAGAGTCACGTACGAGAGCCAGCCGCTGCGATAAGACGCAAGTACGTCTTGGCGATACGAGTGGCTGTCACTTCTTTCATTCAGTGTCGTGCAGGTAGTTATGTAGTCCACATGCCGACGGCACCAGTCTAATGTCGGTTTCTGATTTCGAAGTTGGTCCAGGAGCACCACCAACCTTGCCTGATGGCGCTATCAACTAAACTGAAAAGTACAGTTCAAGTCAATGCAAGGTCGAACGGAAAGTAGAAAGGAATCATGATAATTCTTGGGGCCCTCACCTGTACCAAACGTTCCGGATCTGGTTGTTACTTTTAGATTTCGCGCGTAGCAAGGACGTTCGTTTGTCTACGACCCACTTTGTGTTTATGCATTGTAAGCTTCGATCGTGGATGTTAGTCATTGATTAACTGTCATACACTTGGTCTTGATGAAAAGCTGGGGAAATAAGGTGCGGCACGACCAGCACGTCCAGAAACTGGAGGCAAAACAAACCACTGGCCTTGTCTTTTGGCTGGATGTAAGCTGGCTTTAGAGGGTGGGAAGTTTGGAGTTCAAGGAAAATGTTACGGGTCGACGGTGTCCGCTCGGAGCATATCAACTTTCCGAAAGTCCGCAAACTGGAACCGCCCCACACCTCCGATTATAGGATCACGTTGTGGACTTTTACGTGATGATCGTCGCCAAGGAAGCCGCCGCGATGGACCCACATAGGTGTAGTCACTTACACGCAGGCTGCAGATAGAAGCAAAATGCTAGAATTTCAGTACCTAGATCAAGCCCAACCAACGTGTCCCTACGTCAACTTGTGAGATTGTGGCGGCATATTTCGCGCACGGATGACCCGGGGCTCTGGATCGAATTTGAGGGTTCGGGTTCTGAGATGGACCCCTTACGTGTTATGAGCCGTGGACAAACGGGGAGCAAGACACTCCGTAGACATATTGATAAACCTAGACCAGCTCATATTACTTTGAATGATTCAACCATCAGGCAAATTCTGCTAAAAAATCTCTTCTGTTCTTCAAAGATTAGGATACTGTTATACTTCTCTTGCATCTGACCGAGGTCTTGATTCGACGGTTGCTTCGACAAGCCGAGCGAAGGACTGGTTGATGCTGATCGGTAAGTTCGAAATACATCCTATAAAGATTTAGAACTGGAAACTAAAGATGTGTTTTCAAATAGAAGATAGCAAGACGTACCTGCCGCCGTTCCATCAGCCAACCGTCCCCAGCCAGTTGGCTACACTTATTAATATCAACCGACGACATGTCTTTTCCATCCAACGCGGACGCAACGTCTCGAGTCGCTGGGCCCGGCCGCTCTCCTGCGGGCAGTCAGAAGACCTTCGTGGATCACGACGCGATCTTTACCCAGAACGAAGAAGCAGCAACGGTTCCGAAGTCGATGGGGAGCAACTCCATTTATGGCAAAGATGGCGATGCTTCTGCATCAACGTCGGATGAAGATGGAAACGACACCGAGCTTGAGCGCCGTCAGTCTATAGTGCAGGAACTGGCTCGTGAGTATACACGTCACTCTGCTGTCAATGTCGATGGGGACAACACGGCCCTATTTGGCAGTGAAGACCCCGACTCACCCCTCAACCCCAGCGGAAAGAACTTCAGCGCTCGCAAATGGGCGAAGACACTCGCAAACATTACCAGAGAGCACGGGTCTGGGTACCGAACAGCCGGATTTACATTTCAAAACTTAAACGTCTTCGGTTACGGCAAGGAAACGGACTACCAGAAGGACATTGGAAACGTATGGCTTGAGCTTCCGGGCCTCGCTCGCAAGCTCACGTCGAAGACTGGTGGTCAGCGCCGTATCGATATCCTTCGGGACTTCAACGGTGTTGTTGAGGCAGGAGAAATGCTCGTCGTCCTTGGACCTCCTGGATCCGGTTGCTCTACCTTTCTCAAAACTATTGCCGGCGAAATGAATGGCATCTACACCGACGAGCGTGCCTATTTCAACTACCAAGGTCTTTCTGCAAAGGAACTCCATAAGCATCACGCTGGAGATGCAATTTACACTGCAGAAGTCGATGTCCACTACCCTCAGCTGTCTGTCGGAGACACCCTCACGTTTGCTTCCCGAGCACGCTGCCCGCGAACTCTTCCACCTGGAGTCTCGGCAAATCAGTACTGCGATCACCTCCGCGATGTTGTGATGGCCATGTACGGCATCAGCCACACCGTCAATACGCGTGTGGGCAACGAATACATCCGCGGTGTGTCTGGAGGAGAACGCAAGCGCGTGACTATCGCAGAAGCGACTTTGTCCAACGCTCCTCTGCAGTGCTGGGATAACTCCACTAGAGGTCTTGATTCGGCCAATGCTGTTGAGTTTTGCAAGACTTTGCGTTTGCAGTCGGAACTGTTTGGGCAAACCTGCGCCGTCTCGATTTACCAAGCACCCCAAAGTGCGTACGATTTGTTCGACAAGGTTCTCGTTCTCTATGAAGGACGACAAATCTTCTTCGGTCGCACAACGGACGCCAGACAGTACTTTATCAACCTTGGATTCGAATGCCCGGCTCGACAGACAACACCCGACTTCCTCACCTCGATGACAGCACCTTCTGAGCGTGTAGTTCGTCCAGGATGGGAGTCCCGCGTGCCCAGAACCCCTGACGAGTTTGCCACTTGCTGGAATGCCAGCCGTGAGTGCCAAGCTCTGAAGGACCAGATTGAGCAATACAAAACCAGCCATCCTCTCGATGGACCAGACGCCGAGGTTTTCAGGAACCAAAAGCAGTCGGTACAGGCCAAGAACCAGCGCCTCAAGTCCCCCTTCATTCTGTCCTACGGGCAGCAAGTCAAGCTGTGTCTTTGGCGTGGCTTCAAGCTTCTCAAAGGCGATCCCAGTCTGACATTGTTTGCACTCATCGCCAATTCATGCACAGCTCTCATCATGTCATCTTTGTTTTACAATCTTCCGCAATCTACTTCGTCCTTCTATAGTCGCTCTGCAGTCCTCTTCGTCGCCATCCTCGCCAACGCTTTCTCAAGCGCCCTCGAGATTCTCACTCAGTACGCCCAACGGCCCATCGTTGAGAAACAGAGACGTTATGCTTTCTATCACGCATCGGCCGAAGCTTTCTCCTCTGTTTTGGTGGACATGCCGTACAAGATTGCAAACACTATCTGTTACGATCTCATTATATACTTCATGACCAACCTGAACAGACAGCCTGGCAACTTCTTCTTCTTCCTGTTGACTACTTTTCTCATGGTACTTTCCATGTCCGGTCTGTTTAGATCAATGTAAGTATTTGCATCTTTTCTCGATAAGGATAGCTACTAATGCCAAACAGCGCCTCATTGTCACGCACCTTGTCTCAGGCCATGGTTCCCGCTTCAATCCTGATTCTTGCTCTTGTTATATTCACTGGTTTCGTCATTCCCGTCGACTACATGCTTGGGTGGTGCCGGTGGATCAACTACCTGGACCCTGTTGCCTATGGGTTTGAGTCGGTGAGTTGACACATCAGAAGTTCATTGTGGACTATGACTAACGATCAAACCTCCAGCTCATGATCAACGAGTTCCACAACCGCGAATTTGAATGCGGTGCCTTCGTTCCTAGCCCTGGAGTCGCCGGCTACGAGAATATCACTTTGGCCAACCGAGCCTGCTCTACAGTCGGCGCCGTTCCCGGCAGACCTACAGTTAACGGAGACGCATACATCAACTCCCAGTATAAGTACTTTAACTCCCACAAGTGGCGCAACATTGGCATTCTCATCGCTTTCACCGTCGCCCTCCACATGGTTTACTTCTTGGCCACAGAATACATCTCGGCTAAAAAGTCTAAGGGAGAGGTCCTTGTCTTTCGTAGGGGGGTTTCTGCCCCCTCTAAAGTTAAGGACGACCCTGAAGCCTCTATGTCTGGTCCTTCCACGATTGTCGAAAAGGGCGGTAAGGGCGCTTCTGCCAACGAAGGCGCAATTCAGGGCTCCACAAGCGTTTTCCACTGGGGCAACGTGTGCTACGATGTCAAGATCAAGACCGAGACTAGACGAATTTTGGACCATGTGGATGGTTGGGTGAAGCCTGGCACACTGACAGCGTTGATGGGTGTTTCTGGTGCCGGGAAGACGACATTGCTCGATTGCCTCGCAGACCGTGTCTCGATGGGCGTGATTACTGGAGAAATGCTCGTCGATGGAAAGATCCGTGATGAATCTTTTCAGCGCAAAACTGGCTATGTCCAGCAACAGGACCTTCATCTTGAGACGAGTACCGTTCGCGAGGCATTGGAGTTCAGTGCTTTACTGCGGCAACCTGCCACAACTCCCAAGGCAGAGAAGCTCGCATATGTGGACGAAGTCATCAAGCTATTGGACATGCAAGAATACGCTGACGCTGTGGTTGGCGTACTTGGCGAAGGCCTAAACGTTGAACAGCGGAAACGACTTACGATTGGCGTTGAATTGGCTGCAAAACCGCCCTTGCTGCTCTTCGTCGACGAACCAACCTCTGGCTTAGACTCCCAAACTTCGTGGGCTATTCTTGATCTTCTTGAGAAGCTCTCCAAGGCTGGTCAGTCTATCTTGTGCACCATCCACCAACCGTCCGCTATGCTATTCCAACGCTTCGACCGTTTGTTGTTCCTGGCCAAGGGCGGTAGAACCGTATACTTCGGCGATATTGGCGAAAACTCCCATACCCTCACTTCCTACTTCGAACGGAATGGTGCACCCAAGTGTCCTCCTGGAGAAAACCCAGCTGAGTGGATGCTTACTGCAGTTGGTGCGGCCCCAGGCTCGACTACTGAGGTTGATTGGCATCAGGCATGGAAGTCAAGCCCTGAGTACCAGGCTGTTCAGGATGAGCTCCAACGCCTCAAGTCCCAGGGGGCCAACGACGAGAAGCGCTCAGATGAGGATGAGAAGTTGTCGCATCGCGAGTTTGCCGCTCCTCTGTGGGACCAATTCTTGATCGTCACCCGCCGGGTTTTCCAGCAATACTGGCGCACGCCCTCATACATCTACGCCAAGTTCATCCTTTGCTGTTCCGTCGCCCTCTTCATCGGTCTCGTCTTCCTCAACGCTCCTCTTAGTATCCAGGGCTTGCAGAACCAGATGTTTGCAATTTTCAATATTCTTTCCATCTTCGGTCAACTCGTACAACAGCAGATGCCGCACTTCGTCACCCAGCGCTCCCTCTACGAAGTCCGCGAACGTCCTTCTAAGACCTACAGTTGGAAGGTGTTCATGCTTTCGCAAATCGTCACTGAGATCCCCTGGAACTCCCTCATGTCCGTATTCATGTTCATCTGCGTGTACTACCCTGTTGGCTTGTACGAGAACGGCGACCCGAGCCAAAGGAGCGAGCGCGCTGGTTTGATGTGGCTTCTGTTTTGGCAGTTCCTCATCTTCACTTGCACCTTTGCCCACGCCTGCATTGCCATCACTGAAACGGCTGAGATGGGCGGCAACCTTGCCAACGTCTTGTTCATGATGTGTTTGCTGTTCTGCGGTGTCTTGGCGAGTCCCGAGGCTATGCCCGGTTTCTGGATCTTCATGTACAGGGTGTCGCCATTCACGTACCTTTTGTCGTCGATCTTGTCGACAGGTCTAGCCAATTCGGAGGTGACCTGCTCTTCCAACGAGTACATTCACTTCAGCCCACCGGACAACGAAACGTGCGGCAATTACATGGGCGGATACATCAAAGCCATGGGAGGATACCTTGAGGACCCCGCCTCCCAGACCGACTGCAGTTTCTGCTCTATCGACAATACCAATGCCTTCCTCACTTCCATCAGCTCCAACTTCGACAACAGATGGCGCGACTTTGGTATCGGTATGGTGTACATTGTTTTCAACATTGTCGCTGCTTTGGGTCTGTACTGGTTGGTTCGGATGCCCAAGGGCAAGAAGAAGGCTTGAAGGCTTCACAAGGAGCTCAAACTTCAAACCCAAGTCTCATCAGAGCAAAGACTGCTTTAAAACAACTTCCTTTCAACGATCAGAGCATTTCACCTATACTATTACATGTGGATAATGGGCATCATAAAAACCTTCCCCTTAGGCTAAGATTTATAACTAGAGTTCTCCCGGGATTATTTTGTAGCGTCAATACAAGAAAATGGATGCAAGCTACTCACTCACCAAACCGTGAAACCCAGAGTTGTATCCGATGACTGTACGTACGTCAACTATCTGTCACACAGCGCGACTTAGAAATGCTTGAGTGATGACGAATAATTGAGTTGATGGTCCGCAACAACGTGGGCCCTCAACCATGGGTCAGCGTAATTGGCATCAATGACCTCATCGTGACTTTTCGATTTAGTTAACAGACCCAGAATTTAAGTGTTCGCCCATCTGTATTTAAACAGAGATTAATCTTGGCAATTTCCTTTCAATCTACCAAACGAATCAGAATTATCGAAAATGTCAGCTGTAAGTTATCCACAGCCAGTGTTCCGCAACTGATATGTCGCTGAGACCCTCACGCAGTCAACAGAACCACCCGTATACACGCTCGCAGAAGGTCAGCCGGTGCAAGATCCGACTTCGTCGGTCATTCTTCGTGGGCCACATGTTCGCGGCGGTGGACTCGGATTGTTAGAGGACACACAACTCATCGAGACATTGGCACATTTCCCGCGGGAGAGGATCCCAGAGCGGTAAGTGCAATCACCTTTCCGAAGTGGACGATTTTTGGCTGATTTTTGAGCAGAGTTGTTCACGCGAAAGCAGCTGGTGCATGGGGTGAATTCGAGTGCACGCATGACATAACCGACTGGTGTTCGGCCGCCTTGTTCAAGGAGGTCGGCAAAAAGACAGAGGTCCTTGCTCGTCTCTCCACGGTTGCGGGAGAAAAGGGCTCAGCGGACACTGTCCGTGACATCCGAGGCTTCGCGCTCAAGTTTAAAACCGAAGAAGGCAACTGGGATTTTGTCGGCAACGACCTCCCCGTCTTCTTTATCCGCGATCCGGTCAAATTTCCCTCGCTCAACAGGTCTCACAAGCGTCACCCGCAGACTGCTGTTGCGGACGGAAGCATGTTCTGGGACTTCCACAACAACAACCAAGAGGGCGCCCATGCCTTGATGCAGTTGTTTGGAGGTCGCGGGATCCCTGCGTCTCTCCGTAACGTGAACGGCTTCGGAAACCACACGTACAAGTTTGGCAAGCCGGAAGACGGGACGTATAAGTACGTCAAGATCCACTTCAAGCCCGACGATGGCATCAAGACTCTGTCAGAGGAAGATGCCGCCAAGCTGGCTGGCGAGGCTCCCGACTACCACGTCAAGGACATGTACAATGCCATCGAGCGGGGTGACTATCCCACTTGGACGATGATGCTTCAGGTTATGGACCCCAAGGAGGCCGAGAACTACAGGTGGAATATCTTCGACATTACCAAGATCTGGCCTCACAAGGACTATCCTTTGATCCCCGTCGGCAAGCTCACCTTGAACAAGAACCCAGAGAACCATTTCCAGGATATTGAACAGGCCGCATTCTCCCCATCGACATTGATCCCTGGTATTGCTCCGTCAGCGGATATCATGTTGCATGCTCGCATGTTTAGCTACCCCGATGCCGCCAGGTACCGCGTTGGAGCGAACTATCAGCAGCTGCCGTGTAACCGGGCGCTCAATGTCTACTCTCCGTACCAAAGAGATGGCCCGATGCGCGTCGATGGCAATTACGGATCCGACCCTGATTATGGTAAGCTATCAAAACGTGACTCCGCATCTGAAAAGACAACTTTAACTAACACATGGACAGTTCGATCGTCATTCCGCAAGATCAAGAGCGGTCCAGCAGATGTTGCCCACGAGGAGTGGGTGGGTAAAGTTCAAGCCTACTCCTCCGATGTTACCGAAGAGGATTGGGAGCAGCCGCGAACGCTCTGGAAGATGTTCAAGGAGCAAGGCGAGGACAAAGTGTTCATCCACAACCTGTCTATGCACATTAACAAGGCGCTACCAGAAGTCCAAAAAGCGGCCGTCAGTAAGTTTTTCCCCTGCTTGAGGTTGCTTTTGAATGTCTGAGCATTTGCTAACTCAACTGCGCTGCAACAGAATCATGGGCCAATGTGGATGATGAGGTTAGCAAGAGGCTTGAAGAAGCTTTGAGCAAGTTGGGAGAGAACACTGATCACAAGAAGGCGCCGCCTAGTCAAGCTGCCCTATTGACGCACAGAAAGTAGTTTGGATCAAGATAGATGATACGCTTTGGAACAAACGTATAGCTCAGTAGTGATTGAATCTCAGTTGATTGGTTCTCGAGCAAACAAGCCGCGGAAATAATGAGTGAACATTATGGTTTGTGTGCAAAATTTGACCTCTTGGTGGCCCCTTACTACCCCAATCTCAACTCACTTGGTCGTCGTTTAAATATGCAATCATTTATGATTTTTTCAACTTCGAGATGGCAAGAACCAATCTAATCAAACGACATTCAACGTCTGTCCAGGAAAGGAATGCAACAACTAGACTGGTTGAGAATGTTGTTGAAGAACGTATACCCAGATCCTTCGTCCCAACTCAACAACATGATAACATCAGATGATGTTCGAGTCCACCCAAACCCGTGCATGGCTCCCCTCTTGATTATGTTCACTATGGGATGACGGGTATCGATTTCCCGAAGTCCTCACTTTGTCTCCGATATATGTTTCAAAGGTACAGAAGCAGTACAACTACCTCGGGACTAAGCAGCATCCCCTCATCAGCTTCCCGCGGCCCCGCACCGGACATGCACTACTTTATGTCTTGGCCAGTATCTCCTCTTTTGTGAAACTCTACTATCTCAAGTACAACGTATGGAAATGCAAAGGTTTTAGATAAGATACTACTATGTTTAAGTGTTAGAAGATGGCATTCCAGTTGAAGTACCCAAAGAACCGTGAGCTCGTAGGAGGTGATCTGCTTGCGCAGTCTCTAGCTCAGCTAGGCGCAACAGTCGCGTTCGGTATCCACGGCAGGTTTACTCAACTCTACATAACATTGAATTCTGATTATTGACCGAAATACAGGTGGCCATCTTGATAGTTTTCTCATAGCCGCTGTTGAGGCCAACATCAAACTCATCGACGTGCGCCACGAAACTGTCGCTGTACAAGCGGCCGAGGGCTGGGCCAAAGTCAACGGCAATAACAAGCCAGGACTATGCTTCATCACCGCAAACTCTGGCTTCTGTAACGGCTTGCCGGGTCTCAGCACCGCCTTTGCAGATCGGTCCCCCGTATTTTGCATCACCAGCTCGCCGCCGTTGCGAGATGCCGAGACCAACACTCTCCAAGGCTTTCACGACCAGGTCGTCTTGTCGAAGCCTGTGACCAAGTTTTCTCACCGTGCCACGACCGTCGCCGAGATCCCTCGGATTGTGAGCTTGGCATGGCGAGCAACGACTGCAGGAGCGCCTGGGCCGGTGCTTGTTGACTTCCCAATTGATGTGCTTTTCACGCCTGTCCAGGTGGAGAGCATTGCCTGGGGATCGGTTACAGCGGCACCGACGTTCTATCCAGCCCCCAATGCTACAGCTATAGATCAGGCGATAAATCTGTGGGAAAAGGCGAAACGACCAGTCATCATTGTATCCACTGGTGCTGCTAGGGCAGTAGATGAAGTCATAAGGCTTGCGGAGGCAACTAACACGCCAGTGTTCCACTCTCCCAAATTCTCGACAACGATCCAGCATTCACATCCTGTGTTTGCTGGTGCGGCGACTCAGCTGCCATTTTTGCTCGCTGAGAGACAGGCTCCTGACTTCGTCCTTCTGCTGGGAGCCAGGACTGGGTTCCTCCTCGGTGGCAGAAGTGGCGCAATCGTGCCGGACGAGGAACATGCAAAGGTCGTGCAGGTGGATCTTGATGGGAGCGAGATCGGTCGTTCGAGGAAGATTGATGTGAGTTCTACGTCTCGGAGCTACGAATAAAGTAGTGGACTAATATTTAAAAAAACCCCAGGTTGGGATCATCTCAGACGTCGGTCTTGCAGCCCGTGCTTTGACTGTAGCGGCGTCCAGATCCTCCTTCACAGCATCGAACGAGTGGCTGGTTAAGGCTGTAAGCCTGAAGAGCATGAGTTCCAAGTTGCTGGGGAATGAAAGTGAACCAGTACTTTTCAAAAACAATGGTCGAATACATCCATATCATGGTGTCAAGACACTTTTACAATCACTGCCGGAAAACAGCATCGTCTGCATTGATGGTGGTGAGGCAAGTGGATGGGCTCTACAGTGCCTGAATGAAGCGAGAGCTGGGCTGTCTATGGTAACAACTGGCTACCTTGGCTTCTTGGGAAACGGATTTGGATACTCACTTGGTTGGTCACTCCACACTGTTCTGAAGGCAGTCCGGACCTAGAGCTGACCACATACAAACTCATAGGCGCTGCAGTAGCCGCGCCAGACAGACTGGTGATTAACCTCCATGGGGATGGCAGCGTGGGCTTTCACATCGGCGAGCTCGATACCTACGCCAAATTTGGCCTCAACATCTTTACTGTCATTGTCAACAACAGCGTTTGGGGAATGTCGCAGGCGGGACAAGACATGATCTACGGCGAAAAAACGCCACAACGGCCATGCATTGCGATGAACCCAGCCGTCAAATATGAGATTGTTGCGCAAGGATTTGGTTGTGAGTCGGCCGTCGTCGATGCTATCAACGAAGACAGTGGTAGCAACGGGGAAAAGACGCTTGAGTCACTGAAAGAAACGGTGCGAGGCCTGACGAGCTCCAAAGGGCCGGCGCTGCTCAACCTCAAGGTCTCAGATCTACCGTATCACAGTAGCACCAGAGCCATGGTGAGTGTGTTGTGTCCTGATTTCATGCGTATTCAAACTGACTAGCCGGAAGGTGGGAATAAGCAACGATCCCAACACTATCGTTGTACCGTACTACGATAACCTTCCTAGGCCTTACTACCAGAAGTCAAGAACAGAAGCTAGTGAAGCACTGGCTATCGATGAGGGGAAGTTCGTGTAGGGACACGGGTCATTATTCTGAAAGTGAGCGTACTGTATCAAAGGCGTCCGAAGGTGATAGGTACCCTGTGAGTTTGGTCATTTGAAAGCAGATTGCCAGCAGGTCGGTAAAGTTGACCAGGGACGAAAATACTGTCTTTACTATGTGATATTTCGCAGAGTTAAATTGCCGGCTATTCATTGATGTTGCTGATCCTATCAAAACACATTTAAAACCGACCCAAAACTGGCCCTTGAATAAGAGAACATGGTGACTAGAAGTCGGTAGAGGCAGAGACGGGTTCCCACTCATCCAGCAGAGCCATAGTATCCTTGCACTTTGCGCGAACCCCGGCTAGACAGTCGGTGCCCAAGAGCAACCTGACTGGAATTTCCCGCCCCTCAGCAGCCCCAGACTTGGTCAATACATCCACCACAACGCGGGCCCCCTTGATCGGATCACCAGGCTGGTTGTTGTTGGCGACTTCAAGCAGCTTCTTGTAATCTCCCGCCGGGCCCACGTTGTACGCATCGACGACATGCTTGGCCGTAGTGCGGGCCCCAGCATTGAGGAACCCCGTGCGGAAGTAGCCAGGCTCAAGGATACACACGTCAACACCGAATGGCTTCATCTCGTCGGCGAAGCCCTCGGTAAGGATGCTGACGGCGGCCTTGGTGGAGCAGTAAAGCGCGACGGCCGCGCCACCGGCCCAGCTGCCGATACTGCCAATGTTGGCGACAGCGCCGAAGCCCTGGGCGCGGAGGTGCGGGGCCGCGGCACGGCAGACCTTGAGGGTGCCGAAGACATTAGTGTTGTAATGATCAAAGACTTCCTGGGCGTTGGCCTCCTCGATGGCGCCGTCGAGGATGTAGCCGGCTGAGTTGATGACATGGGTGACCCTGCCATGGAGAGCGAAGGCCTTGTTGACTGTCTCCGTGACTGTAGCCTCATCGGCAGTGACATCTAGGGGTAGGAGGTCGGCGCCGGCAGAGGCGAGCTCGGAAAGCTTAGATGGGTTGCGGGCCGTGGCAATGACACGATGGCCGCGGGCGAGGGCTTCCTTGGCAATGGCAAGTCCGAAGCCTGAGGAGGCTCCAGTGATGAACCAGACTGGGGAGTCCATTGTGTATTGGGTGAGATGAAATCGAGGTTTCTTGGTATTAATGTGATCTGAAGTTTTGGAGATGAATAGATATTTTTTCAATATGAGAATGGAATGCTTGTGTTGAGGAGGAGGATGTTGATGATGATAACTACCACTCACTTGCGACGAAGAGTCCTTCTTTATAGAATATCTACTCGATGCCTAAAATGCTCAACTGTCGACATTTGCAGCAAACTCCTGCATGTCAGATCCATAGGACATGGTCGTCATTCAAGCCACTCGGCGATAGCACCATGGGCATGGGCCTTGGCACACATTGGCGTGATCCGGAATTATAAGTCTAAAGTCCATGTTGCAATAGTTGATGTGTCCCTGGAATGTGACACAGGACATTGCTGATCATCGGAAGATGCTTTCATCCATGGTGGTGAAGTGGTGAGACATTAACGCCGATGAACCGCAGGGAATCTTACTACCCATCGGGGATAGGTGATGTGATTTAGCCGTTGGAGATAAAAATGTCAGTTTCGGCGTGAGAAAGGGTAGTCATTGATTGGACGCCGCCACCACCGCCCAGCCATTTCTGACATGCTGACCATCTGTATTCAACTTGAAGAGATCAGCTCCAATGAAGGATGCTGGAGGAGGTCTAAACCAGAGAGGGACCAGGTGAGTCGTTGAGGTCCTGAAGTTGACGACCCCAGAGTTACCATGGGTGCTCTAAGCCGCGGAACGGTGGATCGCGCCCCGTGAGTGGAGCTACCTTCGGCTTATTTCCACCTCGATCACTCCATGCCCCGACCACCCGGCGGGGGTCTCGTGGGACCTGAGTCGCATCGTTCTCAAGGTCGTCGACTGAACACATTTCTTTCTCGTCAACATGGCTGTCGCAACCTGAGATCTTCGCGCAGAAGAAGCCGCAGAGCGCGACAACCTACGCACCCAAACACTGCGACCGGAGCAGCATGAACCTGCTGCGTCCGACCTGGTCGCCGTCGAAATGGGTCTGTTGACCTCCCTGCCGAAGCTACCCCTCGTGGGGTCGATCCTCATAGTCCTCTGCTCGCTCTTCACCCCGGCGACCGCCTACACCGAGCTCGGCGACGAGGCCCTGCGCGCGATTCCCTCGGGCGGCGACAGTTTCGATATCAACACGGGCTCGCTGCTGGCGCCCATTCTGATCCCCCGCGTCCCCGGCACCCCGGGCTCCGCCAAGGTGCAGCAGCACTTCGTCGACTTCTTTCGCGCCAATCTGCCCGAGTGGATTATTGAGTGGCATAACTCGACATCGAAGACGCCTGCAACCGGCAACAAGGACATACCCTTCACCAACCTCATCTTCCGCCGCGACCCACCTTGGGCCAAGGGAGGGGATGTCGAGTACCTGACGCTCGTCGCGCACTACGACAGTCTGTACCATCCAGAAGGGTTCATTGGCGCGATTGACAGTGCTGCGCCCTGCGCGATGCTGCTGCATGCGGCGCAGAGCATTGAAGAGGCGTTGGTGAAGAAGTGGAAGGCCATGGAGGCGTCCGGCGACGCTGGTAGCGGGCTCGAGGAGGAGAAGGGCGTTCAGATCATCCTGCTTGATGGCGAAGAAGCGTGGGTGTCGTGGACCGAGACAGATTCGCTTTATGGAGCTAGGTACGTTCGGCAGCCCCTAGAACGGAACAAGCATTTTTGGCTAACAGCCTCAGGGCCCTGGCCAAAAGCTGGGAGGATACTGTCCACCCGCACTCTTTGTATAAATCGCCACTCTCGTCCATCAGTCTCTTCCTCCTTATCGACCTCCTTGGCGCCCCTAACCCACGGATACCCTCGTACTTCCCAACAACTCACTGGGCATACAAGAAGATGGCAAAGATCGAGCATCGCATGCGCGAACTCGGCGTTCTCGAGACCAAGCCGAAGCACCCCTTCCTGACAGACAGGAAGAAGGAAAAGGTGGGCTTCGGCGGGGGTTATGTCCTGGACGACCACGTGCCCTTTATGGAGCGCGGTGTTGAGATCCTGCACATCATCCCAACACCTTTCCCCGATGTATGGCACAAGATCGAGGACGACGGAGAGCACCTGGATCTGCCGACGGTACGGGATTGGGCACGTATCCTGACTGTATTTGCCGCGGAGTGGATGGACTTAGACGAGCACCTGCCCAAGAGAGCAGAGAGTGAGGCCGTCGGTGGGCCAAGCGATTTCCGGGACGAACTCTGATTATTCAACCTGGCGCATATAGACAAGATAGATAGCGTTGTGGTCTCGCAGCCTCACATTACCGAAGCTTTCAGAGGCGAAGCTAAAAGAACTTCGTCTCACCAAAGCACAACGAACCTTCGTAGCCCAACTGAGATACTAGTTGCCATGTGACTCCGCTGCTGTGCTGTGAACTCTGACATTTCCCAGCTTACAGCGATTGAAACCCCCTGGGTCTTTAACTTGAACTTGGGCTTCCTACGGTAGACCAAGATGCGGGGTGGTTCCAGCACTAGAGGGAACGCTTTCTGAAGCTGTAGTCCCTAGACAGTACAAGCGCTCAAGAACCCAGGAACATCTAACAATGGAAAACAAAGAATGCGTAACAACAACAATAATTGCAGTTACTCTCCCGCAACGCTTGATCCCTTATTTGCCCCCAAAGCTACTGAACCCATACTGTGCGGAGAGCCGTGCACTCCGACAAAAGTACAGTCTCCAGGGTCCCGCTGCGCCTGGTCCGTGCGCCAATCGGTAGTTCGTAATGGACACGAAAGCTGTCCATAAGTGAACACGGGAGTCGTGAAGCTCCAGCCCAGCTACCCAAAGCTGCCAAAGACAAGAACCTCAGCAACCATGCGATTCCTCCACTCCTTGACGCCTGCCCTTGCGCTATTTGCGGCTGGTGCCGCGCAAGCCGCCTCATCATGGGGATTCGACAGTGCCACCGTTTCGATTTCTGGAAAGGGCAAGGATGCCACCAAGGAGAAGTGAGTCGGCCGTCGCCCGCCTGCAGCATCATCCCGGAGCTTTGTCGTCTTCTGAGGATGGAAGATCTCCGAGGAAGCACGATTGACGGTCCCAATTGCTGACACAATGCGATTGACAGGCTGAGCCCGACTGCTCCCCTCAAAAAGGCCCTCTCTCTTGAGGCCAAGGACACCCTTAAGGTCATCCTGACGGCCAAGGAGGGTGACAAGGCCAAGCGCCCGCACCAGGCCTTCTTGATTCTCAAGGAGACCGCGACCGGCCTTGAGGCCCCCTTCCCTCTTGAGCTCAAGGACACCGGCCGCGGTGTTGTCGACATTGTACGTTCCTGGCTCTAGTTGTCCCCCAAGCAACAATGATAGCGCAGCTAACTCGACCACAACAGTCGCAGAAGGACCTCCCGATCCAGCTCCTCCTGGCTACTGAGCCCCTCAAGGCCAGCATCGTCATCGGCTCCTTCGGCTCCTCCAATGCTCTCGAGACGACTCTCTTCGATGTCGCCGTCAAGCGCGACGCCAACGCCGCCGCCCCGACCTACGAGGCGCCCGTCCGCTACGGCAAGCAGCCCGAGATTCACCACATCTTCAAGGAGGGCGACAAGAGCCCGCCCAAGATCATCTCGTTGGCCTTTGTCATTGCCGTCCTCGCCACGATCCCCGTGCTCCTCGTTGGCGTAAGTCCCTCTTCTGCAAATATATCTAGGGAAAGCAAGACTTCTAGAATGAAACAATTGACTGACTTGCCTCCGCAGTGGCTCAACCTCGGCGCCAACTTCAACCACCTCCAAAAGGCCCTCTCTGCGGCGCCCCTCTCCCACGCCGCCTTCTTTGGCTCCATTGTTGCCATGGAGGGCGTCTTCTTTATGTACTACTCCAGCTGGAATCTCTTCCAGACCCTGCCCGCCGTCGCCATTGTCGCGACCTCCATCTTCCTGAGCGGCACCAAGGCCCTCAGTGAGGTCCAGAGCCGCCGTCTCGCCGGCCAGCGGTAAAAGACATCCTCACAGCTGTTCGCACATATCGGAGAAACGAAGAGGGTCTTCACGGCATGTGATGGGAGGATCTAGAGAGGCTCTTCAGGTTACGAAGGCGGAAGTTTGGGTCTTCGATCAACACCAAAAGTTTGAGGGGTCAAGCAGAAGGGATGGATCAAGAGGGTCCCCTATTGTACATCAGCATCACGACAGCATCTGGGCATTTGTGGAATAGACAAGACCAGGGAAAATTAAAAGGTGAAATGAACCAAACGTCATATTGAAACCGTCTAACCAACGCCGTGCTCGCTCTATACCGCAATCAGGAAACCCATTCAGCGCCCGACGTGAGCTTCTCAGGCCTTCACAGCGTGCTTCTCGTCCCCTCCCAAGACCTCGACACTCCGCCTCGCAGCCACCGCTGAAGACTCTCCCTCCTCGTAAGCAGGCGGCGGCACGTTCTCGCCTGTCGAAGCCCTCCGGCGCTCTTGCCACTCCTCGACGCCCTCCTCCTGTCTCCCGCCGTGGGCCATATCCCGCTGGTACTGTTGCTGTTGGTAAGGCGTGGCAGTCGTATATTTGCTACCGCACCCCGAACCACGCGCCCCACAGTACCGCTGCGCCTTCATGGCATGCTTGACGGCCCTGCGTTCGTACTTCATCGCCCGCCTCTCGGCCTTGGCCTGCCGTCCTTTGCCGAAGGGCAGCGCGACGGCGCAGATGCCGCAGGGTTGGCCGTCCGGCCCGGCGCTGCAGACGGCGTTGTTCTCGTGGTGGACGGTCCTCGGTGCGGTCTGGTAGCCGTTTGTAGGCTGGGCTGTCTGGTTGTGGTTGTGGCCGTAGGGGTTCCGGCCGGCGGCGACGTGGACTACAGTGGAGACGAGACCGGTGATGAGTCCCATGTTGAATGTGAATGTGGTATATGCGAGGTGGGATGTAGCGTTGGGGAGGGGGTTGCAATTGGGATTGCAGTAATGTATGTGAGATTGATGTTGTGATCTGGTTTGACAGCGAGGTGCTGTATGGTCTATGTCTTTAGTTTTGGAACAGTTGATGCTTGAAAGCTTGCTTGCTGATATGTGCTTCTTGATGTCTCCTAAGCCCAAATCCAAAACTTATCAGGGCATATGCCACACTTTATATCCATCTACGCTTCCTCCATTTGCTCTCTCCCTCTCAGTCACCACGTTCTCATCGCCCACTGCCATAATCCTCCCGATCGGGAATCCCATTCGAAAGCGTGCGGCGCACGCCGTAGAGCTGCTGCCAAGCCACGGCAGACCATGTGGGGCGTCCGGCACCGTCTTGCCGGATCTGCTCTAGTCGACCACCTCATATCGGTTCGCGCAATCTTCCCCCGGCCCAACGATGAAGCGGTTAGACCGGTAGCGACGCAGGAGGGCTGAGCAGCCACCCACGGCGGGGGCGCTGAGAGATGCACGTCAGACGGCCAGTTCCCTTCGCAGCTTATTCGCACTCGGCTAGTAGTCCAATCAGCAGTCAACAAATGCTAGGAACGGCATGTAGCGGGCAAGACATCTGTAGTGCAAGGGGGCAGAGAGATGATTGCTTTGCTGAAGTAGGGAACCCCGATAACATCGGCGATGAGCACGTTCAGACAACACACAAGGGCTAGCGGTATGCGAGTGCGAGGAGTGAGAAGCAAGGCTTGAATATGCAAACGGGGAGGCCGTCGTAACCGTCCGGCGGCTATGCCATGCGCGTGTTAGGTATTTACGTAGGGGAACTCGTCTATACTCATAGCCATAAAAAGGTAACTATCCAAACGACATGACATGCCTTCATCTTCGCCTCGCGGGCTGCTGTAGCTGCTGCGCGTACGTTCCGTTGGAGGCCACTACAAGCTCCCACCAAGCCCGCATCAAGGCCATGCCGCCGTTCTGCGTCTCCGGGGTCCTACCCCGTCCACGGTCGTTCGGATCGCCGCTCGCTGCCGTCGGCGCCGTCTGCGCTCGCCGTTCGAAGCCGTCTCCGTCGCCGTCCTCTTCGCGTGGTCCCTGTGTACTTAAGCCGCCAAGAACCTGTTGTCCGGATTGCTCCTGACCACCAACCAACACGTAACTCCTTGTTCGGTTCTTGCGTGCTTCGCCGTTCGGAGCCCACACCGTGTCCGGGTTGCCGTTGGCCCATATGCCGTCGTGCGGGAGACCGTAGTTGCGGTAGTCGGTCACATTTGGCGCGTTGTGGGGAATGCCGTCCGTCTCCAACGTCGGTAACGCATTCTGGAATACGCCCGCTCCCCACCAAGTGCCAAATCGGCCCTCTCGATCTCTGGTCAACAAAGCCGATTGGGCGTTGTGCTGTACCCAGCTCAGGTAGGCTTGACAGGCCGATGCGTGGGCTGTCTTAATCTGGTCGTACGCCTGAGCATTGACAGTCATGCCAGGCTCAACAATGGCCGGATCAATGGGTTGGCAGAACGTAACGAAGTGGTGGAAGAAAATACCCTTGAAAGTCTGTCCATCCTGCGAGCAAGTTGCGCTGGCGTCGCATGACTCCTCTAAGATGCCGCCACGGCCCAGTCCTCTCCAGGGAGGCAAGTAACCAGGAGGGAGGTCCGATAGGTCGTCGACTGGCTGGTCAAGCTTCAAGTCCCAACCCGAAGCCTTGATAACCGCCTGGATTAGCTTGTGTCCGTCTTCCAAATACGATGCGCTGCCCGTTGCGGTAAAGAGACCACGCTGGCCGGTAAGCAGAACACCCTGATTGTAGGTAAAGACGGCTTCACTGCGAAGATCGCACTTGGTGTTGTCCTGCTTGGACCTGTCCACATGAAATCCATCAACGTAGAGGCCAGCGTTGTTGGTCATGTTGACCTCGGTTATCCATTTATAACCTTCAATGGCAGCGGCAAGGTACTTGGGCTCTCGAGTGGCTTTAACGCCACTTGCGCTGTTGATCCATGGTGTGGTGTTGTTGTCACCTGGGAACCAAAGATACATCGAGATCGAGGCCGCGATCCATAGCTCGTTGGTGATGGCGTTCTTGTACGGTTCCAGTCTTGGGTTCCAGTTCATGCCACCGCCGCAGAGGCGCGTATCCCATCCCTTTGATCCGAGGTCCCAAAAGATGCGTGCGCGGTGAGCAAATGAGGGGATCCAGTATTGGCCATGCCAGGGACCATTAGCCAATGCGTCTCCAAGGCCCGGGGTTGCGCTCTCATTGAGACCCTCCCGAGGGTAGAATAGTTCAGAATGGATGTCGATAAACTTGAGGGCATCAATCCAGCCGAGGACAACCCAGAGAATGTCGTCGAATGCCTGTTCGCTTGTTAGAATGTGCCGCGTGCAGTTGCGATGCGAAGCAGAAGCTGCGTACCTGGTGCCGGATTGCGACGTCGTCCTGGCCGAAGTAGGAGGCCACAAGTTGTGTGAAGAATGTATCGATCAGGTTCCTCTTGGCGCCCTTGTCACTGTGGCCCCCAATATCAAGCACAGCCAAGGCCTGCGAAAGCGAAGTCAAAGTACCAGAGAGCATTGTCTCCATGACGGCGGCAGTCCAGTCAATGGCTTCGGGCCAGGTTCCCTGATCCGGTATAAAGAAATCATGTTGCATAACCGTCAAGGCCTCAAAAGCAGCCTCAAGTGGTTCATCTTTCGTCTTGGTTATATCAGCAGAAGACTTCCTCGCAGCTCGCGGGGCTGCAAGAAAGGTCGTGGGCTGCTTCGGTTCGCAATCGGTCGGCGGCTGGGCTTCGGGGTAGAAGATAGGGCAGAAGGTCTTGGGCGCATTCGGAGGAGTCGTCGCGACGAGGGATGTAGCGCAAGAAGCAAGAGCTAGCACCAAGAGGCATGCCTCGGGAAAATGGAAAGATGTTCGGGCCATGATAGCAGCGTGTATGTCACGGCGGGATTTATAGTCGGATGAATACGAGCAACGAGCTCTCGAGACGGCCGCTCATGTGCAGCAGCGCTCTGCCATGTTCAGAGGGATCTCGCAGTCGGCTAGGCGAGGATCAGCGGACGCGAGGAATATAATGGACGGGCAGGCAGGATGAAATGGCGCGCGACAAGCGACGATGGGCAGCGACGATGCAGCAGTCAAGAGTGAAAGTCGGGGGAGCCGTTGGAATACAATCTGGAAGCGGCGATCGGGCGAGATGCGGGATGGAAGCGAACAGCGCCGCAGGGCTCTTTTGGCGATGGATGGGCCGATGGACGAGCAATGGCGAGACCAGGCCAAGCCCACAGTCGCAGGGCGAGATCCACCTGCACGAGGCAAATGGACCCCTCAAGTGGTCACAGAATGGCGCACTGAGAAGTCACACAGACTTACAATGGTGGGTGGTCACCTCCTTCAGAAGGTGGCGGCCACTAGAGATCCTGTCCTGTTCATGTTCATGCGGGGCAATTCTGGAGGTGCCAAGACCCTGCGCTCTGTCAGTCTGCCGCTGAGAGTGATGGCTGCTGCAGTCTGACGGCTGAAGAAACACGATGAGCGTAAATGATCTTGTACCCAGGAGAAGCTACTACGCTCTGCAAAGACACACGAGACTTATTTCCTGAGCTGGTACAACCCCGCCAGGCCCATCGTGCATGAACCGCTCCATCGATTCCCAACCAACCCCTTCGGCGGTGTAGTGTACATTTCGAAAAAGACGCCCACGATGGCACAGCCCGCAGACGGCGTGGTCACCTGCCGATCCCTAGCTAGGACTTGGTGGACCTGGTGACTCGCGTTTTCGTGCCCACGGACTCGGCCAAGAGCAACCCTCCTGCAAGTTTCTTGGTTGTTCAACGTCTACACAGCCAGCAACTGACTAAGGCACAGACGGACATGTCTCGGGGCTTGGGATTGGACTGTGAGGTTGGAATGGTGGCCGAGGCCGTTGAAGAGTGCCCGCACCTAGGTACGTCGGCGGTGTTGGGGAATGCATTACTAGGGTGAAACGTGCTGAGTCGATCTCTTGAAGCTGCATCTAGGTAGTGGTGCTCGACCGTGCTGTCATGTCTCATTACCGCTACTAAACGATTTAGGTGTGGGATGTGAGAAGGGTGTTCCCGTCCCCGATGTTGGTGTCTTATTCAGCGGTGCGGCTAGCGGGAACTCTGGCTTTGGATCTCGGAGGTGAGCCCGGCGGTGTTTCCCCGGCTGAGTTGTGAGGGTGTCCTCACCGGTACTGACCGAGCCTAGCTGACGTAAGGTATCTGAGCCAAGCAGGTCAGAGACAAGACAATTTCTCCAAAATGATCTAGAGATTAGACCGAAGGCAGCCAAAACCGAGACTGAGGATCTCGAAGAAAACACGCTTCCGCGCATTATCCTGATTCTTGAGTCTGGTCTCGTTCAGTCGAAAAGAGCGCGTTTCTTTGTCTCGCGCGCAGCCAACCAGCACGCGTTTCCCATCTGTAGAGGCCGTCTCGTTAGTGATGATTCGCTGAGAGCCTAAGCAAGGCCGCTGAGCCGGTCCACGGAAGAGCAGGGTTGCCCCACTAAGATGCACTGGCGCCCACAGCCAATCGCCAGTTGTTTACGCCTGCAGCTCTGAAAGTAAACAAACCGATCCCTGCGAATTCACATTGCACGCTTCTTCCCTCTCCATCTCTTGCCCGCGAGTCCTCAACCTTACATCACAGCCCTTGAGCGGCTTTCTCTTTGCTCGGTATTGCTTCTCTTCAGCATTACAACTTAATTGTCCCCGGACTCTAGTCACTCGACGCGTCGCCTCCAACTGTTGCGGCGCCATCGTGATTCTACTTTTTCTTGTCGACTCCCGCCTTGGAAACCGCGCCCGACGCGTCCTACGGCAGCCATGGAGGCCGACTCAGCACACAATCGCTATCGCTCTCGCATTCTTCGAGAAATGAACGCAAACCGCGACAACCCATTCAACTCCCCGCCTTCCTCGACCGGTTCACATGGCACCGTCAGCCCGACAATGACCTCCGTCTTCTCAGAACCAGACGGCGAATCCACGCGCAGACTGAACGAAGACATTGCTCGTATTGTCGGCCCGACGGGCGGAAAGATCCAAGTCGACTTGGAGGCTGCCCACCGCAAGTGGCCCGAATTCTACGGCAAGCCCAAGGCTGCCGCCGAAGCGAAGCAGAACCACCCGGCCCCCAGGCATTCGGGTTCTCTGCGTCACAAGGACACCGTCTCTCACAAGGCTATTGTCCAGAAGTATCTTTCCAACATGGTCGACGACGACTCTACGGAAATTACCTGGCAGGGTTCTAAGCGGACGCGCGCCGAAATGCAGCCCCGCGTGGAGGATAACGAGTCTGACATGTCCGCCAACATGTCCAAGTCGCCCTTCCGATTCGATATCAACGCCGATAGCTTCAAATTCAACCCTCAACAACAAATGGGTCGGAGCCCTCTGGCCAGAGGACACGCCCGCTCGACGTCTGGCAACTACAAGTCAACACGACGATCCTCACAGGCCGCAAAGAGCGACCGACGGAAATCAGACTTCCTAGCTCCCCCGACTCATGCTACTCCAAAGCCAGCACCAATCGAGAGCGCACCTACGAATAACCCTACGCCGGTCACGTTCAATACGATTCGGAGCACGTTCCCGTCACCAGCGGCAACCGACAGCCCTGCCCAGAATGGCGTCACGTCCCGCTCTTTCTTCATGCCCGATATTTCCCACCTCAACGACTTTATTTCTGGCAACTTGCGCTTCAATGGTGCGGTGAAGAACGGTGTTCCTGTGTTCGTGAAGAATGGACGGGTGCGTGACCGCATCGATACCATGCCCCCGAACGACCACGCCGAGGTTGACGGCTTGGCCATCCCCGAGGGCGAGGAGAGGATCTTTGTGTCCATGGATATGATCCGAGACGAGATACTCAACCTTCAGGAGCACGACGACTTGGTGCAGCAGCATGCAGTCGAACTCGAGCATCAAGTGGACCACCTTCAAAAGGAACTCAAGCGGCTCAAGGGCCGTAAGTCGATCGACAGTGCTATTGGTTCTCGAACCGCCTCCGAACCCGAATCAGCCAGCGAGGAGCGCTTCCAGACAGAGAAGCTGAGTAAGTCATTCGTCCCACTGGTGTAAGATCAAGCTAACAAATAACAGAGTTGGAGTCGCACGTCGCATCACTACAGTCCCGTTTGGATCATGCCACCACCCGAATCGGCGCTAACGAGGTCGAGAACAACACAATTTCCCTTGAGCGAGACCGGGCTTTGAAAAAACTGCAAGATGCTTGCGTGGAGATTGGCGATCTCATGGATAAACTCGATGTCCAGGGGAAGGAGCTCCACGAGACCCAGGAGAAGTTGAACGCCACCTTGGAGATCACCAACCAGCGAGAGGTGGTTCGTCACGAAAAGCAAAGCAACTTTGTTCGGCACACCGAGAACAAGTCGGGTCAGGCAGACAACCATGTCCTCCGCCAGGAACAGGAAACTCTGCAGCAGGAACTGGAGTCTCTGCGAACCGACAACAACTCTTTACGTCGCGAACAGGAGTCACTCATCAGCGAGAACAGATCTCTGCGAGCCAACGCGCGTTCACTCATGTCCGAGAACGAGGACCTCCGTCAAAGTACCGCCAATGCTAAGGAGGACCTCGAGGCTGCCCGCGATGAAGTTGAGGCACTGCAGGTCGAGCTGCATACTATGGAGCAGGAGAAGTCTACTCTCAAGGAAGACAACGATAGCCTCGTTCGACACAACGAAAAGTACTTCAACGAGAACAAGATCCTTCGCCGTGAGAACTCTGGGTTTGAGCGGAGCATCCACGACCTTCACGACGAGAACATGCACTTGAAAGAAGAGATCGAATTCCTCAAGCAACAACTCGACCATTGCCGCCCTCTCGGGAAGACGGAAGACTTCTCGATGCGCCTCGACAAGGAGGTCCGCGATGATGATGAGACAGAAGAGAACATGACCTCGGCGTTCTTTGTTCCGGACATTACTATTGACAGCACTCAGAACTCGGGGGTCGACGGCGCCACTGAAGGAAAGAAGATCCGGAAGCCCGCAACACCAGGCAAGAAGACGATCGAAGTCCAGGACACTACGGAGCAGACGGACCGCAGCATCAATGAGGTCGACAACACTTTCCAGAGCCAGCAGAGCTCTGTGGCAGCTGAGCCTCCTTCTAAGAGACGAGCCTCTACCTCGCGTCCCCAAGACTCCAACAGCCAGCAGAAGGTGTCGTTCTCTCTGCCCGAGCGCTCAGCAGCGTCGTCCAAGTCGAAGAGCACCAAAGCCTCTAATGTCGCCAACAAGGGCAGCAAGAGAAGCATCTCTGCTAACACGACGTCCAAGGCTTCTCTCAAGGGCAGCGCTGTTCCTGATCTCGACCCATTCCAGACGGAGGACGACGCCACCATGCAGTCACCAGAGAATACCCAGACGCATTCCATGGTGATCGATATGAAGACGATGAGCAAAAAGGAGTCGCGTACTATCCGACAAGAAACAACGAACACTACTCGCAACCTGACCAGCCAAAGTCAGAGAACGCCATCCAAGCCTGCCGTCAAGCCTTCCCAGAATAAGTCGGTCACGATCGACTTGATCACTCAGGGCGGACTGGAGAACACGACTACTGAAATGAAGGGCAACTGCCCTGCTCTGTCCTCGGACGCGCGTCGTGTGCTTGACAGCTTGGCTGGACACAGTTGTAAGAACTGCGTTGTGTGCACCCGGATCAAGGCCCACCGAGGAACGGTTACTGCTGCCGATGTCGCCGAGGGCAAGAAGCGGGTGAAGATCTCCAGGCCCGTTGCTCCTTCGGACCAGTATAAGCAGCTGGGCATCTCATCCGAGGACGCCACCATGCGGCCTTCTCAGCCTCCAGGCAACGCCTTGGCTAAGGTCATCAAGGGGCTCGAGGATGAGTTGGAGCACATGAAGATGGAGCATGCGAAGATGCAGGCCCGATACGACAGACACAACCCTGCACTTGCAGAGTCGAAGCGCAAGCAGCTCAAGATCAACATTGACGCAAACATGAACGCGCGGGAGGTCAAGAATGCCCAGATATACGCACTCTACGATGTTTTGGAGGGCCAGAAACAGGTCGGACAGGAGATGTCGGAAGAAGAGCTCGACATGACTGTATTTAGCATTACGGGATTAAGTGTCAGGGACATTACAGATCAGATTACTTGGGAGGGCATCCAGGGATAGGGTGATGGCGGTTTGGGGCTTTTAAGGTGATGCGTGGTGTTAGGCTCGCGCATGGCGTTTTGTTGGTTTCTCAGATATCATGGTTGTTGGATGGGAGTGAGGCTCCGGCTTGAGCACACTCGGGAGATTGTCAACAGGTTGTTTTTATTCAATTTTCTCGTGTTGGTCCTCGTTGTATATATACCAGGCCTTTCAGGACAGGTCGTTGACGGACAGCAATTACCAAGAATACCCCATGCAACAACATGCGTGCCGAGTGTGCTGTACTGGTGATTTAGACGGCTTGGGTGTTTCTCTGACTGGGGTGAGGCAAAGAATTCAGGTGTGAGATTTAAAGGTAGCCTTGAGTCACGCACGGCTGTGACATCCTCGGCAGCAGCAGGACACCTCGAGCTGGCTTCCTTCAGTTTTGTTTGAGGGACTAAAAACCACCATTGACACTGATCAGAGTCGCGTTGTTTTCCTCAAGGTTCATTGCATCAGGTGTCGATGACAATGCCAACTCCATCAGTGGACCGGAGACTAGGTAACCTAGTCGCCTGACCGATGATGTTTCTGTACGAAACCCCAAGGCTCGGTCTGACCCAATGTGTAGGTCTCGATTGACCTCCTCTACGGCCTTTAAAGAAGCGGGTTTCCGTTTCACTCAATTCGAGGAGCAACCATTTGGGCGTTAGCCCTCGGCGTGAAGGAGAAACGTTTCCTTTCCTGGTCCTTCGCGGAGACGCAAAATGGCGCCGGGGTGGCTCTACTTTGGTACGGATATGAGGATCGTGAGAACACGATACACACGCCTGCGTCCAAAGAATCATGTGAAGAGCCTGGAATGGCAGCAAGACATGATAGTTTTCACATCGGACTGCGAGACCCAAAGCGTATCGGACACTCAGTGAGCCCAGCGCAGTGTCTTGGTAGTTTTTTAACAGGCACATACTCCTTCCTGCCTGCTACGTTGTGGCCTCCCTCCTGCCGTTTCCTTCGATGACCTTGGTGTCGCACCCATCTGCTCAAGCTTTCGTCTGGAATCATCCCTCCCCTTCCTCGTCCATCTGCCTTGGTACATTTGAGGATAGATACGAAGAGGGCAGGGACGACCGGCACGAGGAAGCCCAGCGGCACAAGCAAGGTCCAAGCCGCTGACGATCCAATCGGCCCTTCAGATGCCCCAGATGACCTTGAAGATTGGATTCATTGGGTCACGGGCCAAGGGCTAGGTGCTCGACGCCTTCTATATGAGCAGGTCGTTTGCTGGTCTGTCGCACGAGGTCGACTTCCGATCGAAAACACCAATTGGGATGCCTGGGAGAGTAGACCCTTTCGATATCACAGCAAGATGCTCACAACCGCCTCGTGCGCCTAGAGACGAGCGTGAAGCGACGAAGCCATCTGTCCTTGACGTTGGGGCAGTCCAACTCATCAACAGCGGCATCATACCGTTGACTGTAAAGCAGGAAGCGGCAGGCTAGGTTGCAGCCAAGTGTCAAGACCTGAGAAAGGCTGCAGAAACAGCCGCGTCTCTCCCTAGGTGTCTCTAGACAGGAGCCAAACATCATTGCATGGATCAACTCTTTACGTCCTGCCCGATCCTTGATTTGGTATGGCTCACCAAGAGTAGCTGCTTTCAGCGCAAATGGCCTCAAGCCTAATGAAACATTTCGCGCACTACGAACAGACTCTTCTTCATACCACCGCGCCAGGCGATGAGCACAATGAAAAGTGGAAAAAATCAAAAATTGCCACAGCGATGGTCCCGAAGGACAATCGAGAGCGGTCGACACCGCGATGTGCAATGCAGGCCTCCCACTCTGGATGCCGGATTTCTTGATCCCCAGCACCCCCATGAAGGTAAGTATGAAGAAGAAAAAGGGAAAAAGTTGTAAAAGGCTGGAGGATGGACGAGTTTAAATAGGTATTCTGGAGGGTCTCAATCACTCCGGTGGGTCTCGTCTGTGGCCAATGGACAACTGGAAGCTAGGATGGGGAGGGGGCCTTTATGATTGGCTTAAAAATGAGCTGGGTCACGTGCTCTTTCTCTCTTAACTTCTTTGCTTCCAGTGAGCTCGGTTTAATCAAGTATATGATCATTCAACATAATGCACTCGCATCGTTAGTTTCTTTTTTGTACTGCTCATTACTCAAGACTCCAAGACTTAATGACAATAATAACATAAAGTAAAAGTTTGTAAAAGGTAGTGCGTGTATAGTAAAACTATGTGAATTGTTCTATATGTGCAGAATCTAACTCCGTTCACCCTTAAACTGGGTGCTGTAAACGCGTGGCAGATACTTTAGTGAAAGGCAAAAACAAACTACAGGAAGTTTGTTCATAGGTTATTCCGTTTTATTGTCAAGTGCGATTCATACGGAGAAGAAGTCCCTGGCAAGCATTCAATAGAAAGACGGAACTTTCTGGGCTTCATACCTTGACACCTCTCAAAGCATTAATCGCGGTCTTGCAGGGCATGTTTCGGTACAGATCGTACTCTTCGAATTATCGTTACTGTAAATATGGGTTCCAAGAGTATTTCATATGGTTAGACCCGTAATCTGTATCTTTCAGTATTCTCATTACATCAAATCTTCCGCATTCAGAAGCAATGGCCAGCGGGAAAGACCCCAGCAGTCAACTGTTCTGATAGCCGCTCCTTTCTCAACTAGGAGTTTCACGACCGCCGTTTCTTGACCCTCCCGCATGCGTTGGCCAGAGGTGTTCGCCCATTTTTATCCTTGGCTTTAAAGTGTGACTGTGGTGGCATGGTGAATATCCTGGTCTTGTGCCTCAAAATCTGGTTTCGACTCAGCGATACGTCTAATCATTTGAACATCTAGACTATCATTACTATGTTTAACCTCGGAAGACGGAGAACGAATTCAATGACCAGGGTTGCGTCTTCCACCACAGCGCCCTCCGCCAGCTCCAAGCCCACGCCACCTGGACCAACTCATAGAGGCCAGTCGAAGACATGATCTCTCGAGACAAATAGTCGAGTTTATATCATGAAGTATAGTTAATACGAAAATAAGGTTTTCTTTCTGTGTGAGTTATAGACCACGGTGGAGCACCGCTGCCTCAAGCGACCTCCGCGAGGGCTGCACCAAGGCTCGAGGAAACTAATCGTTTACCACCCCCAGTGAACAAGATGCAGCCACCACCTTCCTCCATAGCTTTGACCATACTAGACGCAAATGTCCAGACCCTGTCGAACTCAAACCCTGAGCCAACCATGTTTATCAACCACCGCGGGCGGTGGATATTTTCCGCTTCAAACTTGTAGTCAAGTTCGTCCCGCTGTTCTAAAACGCGGTCTAGTCCATAAACCGGCTCGTTCTTGACCTCGTTGTCAAAGCATTCTAGTTCGAATGGAACGATTGGTACGTGGCCAGTTGCAGCTTGCGCAGCACAGGCAGCCTGTGTATGCCCTGAGCCAGAGAAACAAGCAGAGTACCGAACGTCCGGCTGTCAAACGTGTAGCGGAAATAACACTCTGGGTAATTTCCATCCTACCGCCTCCATGAGTGGTCGGGGATGTAATCTGCTGCGTCCGAGTCCTGTGAGTCGAGAAATGCCCGGCTTTCCTCGCTCGATGGCCTATCGTCATTCTCAACTGCGTCCTCGATGTTACCCGTAGTCAGCCATTTTCCATCCGGGGTAACCGGCAGGATCACGAAGGATAGACGTTCAAGGCGCAGCCCGAAAGAGGTGTCGGTCTGAAAGGTCTATGGCGCGAGGATCCATCCGCCTAGAAACGACGCTTCTCGTAGGTTGGGGAGCTTGAGTACAACTTGAACGGCCAGGCTCAAATCGTCTTGTCTTCTGGAGTTTGTGAGGACGTCTAGCCCGAGTCTCTCGTCTAGGGACGTTCCGTCATGAAGTTGGATATGAAGAGCCTCAAGATTATCAAGAGAAGCATCTCGCAATGCGTCGGCGAGGGCGGATCGGATGTGTCTCCGCTGGAACATGTACCGACGGGTTGGCATTGCGAGGGTGAAATTGACTCGATGTATAGAGGGCAAGGATTTGGCCAGGACTGCATATATACTGGGGTGCATGCGGTATTTACCAGTGATCACGTCAATCTCAGAAATGGCGCGGACCTCTGGCAGCAGTCCTGTAGACGGCAACAAGCTCTTTCCCAAGCCGAGATACTTGAGGTCGTTGCGAAATAACAAAACGGGCTCGCCATCGTGGAGATAGTCATCATCGGAGCAGGGCGGTTCGTAGGAGGGCTCAATGTCGGTTACGAGTTTGGACCACCCCCTCGCCATCATATGTTGCAGCATTCCAGGTGCTCAGTCTTGCGAACAGATCGAGGAGTGTCTGTGTGATTGCGGCGCTGTTTCCAACTGCCTCTTCCTTGCTCTGGAACCTCTTGATACGCTTCTCACTAATGGGCGGCAAAAGAATCTTATAGTTTATCACCTTAACAAGCACGCGGCGCAGAGGGTCGGAGAAGCCTTCGTCGAATTGGTGCAGGGAGTCGCTGGAGTCGCTGTCGCTGCTAAGTCGGACGGACTCTAGGGACTCCTTCGCAGATCAGGTGACCATGTTGTCGTTTACACCTGGAACTGGCTGGTGGGCACCAGTGGAAGTGTTGTTTTTGCGATAAAAGGAGTTGGAGGAATATATACTCATGCAATAACCCCACACTTGTCAGACGACGCCGAAGGTACCTAGTCTGTTGAAGGAAACATTTGACTTAAACTCGCAATGCTAACTTTTTACAAAATCTTTCGTACTTGGTCTCAGTGTTATGGTTGGCTGTTGTATGCGTTGCTTAGTAGATGAGAGTTACCGTCGGATGCACTCGACATCAAACATAGAACGTACTACAGCATCGTGCTCTGGGGAAGGGTGCCTAGTATTCGTCGCACATCGCAAGACTCTCATATATGGTTCTACGACCGGGAGATGAATCGAAGCACACATACTCTGCATGCAGTTTTCAGGTATTCATCGTGAGCGGCAAACCTGAGTCGGTTCTTTAACGGGCCTGGGTATCTGTACAGACATTTCTGCTCCCTCTTGCTACTGCGTAGTTCTTCGAAGTCTCAAGCCAATCGCTCGTGTGGTGCTGCTCGTTGTAAGAGTCATCCGCATCAGAGCTTCCCTCATCAGATTCCTCGTCCGATCCTCCGTCTCAATGCCTCTTTCAACAATTCCGCCACTTTGCGTTGTCGATGTCTCCGAGCTACCCTTAGCGGGGTGTGATCAAGATTATCAACAGTCTCGAGATTTGCTCCTTTCCCAATCAAGAGCTTGATAGCTGCTAGGTCACCCTTTTCACAGACAACAGCCAAGGGTGTTTGCCCGTTGTTGTCTTTGGCCTCGAGATTTGCCCCTCTCTCAAGCAACAAACTCGCAACTCCTACGTGCCAAAATCCTTTGCAGACAATCGACAAGGGTGTTCGCCCGTTCTTATCCTTGACCTCAAGATTTGCTCCTCTCTCGATCAGGAGATTTATAGCTGTTTCGTTACCGTATATGCATGCATTAGCTAGAGGTGTTATCCTGTTGTTATCCTTTACCTCGAGATCTGCTCCTTTGTTGATCAGGAGACTGACAGCCATGACGTGCCCGGATATGCATGCATTAGCTAATGGTGTCCTTCCATTATTGTCCTTGGCCTCCAGATCGGCTCCTATCTCAATCAGGAGATTGAGGACCCTTTCGCGTGTCCATAAGCATGTCAAACCTAATGGTGTCAGACCCTCATTGTCCCTGGACTCGAGGTCTGCTCCTTTCTCAAGAAGTATTTCGACAATTTCCAGATTTTTAAGGTATGCAGCCGTGACTAAGGGGGAGACAACTTCATCCGACTCAATGGAAGCCCCCTTCTCGAGTAAAAACTTGACGGCGTCAAGATCACCTTCAAGCACTGCGATATCTAAAGGTCTGTTCCTCTCGGAGTTGAGCGTATCGATTCCGGCACCAAGCTCCAAGAGCATCGCCATCGTTGCGATGGTGCCGCAGCGAGTCGCTACATGCAGCGGATTATCTCCATCTGCGTTTTCTTTCCATGTGGCGCCAAGCGCTAGAAGACGCTTAAGGCTTCCTTTCTGGCTCTTTCGCGCAGCCCAATGTAAAGCTGTTGTTTGAGACAGCGGAGGAGAAGCGTTGATATCGACTTTGAGCCCATAATATAGCCGATCAATGGCTTGCTCCATCCCATAATAGGCCGCCCATTCCAAGGGAGTTGTTGGCACAGCTCCATCAACGCCATTTAGCTTTTCGTAGTTCAAAAGAAATTCCATAACATGCTCGCTAAGAACCGCTGCTCGCGAAGCATGAAAGCCCCAGTTTTCATCCGCGTATGCTGTCAATGGCCACTTTTGGTCCCTCTTGAGTGATGAATACTGAGGCGCTGAGGGCGATAATGAGTGAGCAAAAGTGAGTTTGAGATACTTGATGCAAACTTCGGCCATGTATCCATGATCATCGAGGGAATACTTTCCTCTCTTTCTTTGGAAGAACTCTTGTGTAGTGTGGTGAATGAGACGAATGGTTTTGCTCTTTTCGTCGACAGTGACAAGGCCAGCACAAGCTGACAGTATAACACAGACCTCCCGAACGTTATAAGGGTCAAAATAGGTATCATTCAGACGAACCGCCAAGGCATGTTGAATTTCTGTTGTCTTGAGAGGCCTGATTGCGTTCGTGACCCATGAGATTACTCTTCTGCCAAGGTCCCGGAGTCTTGGTGTCTGGCACTCGATCCTGGCCATTGCGTCGTCATATGCCCGATCGTATGCTTGATCTGATGCGATCTTGCTCCGGTGTCTGACCGACTTCTGCTGCCTGAAAATTTCCAAAGTGGACCGAATTTCTGCTACAGAGGTAGTGTCTTTCAGAGAAGCGAGGTAGAGCTGCGCCAAAAGAAACCTTGCTGAATGTTAGTGAAAGCAATGACTGGGTTTAAAAACCACTCACATTCCGCTTACTGTTGACACGATGCCATCAGTGATCTCATCCTCCAAGCCAGGCAGCGGAGTGACCCTGATAAATATCTCGGCTAGGTGTTGATGGATGTAGCTGCATACATCTTTGTCTACAGCCTTTATCTCGCGACTTAACGACCCTTCAAACATCCTCTCAATATCTGACATAAATCTTGAAGTTGCAAAAAGGTTGGCTCTAACCGAAGGCGAGTTGATAAGACCAAAGAGCGTCGAGAGAATCTTTAATCGGCTTCCGTCGGGTTGACACTCATCGACAGCATCGATGACAAGGAACACTCTCGAGAAAGACTTTGAGACTTCAAAGAGAGCTTGAGAGATCTCGTTTGAAAATGGCCTGGTTCTCGTTTTGTGGTGGTTCGTGTGTAGGTCTCTGATGCTTCTTGGCAAACTGCTCCGTGCCCAAGCTAGCTGTTTCAACAAGCTAGATAGCACGTCTTCCACCTGCTGTGTGCTTTGTTGCCGAAAATTGAAATACACATAAGCAACTCCGATCGAGAGGTCCACAGAATATCGACTAGTCAGATTGTCGACAACCGCGGCAGTAAGGACAGTCTTTCCGGCCCCTGGCATACCGGGGCAAAAGAGCGTCTGTCCTGGTGTTTCAAGCCATAGACGAAATTCCTCTGAGGCTAGAAACCATTCGCCTGTGCCCTCCTGCCTCCTGCGTAGGGTGTCACTCTGCTGCGAACCATAATCAATTGGCGTGAGCCACTCAAGTATCTTGTGATCTTCGGCACTTTTTGCCAGGAACCCCAGCTGCCTGACATCGTCTTCGATAGCGGACGTTGCGGAGTGAACTAGGTTGGCAGTCAGAAAGCAAGCCTACTTCAACATAGGGCAGTGTACTTGACTAACTCTCTTGCAGCTTTTTTTGCAACTCCGGCATCTGTTCGAGTACACTACATTCTTCATCTACGTCTCTGGGCTGGACGTATCCTAATAGTTCTTTTGCAAAGGCTGCAGCCACTGCAGCAGCATGCTCTTGCCAAGCCTTGTTCTTGTGAGAGTCGGCGTAGTCGCATATGCCTCGAATAACGAGGCATGGGAAGTCGTTGACGAGCCCCGCTGCTTCCATCTCAACGCAGAGCACGCGCCCACCAAGGTCTTTGTTGAGCTTGTCTCGTCTGACCGCATCTTTGATGACCTGGTTGCCCGAGGCTATAAGCCCATAATGGACTTTCATTTCAGTTCTTGGTTTTCTTTTTCTTGTCTTGCTTCGGTCACATTGCAAACAACCGTCTTCCACTTCATCTTCCTCCTCTTCTTCATCGTCTTCGTCTTCTTCCTCATACTTGCTGTATTTGTGGTCGTTAACTACTTCTTCATCTTTGAAAGCTGTTCCATGGCCCTCAGCGGAATCTTTGTCGACATGGGCATATTCAGATTTGAACAAGACGTCTTCCAGCGTTTTAGACCTTTCATATTTGGATCTGAGCCTTGGATATCTGCGCACCATCTCGTCCACATACTCGTTGACCCTGGAGCCATGAAGCTCATGCCGACTCTCCAGCTTTTGCAGGGCTGTTATCAAGATGGCGGGAGGATTATTCAAAGCGCCTATTCTCTGAAAGCCTCCGCCATCTGTCGCTTTGCCGATATCCCACTGCACCACGCCAGGGAACTGCCCCGTTGGCGTACCGACAACCACGTCACCCAGTCGGGCTTTGACTGGGACGCCGCCTCCAATGCCGACCATCAATTCGAACTTGATGGCTGGAAAGGTCATGATCATGCAAGTGGCAACGGTTGCGGCTGATACAGTTCCGTACTGGCCCTTTGGCAGACAGGCAATAACGATGTTGTGTCCTCCCATTGAGCCGAGAGTGTACGTGTTGTGGTCGTTAGGGGCCTTGGGAAGGTCTGGATGCGTTTCGTCTAACATTGCCATCGCAGCAGTCAGCTCCTTCGAAAGAGCGCAGACCCATCCCACAGTATACTGATCGTGCCGGTATACGCTTCGTTTCTTCGGCCTTTCGCCATTTCCTCCCTCGTCTCCGACCATTGTTTTGTTGAATAAAGTTTCTTTCCCCGTCCTAGTCTTCTTGTGGTCGCGGATCGCAGTATCAGGCGAGAAGTGTTCTTGTCTCGCAGAGTCGCGTCATACTATCGTTCTGATCAACAACATTGGCGGGACTCAATAGACATGGTTAGAGAAGCAGCAGCCCAGATTCTGCTGGGTGCAGACTCCAATTCGATCATCGGGTTGTCTGGAAGATTGTTGTCGAAGGTGAAGACACAGAGATCGACGAGATTCCTCCAACCCCTCCTCACAGCCTGATTTGTCTGTCCTTGTAGCGGCTGCGCCGCGCCATTGCATGTGGGCAGGCTTGAAGACCCATGTCTGCATAAGGGAGATTCTTCGACGAATCAATCATGCTGTAAGAACGATCCTGAACCAATAAGACGATGACTCAGGCTCAGCTGACACGGCCAGTCGTGTAAAATGATCGCAGAGCCATTATCGATAGACGCGGAGCGAGTAAAGGAGTTTGAACGTTGATAAAACAGCGGTCGGGAAAGGACTGAGACATGATGTTAATACGGCTGGTATCTGGTGGTACATCGGGTCGATCCTATGCTCCTCTGAAGCGATCAGCAGTGAAGCGATCAGCCTCCCTGGGGCTGGTCTACAGCAAAACTTGAAGGCCCCTAGCCATTTGCTGTCATGCGATTAGATAAGTACCCACCCAATGTTGGCCCCACGCAAGGGGCCCTTCCTGGCTTCGGGAGCTTCACGTTTCTTGCTTCTTTAATGGTTCTCTCAGATCGGCTCAGTTGCCTTGTCTACAAACAGTGGATAGGGCATTGCAAATCTTCGAGGAAAAGATTTGCTCACGCATTGCCTTTGTAGACCTCGGCCTCATGTTCAATGTCAGTGTCAGCCTTACGTGGACAGAGCCCTGCTGCATTCACGTCGTCGATGCTTTTTCGATGCATCATCCCATAAGATGGATAACAATCCAACTCGTGCATCATGCTCAGCCCATCCTCTTCACCATCGACCCGTCCGCGGTCCGCGTCTTGTTGATTAACACCCCACAAAACAAATAAAGTGCGACATGGCAAGGGCCGCGAACTGCTGCCTACGCGGCTCCAGCTTAGGGGTACGCAATGCGTCCGCGTCCGCACTGGATCTCATAAGTTCCAGGGAGATTAAGTGCGCAAGGAAAGAGCAAGCGGGTGTTGTGACAAATCCGGGACGAACCTCGGGACATGGCCACGCTGACCAGTGACACCACTCCGCCAACCTCGAATCTCGAAGCCGGGATGATGGTTGTTTCAAGTCGTACCGTTTCACAGGCCGCAGCACTCTTGTCTCTCTTGCCGCCCGGGGTGGGATACGACTCGGGAAGGGTTGGTTAATAAGGGAAACGGGCAGAGAGGCATATAATATCGATCAATAGGCGGCCGAAATCCAGTTTGTTCGGCCAAACTTGGCGTTCTGGTTTGCTGCCCAGCAAGTCCATGCAACCCATTCTACTGCTATCCTTGGCGGCCATCTCCTCTAGCCAAGACGAAACCCATACCCCTTTTTTCCCGACTCTCTCTCGTCTCGTCTTCTGTCATTTGGAGGGAATGCGCAGTTGTCCTGCCCTCTGTAAAGTCCGCGTATTCTGGGCCTATGGTTTAAGATTGTATGGATGGGGGTGAGATCCTTGGCGGGGATTGTTGCACAGCCCTCCCGTCCTGGGCACAAACAGACGGTTAGATGAGATCGAGGCTGTTTGGAATATAATTGAGGAGATGCCACCCCCCGCCTTCATTCGAACCAGAGACCACATTTTCACAGCGTTTTTTTTTCGCGTTTCCTGCAACTGTTCTTTTTGAGCCTCTCCCCAGTCGCTCCTTCCAACTCCAGGGGTCTCTGAAGCATAACGTACTCGAGTCGAGCCATCTGCAGACCTCGCATCCACTAGCCGGACCAAGGCCTCGAAAGTAGCCAGCCACGATGACTACGGAACAACCGCAAAAGCAGTTTATGGATTCCAATACGGAGCCTCCCAAGGACGAGAACACGGAAACGAATGGTTGGTCATGTGTACGTCAATCTCCCGAGTGACGGTGTGAGGGGACCCTGGAAGTGCATCCGCTGACGAGCCCCAAACACAGGCCCAATGCTGCTCAAGCTGCATGGACTGCCTCATGATGTGCCTCCGTTTCTAGATACAACCGAACGCACCAAAATAGCGAAGAATGATGGAAGATTGATTTCCAAGAACCACAAGATGATGGGCTAGAGATTAGATCGGTCAAGTTTGTTGAAAAATGGTACGGGCGCTGCCGTCAGATTCGGCGCTTTTTGGTACGCGATGATTGCGGGTATGGGACACCCTTCCACTGAGATGAGGGAGTTGCAGGAGTTTCGGTCCACGGAGGCCCGGTATTGGTTGTCGGTTATACCAGAGATTTGCTTTTCCTCATCGCCGTTGAGATGCTTTCGAGTTCGGTTCAAGCAAAAACCCACTGCGCAGTTCTTGCGCGATTCTTTCAATGGACTCGTCCGTCTCTCGCCAGTGACTGCGTCCGATTCGCGACAAAGCTCACTGCCCAGGGTGAAGCCCGTGCGCAAGCTTCCGGCGCCCCACTCTAAAATCGCCATGGAATCCAACGTCTCCCCTCCGCTTTTTTTGCTCCGTCCTGCTATTGACTGTGCCGCCAGCCTCGCCGTGATAAACGTCCTCGCCAAAACCACCACCGCTACTATCATCAACCTCGAAGCCGCCCCAGCACGACGTCCCGCCAACTGCCGCGTCCACGACACCTAACCCTCTCTTCAGCGGCGTGACAACAACCCACACCGCCTCAACACCGAACTACCAAACCACACAACCCAGCTACAATGGCCGACGTGGAAATGGAAGTCGACAACCCCCCCTCCCCCTCGGCCGCCGCCGCGGGAGGCGAGGCGGCCCCGGCCCGCAACGAGTCCGAGATGCAGACCCACGGCCGCGCGACCGCCGTCCGCTCCATCGAGGGCTGGATCGTCGTGGTGACCAACGTCCACGAAGAGGCCGACGAGGAGGCCATCCACGACATGTTTGGCGAGTTTGGCGAGATCAAGAACCTGCACCTCAACCTCGACCGGAGGAGCGGTTACGTCAAGGTACGCCTCCCTTCCCTTCCATAGGCAGGCCTGCACCCGACGAGCAAACCTGCACCGTGGGCAACCGTGACCGTGACGCTGACCCAACCCCCCAGGGCTACGCCCTCATCGAGTACGCGACCCTCGCCGAGGCCCGCGCCGCAATCGACTCGGCCCACGAGACCAAGCTCCTCGACCAGACCGTCTACGTCGACTTCGCCTTTGTGCGCCCCCCGCCGGGGAGCAAGGGCGGCAACAACCGCGGGGGCGCCGGCGCGAGACCCCAGAACCGCGGCCGCGGCCGGAGTCGCAGCCGCAGCCGCAGCGTCGACAGAGACGCTGCCGCCGCCGCCGCCAAGGACGGGGGCGACATTGAATGAGCGCGGCCGCTTTCCCGACGGGGCGTACCGGCGAATCCGTGGCCGGGGCGAGTTTCAGACGGAGACCCCGTGGCTTGGAAAAATCAGAGTCAGGCCGCTCATGACACAGCCACTCGGGGTCTGACACCAGACGGAGGTTGGAGACAAGACGAAAAGGGGGGGGGGGGGGGGGGGTAGAACGAGAACGAGACAGAACAGAAAAAAGGTCAAACACGAACATGGCCTTCGCCGATGTGTCGCGGTCGAGCAGGGCTAAAGAGAAGCTGAAGCTCGATCGCCGGGGGGGGGAAGCGACACGTCGGCATGTGTGATTTGGTCTGAAAAGGTTGGTCATGTCCAGTCCCCCTGTCTAACTCGGAAAAACGACCAAAGCTAACACGCAGTCTCAAGGCTACGAGAAGATATTAAAAAAAATTTGCCATCACCAATTATTACTACATTTGCGGCAAAGCGAGGGTTCTTGGCTACGTTCTGCCTCCAATTAGGGGAGTTCAAGACAACAACATCATCATCATCATCAGCGTCCGATATGCCGCGGTTCCTGAGGACCCTGCTAATCGATCAGTTGTGACACACCTTCGTTTCTGAGTTTGCTTTCTGCTGATGTTGTCCTCACTCGTTGTATCCGTCTGTCAATGCACGGGTTATGTCAAACACGTCAGGACGCTCAGTTGAAGTCATAATCGTCATTATTAACGTAAGAGGCCATCCGACCTCGAGGCATCGAAAGAGACCGGCCCCCGAAAACGGAGTACGCCAATCCAAAGCTTTTTGTGTCCTCGTTTGTAATCATACTCCTTTGCGATGCTCATATGTCATGCTCCAAACCAGAAAACCATGTGTAGAGTGCCGAACCCAACACTCTTGGCGTTGAAAAAGAGACTCGTCTTCGTTGCTCCTCATACTGTCATCACGCGTATCCCCCCTCATCTGCCCTGCCTCGCACTCTGTGTCTCGTACCTCGCTGGCGAGTTGTACCGCCCAGCCGAGTCATGCGTGCGGGCTGAATCATAGCCTCCGGGCGACTCGTACCTCGCACTCGCGGGGAGCGCATCGTAGACAGGCTCCCGACCCGCGGGAGGTGCCGCTGGTTGTTGTCTAATAGACCCCTCAAACTGTTCCTCGGACGCCGGGCCCTGAGGTGGCACGGCGCCAGTGTCCTTCTTCTTCATACTAAACAGCCGCTTGAAACCCGCCGGGGCAGGCGGCTGCAGATTGGCAGCCTCCTTGGCGTCGTCCCAAACCAGACGAGGCACAAGGAGCCGGTATGGCACTGTGATGCCGGCGGGATCCTTCTGGTTCACCTCGACATTGAGGCAAATGTCCAAACCACCTTCGAGGTCCACTTCAAAAGCATCCGCCTTCTTCTTTTGCTTAACCGACAACCCCGTCGGAGTGCGGTGGAACGGCTTCGGCCGCGCCAGCGAATCTTGCGACCTAGGAACCTGGCGTTCATCGCCGGTGGTGTAAGAACGAGCCGGCGCACGAGCGGAGAATTGAGTCTCGTCGCCAGGCTGGAACTCGTCATGGGTCCGTGGGACTGCCCTGTTAGCAGCGCCGCTCATTCGCGCTGCCGGGCGAGCCGTGAAGTACGAGTCATCGCCGGATTGGTACTCATCGTGACCACCGCCGCCACGAAGACCCATGCCCCTGGACGTAGGCGCCGGCCCATGGTTGTGCTCGTCTTCATACCCATAAAATCCGTCGTCCACACTCTCGTCGTCTCCATCGTCGTCTCCCCACTGGCCGTTGATACCACCGTCGTCGGGCTGCGACTTCTTGCTGCCCCGGCGACTGAAGAAATTGCGAGTCAACGACAATGAGCGCTTTGGCTTGGACGGCTCAGTAGGTCGACCTCCATCGGTCGAGTTGCGGCGCGAGAGACTGCGGAACAGGCCGCCAGCCTTGCCCTTGTTGGAGATTGGAGGTCGCGACCGGGACTCGTCTCGGCCATCGCGCTGAACATCCGGGCGATATGCCGGGCCACGGTTCGATGAAAACCGCCTCAGAAGGCCTCCACGGTTCGCCGGCGGACTTGGGCTCCTATCATAAGCCGACAGCGGTGGCGTGGGAGGTGGCGTAGTGCCTGGGGTCCATGCCCGGATGGAACACCAGTTGCGATGTGGTAGCAGGTGCTTGTTGTTTCTCGCCTTGCCGTCGACGCCATGCTGGAATAGCGGGATCATGTCTTCCTCGGTCGACTCGTCAAAGTGGTGGATCTTGTTACGCTTGTTCAGAATATCCGCCATCAGATCGGGAGGCGGCGTGTTGACGATGGCCGAGGAGATGATGTTCGGCATGTACCTGAAGTCCTTGTGCTTGGGTAGACCAAGCTTGGGATTGGCGTAGAACTGACCGACGGCAGCAAGATGGACATCGCCGCTGAGGAATGTGACTCTTACAGACTTGTCTGCCGCCAGGTCCTGCATGTCCTGCAGGACAACGGTCCGCTCCTTTTTGTGATTCTTGGCAGTCCAGTGATCGTTCAGGTCGTCGAGCACTTCGACGCCACCATCGATGTGGTTAAGAGTATTGCCGAGCATTCCCAACTTGCCCAGAGCCTTGACAGGATCCATCGCTCTCGAGGTGAGACTGTGATCGTTAGCACGTCTTCTCTCTATCGTGTGCAGAGGAAAACTTACATATTCTCCAACCAGACCAATCTGGGGTAGGCGATCGGAACACCCAGAAGGACCAGCAAGTGCTCGGTTCGTCCGTTCCTCAGTTCGTCGTAGCAGCGGTCCATGATTCTCTGCCACGAAGGCTCGCTGACCACGTCAAGCTCCGTCCGCTCCGTCCTGCCATCAACAGCCAACAGAGAAACCTTGGAGCCCAGTTCCACAAACAGACTGCGGCTCAGCTCGCTAATGTACGGCCCGGGTTCGCTGCCGAGAACCCAGCTGGGCTCAGAAGCCTCCGTCTCCGTGGGGATACTCTGCTGTTGGAACAGCATGTAGTACTTGTAGGCAACGTTGCCGAGGCCGGAGAAAACTGGCGAGTTCATGTCGTGGTGGGCATACGAGCCGAAGCCATCCGTGATGTCGTGGTCATCCCACATATTGACCATGGGGATCTGCGAGTTGGCCAGGCCGAAGAGACCCTGCGAGAACCACATACAGTAACGCTCAAGGTAGGCCCGCTCCAGCTCGTCCTGCATCGTTGGCGTGAAGGGCGAGTTGTGCTTGTGCAGAGGGTTCTTAATCGTCAGCCACTCGCGGAACTGCTTGCTCTGGTCCATCAAGCAGTCGTTATAGATCTGATCACCGCCGCCAATCATGACGTGGAAAGGCTGTGACTGGTGAGTGTTGAGAACGTCGCGCCACATAGGGTCGGGGCCGCTGAAGTCGTCGGGGTTGACACTAGCACTGAACCCGTTGCAGCTGTGGAACATGATGTTCATCGATTCTCCGAGGGCAGGGACCCAGAAGCCCATCGCAGGGCCCCTGTTGATTCGGTATGCGATCCGCTGCTGTTTTTCGCGGAGCTCAATCTCAATGTTGAAGCGCCAGAATGTACATCCGCGCTCTGCATGCAATCGGAAACCGCGCACGTCCTTGTACTTGGAGACCTTTTCCCCATCGATCTCGACGCGCTTTCGGCGGCTGGCAAAAGACCCAGGCAAGTCTGGCGAACCATCTGCCTGGGTGTAATCAGGTGGGCTTCTGGTCTTCTCGAAGAGGCCGTTGTCTGTCTCGTCTCTAGACAGGTCCTTGGCCTCATCGAGGTGCTCCACTGGACGGACGTAAAGCGTCTCTCCTCGTCTGCCCAGCTTCGGAATCCCAGCAATCGGGTCCACGTATTCTGGCGGTAGCCCCTGCTCTCCCGAGATCTCCTGAGGCGGAGGGGGGAGTAGTTCGATAGGCTGTACGAACAGTCTCAAGGTCGGCGCGATCTCGTAAGAAGAGTCGCTATCCAGCGTCACGATCATGACCGACCCACGCCAGATTGTTCTCTCATTGACGGCAGTGTTCCTGTTACGGGCGGGAACCTTCTCATGCTTGAGTCCGCAGTATCTCAACAGCGGGCCGCACTTGAGGAACAATGGCGGCTTGAACCGTGTGGGGGCTAAGGATTTCTATCAGTATCGTCACCTCCCGGTTGCACAACAGAACGTACCGTGTGTGTCATCATACTCGCCGTCAAAGGCTTCCGCCTTGCGCGGCCGTGATGTGCTCCCTCTGCGCTTGCCGCCTTCCCACCAAGGGGTGTCCTTATCAGTCGAAGCGAGTTGTTCGTCGCTCAGGTCCAGCATGGCCCCAGATAAACTGCCGACTGTGGCCTTCTTCCACTCGTCAAGATACACTGGCGGCTTGTAAATGCCTTCACCGGGGCGGAATGTCTTCTTCGCAGGATACAGGTCTCGAGAGTCGTCACTGAACCCATCATCCTCGGAGTAGTATTCCCTGTCAGAGGGTCTTCCGCGCGCCCCAGCCTGCGCTTGAGGTGCGTGGTGTTGGCTGTCACCGCGTCCACCCGATACCACGCGCGCATGGCGAACATTGTCGTATCGGGGGTCGTCGTCATCAGACTCGTAGTCGTGCTGTTGGGCTGCCGGGGCCGTCGACCGACGTTGAACTCCTCCAAAGTCAAAGCCAATTAACTTCGCAGCCTTACTGGGAATCCCGACCCGTCTGACCTCCTCCCGCATTGCGTCCGGGGGCAATGCCTGTTCGCGCGCAGCATGGGACACGGATCTCTGGACGGGAGGACCGCCCTTTTCTGCCGCAGATTGGTCCAAAGCGGCGTTCCGGAAGTCAATGTTGTCGTATTTCCTCTCTGCATCCTGCCGGATGTTGAACCACGGATCGCCCTTGGGCTGCTTCTTCAGCTTATTGCTCACGCTCCTAGTGAGAGAGAAACTGGGTCGCCGAGATCCAGAAACTGGTGGTGTGGGCTGCGGGCTTGCCTCTGCGCTCTGAGTTTGCTCGGAGGCTTGCGGCAACCTCATGTCGTTCTTTGCAGCGCGCTCGCGGAAGCTCAAGTTACGCTTAGGGATGCCTGAGCTCGTCGCGGGCGGCTCGCGAGGTTCTTCGCGGAGACTGACGCTTCTCTGTGGGACCCCAGAGGAGGCGGGAGGATGTCTCGGTTCCGCAGCCATTGGAGGTCCTTTCGGCGGGTATGGCCCAGACGCATGGCGCCTGTGGGATTCAGGCGCGTACTGCGGTTGTTGTCGCCTCTCATCGAGCGACTGGCGCGGCGCATATCTGCCGTCGTCTACGGGATAGTATTGCACCGGCGCTCCGCGCGGAGCAGCAATATTGGCTTGCTGCCCTCTGCGGCCCTCATCCAGACCGTCGTCTCGGAACCGCACCTGCTGGACTGGCGCCTGGTGCACCTGTACTTGCTGTACCGGCACATGCTGCACCTGCTGTACCTCTGGTGGAGGTTGTTGAGGCTTTCGAGGCGGCTCTGGGAGGGGTCGCTGAGGTTGCTGCTTGGGCAGGGGTTCCTGCGGCTGCGGCGGCGCACGCTGGGTGGGCTCGGGAGGCTGCAAAAGATCCGGGTTCTGGGCGGCCTTGGCCGCAGCCTTTTCCCTGGCGCGACGCTCCGCGGCCTCGACACGAGCTCGCTTCTCCTCCTTGGTGATGCTGTCGAGCGTCAGCTCAAGCCTCTGGAGGGGAGAACGGTCGTTTGCGAACTTTCTGCTGGATCCTCCTACCGAAGCCTTTCTTCCCTGCCCGTTTCTGCCTGCCCCACCTGTCGATCTTCTCCTCGAAGAACTTTGAGGGTCGCGGGGCTCGCGGGGTGCTCGCGTCTCGGCGGCGGCATCGAGCGTGGGCTGCGAGCGGTCGAGAGGCGGGTGTTCCTCCTGCTTCTGCTGCCTTTCCTCGGATGCAGGGTTCTTGTAGTACTCTTCAGGATTCATCTCGTCGTCCGGGATGACCAGCGGACTAGGCTGTCGCGGAGGGCGAGGCGGGCCTGGTGATGTGTGTGTGTATGGCAGGCCACCATTGCCGTACGGATGTCTGAAGCTCACGGGCGGGGCCTTGGGCACATCTGGGGCGGCCGGAGGCGTTGGGCCGGACAGATATTCGTGGTCAATGTCGTCCTCGGCCTCGTTGTTGCGCTCTCTGCGTCTTCGTTGGCGTCTCTCAGCCTGATCGTCTGGGTACTGAGATTCGCCGTAGGGGAACGTCGGCGGGCGCGGGGCTAGACCTTGGTCGGCAAAGCTGGAGGCGGTAGGTGAGGCGTAGGGGCTGAGAGTTGATTCGGTGACGGCCTCGGTGTTGGTCGTCTGCATCGAGGTGCGGTTTGACTTTGGGGGAGGAGGAGGAAGAGGTTTGTCCGTCATGAGCGCGGCGGTCGAGGGACCCTCCAGCTCTGGGGATTTGCGTTCCGGGAGACTAAAGTCTTCTGACTGGCGACGCTGGCGTCTGGCCGCTTTGGGGCCTGACAGATCGCCCCAATACGGTGCAGTGGGCATAGCGAAGAGGCTACTACCTCCCGTCGTTGCTGGGATTTGGAGGCTGCGCTACCAAGTCGGGACTGCAGATGGGAGCAGACTTGGGCGCAAAGACCGGTGAGTGATGGTACCACTCGCCCGTGGGAGAGCACAGCTGCCACGAAGGAACACGTACAAGCTACTTTGGTAAAAGCTAGAGCAGAATCTACTAAGTAGCGGTAGAGCGAAAATGGCCGGGCGTCAGAGACATATGCAGCTTGCCATAGCAGCCAATGCAATGCAGACACGCGCGCACGCAAAGGAAGTCGGTTGTCTGCAAGGGCAAGGAAGGAAGCAGTAAGTCAGTCACCGAGGTGAGGTTGCTGCGATATTTTGGGATGGTCCAAGAAGAGGAGAGGGGGGGTATGGAAACGTTGCCGCAAAGAGATGCAGACAAGAGATAAGACAAGAAGGAGGAAAAGGTGGGAAAACCCGAAAGAACTTGACTTTTTCTTGCGACTCAAGCAGCGCCGCAAGGAAAGCTAGAGGTAACCCCCCCAAAGAGCTTTGAGCTGGGAAAATGGCGAGGTTGACGGGTTGTGTGCTACGGCGTCATTCGCCCTCCCAGTCGGGCTTAGCAAAATGGATGTTGGACCAGGGTTGGGGGCGGCTTGGGCGGAGAGGAAGAGCAAAGAGGCAGAGGACCCCCGGCCCGCCGACTGGGGTCTTGAGTAGTCCCGTCCAGTGAACTCCAATCTCGCTGCTTCCTTCCGCCGCTAGACCAGGCGTGTCATCGATTGGGCTGGCAAGGTTAAAAGGCAAGACACCTCGAGCGGCGGAGCAGGCTACGGTGCCTGACTGGGTACGAACAGCCGCGACGGGGTTGCGGTGTGTTGTGTGTGTGCTGTCCGGGCCCGTAAGGTAGCCGAGAGGAGCCGCAAGAGGTCGATTCGGGTGGGAAAAGAGTAAAAATAAAAATAAATGAAAGAGGCGGTCGGAATGGAGCCCACTCGATGGGCATCGCTTTGCCATTGACCAGTGACCACGACTCCAATATGCTGCAGCTTACTTGCGCGCGCCGCCACCCCATCTGGCCATCTTCTGCGACGAAGGGGGGTGAAGAAGCTCCAGCTTGCTTGCTACCCCATGCGGCCGTCCTCTGCCTGCCTGTCTATCTAGCAAGCCTTCTTTGCGCCAATCCGCCAATGGAGACTTGGCTCCCGTTTGAGTGTGCGAAGGAGGTCTTACCTCACCTCCGTGTCTTGGGCGAGCTGTGAGATTGGATAGACGCGAGTGCAAGGTACCTTTCGGACGACGTCAAAAAGAAGGTGGCTGAGTTCCCATCTCAAAAGTCCGCTTTTCGAATCGAGCAGAGTAAGGCCGGCTCAAGGCAAGCAAGGTACGGACGGACAGGTGCGGTATCCTGGTCTGGGAAAAACTTGGTAAAAAGTCAATTCGATTCGATGCGATAACATAATCTACCCGTCCCAATATTGGGGTGGCTGGTGGTGCAAACGAACTCGGACTGCGTGAGACCTCGGCCAGCTTGGACCAAGAAAAAGAAATGCACAATTGACTCGGCACTGTTACCGTTTGATGGATCATTTGTCTGAGACTGATTCAACTTGGAGAAAGAAGAGGAGGGTGGATCAAAATACTACCTCGAGAGTCGATCCGGTCGAGAGAATACAGACCCAAGGACCCCCTCCCTAAGCTTAAGTTTCCACCGTCCAAGAGCCGCGCAGTAGCCGTCGCGTGTTCGGCGCGGGAGTGCCCGCCTTCATCTCATCAGTCCCGAGTCCAGACCAGGAGTCCCATCAACCGTCGCGGAGCTTTGACTTGCATTGACCAAAACACCTTGCGCGCTTCGCAGTCACCACAGCGGAAGCACGTTGCGGAAGTTTACGAATCATTGATTGATTAAGCCCAAAACACCAACCCGCCCGCCGTCTACTGTGCTTTCAGTGGAAGAGACTAACCACACAATGCCCCAATGCCCAAATGCCCATGAACAAGAGAAAAGTCAAGGTATTTCTATGCAAAATGCGCCCGTGCCCGCCTGCCTGCTGTGCGCCTTATTTTTCGGTTAACCTGTCCGTCTCTCTGTTGCCGCTTCCCTCTCTTGAGCGCTCCCGACTGTCGTGGTATACGCCTGTCTCATCCTCATCATCCTCATCATCCCCGGCAAACGCATCGTAGAGCTCGCGACCCCGCGTGCGCTTCTCGCCGTTCAGGCCTTCGGCTTCGTCCTCGTTGAGCAACTCAAATTCGTAGTTGTCGCGAGGCGTGCTGTTGCGGCGCTTCCTGATGAAGAACCAGATTCCGAGAGCAGAGCAAAAGACGGCAATGAGACCAATGGCGCCGTAGACCCACACTCCGGCCTTTCCAAACGATGGCAGCCAAGACACCCAGTTCGACGGGCTGGTGGTGGCAGCGCTCGGCGTCTCTTGAGTATCTGTCGGCTTGCCCGTCTCGGCAGGCGTCGCCTCTTCGCCTCCAGTGGGCTTGATCTTGGTGGGACGCTCAGGGTGGTCCGTGGGGTTGGCAGCCGGCACAGTGTTTTCGGCGGGATGCGTCATCGACGTGACGGCAGCCGGCAGCGTGGTCGTGGCAACAAGCGCATGGTCGTTGTCGTCTTCTTCAGTCGGCATGGGGAGGAGCGTCGCCTTGCTCGCGTCAATCGACTCGCCCCAAAGCTTCAGGTGCCAGTCGACGAAAGTGCCCTTGTGGTCGTTCTCCTGGGAGTCCTTGACGACGACGGTCCACTTGCCGATGCCAGACTCGCCCCTGATGTAAGGTCAGTGGTCGTGTTTTACCCATGCAGTCTTCAAGATCAACTTACCAGTGGGCAACGCTCATAAAAGTCCAGTCAACATAGCCAGTGTTGGCCGAATCCATCTTGCGGGTGACGGACAGATGGCTGGTAAATCCATCAGGGCTGATCAAATCAACGCTCAAGTCACCTCTGCGTGTGTGATTCACGTTCATAGTGACCGTGACATGCTCAACTCTCTCAAAGTTGGCCTGCTTCAACGCGTCGGCGGTAACTTCGAAGCTGACTGCGACACCGTCCTTGCCCTGGGGGATGTCCTTGTTGACGTGAATCCAGGGCGAGTAGTACCACGCCTGCGGCTTGACGTTCTTCCAAGTCTTGGCTGCCTCGACCATCTTGAAAGCATCAATCTTGCCGTATCCGTACGTGTGGCTGAACTTCTTCCCGATCTTGGTCGGCATATACTCTCCGTTGGCCTCGTCGACGGGAACAGCAGTGTCCATGGCAAGCCACTGCATGTCTCTCCAGGTCAAGTCAGGGCGAGCCTCGAGAACCAAAGCGTAGACACCAGCGCCCAACGGGGCTGCTGCGGAAGTGCCTCCGTGGCCGTTGTAGCAGGCGTTTTGCCCAACGTCGGTGGTGTGCTGCAAAGACGTTAGCTATGGTCTCTTTATTTCACGATGCGGCTTCCTTACGATAGCGTCTCCGCTGCCACTGCTGTAGGTGACAACCAGCTGAGCAGAGCACTTCTCCGAGTAATAAGGGTGCTGGCCCTTCCTGTCGATGGCGCCAACAGTGATACTGTAGATTGAGTTGGTGTAGCCGTCAAAGTTGCAGTTGTCGTCGTTGGCGGCGCCGTTACCACTGGCGAAGACGTAGATGGATCCCTTGCCGCCACGGCCCTGCTGAATACCCTTGAGCATAGCACGCTTGATCAGGATACCTGGCGCGTCCATTGATCGACCGTCATCAGGCGGACCCCAAGAGCAAGAGTAGATGTCGTTGTGCTGATAGTCGTAGGTCATGGCGACAGCCTCGTCGGCGTCCGAGATCAGCTTACTAAGGATACGGATACCGGCAATCTTGGATTCGTAGGCCACACCAACACCGCACACGTCGTTCCTCGCCGCGGATACCTCGCCGGCGCAGCGGGTGCCGTGCCGGTCGTCGCTGAGAGTAGGCTTGGGCTCTTCCCGATGATCGTTGAAGTCATAAGAGCCGGCGGCGTAGTAGTTCGGCTTCAGATCGTCGCTGTACATGTCGAGACCGTCGTCGACAATAGCAACGGTTGCGTTCTTGCCTGTAATGCCCTGCTTCCAGACACCAGCGACGTTGATGTCGTGCCCCGGCTGGATCGTGTTGAGCAAATGCCACTGCTCGTTGAAGATGGGGTCGGCGATTCCGAGGGTTTTCATCAGATCGTTCATCTGAGCAACAACTTTTGGATCGGGCTGCTCCTGGCGAGCGAAGTTGGAAGGGCCATGGGGGCGCGGAGGAACCCTCTTCTCCATGGGCTTCCGAAGTTGTTGCTTCTGCGCCAGACGAACGCCGTCAAGAACGTCGAATCCGCCCATGGAGCGTTTCCTCAGCTTGCGCTCCTGCAGGGCAGGTTTGACGATATCGTGCGCAGCCTTCCTGGCAGAGAAGATATGGTGATCGTCTAGACTGCCGAGTGTACCCTCATGCCTCAGACCCAGGCGCTCGGCGACCTGATCGGGAGATGAACGCGAATCCAGTTCGAGTACATAGTAATCGTTCCTTTCGTAGTTCCGGTGTGAGGACGAGGCGCTGGCGAGGGTGGCGAGGCCAAGGAGAATCGCGGAAGGCTTCATGGCGGGCTACCGTAAACCCTCGAAGGGACGGGATGGAGAGTACGCAAAAAAGGAGGGACTGCGCAGGATGGCGTTGAAGGTTAGCTTCAGCGCCCGTAACCAGATCAAATCAGTGTAGGGGGGGGGAAGAAGAAGATGATGGTGAAAAGGTGGAATTAACACAACACGTACCTCCCTCGCTGTCTGCTTGGCTAGGGGAACAAAGGTAAACGGGACTGGACCCGTCTAGGCTTGGGGGAAGACGAGACGTGGTCGAGTCGCAAGTGGCAAGGGGCCGCCCTGGAGATGGCCAAAGCTTCTCGGTGACTTCTGCGACACCTCTCACTTCGGTCCCCTTAGGAAGAATATCCGCACTCCTAGCCTCGGCGAGCTGGGAACAGCGCTAATCACCAAGCAAAATCCGCCTATCCTTCTTGGCGATGCAGATGTGACAGTGACTTTTGGGGGTGTTGTTGGTAGGTTATTACTTAACAGGCCAGAGTTCACGCGTAAGAAACAGCGGGGAAGGGTCGTTTCATCGTCCTCGGGTATTCAATATCGATGGGACGGACGTCAGCGTGGAGCAGGATTCGCAGGATCGCTGATAAGCTAAGCAAATGGAAGAAATACGATGAGTGAATCAGGGGAATGATTTAGGAGAGTCAAGCGCAGTAAGCAGTGCAAGTGGCAAAACAAAACAGGGAGCGTCTTGAGTGAAAGTCGTTCATCCTGATGGAACAAGAGCAGAATCTGGGACACAGGACAGGCTCCGACCAAATGTTGTTTCGTGGCCTTCTCGAAAACGGCAGGAACATAAAAATGTAGCCAGGCATCCGATGCTACCTGCCCGGTTCCTACAGCCAGAGAGGAACTCCCCCCTCCCCCCCCGGCTAGCTTCCTTAGCACACGCATAGTAGGGGTCCTGCTGCTCGACGGATACGCGTCGCAACAAACGGGGGCCAATGGGGCGGCCCCCTCATGGCTGCGCCAGTGTTGAAACGGCAGTGTGGGCGGCGATGCGGCGGCGGGTTCCTCAGCGCTGCTGCACCTGAATCGTCCTACCTTCCCCTTCTGTACAGGCAGTGAGTCCTTAGTCTGGTGGTTGCGCCGCGGGACCAAGATTTCCCCAGGCCGGGTGGGCATCTTTCAAGACAAATGTACCTTGGTCGCCTCCGTCTCGGGTACAGTATTACCTCCCAGGTATTGCAGCGTGCTGTTTTCGCTTCGGTGAAGAGTCTCCTCCCAAGGGATAAGTACCGAGTACGTGCTCGCATGCGTAAGTCCGTCCTCCTTTCCACATGCATGCAAATTACAATATCGATTCTGCCCCATTCTACTTTTCACCACTCCCTTACTGGTACATAATAGCATTGAACACAAGCCTCAGACATTGCATACTCCAACAGAGTCTCTCTACCAAAAATGCGACAGAGCAGGATGGTGAGGAGAATCCCGCCCTTCTGCGTCAAAGAGGCCCAAACATCGAATCACAACCGGGCGCCGCCGGCATCTTCTGTCCTGGCCTTGGCGCTTGACACAGTCACTCGTTTCGGAATCCGCTCCCGCCCATCTGCTGTGAACAACCAAACCCTCCATGCCTCCATCGCCCTGTGATATATTAAGAAACACTGGCTTCTGTCATGTAACTTTGTTTCCAGTTAGGCCACAGTGTCTGTGGTCTTGTTCCAATTCGCTCCTGTATCCGCGGGACTGCCTCAAGCTACTGAGCTCTGTGCTACGTTTCTGCCAGCCCTCCGCAAGTCTGTCTCATGCTTGTCGAGACTGGAGAGGCGAGCAACGGTGCCCTCCGAATGGCAAACGCTGTTCAGGAACCTCCCATCGAACAACCCTGTTCTCGCATGAATGAACAACAACCCGGGCGAACAACTATCCATCGACTGGGTACGTTGTAAAGGCTTGGCACTTTGGGTTCGACACAGCAGTCTCTATCAATTGCATAGGGACGAGGTCAGGGCACTGCCCGTTGTTGTCGCTCACTCTGGAAACTTGGTCTGCCGGTTTTTACAGAAGTTATGCCGAAGACCAGTAATGAAGCCGCCAACGATGTGTCAAAACGCATTGATTCGTCAATCACGATCCTCAAGCCCATCTTCATGATTATCTCCAGTTCTACCTGACTGGCGTCCGATACCCCAGTTGAATGGTCTGCTCCCGTCTGCTGAATCTTCTCGAGCCAAATGTCCCGGGGCCATCCGAAGCTGGCCTTATACCAGCAATCAAACCCCCATTAAAATGGGGTCGACGTCAACTCAACCGCCCACTGCCGAATAAAAACACATAAGCCATGGCTTTCGCTCACTCCTCGTTCAAAAGCATGGCCGTCTAGTCCACCAGACGCCGGCCAGGGGGCTCAACACCAGTGCTGCGTGTTCCCGACACGCCTTCCTTCTCCATCGCCTTGACGTACCCCTCCCAAATCTCAATGACCTCGTCGTAAAACTCAATATGAGAGTCGGCGAGACCGCCGAGCTGCTTCTTAAACTCGACCCGCTTGATCCGCTCAAAATCGGCCACCTCCTTGACGACCTCGTCGTCAAACATCTCGCTCGTCTTCTTGGCTCGCTCCGCTTCCGTGGTAAGCTTGTCGATATTCATCTCCAGTTTTCGTTGGCGATCGCGACGAGCCTGCTCGTGATCGACTCCGCGCACATCCTCGAGTTTGCGCATCAGTCTGCCGCTGGCACCCGACAGGCCACCCGAGCCTTGGCCGGACTGGAGCAGGTCTCTGTCGACAGTGTTCTTGTTAAGGTACTCCGTGAGCTGCTCGTAGTCCACCTGCTTCTGCTCGCGCGCCTTCAAGAGGCTCTTCAAGGCTGTGCTGTAGGCCTGCATATCCCGGAGACTGCCTAGGTAATCCCCATCGGTGACATCCTTGAGCTTGCGCAGACCCATGGCGGTGTCCTCGATCGAGTTGGCAAAATGTCTGACTTCGTTCTCGACACCCGGCTCAAGCGTGATAAGCTTCTGGAACTGTTCTGCCAGGTCCTTGAAGTCCAGTTCGAGGTCGTTCTCCCGTCGGGCTACCCGTGCTACCACCTTCTCGATGTGGGCCAAGTCTTCGTCGAGCTTGTCGCTTCGTTCTCTGACCTCGAGGAACCGCTTGTCGTGCTTATGGGCCTTGGTGAAGGCGTTGAGGAAGCTGTCGGTGAGGTTATCGAATACCCCACTGCTTCCGGCATCGCTGCTCGTAGATCCTCTGACGCTGCGACTGCGCATCGTAGCGTTCCAGTCAGGGCTCTCGAGAAAGATATGGAGGATATCGGCTCGGCGAAGCACGGGATGAAGGGAGAGGCGGGTAAGGAAGCGCTGCAACGAATGCGCTCGACGATTGGTGAAGTCCGGACCGAAGCGATTGCCGCTAACATATTCCATCCGCTGCTTGTCGGGCAGGGGAGGAACTGCGGCGGTTGGGTAGTCTCTGCTCAACGCCTTATACAAGAAGACAAAGTCTGTGAATCGCCGGCGGACTGTTGTTTGCGATCTCTGGAAGGAGGGGAACGTGGTCTGGAGAAGTCGTGTCAGCGCGCAAGTCTTCGAGTAGATCGGGCTTATAGCTGGAATACACTGAGCATTCGAACTTCCTTACATTAGTGGTAATCAAGTACGAGACAAAGGTATCTTTGGAGCCATCGTTTTCCTTGAGAGGCTCGGAGACGACGCAGTCCAGCACCTCCCGGTCGTTGCTGCCGGGTGCATCGCTTTCGTAGGCATTGTGTCCATTCCTTTCCGTGTCGTCGTATTCGGTCGCAGTCACTGAACTTGAGCTCTCAGCAGCGGTGTGCTCATCCGTGTTCCAGGACACGTTGGAGAAGTCATCTTGGTGTTGGTCAATAACCGCCATGGCGTCCAGCTGGGTGGACGTGGGGTTACGTCGTCGTGATCGGAGGTGACGCTGGCTGGGTTGGGGAACCCGAATGTGAAGACGGCGCGGTGAACCTCGACTGGAGGACAACAAACAAGAGAAAAAAGTCGGATTTATTTGCTGTCAAACAATCAAGTGTTGAGGCTTCAGATCGGATCGTCGCAAAGGATGGAGATGGGCGGAACGAACGTCTTGTTTGCCGGACAATGGGCTGGAAGTGTCGGCGGCAGTGGTGGGGAATGGGCATGAGCTGCCTGTCGCTGAACCATGAGAGGTGACGCTGCGAGCTTAGTGTAGTTTACCTTAGCTGACCTGATGCGGTTGGGCAGCGCGATAGTGGGGAGATGGCAGGTACCCACAACAGCGCCAGAAAGAAGCAAGCGATGAGGTAACTCGCTAGCAGCCGGGCAACACCGTCAGACCTCCAGTTCCGGAGGGCTATGACGAAGGCTGCTGGCGCAGATGCAACCCAGAAACACATAGCAGAAACAAGCCAGGGGTTATTGCCTCGGGTCGTCGCGACGGTACTGGAAAGCTATGGCCAAGCTTCTGAACAAAAGGACGAACGGCATGTTGAACAGCTGTATCTTGTGAGTTTTTCGGTCTACGTGTTTGCTGGCATTGTACACAAAGGCCGCCATTATACAGTAGTGGAATCTATTTGCTTCCTGAGATGGATCTTTCTAGTGACCTGTGATATTCCCTTTGGGGTGTCATGAACCCTCTTCTTTTAGTACACGCTACCCAGCCTTATGCCATACATGTCTAACAAAGAAAAGTGAGTGCTTGTCTACAGCGTTGCGCAATTTATTTGTCGCTCTTCTCCACCTTCTCAATCTTGGACTGTCCGTCTCTCGCGACCAGCATCTCCTGCTCGGCCTCCTTGGCCTCCTGGGCCTGGCTTGAGACAGCGGTCTGAGCCTCAGCAGCCTGGTTGGTCTCTTCCTTCTCGTCAATGTTGTCGATATCACGAGGGGTGGCGAATCCGGTGCTAGCATTCTCCTCGTTCTGGCTGTTCTCCTCGTCAATGAGCTCCTGCTGCTCCTTGAGGACCTCAAGACGCTGCTTGTTGGTGGCGGCACCCTCGGCGCTGTGCACCTCAAGGGAGATCTCATGGAAGAGCTCGTCGGGGATGGACGAGAGGACACCAACGAGAGCCTCGATTTGGCTGTGCGCGGGGACCTGGCCGTACATGTAGGCATTGCTCAGAACCAGAAGGGTAGACGGGACGCCGTCCTTCAATCTGAGGTCAAGCCACTGCTGAAGGTACTCGCGCATTCTCGCGGGAGACACGCTGTGGGTGCGGATGCCACGGCTGGCGCACGCCATCTGAAGCTCCGCAACGGTGAGACTATCAACGCCCTCGTAGCTAATCTGTCGGTCGTCTCTCTTGATCTGGCGCATGCGGTGACGGATCTGGTATCGCAACATGTTGTCGGTGCCGAAGGTGTTCAGGTTCATGTACCTGCACATCGAAACTAGCTGGGGTCTTGAAAGGTTGTCAAGAGTCAAGTCATCCTTGAAGATCTTGCAGACCTTGATGACGTCCTCGTGTGTCGGCGACTCGCCAGACGATCTGAGTTTCCGGAAGAAAGTGGTAAACGCCTCACTCTGGGTAGTTGCTGGGGTCAACGGCAGGCCAGTCTCTTTAAGACTAGACCGCAAGAACTGGCTAACTTCCTTGCGCGTCGTTCTAAGAATGGTCGCCTTGGCGTCCTTGGACTTTTGCCCCTCGTATGTGCTGGGCAGCATGTTGGGGAACAGCCGCAGGGCGACGGGGAGCAGAAGCTCAGCGAAAGGGACGATGACGAAGACGGAAAACGGCACCAGGCGACCGAGATCCTGGACGGTGCGTTGCAACTGGCGGTTCTCTCTCCGGCTAAGTTCGTATCCGGCAGCCATCTTCAGTGCAAGCTTAGTACTGATCTTGACTTCGGTAGCAAGCAGCTTCGTTCCGTCCCAGTAGTGGTGGGCCTCCTTCTTGACCTTCTGCCAGAGGGTCAATTTGTCCTTTGCATTCTTCTCTGCTTCGACAGAAGTCCCCTTCGCAGCGGCGAGTTCCGACAATGAAGCGTTGGACTCGGCCTTGTCTGCTGCCGATGCATCCTTGGAGGATGCCTTCACGTTCTGTGCCGCATCACTAGAATCATTTGTCGCCTTCGAGTCGCTCTTGGTCGCCGAGGTGCTTTCCTTGGGCAAAGGTTTCTTAGCCTCTGCTACATTGAAGCCCGGAGGCGGGCCAGACGGCTGGCCGTGGTTGTGATGGTCGGTACCCAAATGGCGGACGGGCACAAGGAGTGCGAGGACGTTTACATGACGAGGAAGATGTCTTGCATTTCGGCCGAGCACAGCTGACGAAACACCGAGGCTAGAGAGCGCACGCGCTGCAAGATGTCAGAAAAGAGAACCAAAATCGCCGCAGCACAGAGCAACACGGAAGATGGGGAAAGAGTGAGCGGGCAGGAAGCAGACGCAGGAGATAGGCTTACCGTTGCCTAGGAACGGGTTGGTAATCGCCGCCCGACGAGCGACACTGGCGGAGGCGCTCATTCTGCAGCGGTTGGGATGGCAGACAGAAAGGGTGGATGGGTAGGTTGTTGTGAATAATGAGCGGACTACCGAAGACCAGTGAACATGGGCGATTATCTTGTGAGTGGGCAGTATACTACAACTAAAGACAAATGATGAAGAAGAGGAAGATGTACTGTGATGCGAAACGGCTCAAGAATTCTGGAATGGAGGGCAACCGATCGCATCAAATGGAATGCTACCACAACTTGTCCCTGGCTTTCCGAAACCACTCATGGCCGGGGGCGGCCCAGGGACCTGCGGATACCGCACGTGCAAGATCACGGGGTTTTCTTGCCTCTTCGCTCTCGGGGTTCGCTTCGCTGGCGGCGGAGGAGAGGAGCCAGAAACGGTACGAGCAAGGCATTGGGCGAAGCACCACAACCCCGGGCGAGTTTGTCGTAGTCTGTACCTGGGTACGTATTTGGGCAGAGCCCGGACCAGGTCTCGGCCTCCGCTGTTTGCCCATTTTGCATCCGTTCATTCGTTCGTTTATCACCATCGCCACATGGATAGCGAAGCAGACGGCCATCTCCTGTAGATCCGTGGGTCATCCTGGCCTTAGCTACTGGCAGCTCGACCTTCTGGGCGTCTGGGCTGTGTGAATTGTGCCTGTTGCCCGTGTCGGTGATAGCGCAAGCACCGGCAATCAGTTACCGGGCACTACCAACTCGGTACCATCGGGCCTGGATTGACTGTGAGCAGTGCTGGCCTTGTCAAGGCTGGCATGGCGCTGTTTGGCAGTGCGGAGGACAGATCGGCAGTATCGGCCAGCTCGCAATGGCCAATATCTGGCAATTTGGCACAGGGCAGTCTCCCACACCAACAGCAGGACTGCTGGCATTAATCTGTCCGCTGCGTCCGTGTTATTGACGGGTCAGAGAAAACAGGTGTTTCGACTTGGACCGGTCATCATGACTTGCATGCTTGTCTCCGGCGTCAAGACAGAAAGTTTTGCTGCGAAGCGATGCGGGATAGGGGATAGGTTCTCTCTTTATTCTCCTCACCAAGCCACACTAGTTATCCATTGTGTTCTGGTAGGGAGGCTGATGGTAAGAAACGCCAGATAAATGATGGCGTCAGTGTGTGCTCAGATGCGGGATCGGAATGTGCTGTTGCGAAATCTGCGGTGGGCGGCGGCTCTACGGGCGAAGAAGGACTTGAGAACCGCCTCAACAATTGTGCTCCCTGGGTTTTTTTGTCCTTTGAACTCCGCTCGACAATTTTTTGGTGGGAAGCCTCACAGGCTCGTCATTCGAGGGGTCGGAGGTCGGCGTGTATCAAATCTCGGCCGCTCTGTGATGCGCCAGCTGGCGAGATGAATTTTGACAGCTGCCAGGTGCTGAGTACGTACCTTATCTCCTCATCTCCGTGCGCGTTATCTCATCCTCGTGATCATCGAGAGTGATGACACTGTGCCGTTCAGCCTAGTGTACCCCGGACTTTAGAGCTTGAGACCGACCGACCATGGAGGGAAAAGACGTCGCTTGGTAAGGGTCCAGCAACCGTCCATCACAAGGGGGGACAAGAGGAATTCCCCGACCCACCCCTTGGCACAAGCCCAGCAAGCTCGCTGAAGCCACCCAGTTACGGCTCACCGGTGGAGGATGACACCAGCGTAGCGCACTGCCAATTTCTTTCTCTTTCTCAAGCCCGCGCTGTGCCCAGATATCCGGCCGTTGGCGGCGCACCTCGCACCACACATGCGCGCAAAGTCCACTATCGGACTATCCACACACGTCGTCCGCCGCCGCCGCCTCCTCCTCATCCTCCTCAACGCCTATCCGTCCATCGACCGATTTCCAAGCATCCCCCGTCCGAGGTGCGCGCCAGCACCCCAGTCACTGCACCTGCCTGCATCCCACCGCCGCGGTTCTGCGTTCTCCACCCTCCCTTCTCGGCATTCCTGCACCACCTTGATTTCTGGTGCTCTCCTCTTCTTTTCCTCTTCTCTCTTCCTACTTCCCCAGATTGTCGCTATATACCAACGTCCGTCTTTCCCGTAGTGGCCATGGATTTCTCCTAAACTGCCCCCGACCACGATCCCTTTTGGGTCTCGCGATTCCGACTCGTTCCTCCTCCCCGCACGTCTCGGGGCAAGCAGCCAGTTCACCAGCCAGTTTCGAAGCTACCTCCTTCCATCTCTTCAACCCCTCCCGTCCCCTCTCTCCGTCACTCCGAAATCAATCCTCTACCTGCGCCAAACGCCCAGTGACTCGTGTATACTATGAGACTCCGCAAAGCCGCCCGCGTCATTCTCGTTGGCGCCCCCGGTGTTGGGAAAGGAACGCAGTCCGAACGTCTTCTCCAGCGATTTCCGCAGATCCAGTCCATCAGCACGGGAGACCTGCTCCGCAACAATGTCAAGCACCGGACCCCTCTTGGTGAGTGTCACATGCTGCTGCTGCCGCCCACACCCTATGTCCCAGCTAACCCGTCGTCATCACAGGCATCAAGGTCGAGAAGACCATGAAGTCCGGCGGACTGGTCGCTGATGATCTGATTATGCGCCTGATCTCCAACGAAATGTACAAGAACGGATGGCTGCTCAACAGCCGCAGAAGGCCTCAACTCATGACGCTCTCTTCCTCCTCGACCGCCGTAGACTCCTTCTACGACGAGCACATGGACGACTGGGTGACGACTTCAGGCGCGCTTGACAGTCACTCCGCTCCCGAGGCCTCTGAGGACCCTGCGGCTTCTTTCATTCTCGACGGTTTCCCGAGAACGGCAACCCAGGCTGTGGTTTGCGACAAGCTCATCCCCATCAATTTGGTCGTGTCTCTCAAGACCCCGTTCCACGTCGTGATGGAGCGTATTTCCGGTCGCTGGGTCCATGAGCCTTCGGGTCGCGTGTACAACACCACTTTCAACGCCCCAATGGTGCCGGGGAAGGACGATGTCACCGGAGAGCCCCTCACGCAGCGCCCGGACGATACCGAGGCGGTGTATAAGGAGCGCTTCCGCAAGTTTCAGGAGACCAGCGAACCCCTTCTCGAGCACTACGACAAGAAGGGCGTTCTCTGGGAGGTTGAGGGTATGAGCAGCGACGAAATCAGTCCCCTTCTTTTCGACGAATTCGAGCGACGCTTCGTTCATTGATTTGGCATCTTCATCTTTGTTATATCTACAGGAGTTACACGTGGTCAAGATACCTCGGGCTAGCCAGAAAGACCCATGGCTAAAAACGGGCAGGTCGGGCGGACGGGGATGAACCCCTAGGGCGGTCGCAGCGCAGGCATCTCACAGCTTCCAGCATTGGTTGTCACCATACGTACTTTTTATCAATGTACAAACATGTTATTTCCCGATTTTTTGCGCGCCGCGCGCTCTGTTCCATGTGCTCCCAGTGTGATCTCGCATGGATAATATGCATCCTCGACCTTGAGTGCCGGTTCTGGAGACTGTAACGTATTCGCGGGGTAACGGCCATCGGGCGGCAAGGGTGCCTTGCTGCCATCTAATCAAGTCAAACGGCTACGACGCAGTGTGGCAGTCTCTTTATGCATTCGAAACTCGGGCCACTTTGTCGGACTTCTTTACCCTGGCTGCCTGGGTTCCTAAAAACCACAGTGCCACATAACACCCCCTCCCCGGGGGCCGGGCGGGCGAGCGATCCACAGTTTCGGCAGCCCAAGGTACGTCCCGCCCCGTTGACGCAGGCCTGGCTGGACTTAATGCATGTCTCACAATCTACAACGGGGGAAGCCTCGAGGCTTCAAAGGATTCGCCGGCTTTTCTGTGTTGCTCCGACGGTGCTGAAGACGTGTGCTTGTTCCTCTCAAGGCTGGCTGGGCTTGTTGTCACTGGTGTCAATGCCGTCCGTGTCTTGGTGAGCTGCGGCTGCGGCTACGGTTGCCTACCAGATGGTCGGGTTTGAAGGAATAGGTTATATCCTATTCTTATACAGCTCCATTTCGGATGGTGGTCAGTTTTTGGCGTGGCTGGCAGGAGTCGTGATGACCACAGTTGCTTGAAGCACATGATGACTTGAAGAATCGTTCCTCACAGTGTTTTGCCTTAGAATTATATGCTCTTCACAGGTTTGCAGAACCACTGACAATCATATACTTACACGCCAATTCTCACTTTCCATTGCATTTCCCTTGGAATTACAATGTCTTAAATCCTACCAGGCGAATACACTGACGTTCACAAGTAAATCAAACTCGACGGGCCTGGAGACTCCGGCCGAACGGCCCTCCAACTCATCCGTAACGAAGACCTCGCTCACAAGCTCCTCTTCAAATTCGCTCTCATCACAGACGTGTCCTCGGGCAGGAGCATTGAGACCTTCGAAGCCCTCGCCGCCACGGGCGCCACTGTGTATAGTACAATGCAGGACCTCACTTTGGCGGACAACATGCGCCTCATACAGATGGGCCTCGAGTATGGAGAGTATCAGGGCCGCCGCGACGGCGTTCAAAGGTACAGTTGCAGACCTGGCATCCTCATGAACAACGCGGGTTTAGTGCGTACATCCGAATGGAGCAGGACTGAAGACAGGTTCGAGATGAAACCTCCTCCAATTCACATCTTCCACGCCGGAGTCAATCACCCGGACCTTGGACCTGACGACTTCGCTATTGTCCGCATTGTCCAGTTCCGTTCGTTGCTCGGCCGTGATCTACAGCTCACTCATATATACCTCTTCCTGCTCCTCCGCGATCTTGGTTCGCTTATCTTCGGTGATTCAGTGGGCGGTAGTGAGATCCTTCCTGCGGATGAATAGAGAGGGGCGCCGATGTTAATGGTAAATTCAGTGAGAATGATGTCGCGGTATCGCTTCCCGAGTGTTCCCCGGCGTCTGTCAGACGCTTCGCATGTGTTCCCGCTGTTCTTGTCGGTATTCGTCACCGTCTTCAAGACTGGGAAGTCGATTCGGTTAGCTTCGAAGAATCCACGGAGAGTCAGCCGGCTATGAACAGGGCGATTCATCAGTTTGTTTGTGATCCAGTCGGCGATGTAATCGCCGAGGTACGGGTGAATAACGGTGAAACACCCGTTCCAATAAATTCCGACGTAGGACTTGGGGAGGCGCTCAACGACATATGGTTTCCGGCGGATACTCGGTCGGTAAGATTAGTGATGATGATATCGCTGAAGACCAGTTTGACATTCGCAGCTGACTCTTGACAGGGAATGTTCCGACGCTTGGCTGAGGGTTGAGCGGTAAACCAGAGCGTCCTCAACGCCCGGTTATAGGACGAGCGTCGTCAACGTTACGTCCTCGGGACACTGCATCCACAGGATGAATTGAGAGACCGTCAGGTTCTCCCTCCCAGTGGCGTACGATGCTTACAAGACCTATGAGCACAGCATACCAGCCAGTATCCTTACGGCGAGCGGTGTGAACTGGTACTCATGCAGGATGGCGAGGGGATACAGCATGCATATGGGGACGACGACGACGGGGCTCCAGGTCGGGTTGAGGGAACAGATGGAGGAGCTTGAGAGGGATGAGACGATGCGGAGGACGGTCAAAAGTCCTGCGCAGTGTGCGGCCACGACAGTGTTTGTTGCGTTGGGGAGGGAGTTCAAGGGACATGACCCGTTCTCATTCGAAGATTGCGAGGTGATAGAGGAGACGGAGAAGAGTATGAGGTGGGCAGGCGAAGGGATCTGCTCGGTCGACTTTGGACCAAGGTGAAGAGGAGAGGTCGTGTCGGAGTTGAGTTTGGATAACGGTTGGGTTTAAACCGTGAGGCAAAGGTCGTTCTGGATGGTGGCAGATGCTACACAACAACCACCTCCAGATGATGATTGTGAGTGGATTCTGACAGGACACTGTACTGACTTTTGACTTGTCCAAATGCTTGATGCAAGTTGTCCTGTATAAACATGTTGTGCACCAAGCTGAACAGAAAGCCTCGTAGGCCGTAGGGTGCAAAACTGCATGGGCTCAGCCCATGGAGGCCTTGTTACTGCTTGGGTTCTGAATACTCCCCTAGTTCGGGATACCATTTGAGAATATCCTCTGACTTAATTCGAACATGACCTTATGCAAGAGGACGCTGGGGAGAAATGAGCGAGCCTTGTAGCCAATGTATGTTCTCAGGAGCAGAGCTGAACCCTGCTACGATACCCATTTGAGTGCGAACGGGCATAATTTCCAGGCCTCTCTGGGAATATGTATCCTATGTCACCATTTTTCTACATTCTCTAGTTTTGCCCAAGGTTAAAGGAGGTTGGCGAGACTTATGAATTTGTACTTGGAACTTGTATTCCAGGTATCGTTCCATGCCAGTCGAGCCAATATTCCAAAAAGGTTAAATGTCATAGCGTAATCAGCCACCAATCGAAAGAACCAATGGTTGATGGGTTCTCTCGATATGAAAGCGGCTGCACACTGCAATAAGCGAGGCCTCTGAAAGCTTGAGTTCACACCGGGAAGTCACAGTCATGGTGCTCGCTGCGGTCATCAACCGACAAGAGCTACAATGGCACCCTACACCAGAAGCGGTCGCATTAACCTCACGAAAGGGCACTCGTGGTCGTTCCCGTTCCATGTTACTGTGCTCCGTATCGGCAGACTACCACGTGACGCCTTCGGAATTCATTTCGCGAGTCGTCGCGAAAAAGAATTCGAGAACCACTCCAGAACCCACTAGGACACCCGGAAAATGCTCTCGACAGTCGGTCGGTCGGCGGGTCAATCCGCCTTCTCCCCGTGGAGAGACGTCGGCCCTACCACGTTGTCGAAATCCACAATGACCCCGAGATGACTGACCATTTTTCAGGTCTGTCGGGGGCTCCGGTTTTTCACCGACAGATTTTGCGTGACCTCGTTTCCCCGACTGTGTCCGACTCTGTCGCTCGACTCTGTACTCTACATAGCATCTTGGCCATCAAGCAGCTCTCTCGACCAGCATCCCACGAAAGAAGTCGAACGACTGCCGCCTAATGTCACGTTGTAAGCCCTAGCGATACAGCCTGCGGGCGCCGTCTCTCCCATCAGCAACCACGCCGCAATAGTCCAAGCAAGGCCTCTCGACTTCCGCCAAGCTGGAAGCCTACGACACGGCCAGCCCGGAGAAGCAACTGTAGCCCCCTTGAAAATCACAACAGCTCAGCGGACCGCAGGCGTGGAGACCCCCTCCACATTTCCCCCGAGTGGGAGCCCGGACGAACTCCCCTTTTCACGCAAGGCGGGAGGGTGATCGATTGCACTGTGGCGGGGGGCTCGTGGCCATTGCAACCCCCTGCATAATCGTCGGTTGCAAATGCCGAATAAGGACCCGAAAACCAAGACTCTCGAGTCTACGTAGCCCACTGTGCCCAGCACAATGCTTTTCGAGTCTTTGCTCGCAGGATGGCACTAAATCTTGATTCTAGTCTCGTCAATCGTCCGAGAAGCAGCCGGGACGCACACACTTTGACGTCTGGGTTGGAGTTACGCACACACCGTTTTCCGGGAGGGTTAAATTTGGACCTTGCCGTCATGGCTAGTTCAGGCTGCTTTTCCCCATCCATGGCACCCATGTCATTGGTTCCACCCGTATATCGGCTTCAGCCACATCTTAAAATCACTTTTCGGTGCAGAACCAAGCAAACGCCAGTCGCTGTCGCAGGCCCTGCTTTTTCAGACCCTCAGGCTCACGTTCAGGCCCAGGCTCAAGTAAGAAGGAGCGAGAGAAGGAAAGAGGAGGAGACAGCAAGCGCTGCCCACCCGCCCCTGTCCGGGGAACGCCCGAGGCCTTCATCCCAGCTCTTGGCCCTTCCCTCGCCCCCCCATATCGAAGAAACAGTTGCCCCTTGGGATCTCCTAGGGTGAAAAAGAACGAATTCCGAGTGGAGCGTTTGAAAACAGAGGCGAGAGACGGAAGGGGTGTGTAATCGTACATGCTCGAGCCGACCAACAGCCGCGCACCATCTCCACGTTGCATTCCCTTTCTTGGATTCGTTGTACCTTCAGGGAATCGGCTGCTACCTCTGAGCGACTGCCAGCGCTTCTAAGCCCCCGTGTGTCTCTTGCTTCCTGTCAAACCTGTCTGTTTGACCATTTCCCCCATTTTCCGCCGGTTTCCCTATCGCAGGCCTATCCTCTCTTCCCATACAACTGAGCCGTCGATCGAAACAAACGACCCTACCGTATCCGCTCAGCACCTCTGTTTTCGTCCCGTTAGCGAGAAAGACAGCGAGGAAACTTAAGGTCCTGCAGCCGTGGTCCGTGGTTTCGTAGAATCCTACGCGGGACCCTGCATGCATCAGCGAGTTCTGGTCAGCATTAGGGGAACAACACCGTACAGAGAGGCATTGAACAAGTCGAGGGAAGTGGACGCAGAGGCCGAGGATTGTCACCGTTGAGGCGAACCGAAACTTCTACTTCCCCCCCAGCTCCCCCCGCGCCCCGCCGCGGGCGTGGCTTGCGATGCCAACATGGAGGAAGAGAAGCACAAGTTTATAATCCCAAGCCATGAGCGGCGGCCCCAGCCCGCAACCGTCACCATCGAACCGACCTCGCTGCAGAGCCATGACGCACAATCGCCGATAGAGTCTCCCGAGATCCAGCAAGTCGAGTCGTTTCCGCAGCACACGTACCCCCAGAACGCCCACCTCCGAGACAATCCAGATGCGTCGCCGCCATACCCAGAGTCGAGGATCAGCTCGGAGGCGCCTGTCGCACCAGTCGCCGCCGCACGACGTGTCCCGGCGCCGGCAGTGGCGCCGTCCGACCCCGAACGGCAGCAGCAGGGAATGCTGGCGGGCTGGAGGCAGAGGTTCGAAGGAGACAGAGAGAACGGCGGGAAGCCCAGAAAAACGATACTAGGCCTGACCGTCCTTCGATTCTGGGCCGCGGTCGCCCTGGGAATCATCATCGTCGGCGTCGCCATCGCCGTCGGCCTGGCGCTGGGTTTAGCCAACCGGTACGTCTGACGAGCGAGCTACTTTCTCTTACAAACCTCTTTCTCTACCTCCTCCTCGACCGTCTTCAGCCTCGGGCTGACGGAAAGCCCCCACCTCCACCAGACCCTCCAACGACTCGGACGAGGTCAAGCCCGTCACCCAGACCCTCGGCGTCCCCTCGCCGGCCCCGATCAACCCGTACTGCCCTCGACCGACACCGGGCATAAACACAACCGTGACGCCCTACGACGCCTCGGGCTCGCCCATCCGCTTCAACAACGACCAGGTCATGTCCTTCGACGTCCTCTGCAACACCTTTTACCCGCAGCGCCAGGGCATCAACCCGCAGCTGCGCGACATCCTCGTCATGACCGTCCCGGACATGCTCACCTGCATGACGCTGTGCGCTCAGTACAACCAGGGTTACAGCGATGCCGTCGGCGATGACGTGTTTTTGGACGGGGGCGGTATCTGTGTCGGCGTCGGGCTCGTCAAGGGCGTCGCGCAGTTCTGCCACCTCAAGAATGCGACGGGGGTCAACGCCACGGAGGCGGCGGGCGGCTTCGACGTCGACAGCGCGGTGCTCACCGGCGACTGGACGCACATGACGACCATCGAGCAGATCCTGGCGTTTGGGGGGAACGTGGAGGTCACCTCCAACGCGACTGCTACGGTCGGGTGAAACGTCGATCTTTGTTTGGAAACGGGAAACGAAAGTCTTTGAGCGTGTTGGAGCGATTTCATTTTCGAGGGGCGGGGCGGGGCGGGGCGTTTAATACAGGGGCGACGACGCTTCGTGATGCGCTCCCCCCAGCCACGGGCGTTTTGTTGGACACATGGAGTTTTCGTGCGGAACAGCGCAGCAGCAGCAGCAGCAACATGAGCGAAGCGTTGCAACGAACACTATCGAGGCGGGTGCATTTGGAGATCACCCTCTATTGTAATGCACGGGAGGACTTTTGGAAGCGGCTTCTAGCCTGCGGATTAGCAGGATTCAGATGCGACGGCAAGCCAAGCGATAGGGATCGAGGCATGACATCTCGGACCTGGCTGGACTGGCAGCGGCTCAGGGAGGCAATCGACATGCCCTTATCGAAGGCAACTTCGGGCTGGTTCGAGTTATCATGTCACACAGAATTGGATCAACCAGACTTGTGTGAATGTTGAGCAATCACGCGCAAGCGGTGCAGAGTTAACATCGGAGGCGAGGACTCTGAAGAGACATCAATCCGTAGGAAACGTATATACATCTTAAACATAAACCTCTGTATTGAATCTCTCATAAAAAAACGTACAACAGTCAGTCCTTTGACCTCTCCGAGAATCGTGTCCAACTTCCGCTAGATCTGCGTTTCGACCTCGGGCGCTGTTAGCTAGACATTAACGCCAACAAGAAAACATTTGCATGCATGCGTTCTCTTTATCCATTGATAGCTAGGTACTCGTGCGTTGCCATCGGGCACGTCGTCCCGAGGCTTCATCTCAAGGCCGCTCCACAACCAGGTTCAGCGGCGCAATGGTGCCTCCTCCTTGTCGAGAAGCCGTCCCCCGATCCAATGTCTAGTTGCGCCACTCCGAACCGTTATCAATCCCACTGGGTGTGCCGCTGCTGCCAGATGCATGGTTCAAGTCCTCGTCGTCGTCGTCGTCGTCCAGCACACGGGCGAGCTCATCGGGGTCCTTCATCTTGGCATCGGGATCAACGGTACCATCCAGCTCCTCAGCCCGGCGCTGGTTATCCCTGTCGGTGTCCAGAACGCCCTCGTCGGCACTAACAGAGATGCCACGGGCACCCCACTTGGGCCGACCACCTCGGCGAGACTGGCCATCGTCATCGCCAAGCGCCGGGGCACTCTCCTCGTCATCAGAGTGCACATCAAGACGCTTGCCAAAGATCCTGTTGAGCAACCAGCCGCGGCGCATGTCATCGGCGTCGACGATGCCGCCGTTGCGGAGCTTGACGCGCTGTCGGGTGTAGTATACCCAGGCAAAGTCAACGTAGAGGGCAGTCTGGATGATACCGAAGATGACGGAGACGGTGTTCGGGGCCTTGTCGTTGATGTCGAGCTCACGGGTGATCCAGCCGACGAGGTAAAAGGCACGGTAGGAGCCAAGGGTGACGAGATAGAAGGAGTCGATCACGGTCGGGACGGTCGTCTGGCGGAGCAGGAGGAGCTGGGGCAGGACGCAGACGGATTCGAGGATCTGGGAGAAGTCCCAAAGCCACTGGTGGATTAAAGTTAGCAAAAGCTTAGCAGGGGCTACTGCGCAAATCAGTAACTTACGACTTGGAAACTCCACCAGCTCTCAAAGATGAGCATGGCGAATGGAGACAAGAGCAGCGAGCCGGCAAAAACACCCGCACCAACCTTCCAGGAGATTTCACGCTCTCTGGAGCGGGGGAAGATCCACTGCATTGCCGCGATGATGTAGAACGATGACGATATGTAGAAGAGCTTGAAGAGGAAGTTCCATAGCGGTTGCCGTGTGAATATGTCAAGGTATCGCGTGCAGAAGACGATGGCGTACAGGCCTTGGGTGATGAGGGAGACGCCTGCGCGCGCACACTCAGTCAGTATCGATTCGAATCTTTCGGGTAATTGGCCAACTTACCCTCAGCACTTCTGTTGCGGTGTATCGCGAACATCAGGATGCATTTTGACAGGAGGTGGGAGATGTCTCCCATGTATCGGAATACCTGGACGGGCAAGTCAGCGGGCTGCTTCCGAGCGACGATCAACCTCACAACACTTACGTTCCACGCCGTCATAGTTTTGGATTGGAAGACGAGCTTCCAGTGTATTCCGGTCTATCGAAAGGCTGCGATGGGGTGGAAGGACTCGGGAGTTGCGGTTGCGACACGCAAACAAACAGCAACGGACGGGAGTGACGGCCGCTCCGTTTCACATCAACGAGGCGGCGAGCTAGCCCACGGAAGGTGAGTTCTGTTCGGATGATGGCTCCGGTGGGATCGGTTTCTTGTAAAGAAGCTTGAAAAGGAGCAGAATTGTTACACGACGTAAGGAAGAGTCGAGATTGAGGCTATTGAAAGTGGAATGCGGAGGTGTGAAGCTTGTCAGTTGCCGTGGTCCCTCCAGAGATTCCCGATCCAGCCATACGCCGCGCGGGCTGCCACACACTCCCTCAGCTGGAGCTGCCCAGCTGGCCTTATCGGCGCGAGCCTGAGCCTTATCCGTGCTGGAGGAAGGTGACGACAGCCTGGAACCCCAGCCACGTAGCGCCACGGCGAGGGACCTTGATTGGCCAAAGTTTGACAGGGTCGCTTAGGTAAAGCCCCTGCTTGAGGGAGGGGATAACGCCAATGCATTGAAGACGTGGATTCCCCCGTCGGTGCCTGCCGACCTGCTGCGCGCATTGCGAAGCCCATGCCGAATCGAGAAATGCATCGTCAGGTGGAGCATGAGATGTGCGTTTCTTGAGCTATTTGTAGGTGGATGCGATTAGGAGACCGTCTTCTTGACTAAATGAACAGCCCTCCTGAGAACCTCGCGGTCAGCCTCGAATGTCAGCTTTTCAACGGCTTCATCGCAATCAAAGAATGCCGCCTCGAACTGAGCTTCCCCGCCCGCCGTGTCCTCCTCCGTCCCGTTCCTACCTTCGACGGTGGCGACGTACCACCAGACGAGCTTGACCCCGGCCCCTCCATCGATGCTCCTCATCGTCAACATGAACGGCTCCGTGATCGCTCGACGCGTGGCGGCCGCGTCTGGTGCGTCCGCATCGTCATCTGGCGCGGGTGCTCGCGTGGCCATGTCGACAGGCAGAAGTCTGCAGCGGAAGCCCGTCTCCTCGAGGACCTCTCGCAGCGCCGCCTCGTGCCTCGGTTCGCCGCAGTTACGTCTGCCTTTGGCGAGGAGCCATTCGTCCGTCGCTAAGTAGTTCAGCAGGCAGACCTTTGTGGGTTCCTTGGACAGGTCGAAGGCGATTGCGCCACAGCTCTCGACAAAGGCCTCAGAAGGGTATTGGCTTGTGACGAAATTAGAGACTGCCATTTGCGAGGGCGGCTACCGCTGGCTTGGGACGCTTGTCTGTGATAGTGCAAGGGGAATCTCGTTCCCGCAGAGTCGATCTAGCAGGTTGGTGTTGTATTGCAGAATGGCCGTGGACGGGCCTCGGCCGTTTTCGGGCGGGCCCCTCCCCTGTCTCGCTTGCTTCCGTGCCCGTCGATGAGCAGCCGTGGCCGGCCGAGCATTAAGACCATTCGCCTTTTTGTTTTCCTCTTGTGCGCTGGTCACGACGCTAGCCACCCAGGGACCAGCAGCAGCCTAGGTTAACTCGCTTTGAAGATTTCCTGAAGGTGTTGTCGGGTTCAATGGTTTGCTCAGCTCCGCATGCGGACTGCGGCAGCCCTGCACCTTTGGCAGCAGCCGGCTTGAAGGTTGGGCCTTGACATAAACTTCTCCATTGACGATTCCTGCTTTGGGTATGACGGACCCCGTCCATCTGCGGGCAAGCTGAGATATGTAGTCTTGCTCCAGTGCCTATGAGCTATCGTCCATACCCGTAACATAAGCTTATCTTGTCGCATGTAAGACTGGCTACTTACCACACGGGTTGAACGCGAGGTTTTTCAGCATGGCTTTACTCCCGGTCTCAGTTCTATGATTCGAGCTAATACAGGGCCACAACTCAATGTTGGGGGCACATGAAATGTACCCAATGTTGCAGTTAAACCCTTTCGCAACGCTGAGCCTAGAGCACAGCGGCAGCTTGATCGTCACAGCAGTATTCTGCGACTACCACGTATTTGCGATCAAGCCTTGCCGTACAGGTTATGTCCGACGAGATACAAACGCGGCTATCCGAAAGCAGACAAGCTCTATTTTCGGACAATTTCCATCATGACCAAGAAAGAAAGGGAAGTAAAAGAACCGCCGCAGCAATAGACTACAGTATGGATCCTCTTGAGCCTCAATATTCAATCTGCCGCCGTGCGCGGCAGCAGACGTCGTCAGCGCATACGCCGCGTCAATCTCAAAGGGCTCCGGAATGTGGGCGGACGGATTCATGAAGCGTTGCAAGGGCCACACGCGATACCTTTAGTGCGGAGCAGCGGGTCGGCACTGACGGCAGTGCCAGCGGTAGCATCATGACGCGGCCCAGCCGTTCGCGTGTCAAAGGTCGTGGCCTGTAGGCGCGCCCCCTCTTTCGCGGGTATCTCGGCCTCCCCTGCTAACCCCCATTGGCGACGCTTCGCCGTTGGACGGCGGCGACGACTCTGTTGCACGAGTGTGTGATGCGTTAGTGTCTGCTTCTTGTTCCAGTGTCAGTACCGATTGTGGGGGTTTGCTCTCCCTCGCAGCTGAAGTGCCACCGCCGCCTCATTGGGGCCCCCTGAGGGTTTGCGGATGGAATCCGGAAGAAACTAAGATCTGATCGTCACATCAGGTTAGGTCGTCTTACGCGTGCTTTTCGTCTGTTGCTTGTTGGTTTGGCCCTGAGCAACTGTCCGCCCCCGCCCCCTAGCATGGTGTCTCCGCCCCCCTCATCCGGGAGCACGCATCGGGTCTTTCGGCGGTCGAAGGTGGTACGGGGGTTGGAGCAAGATGCTATGTAGATAAAACTGAACTGCCCCCCTCCTGGATAGCTGGGTGCCTATTTGTTGGTTTGGATGTATCATTTGAATGAATGTATTTTGAGCCACCAGAGTGTATTTCTGGAAGACTTACTCCACCAATCGTTGTTCCTGATTCTATATGAGAGAGCCTTGATATCACTCACGACTCACTATACTCTCTCAATTTTGCTGCAGGAACCGGGGTGGAAGGAACGAACGGGCTTTTACTCTGCCTTGCGCCTCCGATGACGTTTTGCCCAGCCATAACGATAGCCAGATACCCAGCTCCGACACCGACAAAACTGCGCTGCTTTGTCAATTTCCTCACAAAAGACAACCATTTCGTGAATCCAAAAGGCTTCAGTCTTGTGTAAACCGCAAAGCAAGAAAGTCAAGATGCATCTAGGACGCCTTTTCTCGACGATCTTTGCCGTTCTCACGCTCGCCCAGGCCACGCCGATCCAAGACAGATCTTCGGCCTCTTCCACCTCCGAAAAAGATGCGGCGATGGAACGTAGAGAGGCTCAGAGCCAGCCGACCAAGTACTTTCACGAAGCGAGGTACGTCGTTAGTTTCTTTACCCCCGTTTCCTCGTCTTACCTTAAGATTCTTAAGATGAAAAGCACGGACGGGGTGAACCCAGGCGTCTCTCCCGAAACTTCATATCTTATAACAAAGATCAATTGGGAACTGAACATTCTTGTATTGACCGATCTTCAACAGCTTCTCTGCACACTACGATCCGCGCTTCGCCTCGAAACCGCTGAATGAGACGGCTGAGCGCGACGCCCTCAAGGTTCTGGTTCAGACCTATCTCGCGACTCTCCGCGACCTGGGTGTCCAAACATGGCTGATGCACAGCTCCCTCCTGGGATGGTGGTGGAACAAGCAGGTTCGTCTCTCATTGGAAGCCTCCATTCCAAAGCTTCTCTGTCCTTGCCCGATCAAATAATTAACACAGTATAGATCCTCCCCTGGGACCCAACCGCAAACGTCCAAGTCACAGAACACGGCATCAACTTTCTGGCTGGCTACTACAACATGACGACCTACTACTACAAGTACCCTTCCGTCCCGGAAGGCCGCTTCTTCCAGCTCGAGGTGAACCCCAACTACGTCCACCGGGGCCAGGATGCCTTCGACGAGGGCAACGTCGTCGACGCCCGCTGGATCGACATGGACAACGGCCTCTTCATCGACGTCACCGCGGTTCGTTACGTCGAGGACCACCCCGAGGGTGCCGGTGTTCTGGCCTCCAAGGATGGCCACGAGTTCCGCGACACGTACTTGTACCCGTTATTGGACACTACCTTCGAGGGTGTCACGGCCAAGATCCCATACAAGTACAAGAAGATGCTCATTGCCGAGTACGGCGAGAAGGCCTTGACGGATAAGGAGTTTGAGAAGTAAGTTTTCCCAAAGACAACCACCCAGCCATACGCATTACTTACGATTATTCTAGCCACAAGTTCATCGACGACAAGATGGAGTGGGTTCCCAACGATGAGCTCTGAAGGAGCAGAACAATCAAAAGTGTATAATTTGCACAGCTGGCGCAGGGACGTTCCACGCGTTCAGGGTGTGGTAACAGGGCATATAGTCCGCGATAAACCCAAAGTGTTTTCATGTATGGCGTTAGGGCGGATACCCAAGGCTCCGATTTCAGCAAATAACTTAAACAGCAGACAGTGCTAAAACTGCAATTTCAATGTTATGGTTCCGTGTTCTCTCGTGCTCCTATCAAGTTTCCTGTTCCAGTAGGTCTCCCGCCGCTGTAATCTCCGTCACTGCGTTTCCTACAACATAGTTAATGTCTCAGCTAACTATGTCTTCGTTGGCGTTACTCGTGTGTCTGCAGAGTTACCGTCTCGATCACACTCCTCTTTGTATTTATTTGCTTGCTACAGGCTTTGGGACGAATCCATCCACAACGCGCTTGACTTTAGATAACAGGCCGTTGATATGAACAATCAAGGGACACTTCGTCTCGCCTTCGCAACGATGTGGGATGTCGACTGACATGTGGGAAACCCGCTGTACGATCTGTGATACCGAAGCGTCGTCCTTTCGAAGGATGTTAGGTGGCCACAGCCTTTGGACAGTGAGGATCCTGAGATACTCGCCGAGACGATGTGGCTTGCTGCAGAGCTCTGGCCAGAGAGTGTTCTCGCGACATGGGTGGCACTTCTTAGCAGTGCCTGGATGTCGTCGACCACATCGTTGACAGAGCTTGCGGCCAGTGGAGTACACTTGGATTTGACTGTCCAAGACGCCGCCGAGAGAGTGGATAGACTCGGACACGAGAGCAAACAATCTGGTAACGTCGTCGTGCAGTCCACCTACGGTTGTAAACTGTCAGCCTTTTTAGTCTTTCAGGGTGTGTCTGGGATCGGAGAAGCAGAAATGAAAAGAGTACAAAGACGACACAAATCAATGATGGGATCTTACTGAAATACTTGTCCATATCTAAATCCACCAGACTCTGGTTCTTTCCCCAAATTTCAAGAAACTCCAGCGGAAGGCGCCGAGTAGCAAGACCCTTCAGCTTAACGACTTCTTCTTGCGCCTTGAATACGATTGCCGAACCCAACAGCATACCTAGGTCCTCCGTCATCGGATGACTGCATTCGGCTATTTTTTGGCGTATCGTTTGGCACCACAGACTGATCCACGGCGCAAGAGCCTTGCCGCAACCCAAAATTGAGTTGACTTTGGCGACCTGCAGGAGGTCTTGGGCCGGAAGATTCTTGTAGGTGTTGGTGTTCGTGTGGTGCAAGACTGAAAAAATGCATTGAAAGGCATCCGCCTCGAAGTCTTCACAATCACATAGCTTGACTACCTTTCTTCCATCCTGGGTGGTGCTGCTGCCATCGATCACATTGACAATGGTCGTTGAGGCTACCCTGCAGATTTGTGAGGACAACTGATAACCAGCGATGAATTATTTTTGGTGACTGAGCAGAATGACAAAGAGGTCGCCATCGGGGTAAATAGGCTTGGCAGATGAGATGTACGTATCAATGCTCATATGGACGCTCTTCCTGGAGGCGCCATTGTCGGGCGGTGGGTTGACGTCGACACTGTTTCCTTGAGCGATGTCCGAGCTGCCGCCGATTGCGTCGTGAGAGGAGGCCATAATGATTGATGATGGTCTAAGAAAGACGGACTGGGGTCGTTGAAGATTATGCAGCAGAATGGTCGATACAACAAAAAGGCTATAAGAAGGCAAGAGCAATACCCATATAGGGGGTTAGGCAGAAACCTGTGGGTGTGGGCGGATCGATTAGAAGGCAGGCAGTCTCGGTTTCACATAGCTTCTTTCCTTGGGAGGTCATATTGGAAACATCGCCCTTGTCTTTGGGTGACGAAAGCAGAAAGGGCCTGCCTGGGAAACAATTTGTCAAGATATGTCCTTTGCTGGCATTTGCTTTATTCTTGGAGCAGCCAAGCAAAGAAAGATATCTCAGACTTGCATTTTTTCATGATGGAAACCATCGTCCATGTTTACAGTATCAAGTTATGTCCCAGCCCGAGGCTTTTCTAAAGTCAGCAGAACCTGGCTGTAATCGATGTGATTTTTGCCTCTCTCCGGCTCGTTGCCTGACGAATTGCAGTAAGCGATCGTAGGACAAGCAAGAAATGAGATTCAGCCTTGGTAAAGTTGAAAGTGTCAGTAATGTTAAATCACAGCTCAAGTAGGTTCGAATCTCATAAGATCTACCGCTAAACTTTCGCTTTGATATTGAGCTCGAAAACGGCAACAAGAATGGTGAGCCATTGAGTACTGCCTTGGAATAAAACTTTGTGTAGCATCCACCATAAGTAATTTGCTTCAATTGGCCTCATCTTCACCCTCATCACCAGATCGGATGACAGGCTCCTCCGCGACGAGAGGTCTCAGACTTTGACCCTGGATGCCCTCAATCACGTCGACTACTGCCTCCTCCAGCTCTACCAGTCGCTTCCTCAAGGGACATTGCTGGTCAAAGTCGCACTCGTGAGTGCGTGTCTCCCGAACCATGTTGAACCGGCGGACGATCTCAGCAATCGGACCCTTTCGCCAGGCCTTCTCATTCGGATAGAGCTGATGCTTTGTCAAGATGAGTGTGCACTCGGCGACGCGGGTTTCTGAGCAACAAAACATTTGGTAGTCTCTTGCGCCGGGTCGCTCGCCTTCGCCAAGTGGGCATTTTGGGCAGTTTGGTGACCGACTCTTTTCGTAAACGCGAAGGCACTTGATGCAGCGGAAACTGTGCATCCGGCTGATGTCGGATTGGTTCGTTGCCAAGCTTGTGACTGTCTCCTGCAATAGAGAGTAGAGACGCATGGTAACTTCCTTCGTCTTCCAAGTTATGTATCCTGAGGGGATGTTAGATCTGGACTCGAACATAGTTTCTCGTATAATACAGAACACCTACTAGTGATCTCTTCCGAAAGGGAAGCCAACGTCTCGATCTTAGACCAAGAGCTGAAGTCATAGTCGAGAGGCAGTTTTAGCACGGCTAGTTGTGAAATCTTCTGGAAGGGCACTGCTTCTCCAACAGCGGAAGTGGCTGCCAAGAGGTATCCAATGTCCCGACGCTCGATTGTGCGGCCCAAATGGGCAAGCCATCTATCCACCCATGGCTTGAGTGACTCAGTGCAGCAGTACTTATCGCAATGCCTGGCAATGATTGCGAAGCATTTGGCGTTAATTGTGTACCACTCGCTCTTATACTTGTAGTGAAGAATGGAGAGGATGACTTCCATTGCATCCGGGCTATCGTCTTGCAGGCAAATCTCTGGCCGCAATCCATTCTGAATCTTGGTGCCTTCCTCAAAATTAGAAGTGAAGAGGGTACTGAAGTATGTGGAAGCAATTCTCAGAACATGAGAAGAAACGAGGAATTTCTTCTGCGAGTTTGCGTCGGCGACAATAAGAGCAGCGTCCCAAGCTGGGTGAAGCATTTCGATGGTTTCGTCTGCCATATCAACTGCCGTCATAGTGTTTTGCTGTGTGCTCTGTTGGCCCCAGATGTGCTGGCTCGAGTAGCCTGGGAACGGAGTGACTTAGGACATAGATACGGTAAGGTGACCTAGGTGCGTGAATGTGTGATGTTGTAGAAGAATTGGTGGTGACAAACGTCACTTACTGGGGCAATATATCGTCGGAATAGATGATATGGATGAGTTTTAATAGATTCGCCCCGAGGAAGGAGCGGAAGCTGATGAAGGGCAAGTTCAGTATAGGAGATAAACAGGTGGGCATGTGGTTGATAACCTGCGAACGTTTGGCAAGGTGGTAGAAGAAACATCGTGAGTTTTGATGAGCAGCTGCCTCATTCGAGTGATTCTGGATGTTCTCACCCAAGGATTGGATACCAAGATCTACTCTGTTTCTCTGCTCTTTCCCGATTGTTTAAATAACACTGGATACTCGTTGGATAGTCATTGGACTAAGCGGTCTAGGTAGTGAACATTTCAAAGGCATCTCAGGGGTACCGACGACCGGCAAACGTATAAGAGCTCGGATAGCAAGTGAAGTTTGAAAGGGATCTTTCAGCAATTCAATCGAGTCTTGGTTGGTCAGAGAATCTCAAATGTGATGTCTGGCTGCGATGATGCCAGGGTGTTGAGATGCAGGGGAGCACCTAGTGGGTTGTAGTTGCAAAAGAGCGGATCCATCGCAAAACCCATTGCCTGTTTGGATTTACTGACACGAGTTGTTTTTATAAAGCTTGGTTGGAGTGGCTTATTGCTGTCTGTGTACAATAGTTCTTGTGATACTTGCAAGCCAGGTTAATAATCGTGAGAATCCGGAGTTGGTGAGATGTTGACGATGCACAGACCCACGACAGGGGTGCTGTAGGGATCTTTGGCGTAAAGGGGAGGTGCGCGTCACGCTAGGTACCGAGACGCGCCCCTCTACTTTGTTCCTGTGGCTGCTATCGGTTCAAGCTGGAAGCTTTGCGTCTGAACCACAACAATCCTAACTCGACGTCAAATTGGCCTCGATGATTCTACAGCCATATCAAGATTACTTTGGGGACACTGGCGCCTTTATCGCACCTCCATAATCCGCGACTATGACCAGTGAGTCTCGGCGCGAACGGCACCCCGCCAAAATCGAATGCTAATGTTTGACAGCCCGGGCGGAGCGCATGCAACAGCGCATGCGAGGCGCAGGGTAAGATTTTGCAAGCATTGTTGAGTGAGGACTATAACTGACAGTCCAAAGTCATGGCCAGGTTGAGGATGTTTCGTTTCAATTGGACTTCGGCGACGACCTCACAGCCGAGATCGAGCCCCAGAATAGCCCAGAGAGGCCGCCTCCCAGAACGACACCGACACCGAACACGTCGGCTAAGAGGCGGAAATTAGACAGCGATGCGGTTCGACCGGCGATACCAACAACGAACGATACGAGTATAGCCTCCAGGCAGTCCTCAGGGAAGGCGGACCCGTACGAACTCCAAGAAGGATCTTCTACCGAATCTGCGCGACCTGCAGCCGCGCAAACCGCTACAAGCCCCACCGCTGTCATTGAACAGTACGATCCCGAGTCGGTCGAGTCTCTGCCGCCACCGAGGCCTGCTGTGCCTGCGCCGCCCATCTCGCCAGTGTCGAGGAGGGGTACGACAGAACATACCGAAGTAGAAGAAAGTCCCCTCGATGCGCCAGGCAGTGGCCGACGACGCACAATCGCGACCAGCAGCGCTCTCGTGTCGAGCGCCAGATTACAGCAGGCGCTTTCACCCGGTGACAACGAAACCGAGACTGTTCCTATATCGTCTCCTTTGGAGCGTAAAGCACGGAGAAACACGGTCGGCACGCGCAGGTCAACGCTTAGCTCCCGCGGGAGTCGAAACTCTGCCGTGTCTGCGGACGAAGGTCTAGATGAGCTCTCGCCAGATCGGACGGCGAGGACAGGATCTCCTGAGCTTTCTTATCGTCACGATGCGGAAGTGGAAGAATCGACAGCACCCATCGCTGGACCAGGATCAGAGCCAGCATCTCCGTCAGAGCTGGAACCAGAGGCGGAACCAGAACCGGAAACATTTGTGGAGGAGGCGCCTGAGGCAGAGCGAGATCACAACGAAACCTTGGCAGAAGAGGTGGACGTGAATGAGGCAGCCCAAAGACTAGGCCGAAAACGACCGCGTGGGAGCCCCAAAGCAATCTCCCCTGAACCAGACTCAACTATAGCCGAGAAGGATCAAGAAGAGCCATTACCCAAGAGACGGAGAAAACAAACGCATAAGAGCCCAGCGAAACAGAAGCAAGGAAGACCCAAGGCGGCTTCCAAAGCTAAGGATACTTCACCGAAAGCTGCTACGAAGCGCAGGAAGAAGCAAGGAGCGGACGGAGCTGAGGAGTCCGTGGCCATTCCTGTGCAGCGATTTACAAAACGAGTGCAGGTCGCGGAAGGCGACGAAGACGACGCCGATGTGCTCAACCTGGACATCCCATTTGCTGGACGTGGCGGAGTCAACACAGTTGACGTGTTGACCCAGATGTGCGACGAGATCATTGAGGCGAGTCTGGATACCCTTAAGGAGGGCGTGCGAAACGCACAGGATAAGTCTGCCAAGCGAGAACATCAAGTGCAGCTCCGAGCTCTGGAGGCTTATCAGGAGGAGTTGAGAGCTCGACTATTACAACATGTGGGCATTGAATGTTCGAGGCGAAGTTGCCACTGCTGACTCCAGTCTAGACCATCCTTCTCGACGCGCTCCACAGCTTGCGCAAGCGAGTACGCAACGTCCAGAAAGAGAGGATCACTATTCGGGATGAAATCATGCGCATCCGTGCCGAACGGGACCAAGTGGCACTCCGGAAGGATGCCGTCAGAATTAAGCACGAAAGGGTCACAGAGGAAGCATTGGTACAACCCCCCCCCCTCAGTCACACTCTAAGTCAGCCTTATAGCTCTAACGCGTGCCCACAGAACCAATTGAGCTTATCTTCGCAGATGCATGACATCGACCTAGCCGTAGAGCGCGGTCGGGCAGCGCCTGAGCTTGATCCAGCCGAGAAGAAGACGGCAGAGCTGGCCAACCTCGAGATTTTGATATCCAGGATTACAGACCAAGCCTGTACGCAGAGCGACACAGGGGGGACGCTGAAACAGATCAAGGACTTCAATGCCTTCCTCGAACGAGCTGCCGTGGCTCTTGAAGGCAGGGTGAGCGGCTAAAAGCGGGGAGGGAGCTCATGAACCAAAGCAATGACAGCTTGTTTCGCCAACGTCACGTCTGATGCTTTCGACGCGGTTTGGTATTCATTGTACGATGGTGCTCGGGGTGTGGTGAGGTTTGGGGGCAATTGGCGGAAGGGGGAAGGAGGCCTCTGCCGGGAATACCCAGGAAAGTCGGCATTCGGCTCGCCTAATTGATGACTACGGTTTTTCGACCAACAAACAAGACGTCGACGGGGCGATTGAACCGCGCCGCATGATGCGAACTCTAATCCCTAATCAGCGCGACATGTGTTTCCCAAGAGGGAAAAGCAGCATAGCCAGAGGGCATTTTGTTGGCCTACTGCACATGAATGCAAGCGCCGGCCAGGTCGAATTCGGTCCGGAGCCCCCATGTTGCGCCAAACTCTGAGCGACTGTCTTAATTTTGATCAGCCCATTCCCGATTTGACGTCACTAATGAGCCCTATTCGAACGGTTTCCATCCATCCCATCAGCCTTCTTTTTTTGTTGATAATTTCCCCTCCTTGTCCTGGGGTCGAGTGTCTCTGCGTCGGGGTGACCGTGGTCCGCGTGTTCCCACTTCTCCCGCAATGTGGCGGTCGGCCGGTAACTTTCACTTGGGCTGATGTTCCTCGCTATTCCCGCTGCCCACTGCGCCCGTGTCATGGCCTCCCATCACGGATGTACGGCACCTCCTGGATCCATCACCAAAGTTTGTACTTGCGTAGTATGCCTGCCCTACCCAGCTACACACGCCCCCTACGGACCCTGGTCCCTGACCGGCCAACGACAAGGACAACCGGGCGCAGTCTGGTGCGTCGGGACAATTGATTGGTAGGTAGGCAACTATGGTTGCCGTTTTGCATCCGATAGAGGGTGGCTCTGTGTCGTTTTTGGGGCGGTGGAGGAGTGCAAGGGAAATCAGGGGGCGTGGGAGTCCTCGAGCATCGCCTTACCTCGTTGGACGAGGTTAGGGATCCTCGGCCACCGAGTGACTGCTCCAGCAAGGCACCGGAAGACGGGAGGGTGAGAGGCAGAGGTCTGGTGGGCGGTTGTGCAGACCGAAAGGGTACATAAAGCGGGAGGGGCCAGCTCTCCCTCCTGCTGACACTCTTGAGATCCATTTCAAAATACCAATCCTCGATACCATATAGAAGCTCTCGGATCTCCTCCAGACCGTACACCACCAACCATCACCTCCTTCACAACCTCTAAGCCTTTTCACAACCGTCAACATGCCCGCTCCCGAGGCTCCCCAGCAGCAGGCCCCCATGGAGGTCCCCGTCGACAACGGCGTCGTCACCCAGCAGCCCGTGAGTCCACCTCCACCTCTGCTCTTTTTTTGTTCCCCTGGAGAGGGATACAAGAGTATGAACTGACACGCATCACAACAGTCTGCCGAGCCCCAGCCCGAGATGAGCCTTCGTGGTGGTGAGGAAGCCGGTTGCGAGCTCTGCTGCGGCCTTTGCGGCTGCGAGGAGTCTTGCTGCTAGACGGATGTTTCATGACTTGATGGGGGAGACATGGGTAAAGGGACACGAACTTTTGGGGGAGAAGGGTGGATGCTGAGTGAGACACCATGCGTTGGTGACTAACTTGTCCGCCCGTGGCGTTTCGGCGATTTTTACTAACACCTACCTACCGTACGCAGGGGGATTGAGTTGGATTTGGGTTGAACATATATCAGAATAAACTCCATACAAACCAAACGCTTGCCTTTCCATTCAACCTTGAATTCTGACGTGCAACTTAGGTATTGTCGTTCATAGCGTGAGGCTCTGGATAGATGGTCTTGGGTGCTGCGAGGCGGTGGTTCCTTGGGCTGCCAAGTGTGCCAAGAGATCTACCCGCGCACTTGAAAGCTTGGCGTGCAGTGGCCACTTCTTCCTCCCTTTCTCTCTCCTTGCTGGGCGAAGCGAACCCCGAAGGAGGCGCTGCAGAACTTGGTAACTTGGGGATTTATTTTCCCCGGCACAACTCATTCGTGAGAAGGTTGTCCGAAATTTCTGCATGTGGCGGTCACTGCATAACTTCCACTGCCAATGCCACTGCCAATGCCACTTTCACTGGCGCCCGGTGCATCACCGCCAATTTATCCGATCGCCCTGTATGTCCGTGGGTATGACTGCGTCCAATCCAGGCGTCCAACTTCGTCGTTTGAAGGAAACATCTTGAAGACCGGCTCACGGCAGATTGGCTTCCCGCCTTTCCATCCTGCAGCAGCAGCCTGAGTGCGAACGACTCCGGGCCTCGAGCCGTTCCTCCATCTCCATTGAGTTCGTACAGCAAAACTGCTGATCGTGATTCGAATCCAGTCGAAACGCGAACTCTACTCGATTCCTCTGATTACGCCCAACAACTGCCGGGGGTCGCGGACCGGAAGCTGGATCCCTGGCTTTTGCAATGCGAGATGGGATGAATGAGCCCCAGCCACGCTGACCCTGCTGAGGGAATTACGGGGGGGCCTTCTCGACTCGTTCTCGCGTCAGCCTTGAAATGACGAAAACACGTCACAATTTCGGACTACGTTCGATACCGCTACTTATTATCCTGACCTCGAGATCGGCAATCGCGACGTAATGTGACGCCGGGTTCATGAGCAGTGATTCCTCCCCCAGGCCATTTGACAGCTCTGTCTTTCAAGAAGGAACCGTCTTGGTTAAAAGACGTCCTTATCATCGTGATTGTTGACGAAAGCTTAGGCCGGAGGGAGAGCGAGCCACCAGTTGGCTCTTTCGTTTTCGCATTCCATGATGCTTTGCTAGAAGTACACGATAGTCTACAGTCGCTTCTACTACAATGGCTGATGCTATCACGATAGTGACGGCTGCATCAACCGTGAAAACCCCTTTGTACAGGACACACCTTGGCACTAGTTGCCTTCAGAAGCCATAGTCATTTCAGATAAGGCATCCTCGACAACCGTAGACATTGGCCAAACCACACGTCTATCACTTCCCACCGCCAAAAGCCCCGGCGATACGATCCACAATCGTAGCTTTGCCCTCCGCTTTGCGCCTCTCCTTCTCCTTCTCCTGCTCGTCCCACAGCTTCTGCACGTTCTTGGCCACATCGGCCTTGGCCTGCAGGTCCGCCCGCAGCGCCGCCTCCTCGGCCGCGCGCTCCGCCTCGGGCAGCTGCTCTAGCTTTTCCTTCCACGACTTCTCCAGGTCCGGTCTTGGCTTCACCTCGGGGACGGCGGGGTCTGCGCCCGCGGGCATCGTGGGTATCGCGAGGTCGAACTTGGGCGCGGGGAGGCCCTCCTTCTTGGCTGCCTCGATGGCCTTTTCTTGCTCGAACATGCGCGCATAGAGCTGATCCGCGTGCATCTGGATGTCTTCCTCCACCTGCGCTGGTCTGTTGTAGACGGATTGGTAGCCTAGGGCCTTGAGGAATCTCTGACGAGGGGTGTTAGTGATCATGATCCCATCAACAGCGTGACGTGAGCGAATCCAGGAGGCCCTACCGTCTGCATCGTATAACACCTCTCGAACTTTTGCACCTGATGTCTACACATCTGTAGCCGGTCCTCCCATTCGCCGCTCTTCATGCAGTTCACCCACTCCTCCTGCTGGATCGCGCAGTTCTCGAGCGCTGCCTTGCCGATGTTGTGTTTCCGCTGCTTGTAGCCGTCCAGCACGTCCATGAGCTTCTCGTGGTCCGTCTTGGTCTCGGCCTCGATCTCCGAGTAAGGGCGGTACGTCTTCCACAGGTGAGCATACCGCCCGTCCTGGAACAGGCTCTCCTTGGGCACCTTTGGCCGGTCCGCCGATGGGTCCCCTGCTACCGCGGCATCCTCTTGCTGCTGCTGTGACTGTGCGTATGCGTGCGCCGCCGCCGTCGCTACGGCCTCTGCGGCCCGGCCAGCCTTGTCCTGGGCGTCTTGGGCTTGCTGTTGTTGCTGCTGCTGGATCTTGACTGGGGATTCGCGCTCGAGGAACTCGCGGAGCTTCGGGTCGAGGGACTTGAGCGGGTCGTCGGACGCGGGCGCGCTGGAGCCGAACCAGCCGTCAAACCACCCCATTGCGAATATGAGCTTTTCGGAGGAGGAAAAATAGCTCTCGGGGGAGTTTGGGGGGTGTCTGGTGAGCTTGTGGCTCTCTGGTTGTCGCAAACTTGAAGCTCTGGAGAATTTCAAGGTGGCCGACTGTGATCCAATCAAATGCTCGGAAAGACACGGGAGAACTGTGTGAGATTTACTGTCGCACTGTAATGAACACTGTCACTTTAAGGGTTCAACTATCTTGTTCCAGATCGGGTACGTTGCGCAGATAATGGGGTTAAATATAGTGTTCAGAATTTCCCAGCACAGCTATAAGTCAAGTATGTTCTGTTACTGATGATGAAAGGTGCCTATCGGGAAATTGGATATCATTGCCAGAACGTAATGTACCACTAGGACCCTCCATCTGACAACCGTTTTGCCATACTCTCCGACATTTTAATAATGATAATATACGAGATGTGAATATGAGGGGCACTCCAGAGCAGCATGTCACTGTATCACGAAGAATAATTGCACATCCAACCATTCCATATCATTTTTTTCGTTCATTCGACCTGAGGCGTATCGCAGTTTTCCGTTCCCGCAAAAATCACAAGCCCATCGTGTGCCCAAGACAGCCAGAGAAAAAGAACCTCTAGTTCACAACCGAGAAGTGTGGCTGATCGAATTCATTTTGGTCTCTGATTCTGCATCTATAACACAATCATGTGGATGCAGTTTCCCTGTTGACCTCCCATCCGGTATGTAATGAAGAACCCACACCGCAGTCACGCCGTAAATGCCAATGAGCCGATTTAGAACTTGCTGAACTTCTTGACAGCCTTTCCAGTGCGGGGAAGGACACGCAGGACGTTGAAGCGGACCTGGATTCAGCGTTAGTAAACATGCCTACAAACAAAACCCTGGGTTCATCCAGCGGCGTTCTTGGTATCCTGTCGAAACATACAGTCTTGCTCAGAGGTCTGCACTGGCCAACGGTGACCTGGTCACCCTCCTCGACACGGAAAGCAGGGGAGACGTGGGCGGCGAGGTTCTTGTGGCGCTTCTCGTAACGGGCGTACTTGGGGATGTAGTGAAGGTATTCTCTGCGGATGATGAGGGTGCGGTGCATCTTGGTGGAAACGACGGTGCCGGTGAGGATACGACCGCGGATAGAGACCTGGCCGGTGAAGGGGCACTTCTTGTCTGCAGAGGATCTATCATTAGCCACTGTTTCTTTGCACTTCATTCTGTTCTGTTCCCGGGTTGCTGCGCATGGCGTCTTCTCTTCGTCGTTGTCGTCTGGATTCCTCCTCTTCCCCTCGAATCCCTCTCCCAACTGTCGTGTGTTTTCGCTCTTTGCGGTTCTCGAGTGTGTCGCGAAAATTCGTTGTAGTCATGTGTCGTCCATCCATCGCGCGCAAAACGCCAGCACAACTTCAATCGCTCTCGATCGCAAACGTACCGATGTAGGAGCCCTCAATGGCAGTGGTAGGGGTGCGGAAACCCAGACCAACGTCCTTGTACCATCTGCGGCCGCTCTTGCCGGGGCGAGCAGACTTCGCCTTGACCTTCTGGTTAAGGAAGATACCCTTCTGCTTCTGGAAAGCCCTCTCGGACTGGACGGTCAACTCGGTAGCCATCTTGACGTCGTGATGCGGTCGGGTCGACTGGGCGGGGTGGGTGCTGTTGAGGTTAGAAGTCGTTGATGCTGAGCCGCTTTCAACCAAAGAGCTGCGAAAAATCGAGTGACGGACAAGAGATGTGGCCCAGCTTAGGGCACGAAAAAATTAGCGAAGGGAAGGTGGGCCCGAAAAAGCCCAAGTGCCTTCCCAAGTTTGGTCAGCCACACTTGGCCAGTGCTCTCCACCCGCCATCACCTCCCAGCCTCAGGCAGAAACCTGCACCCCACCCACCCCTGGGACGGCCGGGGGCTCAGGTTCTCTGAGGGAACTGTGGCACGGCTCTGTCGTGGCTGGAAAGTCTCTGCATCCAAATTCCCCCATCGGTGACAGCTGATGCCACAGCAACAAAGCGCGTCTGTTGACATCGTTCCCGACAGGCCAATCAGAGACCCGGCCGCAAGTAAACATGGCCCATGACAGCCCACTCACCCTGCTTTTTGGGGGACTTGGAACATTCACGCCACTACCGATACAAGTCGCGTTTACTCTCCCCAAGTTTAAGAGGTGACATGTGCACGCCTAGCTCTCCCATCTGATGCCCAAATCCGTCACCAGAAACACCGATTCCCAACATGGCTTCATTTGGTGATGCGACCCTGCCCTCGACGCGTCGGACGCGCAAATCCATCGGAGCGACCACTTCGTCGAGGAAGAATGGCGACAAAGAGAATGCGACAATCGACGTGGGCAGCACCCTTGCTGAGAGTCGCAAGAAGTCGCGAAGCAAGAGTATTGGCCCCGGAGGCCTGGACGCCCTCAAGAATGCAAATGGGAACCGCAGAGCTGTGAGTATACTCTCCTGTTGGTCCCAGGCATCCGCGACTAACATGCACAGTCCCTGGCTGTGCCTTCACGGCCCCCGCCTCGATCTATTCTGAAGCCGACGATGCCGCTGTTGCCCGAGATCCCGCCGCACCGAAAGCGCGCAGCAGACCTCATCGATCTCGGTCCGCCGCGGTCGAGCACCCCGACAACCACAGGCAGCACTGATCTCACCGGATCAGGGTCCAAGGTTGCATTGCGCACAGAGGAGGAACAGCAGGCGGCTGCAAAGGAGCGAGAGCGCAGAGATGCCCGACGCAAGTCTCTCGCGAATCGCCGCGTATCCTTCGCAGCTGAGGCCACTCTTCATACATTCCATGAGATCGATTTTATGCAGGAACCGACATCGTCAACAGGCTCGATGCGCCGCAGATCATCCGCCGCAGGCCCCTCAAACGAAGAGCCACCAAACCGCCCTTCAACACCACAGGATCAGGAGGAAGATATTGTTCCACAATCGCCAGACAACCAGCGAGAGCTGCATCAGAAGAAGCGTAGAAGAAGCTCCACTGCTCCTCTGATGGAGTTCACAGAGGACGAAGAAGATACCATGGCGACCGGTTTCAGCTCCGACTCGGAGCCGGCAGATGCTGTTGAGGAAGTTGCCGACGAGGAAGAAGAAGAAGCCTCGGACTCCAACAGCGATTCTGACGACGACGGTACAATGATGACTGTCGATGACCACGAAGTGACCGGTGCATCCGTTATGTCTGGGCGCACCACCGCAACAGATGATGACCATGACACTCTGGACGAAGCACTTCGGACGGCTGCGCGGCAGGCCGGCACGCAAAGGCTGGGCTTCGACGACAGCGACGACGAGGAGGTGATTCCTTCTTTTGGGTGGATCAAGAAGGACAAGCCCCAAGCTGAGGGAGGTCAAGACCGAGAAAATGTTGCGCCACCAGCACCTGTCCGGGACAGCCCTCGTGAGGATGATGAAGATGGCATGGATATGGACATGGACATGGACATAACCTCTGCCGTCGGAGGCATCCTCAGCAGCAAGACGTCCCAAGACGTCGAACCTGATGAGGAAATGTCCATGGACGTCACTCGTGTATTGGGAGGCATCCTGTCGAAGAACAGCACCAAGTCAGCATCGACCGAAACAACCTCGGAGGATCAGACCATGGAGTTTACCACAGCTGTTGGAGGTATCCAAAAGTTCAAAGCCAACAGCCATCTATTCGACGATGACGAGAACGATAACGAGGACATGTCGATGGAATTCACCAGTGCTATCGGTGGTTTGCTACCGACACACGCAAAGAGTGACACGACACAGAAGCGCCGGAGAACGATGACCTCCCGCAACAACCCGGAAGATTCAACCATGGACATGGACATGACCGTCGGCGTCGGCCGGATCCTACCTGGTGCAGATAATACATTCTATGGTGACCAGACAATGGGCATGGGCATGACTGTTCCTGTCGGCCGCATCCTTACAGCAGAAGATGAACCTGTGGAGGAAGAGGAAGCAACGATGGGTATGGATATGACCGTCCCCTTCGGCAAGATACTGCCCACATCAAATCAGTCACCGGAGCGGGATGAGGCGACTATGGGGATGGATATGACCATGCCTGTCGGCCGCATTCTGCCTTCGTCCCAAGCGTCAGATCAGAAGGAAGCCACTATGGGTATGGACATGACGATGGCTGTCGGAGGCATCATCAGAGCACCCCAATCTCCAGAGGCTCGGGTTGCTGCCAAGAAACTTATGGAAGCGGAAGTAGACAAGCCGGACACGCCAACCAAGTCTATGTCGGCCAAGCCTGCATCGCCTGCTAAGAAGCTTGCCGCCTCGGTCAAGAAACATAGATCCTCGGCATCGGATGCTGGAAGCAGCCCCGGTTTCAACCCTTTTCAGGGCCGGGGTCTCCGCCAAAGTATGCCACGCGCAGGCACCGCCTCCATGTCACCAGCTCGAACGAGAACACCTAGCCCTCCAAAGTCCACAGCTCCCACTCATGCTGTCGCTGAGACCCCGCTCGACAGTTCGCCAGTCAAGACGCCGCAATCACTCAAAAAACGAGGCCGCCCAAAATCGCCCGTTAGAAAGCCTGCTACACCCTCTCCCGAAAAGACGGCTAGTCGCCTGAACATTTTCCAGCAAGACCCTGCCACCGGCGCAAGGACCCCAATAGTCGTCCTTACTCCCCAAACCCGTAGGCACTCTGGTATCGGCGCAGACAAGCCTGGACTGGGCTCGCCTCGAGTTGCCGCTCTTCTGGACCGCAGAGGATCTCTTGGCGATACGGTTAAAGAGTTTGTACCTGGCACGACCCGTGGGGTTACGTTTGTTGACCCACAAGTCATCGAAAACGAGATCGATAAAGACCGTCAGGAGGAAGAAGACAAAGAAAATGGTCGGAAGATACTCGAACGCGAGGTCGACGGTGGTGAGAACGAGAAAGATGCGACTCTGAACCTAAGAGAAATGATTGAGAGCTTGAGCCCGAAGAAAAAGCGCATGCAAAGCCGCAAGAGTCTTCATGTCGGGAGCGCAAGAGGGCTGCTGGGCAAGCGGCCCGCCGAGCTCGATGACGAGGAGGATCGCGAGGACCATGACGGTGTGAAGAGGCTCAAAGGCCACCAAGGCAGCCCTGTCAAGAACGTCAAGCTGCTGCAGCCGCCCAGTAAGGCAGAGACTACTGGTCGCAGATTGACTCGATCAGCCCGGAAAAGTATGGAGGAAGACGCCGCATTGAAGGCAACTCCTACCCATTCCGACTCCCCTCAGAAGACGGCGAGTTCAGCCAAGTCACCAAAACCGTTTGGTCGTTTCAAGGATGTCGAGGAAGACACAATGTCTCATCCGATGAACCTTGGCGGTTCCCCTGTCCGAGATGAGAACGAGATCATTGACGAACAAGGGGAGGAGCGTATTCACTTGCAAGACTTCCTGAACATGACCTCGATTCGTTTCATGGAGTTGACGACTACCAAACGAAGACACACTCAAGCCCCAGATATGTTCAAGGATGGGCTGCTGGGCGGCAAAGACGACATGTCCCTGGAGCGCTGCGTCGTAGCTGGTGCCTGCACGGTACCCATGCTTGAGCTTTACCAGCACTCCTGCCGCGAGCTGAAGAAGTACATTTCTGAAGGCCGCAGCATCGTCCGAGAAATCGAATCAGAGACCTTCGAAGAGAACCCGCCCTTGTTCCGCGAATATATGTCCGCCTCGCCCGACTTCAAGAACATTCTTGACAACCAGTTCAAGAACGGCAAGACTCATGCTCGCCTTGAGAGCAAAGCCATGTGGTACGAGTGGCGAATGAAGCTCCAAGAGGGCTTGAGAGAGGGTCTCGTCAGGATTGCCGAGGGCATGGCCATTGATGAAAAGGTCCTTCATCAACAGCAAAAGCTGCTGTCTTCTGTTCTGCCTGCCATCGTGTCGCGTTTTACTGTCCTTCAGCAAGAGCATGAGAACCTGCAAGCCGTTGCAGAAGAGCTCGCTGACTGCGACCCGGAGGAGCTTGAGGCTGCCAGGTCTGACTTGTTTGACATCGAGAATGATGTGGAAGAGAAGACTCGTCGTGTTGCTGAGCTCCGCCAGCAATTGGAGGAGGCAGAACAAGGCGTGGAGGAATTGACGCAGGAGAAGCAGCAGTGCTACGAGGACATCAAGGAAGCAGAGAAGATCCGCGAGGAATGTCGCGGCTGGTCGATTGGCGAGATCAGTACGCTCAAGGGTGAGTTCCCAATCACGATGGGATTTGAACCCCACAAGACTAACATGCCTGCAGCGCGAGTGGATTCCCTCGAAAAGCAACATGGTTGGGCTGTGACCGGGGTTTCCGGGAGCACCATCTCGATGACGTACCGACGGGAAATCGAGCTGGTATTTGATACTGCGTCTTTCCAGCGTGGTCAGAAGAACTCGCGGATTGACCTGTGGTACATTGCTGCAAACCGTGAGACCAACCCTGCACCGTCGACACCGGAAATGGATTTTTTTCTGCAGTGCATTCGGGACCACATCCGAGGACTGCCGCAGAGCCGCACTAAGATTGCGGATCTCCTCCACATGGTTCGTGCTGCGTGGGACAAGGCTAACTGCACCTCCAACCACATCCGGCTGCTCAATATCACATTCCCCACGGCCGTTGCCAGGACTTCGGACTCGTCCGTTGCAGTGAAGTCGTCTCTCCTTCTGCCGCAGATTGAGACGAAGGTGCAGATTGCTCTAGAGATCCGCGGTTCGAGCAGGCCTGATGGTATCGAGTTCACCCTGCATCCTGAGGCGCAGGTTGTCTATGGAGAGCACTTTAACACTGGGAAGATGGGAGAGTTTTTGACGACCCATCTGGGAGACAAGATTTTGTCTCAGGAGGAGGGCGCTCCATCTTGGAGCGGTGTGGTTGTCGACCTTCACGAGAGGCTTTTGGCGAGGGGAAGGAAGCAGGGTTAGGAATGGGTTGTTTCTGTCTTGTAATGATTGATGATGGTGGAATATTGCTTTAGGGGGCAGTGTTTTTCGGATTCATGGCGCTTATGGCGGATACCCAGAGCATGATGCAAGCCACATAAGTTACGCTTCGTTTATTACATGTGCATCTGACTGTCGTGATTAAGGCACCTTCAGGTTTCATCTGTGTCGTTGATTCGTTCTGTCACCCCCCCCTTCAGTCCTTGACCAGCAAACAGCTTCCATCACTCTTAGCTTCGGACTGCCTTCCCGTCGGAAGTCTCATCGCAGCAGCCCACAATCCAATAATCACAGATTGATGCGATAGTTGAGATGATAGGGAAGCATCCCAAACAGAATGAAAGATAGTGCAAGGCTTGATGGATTCAGCCTTCCCCCTTTTCAGGGCCGAAGGATGCTCCGCATCACTGAAGCCATCCTCATAATCAACTGTCTCCATCGTCCGTCCCCGTCCCCATCCCTGTTGTCCGTCTTTGCCCGCTTCGCTCCTGCCGGTCCAACCCCTGAATATCACCATTCATCTCACTTCACATTCACCCTTCCATCCCGACCAACCAGACCGAATCGAAGGACCGGAAGCCCTCACTCGCCTGCCGTCACGTGCCAAGCAAACGGACCGCCCACTTGTTGCCTAAGAGGGTAGTTGATTCCTCTCACGCTTTCGGTTTTTCAAAAGAGATTCGGAAAAAACTCTTCCTATACTTTCTTGTCTCGTCTCGTCTTGTATCAATCCGACTATTGCAGCTGAAGTTTCGCGCATAGTCATCTCATCTCACAACAATCAACCTTCCATCAACTGTCAGCGACAAAAACAGCAACCATGGGTACCTTTACCGACGAAGTCTGCCGCCTTGCGAATGAGATATCAGATTTCCTCGTCCGAACTTTGGGCATCGTTCTCGGTTCGATCCTGTTTGTGATCTTTTCTATGGCTCTCAGCTTTTACACCGTCTTCGCCGGTTTGTCTATCATCGGCTTTCTGGCCTTTGAAGTTCGCAACTTATGTAAGGATTCTATCCGAAGTCTTCGAACTCAGTGGCTTGCACTGCCAGACTGCGATCCCGACAAGCCCAGGACTCCTGGTACCTGGCCTGGGACGGCGCTTCTGGACTTCTCATAGGTAGAGGAGTCCGGTCTCATCATACCAGTTATGTGAGCCTCACCGTCCGACGTCTCTTTCATCCCACCCATAAGCTGACCATGCTTCCAGACCTACCTCGTCACCGAACCAGGCGGTGTACGACCCCATTACTGATTTCGCGGACTCGTCCAAGAATGAGAAGAAGAAAGACTTGAGCCCTAAGGCCAAGCGCAGGAAGATGGCCAAGGCATTCGTGGCGAAGCACAAGAAGCACTTAGCTAGGCCCAACAACAAGTACTCGAAGAAGTCGACCCGGCTCGCAAAGCAACACCAACAAACCATGAAGCTCAAGGAGCAGGAAGTTACGGACCTCAAGGAACACGTCGACAATCTTGTTTCTGAGCTGAAAAGATCGGAGAACCATCGGGCTCAACTGCTGCAACTTCTATCAGCACCAACTGACCGATACGACAAGAACTTGAAGATCCCCGGCCGAATTCCAACCATGTCTGTGAGACTACCAATGCCCGACTTTCGCATCTCCGACGTAATCAACCGTCGCAAGGCCCAGTCGACTACCCCTTTCAATATCACTCTCTACAAGATGCCAGAGACTGTTGTTCAGTTCAAGGCTACTGTTTCTGTCGCCAAGTCTTCGCCTGCCGCCACCAGGACTACTACTGATCAGCTCGTCGACCAACCTGTCGCAAATCCCGTTGCCGAACCGCACTTGGTCTTGTCGCAAACCAAGCCAGCTCCTCCAGCCCCTCCTGCTCAGTCTCTTCACTCGACTCGAGCTCAACTAAAAGCTCCATCTCCGCTTCCTGAGACCAAGCCGTCACTTGCTCCGGGTTTCCCACCTACTGCTCAGGATCCTGCTTCACATTGCCGCATCTTCCATGAGCCAACTAATCCATCCGTGTGCGCACTGTCTTCGATCCAGTCTTCACTCCAATCTTCAGCTCAGTCTTCAACCCCGCCTCGGATGAAATCTCTGGTCTTGATGCTGGCCCGACTTCGCGTTCTTTCAACCGTCAACATTTCAATCTCGTCTTCGCCGGTTCGCCCTCCCCGAACGCCGGCTTCTTCAAAGTCTCTGGTTCCGCCCCCGACCCAGCCTGTTGAGACTTTCACCCTCAAATCTACTCCCCGAATTATCAAGCACGCCGAAAAAGCTGTTACAGGTATACCTGTGCCTCATCCGTTCGAACCCACCTCGGTTTCGCTGCCTGAGTCTCCGCCACAGTCTCCTCCGCAGGTTCTCTCAACCACGCCCTCACTTATCCGTCCAAGCTACACGACTGCTACGAAGCAGACTGCTTCCAACAACACCGTTCCCGCTCAGCCCGGCTTCCAGCCGCCTTACCCTGGCGTTGATAATAGCCTCGTCGTCATGGATGATCAGATGGATGTTGACGAAAGCGAGCATAAGAGCAAGGAGGAAGACGATGAGAAAGACAACATGGAGTTGGACGATCAGAAAGACGAGATAGAATTAGACGACCAGAAAGACAAGATGGAGTTGGACGACCCGGAGCTCATTCAAAGTGGTGTCGTCGCTTTACCACAAGTTAACATCTATTCGGGGTTCTCAGACACCCCTCCTCGCTCGCAGCAAAGACAGCTTGAGAAAGATGTCGACATGGCAGACGCGCTGCCGAAGACCCAAGTACCTATGGAACACGATGTCGAGATGGAAGACGAGCCAACTTCTTCCAGTGCTCCTGTTACTAGAGCCAATGGCAAAGGTGACATTGTTGACATGGATGTCGACACCAATAACAAGCAAGACCGGCCATCTCAGATGACACAGCCTACGGCCTTTCAGCAGCCTGTGACTTCTCTACCAACCAACTATAACTCGCAGCCAAGAGCACCGCACCCACAAACAACTAATGCTGTCATGGTCGAGAACAAGCCGGATATGAGGGCTCCGCCGGCCTCAGAGCCTGAAAATAAGAAACCGGTATTCATCGTTCGACGCAAGCCAGTCGACCCAATGGTGCAACCGAGGAGGAAGCCTCGACAACCACGTCTGCAAAAGCCACCGCAGCAGCCGATGACAACTATGCCGCAGGCTGGAACCCTATCTACCGTGACCATAACTGCACCACCGAACCCAATCAACGGCTCTGCATCGGAGGGAACAATCCATCTTTTCAGGATGTCTAGGGATCGAGACAGTCTGACGCCCCTTACCCCATCGTTCACGACGCACAAGCGGTTGATTCCAGACCGCCCGGCCCGGAAGCATAAATACGATGAGGTGGTCGCGATTGATGAGGATTATGACGGAGACGTTGACCTTTCTATGCCTTTTGATTGCGACGGACCTCCCCGGAGAATCCTGCCATTGCCCACAAGAGCAGTCCAAGCTATCTCGGCTGTAGACGACGAGGCAAGCCGCCAAAGAGCCCTCGAGACAAAGCGTCGTTGGCTATTGGTACAGGAGCAGGAAGCCGCCGCTGGACCAGACCCCGCCATGGAGCAGCACAGGAGCAGGCCGCCGCCCAAGGTGGCGTCAAAGGGAGTCTCCGCCAGAGACGACCGTGTAATGTTGTTCGGAACGCCCGAGCTGAGGCGAGAATTGCTCCACAGGCTACAGGCCCTGTGGCCCCTCCTGCCGAAAGCTGAGGTCGACCGAATACGGTTGAACAACCTGAGGTCAAAGGCGCTCGCGGCATGGCGCGAGCTCTTGAAACCGACCAACAAAGACCGGCTCCCAGACAATACCTACATCCCTATGGACGTGTTTGAACGCGAAGTGAGTAAATGGATGCAGAGAGTCATCGATCTGATGAGCGAACTGAATGTCGTCTCACAGGCGGGAACCCTTCTGCAAACATGGGGAGAGTGTGTGGCCCGCCAAGGACACCTCCCTGAACCCCAAGACGATGCGAAAATCTAACCGAGGAGGAAGGAAAGGCATTGTGAACGGAGGAAAACCATATAAAAAAACCACCCCCACATCCATACACCAATATCACCATTGCAGGAGTCGAGAGTTGAGACTTTCAGATTACAGTGGATTTGTAGTCTCGAGTACTATATGTCAGAGTCTCGCATTTGGTTTACCTGTTTTTCACCTTTGTCCAGCCGTTCGTACCACCACCCCCACCACCAGCACCACCAGCCCGAGCAGCCTGACCTTCACCTTCATCAATAGCCCACGCATCATCCTCGAGAACCTCCCACTCTGGAACCGCAACCTCACTGACAAGCTTTTTCTTGAGCTTATCGGCAAGTTTCAAGGGGCTAGGAAGTTTGAAGCTGCGAACAAATTCGGATCCCTCCGCGCTACCAAGGAACGCGTAAGCTGTGCCGTGAGAGTATCGTCCCATCCAAGATGGGGCTTTGCCAAGCTCTTCCTGGTCGGGGTTGTCGTGCTTCGTCGTGGGTGATGATGTAGGCGGGGGATAGAGTCGACCAGTTTGAGTACTATGGAGTTGTTGGCCGATGAGCAAATTATACAGGTTGCGGCCCATATGGCAAACATCCTCGAATGAGTTGCGATCCCCAACAAAGACCCCCTGAGTGCTGCATGCCCAGGCGATATCATACGCCAACAAAGTCACACCCTCCAGAAGGAGGGAATGGGCAGCCGGGTCTTCTTTGGCTAGTACGGGCAGGGCCTTGTCGACGAACAGTGGCCGCGGCCGAGGGATGTAGTGCGGCTGATTATCGCGCTCCTCCGAAGTAAAGCTAGGAACGGTTGAAGTACCGGGAAACGGAACTTCGCCATGCTGGTAAGATGAGGCGAGGTTGAAGATGGTAGGACGCGGGTAATCACGATGGGGTAGCGTGATCTCCGCAGGAAGCCGGATGGAGAGATAATGGGACGTTAACGCCAGAATATGGGCGATGTTGGCCAGAGAGGTTGACAGGGCTTCGGGCGATGCCGCTATCAAGCAAGGTCAGTATTGTTTTCAAGAAACCCAAGGTATGAGACTAACCATTCATAGAGGAAAGATCAATCACGTCAACCCCGCCAAGCTTATACTCGTATCGAGAAGACGAGCCCTTCTTGACACGGCGGAGACCGTACAGTTTGGCTGCTTCCATACAAAGGAAAGCTCGGGTGGACGACATCTGATCAGCACTGCGGACCCATTTGTACTTGGCAACGGAAATGGAGCGCTCGGCCTCCTCGAGCTGCCTGGTTCTCCGAGTAGCGATGCCACTCGACGCAGATGCAAGATCCGACTTTCGACGAGAAATGGCAGCCTTGCGATCAGTAATCTCCTTCCTGGCAGCGGCGATCTCATCCCTCAGCTTATCAGCCTGAGCGATGATCTGGTCCGTTCGAACTTCAGCCATCTTCTGTTCGGAGGTCGAACGTTCAACAGCGATAGTCGGGTCGAGCGCATCGGTTGCTGTGTCTTCAGCAAGGAGGTCATTGATCTGTTTCTGAAGACCCTCATTCTCTATCAACAACTGCAGATTCTTGAGACGACCTTCATAGCAGTGATTGCGAGCATCAACAGCACACAAAAAGGGCAACCGTTGAGGGTTGTGAGATCTTTGACAGATGTCGCAGTTCATTTTGGCGATGTCTGTCGAGTCTAGGCAAGCGGCGACTCGGAGTTGAACAGGACAAGGCCGCGCATGAACAAAGCGTCGCTCGAGAATGACGTGGGGGGTTGAGTTTCTGGTAACTGATTGCGGACTGGGAAGAACCTCCAGCCTTGGTAGGAAGCAGCGACTTGATATACGGCAGCTTCCGATACAGAGTGAGTCTATCGGCAACGTTCAGACGACCTGTGAGTGCAGGTTGTTTCTGAAGGTTCGTCGAGTCACGGGGACGAGGTCGGGTGAGAGGCGATGGATGGACCAGAAAGGGAAACACTCTACTGCCGTTGGCGCAGCGGACTCCCGCAGGCAACAGGGGTGTCCCCAACGCTATTTGGATCCCAGTCACTCACACACCTTCCCCGAGCATGCGCCATGCGCCACACCTCTTTCCTTCCCTTGCCTTCCTAGCCAGCGACGCCACACTGTCCTCAGCCAAAACACTAACCTCCATCAGCAGGCACGGGCGAACTTAGTAACAACCTACAGGGAGCCGACCACTATGATCAGCACCTTTCCATACAAGTGACCCAACACGGCAGCATCTAGCGTCAAGCTTTCCCTACTTTCCGGTCACTGTCAAATCGCAACCACCAGAAAACGAACAACGCGATCAAGTCGAACGACCAATTTTTTTTTCCCCCACAGAATCCTAAACATCATCAAATAGTCACTCGACACCAGCACAGCCTTTCCCATCGGCTTTTGTCTTGAGAGACCCGCGCTCGCGATTTATCAAGGGCGCAAACGCCTCAGTATCCTCCTTCACCCCTACCGCGAACATGGCCGACGCGGGAACCAACGAGTCTCAGAGACCCAAGTCTCTCCAGACCACCAAGACACCTGAGCCGCGATTGGATCAACAAGTGACCAACGGCCAGAACGACAGCAATACTCCTAGCACGCCAGGTGCTTTCCCGTCCTTCGACTGGGAAGAGTTCGAAGCTCGGTATGAGAAGGCCCTTGTGGAGGCCGACGAGAAGGAGAGAGAGCTCTTGCTCGAATTCGACAGTCTCGTAAAGGTGAGCAGCTCGACACCCACCACCAACAGTCTAGCTTCCAGGCATGCTGACCTCCTTGACTGTGTGCAGTACTTCAACGTCTGGGCCTCCACTTCAAGTGCTCATGACAATGAACGCGCAGTCAAGCGCCTTCACACGAGGCAGAGATATGTCAACTTGGCGGAGCAGAACATGGCTCGAAAGGAGGAACACAGTGAGTATTTTCCTCATCATAGCCTATTCGCAGCTGACTGACACACATTTACAGTGACGGAAGTGCTCCGCGCGTTTCAAAGCGCCCTTGCCCTGCTGAGCCGGTCTTAGGCCTTCATTCGCGGGCTTAGGGGGCATGGTGAGGTTCGAAACAATTGTTGCTATGATTATGCAGAATAATTTGCATAACCGCTTCCACGATTCTGGCAGCAGTTGCGCGTTTGCTCGCGCGGTTTCCAACGCGATGGTGGTGAAGGGGTCTGCTCCACACGTGATCCAAGCTCCAGGTTCTGAACGCGCCAGGCCCACTGTCCCTGCGCGGTCTGCCAACTCCAGAAGCTCCAACCATTTTTATCACTTCCGTCATCCAACCCATTTCGCCATCACCTTCGACAATAAGAAAAGCCGAACCAAGACCAAAAAAGGTTCTAAAATACTCTCCGATACCACCGGCACCGCCTCGGTTACAGGGAATGGCTGCAGAAGGACCGAGTCCAATGCAAACGCAGTTTGCCGCGCCAAACGTCAGCAATGTGGGTTCAACTATGTCGAGCATTTAGTTCATCATATTGACCTTTTCACAGGATGACTTGATTACATTTTTTGAGACGCACTTCTCAGATGCGGCACTTCAGACTTTCAAGTCTGAGTTTTTCAATCCGAACCAGCAGTCAGATACTGCCAACGCCGGCCCCTCGGTTGAAGAAGATGACGACGTCTTTGAGGAAGATGACGGCCTCGGCTACTATCCGGATGGCGTGAAGCGCACGCTCACTGACGAGCAAATAGCCATGTTCCGACACTCCGAGCTTGAAGCTCTGAAGCGAGAGCAGGAGAGAGCAGCTGAGCGGCGCTTCATGGTGCCACGGTCAAACCAGATTGGTGAGACCGGCGATGACAACAGCCTCAAAGCTACCGAGTCATTCCAGCAGTCGGGCAAGGTAACCAAGAACAAGAAGAAGAGGAAGGGAGGAAAGGGCAAAAACCAAGAGCCCAAGCCGGACCTCCGCAAACGGACCTGGGACGTTGTCGAAGCAGGGCTTGACACTCTCGACTACGATTGACTCTCTCGAATCCAAATATTCGCAAACCACTATCAACTCTCGAGCTGCCTCTGGGAAGGAACTATGGGCCGTACACACGTCTCTAGACCTCCCACGCTTGCCAGTTGCTGGTGCCAAGAAGAACTGCAGGCCAGACAAATGTCTGCAGACCTCTTGTGCACGTAAAGTCATTCGAATTCTGGGCAGAGATTAAGGGGCGGACACATGCTCTGAGCTCTGTTGGCGACCCGAACACCTGATGCTGAGATCAGCCGACTCCATCGACATGCGGGTTTGATGTGCGCAAGCAAAACACCAAGAGTTTACACTTCACAACTATTGAACACCAACAACACCCATAACGCCCCGAAAGGCAGCAGAATGAAAGGTATGCAGACCACCCCTTTGTTTCTCCATTTCCGATCCCCTCTGCCCATGCTATGATGAAATCTTTGTATCGTCATCCTTAGTCGGATCCACAGCCAGAGACAGACAGCTCCTGGCTTCAGTCAGCAGCTCGAGTCTCACAGAGCTTGGACATGTCGAGCAATAATCTTCTCTCTGAAAGCATAAAACTCATACTCTCTAAGACTTTGCGATACGCTACAGTCGGGCAGTTGCTGACTATTCCAATAGGCAGACTGAAAAGGCACAAGGCGTCTGTGGTCATCGCTGGTATCGTCTGCAGGGTCACTACACACGTTCCAGGAGAAACCAACTTGCGAAAGCATAAAATTATCTGCCTAGCGGATCGATCAGGTTATTAGATGACGTTAGTGTTCGATGACAATCGAGTCATGGCTGGGTAGTGGCCCAGTCATGCAGAGATGACTGATGTTGGGGGGCAAACGAGTAGCAATACACCCACGGGGAAAGCCACTTTGACATGAATGAGAGAAATGAATGCTGCGATACGCTTGCTTCTTGGATGCAATTACTTTGACGGAACTCGACGGCTTTTTCCGATGCCCAAATCACATTTGAATGATTGAGATTTCCGCCTCTTGTTGTAAATGTGCTAAGACTAGTTTTACACACATTGGCTCTGCTTGGATAAAGTGACTCCCTGTATGTCTTGACTGACCTCCATCATTGCTTTGTTACGGGATGGGGTCAGATGTGCCTTTGTTCTCAAGTATCCGCCAGGCACGCTGTTGCCAAGAAAAAAGCGGCATCGATTTAGGCTTGCTTTGAAGTTCAGATGATGACAACCACCTAGAAACCGGCTTGGAGAAGCTCTCGAAGAGCACGGGAATGCTGGCCGTAAGTCGAAACACTGCTTTAACGTTGGACGGCAGGGGCGTGGACGCATCACCAGGCCTTATCGGGCGGTCTGGATGATAAGCGCAAAGGGACCAGCCTCGGTCGACAGCCAATCAGGGCCTCAGGCCTCTAAGCCTGATTTTGGACATCCCACCTTGATTTACTCCCTGCCCCGTTCTCCTACCACCACCACCACCACCACCACCACCACCACCAACCGCTCGCTCCACGCTCAGCCAGGCTACCTCAGCCACGCCGAGACCCCTCCTCGCTCTGCCTCCGCCGCAAAATCCAACCTCACGCAACATCACCACCCGTCCTTGTCAAGCCCTGCGTGCGATCGCAGGCAAACAGTAGCCCATCATGGCGCGGGTCTACGCAGATGTCAACCAGAACATGCCCCGCAGCTACTGGGACTACGACAGTGTGAACATTAGTAGGTTTTCTACCCACGCTGCCGCCCCTCATCCAACAGCCCTCGATCGACCGAGGTCCTGCGACTCGACGGCGCACCTGTCTCCTTCGACCTCGCTTTCTTCTCCGCATCGTAGCAGCTAACCTTTCAACCAACAGGCTGGGGCGTTCTCGAGAACTATGAGGTGGTCAGGAAAATTGGTACGTTTTGGTGCTCCTGTTGGGGTGGCTCCCGCGCTGCGCGCATGCACAACCCCGTCCCGTATACTTTGCGCGCGCGGCTACACCTCAAGGGAGCATAATGGGCTGACGCAGGGTTGCTACATAGGCCGTGGAAAGTACTCGGAGGTCTTTGAGGGCATCAATGTCGTCAACTACCAGAAGTGCGTCATCAAGGTTTTGAAGCCTGTTAAGAAGAAGAAGATCAAGCGTGAGATCAAGATCCTGCAGAACCTGGCGGGAGGTCCCAACGTCGTCGCGCTGCTGGATGTAGTTAGAGATTCGCAAGTGAGTTTGAAGACATCGCTCTGTGCAATGCGATACATTAGGGTGGTGGGCTAACGAAGCGTTGCAACAGAGTAAGACGCCATCTCTCATCTTTGAGCACGTCAACAACACCGATTTCCGAAGCCTTTACCCCAAGTTTAACGACCTCGATGTCCGATACTACATCAACGAGCTGCTGAAGGCTCTTGACTTCTGCCACAGCAAGGGCATCATGCACCGCGACGTCAAGCCTCATAACGTTATGATCGATCATGAGAACAGAAAGGCATGTCTTCTTGCTTTAAGAAGTTTTTTGACTTGGGGCTAACAATGGTGCAGTTGCGGCTCATCGATTGGGGTCTGGCCGAGTTTTATCACCAGGGTACCGAGTACAATGTCCGCGTAGCCTCCAGATATTTCAAGGGCCCCGAACTGCTAGTCGACTTCCAAGAATACGACTACAGTCTCGACATGTGGAGCTTGGGCGCTATGTTTGCTTCCATGATTTTCCGCAAGGAACCCTTCTTCCACGGTAACTCCAACTCGGACCAACTCGTTAAGATCGCCAAAGTACTCGGTACGGACGACCTCTTTGACTACCTCGACAAGTATGAGATTGAGCTTGATGCCCAGTACGACGACATCCTGGGCCGTTTCCAGAAGAAGCCGTGGCACTCCTTCGTAACAGCCGAGAACCAGCGTTTCGTCAGCAACGAAGCGATCGACTTCTTGGACAAGCTGCTGCGATATGACCACCAGGTATGTTTGCCTGTAAATGTTTGACAAGTACCTCATATTGACATGCAAACAGGAACGTCTCACTGCCAAGGAGGCCCAGGCGCACCCCTACTTCAACCCTGTTCGGGATCCCGAGGTCTTCAAGCAGCACTTGGCCAGCCAGACCGCCTCCGGTGTCAGCAGCAACTGAACCAAGAGCGTCAACCTGCCCATTTTGGGAGGCCTAATCACGCCCACACACAACACTCTGGATGCTCCCTCTCCATACAGGCTGTATGCAACAGGCACTGCGCCGCTGATGGTCCGATCAGGACTCTTGTCTGCAACTTCAAGCGAGCCTAAGATCTAGACAAAATCAACCTATTTCCAGTGTGAATTCGAATCGGACCAGCAGATGAAACACGGAGCATGACCTTCCTACTTCCCGTCTCACTAAATGAATGACGACTCAAGATCGGTACCTATACGTGAGCAACGGTACAAATAAGACAACGTATCAAGGCGCAAGACGTCGATACAGGCGGCGTGGAAGGAAGGCTGGAAATGTGGTGGAAGCAATAGGAAATTTGGCTTGCGCATGGATCCGGGTTTCACCACATGGAAGGGGACAGGCGTTTGCGAGGTTGAGGCCCCCTTTCGGTTCCAAGTACCCTCACGGGTCAGTGTCCATGACTTTGCATACGCGGTTCTCCATGATTTTTCTTTACAGAAGCTCTCTGGTATTCATCTGATGTAGCGAATAATGAGGAAGCATTCGTGCTTCCATGACCCTGTTCATTTCAAAGCTACATGTGACTTCCCGGCAATGCCAACGGTCACTGCTCTGCATATGTTGATGACTTTTAGTCTTTGCTCTCCATGCCATTGCGCGCCGTTCACTGATTCAGTAGCACTCTTTGCCTCGACCATGATATCATCTACAGACATGTGAAACAAAAATCCCTATCGCATCGGAACCCGGCTTCGCCGCAACGACGCATGTTCCCGCCTGGCGTGCGGACGAGCGACCCCGATGGGCTGCCGAAGTGGACCTTGGTAGGGGTAGCGAACGCCCACGCCGCCTTGCGTTTCCTGCCTCTCGTCGTGGCTGCGTCCGAACCCGCTCCGCCGCCCCCGCCCGAACTGCGCTGCTTCATGGGCGTGGTGATTTTCGTCTGCGGTCCGGCGAGGAGGACGGGCGTGAAGGAGGTTCTCTTGCGGTCTCCCGAGGTCCCGCCGCTGGAAGTCCAGGTCTTGAACAGGTCTAGGGTGAGTTCGTCCTCGTCGTCCGAGAGGAGGGAGATTACGGATTTCCGGGAGGATGAACCCTTGGCTGTGGTGGGAGGCTGTCTCGATGACGGCGTGCTGGGTTGCTTCGGCTGCCGTTTTCTCCTAGGCGGTTTGGGTGCCGGCGAAAGCTGGCCGGTGGCCGGAGAGTCTGGAGCAAGAGCGATGGGTCGGTCCGTAGTGGGCTTGTGGCTTTGGGGGGTTGCTTTGCGCTCGGGGCTGGCTGAGGCGCGGAAACGGACGGACCTGCGTGCTTTTACAGAGGAGGCGCCCGGATTTGCGTATCTCTTGAGGGGGCTGCTAGATTGGAGATTGAGGTGTCGCATGGGGGAGGTGGCACTCTTTTCGACGCGTCCTGAGTGGATTGCCGGTGACGAGGAGGCTCGACGGGGCCGTGCGAGGAGGGCTTCCGTCAAGGGCAGTGCCTCTGCCCGGGGCGGGAGGATGGGGAGTTCGATGTCCATTGCTTCCGCCTCGGGGTCGGCATCGGTTGTGCTTCCTTCATCGATCTCGTCGAGGCCCAGGGGGATTGTGAAGGGTTCGAGGACTTCTTTATCCTCTTGCCGGATGTCCTCTGCTGAGTGTTCCTCTTCGAGTTCGTCTCCAGTCTCCTCCAATGTTTCCCCCTGGCTTCCTTCTGTTCGAGTTCCCTCCTGGGCGTCACTTGCCTGAACGTCTCGAATTCTCAGCTGCATTCCTTCTTGGGCCCCTTCTCCACTATCCCTCTGGGTTTCTGTTTCGTGGTCTCGCCCATTCAACGGTTGCGACTCCTGCACAACTATATCTGCAGTTGTCTGAATATTCTCTGCACTCGTCATATTCGTTTCTCCTGCAACATGTTGCTCGATTGATTGGCACTCTTCAGAGAGTTTCTCTGTAGCTTGCAACAAAGAGGGCGAGTCAACATTGGTTGTGACTTCGGACGCTTCTTGATCATGAGGGCTGGGGTGCTGTTCCGGAGCCGTTGTTGGCTCGGCCACTTGTTTGTTCGAAGCATCAATCTCCATGTCAGCGGGCTGCTCCGAGACTTTTTCGCCGACAGTAGAAGGAGGCTTGGTTTCCCCGACTTCTGTTTCTTGTTGTGCTTCGGCTTCTTGCTGGTCCTCTGAGACCTCCAAATCAAGCACCTTCTCAGAAGGTTCCATTGTTGTCGGGGAGACTAGTTTAGTAGATTCGTTCGTGACTGGGCCAGCGACAGATTGCATTTGGCTGCGACTGTGTTTTGCTCGCGTGATAGGAATACCGTCTTCGTCATCGGAGAAGGCATAAGACGGGTCAATCTCATGCCTGGTGAATGTCTCCTTCGAAGGCCCATGTGTTTTCCCGGATGGCGCTTCAGCAGACGCGGTTACGTCAGGGATGGCCTCTGCTGAAGCACCTCGAGAGACTGTGTCCTTTGGAGGTCGCTCAGAGACAGCCAAACCAGCCAATTTGGGGGTCGGAGCCATGTCCTGTTCGGCTGATTCGAAGATGCCCATATCTTCGGGATCCTCGGCCTCGGTGATCTCGCCTGCCGAAGGGTGTTTTGAGAAAATTTCGATGACGATATGCTGTCTGGGTCTTTCCAACGCCTCTTTATCCGTCACAAAGCTGGCTGAGCTCTGCGTAGAGCCCAGTCGAGTGGTGGCATCAAAAGGCTGTTTCTCGGCTCCTTTATCGGCAGTCTTGCTTGGTAGAATCGTTTTCCTCGGTTTTCGGACCTTGATTGGAAAGAGCTGTTTTTGTGAGACTGATTTTTCCTTCGCCGAGGATTTCGCATGTGATTGTTCGACTTCAACAGACTCGAGGGGTTCCTGGGACTTGTCCCTAGCAGCCGTGAACGATCCTTCTCTATTCTTCTTCTTCTCGATCCTGGGCTCTCGGTCTGCAGTTGAAAGGCCCAGAATATCGTCCTCATTGTCGTCATCGGTAGTAAAAGCTTGCAGAAGTTTCTTGGACGTCGGTCTTGTCATCCTCGAAGCTTCTTGTCTTGCACGAGCGAGTTGCGCCATGTCAATGCGAACAGGCTCGGGCGTTGCCTTCTCCAACTCACTGTCCTGCCGTGAAGACCACACAGACTGTGACCCCTGGCTGACTGGGAAGCGGTATCTTGCCCCGTAAAGTTTCGACATTAAACTATCGCCCAATTTTGGTGGGTTGATCTCAGGAACCCTCCATGTCGGATCGACAGACTCGGGTTCATACCCCCAAATATTTGCTGAGGAAGTTGATTTGCCATTTTCTGGTTGACGTGGTGGACCGAGGATGGACAGCCGCTGTTCGGATCCAGACCTGTGTGTACTTGGCTGGGTGTGCGGAAGGCTCGAACGACTTTGTAATTCCCCCTTTGTCTTTTGTGCGAGAGCTGTTGAAGCAGGAGCAGCGTCTTTTTTGCCGTGTAATATTCGTTCTTGGTCCTCTTCGTCGTCTGACCGGTCGGGGTCTACGTGTCCATCCACAACATCTTGGTCTGAACCTTTGTCCTCCTCCTCATCAGAAGAGGCAAATGCGTCCTCCAATAGCATACCCTCATCTTCTTCGTCGTCTTCGTCAGGGATTCCCGTGTCCCGTTCATTCCGCATACGTTCTAAATGACCATTGTTCGTAATGATCTTACCGGTCCTCAAATCAATTTCATCGCCTATACCCGTAAAGTCCCTCTCATATTTTTGAAAGATGTGCTCAAACGTCGACTTCAACTTGAAAGCGGCAAACGCACGGGACTGTTCGAGTTGGTAGCCGGGGTCCCGCATCTGAGACACCTCGTCAGGCTCGTAGTTGAGCTCATCATCTTCATCTTCTTTCGACTGCTGACCCAATGGCGACGGGCCTGTCCTTGGTCTCTTTGCTGGAGGCTCCATATGGTTGTAGATATGGAACATGTCCCTTCAAGACATGCCGTTAGGGGATCAAGGGCGAGTGAGCCAATGGTAGTGGGCGGCTGGACGGTAACGATGAAGTCCCGGATCAGCCTAATGGGAAACTGTGTGGACTCGAGGTGACAAGACGCGTCTCGACGCGACGCTTTGACTCGTTGATTCTCGCGTAGAGTGGAAATGCACGGACCAGGTGGGGTGCTGCCGTTGCTAGAGTCACCCAAAACGTCCCAGGGCCTTTCACTGTGAAGCGCTGTTGACTACTATGTACAGCAGCCGCTGAACAACTGCTGTATACCACCGTTTTGCTTACACCATCTCTTGATGGCTGCATCGACCTACTCATTGCGCGGTGGGCGGTTTTTCCCGATATTTTCTTGGTTCAACAGGACAGAGCGAGACCGGCGTGACTTTGATAAGCCAACATCGTGCCCTTTGTGTTTGCTTGAGGAGCCAACCCGTGCAGTTGTGGTGGTGTCTTATCGTTGTGTTGGTCCAAAGTGTCGGCAGGCGGTGATCTCTGCAGTTCGAACAAATATATTGGGAAAGTTTTGAATGTATTTTCCGAGCCATTATGATCAGCCTGTAGTATTGCTCACAAGTAGTGAGTGTCATGGGTTTGCAGTCCCCTACGCAGTCCGCTGGCCGCTTGCCAAACCACAGCGATGAACCCACAAGGCAAACCAACTCCTGCTGCTGCATAAGAACAACCCGCAAAGCGCTTTGTAAAAAGGAGTTGAAAAATATGATACTTGGATCACAAACACATTGCATGTTCCAAAACCCCAAAGAAAAAAAAAAGGCGCATCAACACTGTGAGCGCTGTCCCTTTAGTATCCGCCGTCGGACAAGGACCCACGCCAGGGGTGTGGCCTTAGCGACTGCTTACAGGACGTCCGGACCTTACTTTAGGTGACATCACAAGACCTCCCTCAACATCCATCAACACTGCCTTTTCAAGCTTGCAAGCATGCGCGCAACAGCAAAATGTATTGTCAAAAGTGTCGCACACCACTCAAGCTGGACAGTTCCCTTGAGGAGCTGAATCCAGCCGCGTACGATCTCCTCGTCGGTCAGCAAAAGCCCCCCATCCGGCTCGGTGTGCGCGCAAGGTAGCTGACAAACGTAGCCTCATCCTCGCAACAGTCACCTAAGAAGACAGCCTCTTCACGACCATACCACCCCCAAGATGGCCAAAGAAAGGTTCTCTACGACAAAGTATCCCAAAATTCGGCATCGGCGACCTTTAAACGCCACGGCAGCGGTCCGTCGAACTCGGCGCAACGAGACTCTAGCATGTCCTTCATCTACCTCACGGAATCACAAGTCGCCCAGCCCGTTCTCTCCCGACCCGACCCCTCTCCAGCGAATTCGAAGTCCTCCAGAGGCACGAAGGGCGGCTCGAAGGCTCAAGATGAACAACGTGGCGGCAGCAAGGCACACGAGATGGAGCGCATCAGCAAGCTGTTCGAGATTCTTTCCGCGCGATCCGATATTGATCATCCTATATGTGTTGAATGCACCGACATGCTCGTAGAGGGCCTGCAAAAGAAGCTCGAGATCGCCGCAAGGGAACGCGATGCCTACGTCGGATTTCTGAAACAAGTGCAGAGCGATCAGCCCAGCGAGGAGGATATCAAAGCACAGGACGAGGCTTTGAGGAAAGCAAAGAAGGCCGAGGCCGAGGCGATGGCTGAGCTTTTGCGTTTGGAGAAAGAGAAGGCGGCTGTAGATGCCGAAATCATTGCTTTGGAGGAGGAATCTCAGCAACTCGACCGCGAAGAGGAGCAGTTTTGGCGCGAACGGAATGCCTTCGCCACAAAGCTTGCCGACTTCCAGAACGAGCGCGACAGCACCAACTCCAAATTCGACAACGATGCTCAGCTTCTTGAGAAGCTACAACGCTCCAACGTCTACAATGACACCTTCTGTATCAGCCACGACGGCACTTTTGCTACTATCAACGGGCTGAGGCTGGGCCGACTTTCCAACAAGCCGGTTGACTGGCCTGAGATCAATGCGGCATGGGGACATGCGCTTCTTTTGCTTGTCACTGTGGCAGATAAGCTAGGTTACAAGTTCGATGGCTTTGAGCCGCAGCCTATGGGAAGCACCTCGAAGATTATTCGATACGAGCTACCGTCCCCGACTGCCAGCCGTCTAGGTTCGCACCGGAACGCGCCACCGCCAGCCCCAAAGAAGCACGTCCTGGAGCTTTTTTCCAACGGAGATTTGCCTCTTGGCCTGACTTTTATGCACCGCAAGTTCGACAATGCCATGGTGGCGTTCCTTGAACTAGTGCGGCAGCTTGGTGCTTTCGTGCATAGGCAGACAGCCGCCGACGGCCATCCTCTCAGTCTTCCTTACAAGATTGAAGGTGACAGAATCATGGACGTTAGCATCAAGCTCGGCATTGCTCAAGATGATGGCTGGACAAAGGCGTGTAAGCTTACCCTAACGTGCTGCAAATTCCTGCTTGCGCATGCTAGCAACGTCAATACAACCGCAAGGGCTGCCAATAATCAATAATTACCTGCAAATCCTCTTGCATTTGGGATGGAGTTCAGATATCAAGGCGTCAAGGCGGCGGGCATTAGATCAAGCGTACGGGGTCATTGGAGTTCAAGGATACATTTCCGGGGGCATAGGTTTGGAGAGAGTAGGCAAACTTTCCGTGTTCCCCAGGCCTGATTGTCAGATATCTTCTCAGCAGGCTCACGAAATACATCGTTGTGTTACAGCAGATCCGGCTCCTTGAAGGAGGGAGTTTAATATGTCGCTGATGTTTTGGAGTTGCGTATTATCACCCATCTACCTGTCTAGCGGTGATGTTCGCTTCGACCACTGCTAACATCTCTCCAGTCGCTAACAATGCTGAAAGGTATTGATCCGATGTCTATTAGAAGGGCAACTGATTCGGTTTACCTGACGTGACGGGGTTTTAGAGTCAGAGTCAGAGTCAGGCTCTCAATCCTGAGAGGCCAGTCAGCCTTGATGCCTATTGGTAGCTCACGACTGTTCAGGCAACAGGGCGCACTCAAGACCTCCAAGCGGGGTTGGTTGCCTGGTTGTCTTACACCACAACCAGCCTCATGCAAGCCTAGTGCGACTCCATCTTCGCTCGCCAATCGTTCATTTTGAGGCCGCCATTGATGCCTCGATGCGGGGTGACTGCTCGCCCTGCCTTCTGCGCCAATGATGTCCCAACGCCGCGTCTTTGTTGTCGGCCTACAGCCTGCTGCTTCTCGCCGATGAAACGAAGAGCCGCAACAGGTCGTCAGGCCTCATAAAGGACGGCTGCCTCTTCTCCGGCCTGATCGTGTTTCTTCCATGCTTCCTCTTCTACTACCTCGTCCTCCACCTACGTTGCTCCATAATCACAAGCAAGCAGACGCTTACGTTGAACATCATGGGCGGTGAGACTGACAAGGTGCGTTTGCTGATGAACAGTTTACGGTCTGCTAGAACGCGTAACAATACTAACACGCCGCCGCAGATCGTCGACGACGAGACTGGCTCTATAGCTAGCTTCGAGGAAGTTGGTTTCAGACGTGTATCGAAGGACAGCCAAGCCTTGGTTGTTAAGCAAGTCTCCGGAAACAAGCCAACAGCAGATATACTCTACGTGTTGCAGTATCTCGGTATCGGCGGCAAGGTCCTTGACAGTAAGCCCTGGTTCCATATCATCTCTCAAGTACTCTTCTAACGTGGACAGCTCGGGAAAGCGTCACTCCCTTCGAAGAGATACCAGATTATGGAAAAGACGGGGACAACACTTCCAAGCACGGCATCAAGTCCATCCTCGAGATCGTGACCAAGGTATCGACCAGAATCAACATCAGGCGCGCACCCCGAAACGGACGTAACAACTGTTATAACGACGGTGACGACTACTATGATTCGGCGTCGTCGGAGAGCGAGGATGATAGTGCCATGAAGCCTGCTAGGGTTGAGCGCACGCAGATGATTATTCACTCAGAATACCTCATCAACGCGCTAAGAGCAGTCGTGGCTTACTATCCCAATGTCAATTTGCTTGGAGACAAGGTTACTATTGAAGCCCCCTATCGCGTCATCGTACACCATCGTGAGGCTCTGAAACGGTACCGTTACCACCAGCCTGGCAACCATTCATCAGAGTATTCTCGCATGACGGTAGAACATATAGATGTGCTCCTCGAATTCATCGAGCAGACGGTGGGGGATTCCATTCGCAAGGAACAAGAACGGCACCAGCGCAGCGTCCCAGTTGCCACTTTTGAAAACTACTGGGTGGCTCTGAAGCCTGGTGAAGTCATCTACGTCAAGCACGACGGCCTTTGGGAGCCACGTGTTATCAGCAAGTTGCTACAGGATGTCTCAACCGACGGACGTAGCCGCCACATGAACGTCGTTTCTTGGTACCTGGAATTTGGCCACAATCGAATTATCCGCACAATGGACCAGATTAATGTCCCTTCATGGACTGGCGAGCAGGTTATTCGCTCGCTGAACGTCATACCTGCGCACTTATTCCCAGATGACCCAGAAACTATGCTCAAGAAGCAGATCAAGTTAGGAAAGCTGTACTGGGACCTGCTGCAGCGGCCGACATACATGGAATACGATGGCTTGCTTGTGCAGTCCCACCCAGGGTTTCGCGGAGGACCCATGTCTCGCGGACCCTCAGGCTATGTATATGCCCTCATTCGCAGCAGTTTTACCTATCACTTGAACTAACAAATCCCAGATGACCGGACGGGTAATTTGTGACGCCGAGGGTTACGAACGACTGAGCATGCGTGCCCCAGAGAACCGACACGCTCCACCACCGATGCATCGAGGAAGACCAGGTCACCCGGTGCCGGTTAACGCACTTCCCCCGCCAAAGGACCACTTGCCTCATTTCCTCCCACGCTGCGGCTGCGAGGAGTGTGCTGCCGAGACTGACCGCACAGACTTCTCACCATTTGCCGACTTCGACGACATCAGCCTCAGGGATTCGTCGGCTCCGACCAATGACATCTTCTACATCGCATGCACCAATATCATTTCAGGCTTCCTCCTTGGTGACCGACGCTGGGGTCATCTGAACCTCGAGCACCTGAAGCCCGTCGTCACCGACCGCGAGGCGTTCAAGTACCTCGTCCTCGACGACGAGATCAAGATGACCGTCAAGGCGCTCATCGGCAAGTTCGCCGCAGCCGACTCCAGCAAAGTCTCGCCTTGGGGCAATGACTTTGTTAAGAACAAGGGCGAGGGTCGCATATTCCTTCTTCACGGCGCCCCCGGCGTCGGCAAGACCTGCACCGCCGAGTGCGTTGCCGAGCTGACCAACCGCCCACTAATCTCTCTGACCTCGGGTGACCTCAGCGTCGACTCGAACGATGTCGAAAACAACCTGTCTTACTTCCTCGACCTGGGTCAGCGCTTCGGCGCCCTGGTCCTCCTCGACGAGGCCGACGTCTACCTCGAGCGCCGCCGCGCCAAGGACATTGCGCGCAACGGCCTCGTCTCCGTCTTCCTCCGCGCGCTCGAGTACTACCGCGGCGTGCTCTTCTTGACAACGAACCGTGTCCAGGCGTTTGACGCGGCCTTCACGTCGCGCATCCACGTCGCGCTGCACTACAAGAACCTGACGGATGTCGACCGCGAGCGCATCTGGGCCAACAACTTTGAGCGCCTGGACAGGGATTCGAACGGGCGCGTGCGAGTCGCCGTCGCTACGAGGGAGTATGCTTACGATTCGCGTGATGTCCGCGCTCTGCGCTGGAACGGTCGTGAGATCCGGAACGCGCTGCAGACTGCGCTGGCGCTTGCTGAGAGCGAGGCTGCCGAGGAGGGAAGCGAGCGGATCTGTGTTACAGACAAGCATCTGCGGGCCGTGGTCAAGATGAGCCGTGGTTTCAGGGACTATCTGCGTAGTGGTAACGTCTATGACGGGGAGAGTGTGCTTGAGGAGAGCGAGGGCGAGGATGAAGAGATTTACTCTGACTGAGAGCCCAAGCATGAGATGCTCTATCTGAGATTGAGGGCTTTTTATTTGCTTCTTTTGTATGGCTTTTTGCTTTTGGGTCACGAGGTGAACGATCAGATTGATGTCAAAGACGTTGGATACTGAGCACTGCTAAAACAGTCTCGACTTGGTGTGAACCGTCACCTATTACGTTTTACAACTGGGGAACATCCACCCCTATCTCCAATCTTCGTATTATTATCTATTTAGTCAAACAATTCTCCTTTAGCCCAGTAATCTTCGATCCAAGTGACGGCCAACACGGTTTAGTTGCCGAGGCATTGATTCTTTGGTTCTTCGAGAAAGGTGTAGACCTATATAAGGTAAGTCTGGCTCTTGGAACAGAACCCTCTTGAGTACCAATCAGACAATAGAGTTTATGGGCTTGTCGAGCAGCTCTAACGTGTTGTCACAATGTTGAATGAGCCGCTCGTTCTTCACTGTCTCACCTTGTTCTTGAGACTCCGATCCCAATGGGCCCCTTTTGTTTCATGCCCTTAAGCCCCTCACTATTGATTATCGTGTCATCCGTACCACGCTTGTTGCATTGAACAATTTCCTCCATCTCGGATTGTCTTGTGTCTTTGAAACACTGTCATCTCCTATTGGCGTTGCTGACCCGACGTGATGTTCTGTGAGCTTTCTAATGCCCCATAAATTTTATGTTTCTTTCTTCCGTTTTCTTCTTCTTTGAGAACAGTCGGGGGAGTCCAAACTCCTTTGAAGATATTGAAGTTTTCTCACAATTCCTGCTGTCTGAGTAGTTTTGCCATCTAAGCGAATATGTCAACACCCTTGACTGCCTTCAAGTGAATCGTTGATGGCTTAAAGGCTTGAATAGAGCGCTTTGATACGTCTACATTCTCATTCAGGAATTCTGAAGACCGAAGAGGCTCGAAAGATGCATCATATGATGGATAGTGTCCGATTTGTATTGCTGATGTCGACAGATGGAGCTCACAGCCGGGAATCTCTGAGCTTTGCTTGTTTCCCCATCGAAGCCACCTCACATGCTGGGAGTGCGTTTTCGGATGACCGATGTATACCACTGAGTTCTTCGTGTCTTGTACGAAATATTCCCAAAATGGAAGGCTCTGTCATCTTTGACTAAGACGGATGCGAAGAGGGTGAAGCTAAGACAATCACGCTCCCCGACCATCAGCGTCGCCAAGCGAATCACAAGTAGATGCATGACACGAACCAGCAAGCAATGTATAGTTGAGAACAGTAAGCAAATAAGAATCTTGACGTTGTACAGAACGTTTCTCTAAAATGATAGAAAATACCCATAGCGAAATCTTTGACCGAGATCGTGGGATTGCGTGCTCGGGACTTTAACGAAAATCACAAGGGTCACAACAACTCTGTAAGCCGACGAGTGTAGCTGCGGAGCTGTGTAGCACGCAACAATGTGAGATGAGCATGTAGTATCATTCCGAGGTAATGGCTTGATAGATGGCTGTTCACAGTCGAACAGGGGTCGCCTTGAAACGTGAGGAGAATAAGTCAGCCGGCAATTGGCCAAACCCTTCTTGCAAAGTGGTGGACTTGACATGGCTGTGGTTGGCTAGTTAGGTTGCGACCGCGTTCAGCTCTGATATATAACACTTTATTATACGTAGGATCGAAACTTGTGAAACCAATCGCAACAAATTTTGTTGTGCCATAGGAGAAGTGGCAGGATGCAGGGCGAACGTCGCGCACCCTTGTTTCAGCGAAACAGGCTCCAACTGTCCCAACTGGAGAACATAACTGGACAACATTTGTGATTTGGCAGTCGTCCGAAAGGCCGAACCAAATTTTGTCGAGCGGCCTAGTAGCATCGCCGAATCAAACAAAACTACTCAGCCCCCTCGTTTTGTAATCGAACCAAACGAGACTGTCTTTGCGAGCAAGTCAAACCGCTGCTCAAGGCGCAATATTCCCCATCACTTTCTCCTCGCCAGATTCATGTGGGATCCGAGGTGTTCGTGATGGTTCGTATACTTGATAGAGATGGGATAAGAGGTCGTCGTCTTGGCACGACGGCCCGAGAAAACAAGCATATTAAATAAAGTTGTGCCCCATGGTGATCCCACTTGATGTATCCACCGTTCTCTTCATCTATACTCTGTCTCTCCTTGCCGTCGTTGGTGCGATGAGTCGTTCACTTACACGTAGGCCCTATTGGGCCCTGGCTGGCTTGATGGCGGTGGCCATCGCGGCACCGGCACCAGCACCAATACCAATACCGGCACCTAATCCAGTGGCTCTAGCAGCTCCTGGCCCTCTTCCGGAACCACTAAGCCTCAACGACCTGAATCCTATCCCGCTCTTTGCTCCAGTTGTGCAGGACCAACTGGCCAACTTGGCGTCCCAGCTGGCCAGCACAACACCAACGAGCACGCCAAAAGATATCCCCGACGCCGTGGCGACTCTCAAGGGAATCCTCGGTCCCCAGCCCACAGGCCTTTTGACCAACGGCTTGTCATTCTTGCAGCAGGGCCTGCAGGTCAGCGGTACGAAAGGCAAGACGATCAATAGCCCTGACCCGCCGGGTCAGATCAACTCGTTCAACCAGACCAACCCCCAGCCGTCGAAGGTCCTGTTCCCCAAGGCCGATGCCGCCGACCCGCCCTTCCAGAAGTCCGAGCAAGAGCTTAGGTCTGCGATCTTCATACCGACCAACTTTGTCAAGGGAAACAACCCCGTACTGTTAGTCCCTGGGACAGGTGCTTATGGCGGATCAACATATGAAGGAAATATGATCAAGATCATGGCCCAGGATCCGTCCATTGGGCAGGCGGCGTGGGTGAACGTGCCCTTGGCCATGCTCGACGACGTACAGACGAACGCGGAACACATTGCCTACGCAATCAATTACATGGCCGACATGACAGGTCAAAAGGTCGCGGTTGTGGGCTGGTCACAGGGCAACCTAGCCACGCAATGGGCGCTGAAACACTGGTCATCAACTCGGGCCAACACGAAGCAGCTGGTCAGCTTCTCGCCCGACTTTCACGGCACCACCATCGCGGCGCTGACCGACTTCCCCATCATCAGCTCCATTCCCGTTGGCCCCTCGCTGATCCAACAAAAGTACGACTCGAACCTGGTCAAGACGCTGCGCGCCGACGACGGAGACTCGGCATACGTGCCCACGACAACCATCTACAGCTCTTCTTTCGACGAGATCGTGCAACCCCAGGCGGGCGAAGGCGCATCGGCCTTCTTGAAAGATGCACGCAAAGTCGGCGTCTTCAATGCCGAGCTCCAGAGGGTGTGTCCCAACACGCCGGCGGGCGATTTCGGTACGCACGAGAGCGTCATGTTCAATGGGCTGGCCACGGCCTTGGTCATCGATGCTCTGAAGAATGGCGGGCCGGCGGACCCCGGTCGGCTGGACCTCAAGACCGTGTGCCAGCAGTTGGCTCATCCGGCCCTTAATGTCACTGATGTTCAGCTGACCGAGGGCACCATCCCGTTGGCCGCGCTCAACGTCGTCGAATTTAAAAAGGGCGTCACCGATGAGCCGCCGATCCGGGATTATGCTGCCAAGAAGCGCAATTGAAGTTGATAGTCACCGTCTGGAACGCTTGACGAATTATCGAATTTGTTTTTAACTCGAGCCACATTTGTTTACCTGCGCGCTACTTTATGACATTGTGTTTAGCTTTTAAATAACTGGGAAGGGTATGAAGTTGGTAGAGAAATTAATGGACAGGTTTTGCGTCTAGTTTCGTGGGCTACAGAGTCGCCCATTACTTACCCCTCGAAAACACTCAAAGTCGATGATCCAGGGCTTCATATGTGTGATTTGACCCCATAGCTATTGCCATAGGCTCTTTACGGTCTCAGAATTTAGTCCTTAAACGATAAGCTGGCCCCTTAGCTGCTAGTTCTGAACTCGAGTTCTTATTTTCAGCTTACAGTTATGCTTATCAATATGTCATGCAGGAGAAGCTTACTAGCGAGCAAGAACGTAGCTTTTGGGTGGAAATGAGCTTTTTTGTAATCCCAGGGCGTGATTGGTAACTCCAGGAAGACTACAAATTCCCTAAACAATTAACTAGAAACTGATGTTGTGATTAATTGTACCTGTTTGGGCAGATTTCTTTTTATGATTTTAGTTTGGCCTTGCTGATCCTTGAGTTATGCCAATTTGCCTTACACCATAATTAGTTATGCCTACTCGGCTGCTAAATTATTTAAGTTTTCTACTAGAAGTTTATTTCCCTATACAAAAAGTCAGTATTGTTGAAGGGTCTCTTAGAAGACTAGTCATCTCGAGTGGTGATTTCATTAGAAATATTTACAGCTAGTCTAAGATGACTAGGTCTGACGCTGTACAACTTACAGACAGGCCCTCCGCGTATGTGCCGAGTGCTTCTCTCACGGCCATCTCAATCTTCTTCCGTCACGGTCCCTTTTGTGCTCTACGGCCGATCGTTGTATTGATAGTCGAGGTCATCTAGCGATGAGAAGTCTTTCCGCAGCTTCGGCTCGGGCGCCGGCGTCTTACGGCGCTCGAAATCATCGTCAGATGAGTACAACAGGCCGCTTTGCCTCCTCGTATCGTCCGTCGCGCTAATGTGTGTCGCCCACTTCGCCAGATGCCACTGCATGCCGTTGTTGAGCAGGTCGCCGGGCGGGATGTCCCAAAGTTCCCAATGCGGTTCATCGGGCTCGTTGTAGATACCCTTCGGCATGACGGCACGCTCACTGTACGACGGTTCCTTGTTGGGCCGCAGGTATGACCTGCTCCAGCAGCCCTCGGCGCCGGGTCTGTTGAACGATTTGGGACCGTGGAAGAGTCTGACCTTTTCCTCGGCCGCGCGCCGCTCGACGGTCTCGCAGTAATGAGGGTTTGTGCTCTGGCACGCGACCTCCCACTGCCATTGCGACGGCTTGACCTCGGACTGAAGCTCGTCAAACAGCTCCTGGTAGTGTCCAACGATGCAAGCGAGCGTAACCTGGTGCTTGAAGTCGGGGCGTCTCCACGCGAACTCCCGCAGCGTGTTCTCGTGGGGTATGTGAGGCCACCAGAAGATAGCGGGGAGCTCGTCGCCGTCGGTTTCAGTGTTGATACGAGAGAGGTCGTTATTCATGATGAAGCGCGCGTGTACAGCCTGTCGGACGTACAAAGCCTCGTCCTTGTCAAATGTGTCGTCTAAGCACGCGTCCAGCCACCTCGCAAAGGGCGTGTGGTGGTGGGCGCCCCGTATTACGGCCGAGAGCTCGTTTGGGACAGTCTTTGGGCGCCGCAGGCGTTGATAACGGTCTGCATTGCCATCCCAGGCGGCCGCAACAATGAGAGCGTCTTTGTTTATCGTGGGGAGATCTCGCGGCAGAAGATTCCACAGCAGATCAACGAATTCGTCCTCTAGCCTTGTCCTCTGAGGATCCGATTCGAAGTAGTTGATATGAGCGTCTTCTTGGATATCGAAGTAGTGCTCTTCATAGCTTTGCAAACTAATGCCTTCATAGAAGAAAGGACGCTGGGATATTTTCTGGCTTTCAGGCGAGAGCTCGTGAGCAGGGCGGGTGCCGGAGAGCGTTGATCGGACGGCTGTGTCGCCGTTGAGAAACCCAGGTCGAGGGGATTCGAGGTTGACTGTGCGTGTGTAATCATTCATGACGGCATATCTTGTGTCCTGGCTGACGATAGCCTCATAGATGGCGGTATGGCCGTTATCCCGAGCCTCTTCTGCGATGGAGATATCAGGCAGCAATCTAAGCTCTTTATGCAAGGTAGCATAACCTGCAACGGCACAAGCGCGTCCAATTTGATAACGCATGTCTGGGTAGCGTCGGGCAAGCTCCCGGTACGTCTCCTCACTAGCAACATCGGGATACCAAATGCAGTAAGGCTTAACCGAGGCGTTAGGCATGTCTGGTATCGTGTTGCTCATGATTAAACGGGCGTTGCGGGCCCTGTCAAACACTTCGGCGTCGTAGTCCGAAGAGCAAAGCTTGGCTACTTCTGGCGATCTGGCGAAATGATCGTGATGCCGGATTCCGTGAACGATATATCGCCGTGCGTCATGCCCAACGCTGTCTGGCACCAACTTTCCATTGAAAGCAGCGACAAGCTGTCGGTCACTTTCTCTGGCAAGGTTTTCAAGGTGTTGGCGTTCAGGGGACTTGTGGTAATGGCGAGAAACTGGTTGTTTAAACCAAGCATCATTGAGGGCTACAATTCCCCAATGTTGTGGGGTGCAGTAGGAAGACACGGTGTGACGAGTAGTAGTACGTCTCAGCAATCCGGAGTGACGGTGAAGACCGAAAAGCATTCTGCTTGTCTTTGCCGCAACGTGAATGCGGCCAGACCGAGGAAACCTAGTAATGTGAAGGTTGCGAGTACGAGAGATGGATTGAGACGAGATTGAGCCAGAGGGTCTCAGAAGAGGTCGTTGTACTCGTACATATATAGTAAGTCTAGAGTATTTGATCAGATACGGCAATCTTCCTCCGAACTGGGGCAAGCAAGGGTACTTGAAGGGCTGCTGCCGGCAGCCGATCCGGCGTCGAGCGCAGAACAGACGCACCATGTTGTGCTCTGGGGACCCCTGTGCAGCGGGAAACCAAAGAACCAGTTCGGTTCTCCACCGAGATTGGTGCAAGGGTCCCAGCTCCACAACATGGGAGCTTGGAGACATGAACCAACTAATTATGCATTTCAGGCGTCCGTGTTGGTTGTTGCTATTTGCCAGAGAACAGGGCAAATCATGTCTGCTTGTTCGCTGCTGACTCTGTCACACACCGCATGAAATCAGACACGCGTTGCTCTGTCCTGTACAATTCGCTATATCACAGACCCAACCACGAGTATCAAACATCCTCAACTATCACCTCTTTTTACACATCACTGCTATAAAGTACCATTTCCCACTCAGTTGCGTCACCCCCGGGAAGGCTTCCCATACTACTTCACCTTAGCCTATTAGATGTAGGCTTTAATCCTAGTCCTCTAGAAAACAACAAGAGAACTCCATGTCGTGAGTCACTAAGGGAGAGTCATAGGATTGGTAGTGTGCGCGACAGCCACGGGTGAATCATGATGAACCAAGTTTGGCAAAACAGCCAGCTACAATCTGCGCAGCCACTTTGCCTAAAACGAATAGCCGTTTGATGAAGCTGAGTCTAGTCAGAATCCTACAGGACCAGGAATCATATTCTCGTCAAGCCCTTTATGGATTGAAGGTATTGTTCAGCTTTACTAGTAGCTGTGATGCGTATATCCCGGTTTCCTGTGATAAGCTTTCACCTTACGTGGTTCTGGATTGGCTATTAACGAGCAACAACTGGCACCTCAATCACCAGTCAAGGCTGGATGTCCTCAAGGCAGAATCTAAACTACTGACAGTCTAGGCACCTTTGTAGGTAACCTGTCCCTGTAAATCCAGGCTTCACGAGATGGATCTCTTAATGATGGCGTGATGTTTCACGACAATGTTGGGAATTCATTGTCTGTATATCGCCCTACTGTTCATATTTGTCATAAGTCTATCCTTCGATGAGGCCGTTCAATTTGTTGACAGATCTAGCATCGAGAAACCGCACAAGATACGTTTCAGCTCTCGAGACAAATCTTTGGTGCATCACTCTTTAAAGACAGAGAGTCCTGTCGTCTCCTAAGTTCTCCATAATCAGCAACGCACGCGACTTTATCCAGTGGTTGGGAAGGTCAAACGATCTCAGTTGGTTATATTCCCTCTGCCAAATGGGACATGCTCTAAGCAGCCCCGGCTTTTGTGCCACTTTTTGTATATCTTTTTACGCATATAAAGGTCCGAGCGAAACAAGGACAAGACGCCAACAATAATACAACGAACCAAAAATAAATAACAACAACACATTGCAACACATGGGAGATTATGCATCTCGGAAAATCCACCACGTCTCTATCATTCTGGGTATCCCAAGAGGCGTCCCCCCAGTCATCTCTAACCAAAGATGATGTTCTTGAGCTTCTCCTTCTCGCCGCTCTCCTCGCACATGCCCCTGAAGACGCCGCCGTCCTTCTCCCACAGCTCTTGGGGGCTGCCGTACTCGGCGACGGCGCCGTCGCTGAGGACCAGGATGCGGTCAAAGTCGGCAATTGTGCTCAGGCGGTGGGCGATGACGATGAGCGTCGAGTCGTTGAACTCCTCGCGGATGGACCGCTGAATCAGCGCGTCGGTCGCCATGTCGACGGCCGACGTCGCCTCGTCGAGGACCATGACCTTGGGCCGCGAGACGATGGCGCGCGCGAGGCAGAGCAGCTGGCGCTGGCCCTGCGAGAGGTTCCCGCCGCCCTCGGAGATGGGGGAGTTGAGGCTGCGGAAGACGTTGGTGTTCTTCTGCGTCGCGTCGAGCGAGGGCGTCTCGCTGGTGTCGTTGGCGGCGGCGGAGCTGGACGGCTCGCCGGGCGTCGACGGGCTCGACTCCACCAGGTGCACGCGCTGCAGAGAGTCGCGGAGATCGGCGTCGGTCTGGTTGTCAAAGGGGTCAAGGTTGGAGCGCACGGTGCCGGAGAAGAGGACGGGGTCCTGCGGGATGATGGCGAGGCGGGAGCGCAGCTCGTGGAGCTTGACCTTGGAGATGTCGAGGCCGTCGACGTGGATGCTTCCCGAGCGGGCCTCGAGGAAGCGGAAGAGGGCGAGGGTCAGCGAGGACTTGCCGGCGCCCGTGCGGCCGACGACGCCGACGCGCTCGTTCCGGTTGACGCTAAAGGACAGGCCCTTGAGGACGGGAGAGAGGTCCTCGGCGTAGCTGACCACAAGGTCCTTGACCTCCAGACGGCCCTCGGTGGGCCACGTCGCGGGGGGCTCGATGCCGCCCTGGTCTTCGGTCTTGAGGTCCGAGTACTCGACGACGCGCTCTGCGGCGTTCATGTCGAGCTCAATGTTGGCGTAGTGGCGGATGGACCAGACGATGGCTTGCGAGAACTCGAGCGCGAAGGAGAGGGTGAAACCGGCGAGCGCGGCGTCCATGGAGGGGCTGCCGAGGACGACGAAGCCGACGGCCGTGGAGAACAGGGCACCGATGAGGGACATGCGCCAGCCCATCCAGCGGTTGAACAGCCACAGGTGCCAGGAGGCCATGCCGTAGTCGTCAAGGCGGGAGTACATGGAGTCGATGTAGACCTGGGCCTTGTCAGCGCCGCGGATGGTCATCATGCCGACGAGCGTGGAGCCGAAGAGGTCGAAGATGGGCGACTTGGTCGTGCTCTCAAGGCGCTTGGCGGGTCTGGCGCCGGCGAGGTAGCGCATGGCGATCCAGACGGCGATGAGCAGTAGGACACAGGCCAGCGGAATGATGAGCGGGGAGACGTAGAAGGCGGTGATGCAGATTCCGAGGACGCTGAGGATGGCACCGAAGACGCCCGAGAGATCCATACCGAGGCGGTTGTCAATGACGTTGAAGTCCGCGGTGAAGCGGTTGAGGACTCGGCCGGTGGGGACGGTGTCGAGCCAGCGGAGCGGGGTGCGGAGGACGGTGCGGGTGATGCCCTCGAACATGCTGCGACTGGCCTTGTAGCTCATGACGAAGAAGTAGAAGAAGCGACCGGTGCCGAGGATGGCGGAGAAGGCGGAGATGCCGACGTAAACACTCAGGTAGAACAAAGTGTTCTTGTCCATGGTGATGTTGACGGTGCTGGACGGTACGTGGAGTTCGCTATGCTGGAGAGTGAGGGCGTAGGCGTATTGATGCTGGGATTCCTGATAAGAGGAGGCGCTGATGGATTCCTCGGACTGACCGGTCCAGATACGAAGCCACCATGATCGTCCTGTGAACATGTTAATACGAAACCCAAGAAAGTCTGGGACGATATCAAGACTAACCAATGACAACGAACTGGTAGATGACAAAGAGGGCGAAACCAAAGCCCCACCAGGGCCAGCCACCACTCTGGCTCAGGTACGCAGCGTAGACGTGCTTCTTGATGGAACCCTTTTCACGAGCCTCATCCTCGACGAACTGACGGGCAGCCTTTGACGGAATCTTCTTCAGGACGCCACCATCTCCGTTGAGCTCAGCGACTTCGGGAGCCTCAATGTCAGATGCCTGCTCCGAGTTGACAGCAGTAGCATCCTCATCAGCAGTCTCCTGGGAGGACTGCTCGTGGCTCTTGATCAGCTGCAGCGTTCCATCCTCGGTAAGCTCGGACATGAAACCAGAGTGTTGGACTGTGCCGTCGCCGAGCTCAACGAGGAACTTGGTCTTGGGCTCGCAGAGCGCAACGTGGTGGGTGACCAGAATGCGGGTTCGGCCCTGGCAAAGCTCGCCAGTAAGGCACTTCTCGTAAATGTGGCGGCCGACGTGGGCGTCGACGGCGCTGAAGATGTCGTCGAGGACGAGGATGCCGGCGCGCGAGTAAATGGCCCGGGCGAGGGTGAGACGCCACTTCTGACCACCGCTGAGGTTGATACCGTTGGCTCCCAGCTCGGTCTTGTCGCCGTCGGTGAGCATTTCCAGATCCTTCTTGAGGGCGCAGACCTCGATGGTTTTGTTGTAGCGCTCCTCGTCAAGGGGAAGACCGAAGAGGATGTTGCTCTTCAAGGTAGCGTTCTCAATCCAGGGGATCTGGCCGACGAACGAGATGCTGCTGGGGATGATCCAGTTGCCACGGTTGGCCTTGTCGTCGTTCCGCTCGTGGATCGCGGGAGGCTTGGGTGCGTAGATCTTGCCGGACAGGAGATCGGACTCTCCGAGAATAGCTGCCAGCAACAAACTCTTGCCTGTGCCAGTCTTGCCAGAAATGACGGACAGCTCACCAGCGGGGAAGGTGACGTTGACGTTGCGCAGAATGAACCTGTCCTCCTCCTTGGTTTCCTCGTCAACGGGCCAGGCGACGGTGGCGTTCTCGAAAGCGACATCGGGACCATCCGTGACGGTCTTGGTCTTCTCGGGTCCGTTCAGGTAGTCCTGAATTCTCTTCACGGAGATGTTGGCGTCGATGACGTCGGTGATGAGCTCGGGGATGACGGCCAGGGTGACCTCGAGGTTCTTGAAGACACCGATACTGACAAAAGCAACCGACGGGATCAAGGTGCCGTTGATGAAGGAATAAACGGCGAGGGAGACAGCGGCCAAGACGATAGGACTGGTGATCCACATGCCAAAAAGCACAGTGTCGCCCTTGAAGACCTGCCATAGCGCGCCAAGCTCCTTCTCGCGCATGTCGAGAATTCGCTTCTCCCACTGGGGCTCAAGCGCGGAGAACTTGATCTGGCGCATACCCACAAGAGCCTCGTTCACAACGGCAAGCTTCTGGTCACGGATCTTCATCAACTTGTCCTGCGCCTTGGAGTAGACCTTGGCGTACGTGAAGTTGATGGGGAGAAGGATGCCCCACGCGAGAAGTCCGGCACAGAGGGGACCCCAGCCGAGCAGGTAGACGAGAAACCAGATGGCAACGATCAACTTGGCAGTGCTGGAGGGGAAAAGGAACTGGAAGGCAGAGAAGTCAGAGATGCGCTTGGCGTCAACGCCGAGCAGGTTGATGATGGCCTGCTTCGACTTGAGGACGCTGTCGTCCTCGGCCTCTTCCTCTTCGTCGTCCTTGGACTTCTTGTCGTCCTTTCCGTTGGCCTCTTCCTCCTTCGGCTCGGCTTCCTGCTTGGAGGCTGCCTTGACGTTCTTCCTGCGCATGGACTTCTCAAAGATAAGAGCAGACAGGGCGCCGCGGAGGGGGATGCACAGCTCGGCCCACGACAGCCAGAACATGGTCGCCTCAGCCCAAGCGTCGGCCAAGATGGCGAGGCCGAGCCAGAATACCAGGATCCAGATGTCGAAGGGGAGCTCGTCGCCGGGGTGTCTACGCTGGAGGGCCTCGAGGATCTGCAGAGTGATCCACGAAGGGGCGAAGCTCAAGAATGCCTTGGAGATGGCGATGGACCATTGCACGAACAAAGGCACACGGTAGGCCCAGACGATGGCCCACCACAGGTTCAAGTCGGACTTGAAGTTGTACGACTTCCACGCCGCAGCCGAGTCCTCAGATCTGGTCCAATGGTCGGGCTTAGGGAGGTCGGACGCATCGAGATCCTTCTTCTTGGTGGCCAGATCAATGATCTCGCTACACCAGCCCCAAGTAAAGCGGGTGTAAGCGGGTACCGTCCTGAGGCGGTCCACGACCTTGCCTTCAAAGTAGACATCAGGTCTTCTGGGCAAAGCAACGCCGGTTATCACAAGGCCGAAGGTAAGGACTAGACTTGCGATTTTGAGACCGAACGAGGCGGGGTCGTTCTTCAGGAGATGCTCGAAAACCGCCGTGTTCTGAAGAATCTGGATAGCGGCGAAGACTAAGCCGGAGAACCACACCGAAATGCCCAGGTTATAAGCGTGGACGGAGTCGTTAGTTGCGGCGATGCCCACGGCCTGAAGAGCCAATAGAGCCTAGTTCATGTCAGCCTTTTAACCAAGAGACGAAGTCGCAACGGGTCGATGGCATACCCAAATACCGGTCGCAAGCCATTCCGCAACGAACAGACTGTCGAACTTGCCAGTGTCAAGTGAGAGCGTAGCCAGTGTGGAGTTGGCTATCGACACAGCCAGCCCCAGGAAGCCGAACAGGAAGATGAAGGTTTTGGGCCAGCGGTTGGAGAAGGCGGCCGAAGACTCGGCGGTGCTCTTTCCATCCTTGTCCTCGTAAAAGTTATCCTTGGGTTTGCGGGTTCGAAGTTGCTTGACAAGCCCTACGAGAGCCGGAACTGAGGCGAGAGCGACGACGCCCAGCGCAGCTCCGACCTCGATCAACAGGGTCGTTTCATTCGGCATGATGGAGCCCGAAAAGTTGGCGGTGTGGCCCGTGTTCGGCTTTCCTCAGGGTCGAGTTGTGGGAACGAGAGGTGGCCGCTGTTTGGCGGGAAAAGACTTGTTTTTTATTTTTTCACGGCGGCTCACAATGCCTTTTGGGTGCGACGGCTCAAAAAGTGAGAGCTGGTCGAGGTCCACAATGAGGCCGGGTTGGTTTGTAAGCTGCTCCCCGTTCAGGGCGAAGTGCCAATTCGGCAAAGTGTCTCCGGCTTCTCTGAATCCCAGATCAGGTAGCTCGAGTAAGGACACCCTCGCTAAACCGAAAACCCACGCGTTGACGTTGGTCACGACTCTGTTGGGTCTACTGGACGTGTCTCGGTTTCACCGTCAAAAGAAGCTCGGGGATGGCTCGAGTCGAGATTCCGGCGGTTCGAATGGCCTCGAAAACGAATTTCGGAGGCAGTGAGAACAGGCCGTCGGCTCAATGGGCGCCGAAGCGGAGCCGATAGGTGGGCGTCCGTCTCAAAGTCTTCGTTTCGTGACGTCGCACCTGTCGCGCCTATGTTCGCCTTCAACTCCAAAGCAAAGGGCGCGGCGGGTTCGGTGCGGTCGGGAGGCGGGCACGGGTGCGGTAGCCAGGAATTGGAGACACGCAGACACGGGACGGAGGTGAGAAACGGGCGGGATTGGAGAAGGGGGGGAACAAGAGAGAGCGGCGAACGGGCGAGCCAAGACAATCGCCGGGAAAGCCTCAGGATTTAAAAGAAGAAAGGTAATGGGGACCAGGAACCAGCTTTTCGAAAAGACGAGGAAGGCGCTTACGGGCGGCGGATACCGACCAATTCCTCTTATTATCTCTCACTCTCTCTTTCTCTCTCAGAAGCTTACCAACGTTACTAGGTTGCTACCAAGTACCAGGCGGATAGAGACTCTGAACGGCCTTGTCATTGCGGAATGACTGACACGATTGGCTAATCAGCAGATAGCTTGCAGCTTTGATCTATCGCTGCTTGCAGACGGGGGCCCCGTCCTATCATCCATGCTCATTGCTGCTCCATGCCGCCTTTTTAGTGACTAGGATCAACTTTCTGCATTGGAACCCACCCCCCCCCCCCCTCCAGCCCCATCCCACTGCATCCCAGGGTTCGTCCAACACCATGTCCTGCTCCATCTCACGTCTCACGCCTTTTGGTCTCTACCGAACATAATACGGTATCATGCCTAGCACTATTCCCCCACTTTGCAACGCAGTCCAAGAAGCATCTTCCTCATTCGTCGTCGTCGACACGTCGTCTCGGGTCGCCGACCTGCATCGCTCTGCCGCGCCTGTGCAGGTTATCCGACATTGGCACCCCGGACTTGTGACTCTGCAGCCTGGAAGCCCCAGGCAACCAACGCAACGCCGTCGATGATGACATATACCCGAAGACGACGACGATCGGTTCGTTGCTGGCCGGCCGGCCGGTTGGCTTAGCTTCTGTCCGCGCCGTACGAGACACGACACGAAATGAAACGAAACGAGACGACTCGGCATATCTGGCGCTCGATCACGGTCACATCATCACCAGCATCCAAATCCATGAACAACGCGCAGCCCCGTGCCGCCAGGCGACGGTGGTTGGCCGAGGCTTCGTTGGTCGACTGTGGCTGGCCGTTTGACTCACCGGCGGGTAGGGGAAAAGGGTAAAAAATCCCAAGCGATGCCGAATGGAGGGTGGCAGGTGGGTTTTTACTTGGCAGAAGTTCCTCTCGAGACCCTTGATGCGTGATACGGGGGTGGTAGGGATGGCACCTCTTTGCGTCTCTGGAGAGTGTACAGCTAGGCATTGGTGGGAGGTTGGACAAGATAGAGGGAGATTGACGCAAAGGACAAAAAGACCTGCATGGATGATGGAGGGGAGGTTTCCGCCCGAGGGGGCCATGCTAGCGCTCTAACCCCCATGCAGTCATCCTGCACTAACATGGCCTAAGAATGCGCAGCGCACGCCTGCAACCCGCAACAGCGCTCAACCACCCGCCCCCCATGACGCTTCCGACTCGCTGGGTGACACCCTGGCGTGAACCCCGTGCTTTGCCATCGCAGAGTGAGTGAGTGATTCGTGGACCGAGTCACAGCAACGCGTTGTTCTCTGCCTTCTACCTCGAGGGGATTTCGACCAGGAAACCTGCCCTGGTATGAGGCCAATTGATAACGAACCCAGGCGCCCGACCGAGCAAAGGTCCAGAACCCCCTCCCCTTCGCCTCCCCCGCCATGCCTGCCGGCTAACCGGCCGGTTCGTCAGAGGTGAGTCCGAGGAAAGACTCATAGGCCAGTCATATGCTGAATCAGGAAGGAGAGTCTGTTTGAAGTGTGGGAGGCTCTAGGTAATTTGCGCGAACCGGGGGACCGGTGACTGCGCCGCAGCATATCATCGAGAGAACCCGGAATGGGCGGTCAGACTAGCAAAAATCGCAGGCAAACCGCTGACCTGCTCATTTTGTCCATTCTCTTGGGGCCAGTTCGGGCTTACTAACATGGCCAAGCCAGCCAGCCGATGGAGAGGGGACCGTTTGTCCCGCTCCCACCCTCTCTCCCGCCCTCCCCCGCCCGTTGCTGACGCTCTGCAGACTGCAGCCGGTGGCCCTTCTTGGCGGCCCGCGTGGGATTGTTTGCATCCAGATTCTCGACTTCACCAGTGTCCCTTCCTTTTGGCTTTAAATTGCGTTGGGAGCCTCGACCCCATTCGTGCTGACCACCAACTCTGCCACGGCCGCAGAGATTATCTACTATCAGCAGTCATGCCGACTAGGGGATTCCTTGGTGCTGGCGGAAAACCTTGAAAAAGTCCTTTGAAAAAGGCCTGCAGTGTCCTATCTCATTCACCTTGCCTTACCTTACCCTCGAACACCTGCCACAACGAGGTGCAGGTGTTTAGGCAGCTGCTGACACACCATCCCGTTTCGCCGGGCATTTGATAGTTGGCACCAAGGTAATTGGATGTTTGGCAACATATTGCCATCTTGTTTAATGTCTCTTTTGCCGCGGCGATAATCATCAGAAGGATTGCCGCCGCAACAAGGCCGCGAGAGAGCGTCACATCAAAGTACTGTGCCGCGGGATACCACCATCCCCTTCCGTGTTGATGGGCACTTCGACCCCAAAAAAACTTTATCAGCAGATACATGAGGTCTCTAGTATCTTGTTGATTGTTTACTAATTCGTATGAAGAAGAATTGCCTTTGGGGAGATGCAGCCATCCTCGGCGTTGCTGCCTTGACAGGCAACAGTGACACCATCTCGATGGTTGGTAGCCACGTTCGTCACATCGACTCCAGCTGCTTCGCGAGGTCTTGACTCTCTGCCTTGAAGGCACCAGCCGACGTAGTTGCTCTTGACTTTTGGGCTGTTCAACCTATGGGTCGTGCCCAGTCTCGCACAAGAAGCACGGTATTCATGTTTCGAAACGAACCGTCGGGCAGCATAAGACGGGCGTTCCATTTGCTCACCTCGCGCTGCCGGTCCAACGTGAGTCACATCATAAATATGAATCAACAGCCGAGAATCATCCCTCCAGACACCCAATGTAGCTTCCTGGTGTCGAGCTTGAGGCCGGCTATTGCGTCTAGGCACGCGCTAGCGAGCAAGACGGTCGGGCGGTAGTCGCCGAGGCACTTGTTTTATTAATGGCCCTGAATAACGAACTGAAGAAGCGGCAGATGAGGACGCCCGACGCGGTGTGACGGCTCACTGGTCACAATTGAGGCTCCTTGGTCGTCTGTGATTGGGCCATTGGCTCCGAGACCTGTCGTGCTGCGTTGCTCACCGCCAACGTCTGGCGGGCTGTGGGCGAGGAACCTGCTGCGGACGAGCAAAGACAGTAAGCAAAAAGCCCCAAGGACGGCGGCAGGAGGCTAGAGTCGCGAAGACGAGACAACTATGGGAGGGAACTTCATCCTGACTCGATCGAAGGTGATCGGACGGTCTATTGATGAGAATGGAGGGGGTTGACTCGGCGCGGCCGGTTAAGTGCGGCTCGAGACGACAGTCGTGGAGGGCTGAAGGCTGGCAAGACCTTGTTGATTCATCGGATTTCGCAAGATCTTCCCGGGAAGCTTTCCACCAGAGCATCGACTGGCACAGCGAAAACTCAAGCCAGTTGGGTAGGATAGCCAGTGTCGGCCGGCCCGTCGACGGTTCGATTGGGGGTCGTACATGTTATAAGGTGATGGGAGTAGCACACGACACAGCAGCACAGCAGCACAGCAGCTTGAGACACGCTTAGTGAGGTGTTTCCGAGTCGTGCGCACAGCCATTCATGGCAAACCATGGGGTCCAGGTATGGATATGAGCTGGATAAAGCTGGTTTGGCCCGAACTCCCACCTAGAGTGGGATGGGAGAGTCGGGGATGGAGGGAGGGCTAGGCGATGCGCAAGAACGGCCAGGGCCAAAAGATGGGGACAGGAGCGGAGCTTCCCATCAGCAAATTCGGACTGCGCGTGCACTTATCTATTGGCGGGGCGCATCAGCCCTGTAGCAACCGCCACCTCTGTCGTGGCCGACACAAGCGTCCATCGGATCCTTAGAGTTGTGTCGAGTAAGATGAGACTGCGCTTCTGCTTGGCTGTTCAGTGGTGGTGTACGGGAATGGATCCATGCAGGCAGTGCAGGGGCCGAAGGGTCGATGAAAGGCTGGATCTCGTCGGCCAAAGGAGAAAGATATCAATAACAGACTGCAAAGGCGCCCAGGAGAGATGGATGAGACGAGGCCATGGGCGGCAGCATGCCGGAGCAGGGTCGCCTTGAAACTATTTCAAACGCAGAAGGAAAGGGGGGAAAACGTCGGCAGAAGCTCGGAGACGTTGATTCCAACGGCACCCTCAACTTCTCTTCCATTCCAAGCGGGAAGAAGGATTCGGTTCGGCGTGTTGCGCTGACTGCTTCAAGCCGCCGCCCACGAGTACGTCGATCCACAACTCACAGTGGGCATCGAATCGAACAGATTCCCATGCAGCTTGGCCAATTACAGCCAATGACGGCCAATAGAGGCGACTGCAAACAGGTTGCTGGTGCTGTTGATCAAAGACCACCGTTTCTCGTTGACGAGCACGCAGACATAGAACACGGGCTTCGTTTCCAGCTCTGCATCAGGTTCATTAAAAAGGGGGGGGAAGAGTGAAAAGGCAGTTTTGGCTCAGATGAGCCCCAAGAAAGACAGGGTCGAGCAAAATGCCAATTGCAAGTGAGAAAAAGGTGAGATTCAGCGTTTCCATTCCATGGCTTTAGGTTCCAGTTACTACTGCCCTTTAGCAAACGGCTGTAGCCAACCAAGCGAGGCTTTACGACCAGATCTGCGGGCTGCTGGCCTCTGGCTTTAGGCGGCGGAGCTCTCTGATTGGCGCAAAACCACGTCGGATACGGCTTGCAACCAGCAGCTTCCCTGCGGCCGCCCTGCCCCACATCGGCCCTGCTGCTGCTGCTGCTGCTGCTGCTACTGCTCTCCTCACCTTACCTCACCTCAGCACGCCAGGGCCTGGGTCAGCTACACACTGGCGCCGATGCTGGGCGCTGCGGCTGCGACAGGCTGCTCTACCTACTGTAGCGGCTGGGGATGCTACCTTGCCTTGCCTTGCCTTGTGTTGCCCTGTCCTGTCCTGTTTTATCCTGTCCTATCCTGTCCAACAGATATCACACCTCATCGGGTAATGAATCCACACTTAGATCACAGTCACGTCGTGCGCGCGTCCAGTGCGTTGCGTTGCTTGCTGTTTTCTTGCGTTGAAGCCTGCCCGTCTGAGCTTTTCTTGCAAACCGCCCGGAGCACTGAGCAAAACCACCCTCCCAAACTCCACCCTGCCCTGCTCGTTCGGGAACGACCTTTCATCCATTATTAGGTCCTCGCAACAAGTCCCTGCCAAGTTTAATTGATCTTGTAAATTTCCCCTTCTTCCTCTTTGTTTCCAGCAAAGTCCACTTCCCTTCGGTTGTCGTACGATGGGCTATTAAACCCGCGCATCGTTTCCCCCTTCAATCTGCCACTCACTCCCTCACTCACACAAACACACGCACTGCGCCCACTGTCACCTTGGTCTTCTGCCAGCTGCGCAAGGTATCGACTGCTGCAAGAGCTGCAGCCACAACGCCCACCAATCTCCCGAGCTCCTGCTGCCGAGCTAAAGCTCGACCTCCGCCTCGACCTGCCGGCCCCTCATCAACCTCAGCCCGCCGCGAAACCCGCACGAAGCTTTGCGGCTCGAATCGTCGATCCATTTCAATCCCCGATAAGCTCCTCGGCACGCTTACCAACAAGCACGGCCACCTCCCGTCGTACGAGCCGACGACGACCCTCTTCCGACCTCCCACGATCCCGCACATGTCTCGAGACGCCCGCCTACACACGCAGTCACGATGAAGAGCACGCCGCTTATCATCAATTGGCACGACCAGAATGCCCCCGTCTACTCGGCCCATTTCGAGCCCCACGGCAAAGGCCGTCTGGCCACGGCCGGAGGAGACAACAACGTGAGAGTACGTCCAACCCCCGAACCGGCCATCCTGCAACCTCTGAGGCGGCTGCCCTGGCGAGGCTGACACCGATCCCAGCTCTGGAAGGTCGAGAGCGATGGCGAGGATCGAAAGGTCGAGTACCTGTCCACCCTGACCAAGCACACCCAAGCAGTCAACGTCGTCCGCTGGGCGCCCAAAGGTACACATCCAACCCCACCTGCCTCCTGCTGCTCCCGCTGACTGTTTCCTTCCTCCAGGTGAGATCCTTGCTTCCGCCGGCGACGATGGGAATGTCATCATCTGGGTCATGTCCGAGCACAGCGGCCCTGCCTTTGGCAACGAGGGCCTCGAGGACAAGGAGACCTGGCGCACGAAGCACATGTGTCGGTCTAGCGGATCCGAGATATACGACCTGGCCTGGTCTCCTGACAGCTCCTACTTCATCATCGGAAGCATGGACAACATTGCTCGAATCTACAATGCCAGCTCTGGTACGTCTGTCTGGCGCATCCGTCATCCCAACTTGATTGCTGACCTATACAGGCACTCTGGTACGCCAGATCGCCGAGCATAGCCATTACGTCCAGGGAGTCGCGTGGGATCCTCTGAACGAGTACATTGCGACCCAGTCGTCCGATCGATCGGTGCATATATACTCGCTCAAGACCAAGGACGGTCAGCATACCCTCAGCGGCAACCACGACGACAAGCCCTCCAAGATCGCAAGCCACAACAAGAGCGACCTGCCTCCCCGCCGCATATCCTCGAGCAGCCCTGCGCCTCCGGACTTCAGCATGCGGACCCATCTTACCGTGGAACAGGCCGTGGGATCCCCCGTGCCGTCCGCTCCCGGTACTCCCACTTCGATTGCGCTGCCGATGAACCCGCCAAGCGTCATCAGCCACAGTAGGCGATCCTCGTTCTCATCGAGACGCTCGCCATCCCCGCCCCGTCAATGCCCCTGCCGGCCGTTATGCCGTTGGAACCTTCACCGAAGCCTCACCCGTCGGGTGGTCTCGGCATGAAAAATTCCACTCTGTACGCAAATGAGACGTTGTCTTCGTTCTTCCGGCGTCTCACTTTCACGCCCGATGGTAGTCTCCTTCTCACCCCAGCTGGCCAATACCAGACCCAGCATAACTCGGAGGGCAACGCGAAGCCAACCTTTGAGGTAACTAACACCGTCTACATCTACACGAGAGGCGGCATCAACAAGGCGCCCATTGCCCACCTCCCCGGTCACAAGAAGCCATCTGTAGTTGTGAAATGCTCGCCAATCTTTTACACCTTGCGGACGTCACCCCCTGTGACAAAACACATCACCATCGACACGTCTTCTTCCGAGGAACCCATCCCAGCCCTGCCGGAGCCCGTTGCTAGGCCTACGGGAAACACCTCAGTCATGGACCCGCCTCCTCCGCCAACTTCAGTCCCCGAGTCGAGCCCTGCCCCGAGCAAGGCCGAGTCGACAGTTTCTACCCCTGGTCCGAAGGCCGCCTTTGCCTTGCCATATAGAATGATATATGCAGTTGCAACCCAAGACTCTGTTCTTCTCTACGATTCTCAGCAGCAAACGCCCATCTGCATCGTCAGCAACCTCCACTGTGCTACGTTCACAGACCTGGCCTGGTAAGTCAAGCTCCACCTACCAGATTGACGAGTTTCTAACATTGTGCGCAGGTCGAGTGACGGACTGACTCTCTTGGTCTCCTCGTCTGATGGCTTCTGCTCGACCCTATCTTTCGCACCTGGCGAACTGGGTCAAATCTATCAGGGAGACTTGCCCACCGCCAAGAGCCCGGCTGTGCCTGGTAACACAGCAGCGGCATCCTCATCAAATCAGAACACCCCGATTCCCACCCCAAGCTCGGCGTTCGCTCCTCCGTCCCCATTTCCCAACGGCGGGTCGCATCACCGAAACTCCACAAGCTCTTTTACCGCGCCATCGCCGCCGCCTGCTGGCTTCGTCAGCCAGCGGCCCCATTCGCCAGCGCGATCAAACTCTACATCATCCGTGGCAACACAGTCATCGAACGTGGTCACTAATCCCTCTCTGATTGTTGGTAGCGTGCCCGGCATCGCGGTTGCCAACTCTACCAAAGTCACGGGAGTCCCCATCACCACGCCGCCTGAGACGCCACGGCCCAACGCCGCGACCAACGCAGCAAGCGGATCGGCTAGCGGCGCGGCGGCCAGCGGGACCAAGCGCGACGCCAGTGAAGGCGAAAAAGAGGAGGGCAGCGAGCCCAAGAAGAGACGAATCGCACCGACACTGGTGGAGCAGAAGCCGTAGACGGCGTCAGATTGTGCGTGAGTGTTCGAATCTTGTCTTGTACAATGATATCATGGTAAAAAAAGCGTTGATTGGTCGGAGAACATGGGACTTGTGTAAATGTCGCGAGCTCGAATGGGCAATGGAAGGCCTGCCTACCCAGGTCGGGACAGAGGTAACGGATATTCGCTGAGGCTGCTCTCGCGGACGAATTTGTTTGCATGGCATGGCGTTGCTAGGGTATAACAAGGACTTTGTGGCGATATGTCTCTAGTCTACTGGAATGAATCACCCCGTTTATATATAGTTGTTGCTGTTGCTCTCATGCATCATACTGTATTATTGACTGAGGGTCATGAACCGCCTGTTCAAGAATTGATGCTGATTTGCTGACGGAAGCAAGTGGGGCCCGTGCAACGACATGTCCTGAGACCTGTGGTGACCCGAATGTGTATGAATAACACGAGCTGAGAGTGTTTATGAACGTGTATTTGTTATACGGCAGTCTCATGTGCCATTCAATACTATAGTTCTGAGGGTTCAGACTCTGCTTGTGCATTACCTGGATCTCTCATCTTACATCATTTAAGGTCTTCTCACCATCATCACGACAAGCATGGCGTCGAAGCGGTCGACAAGCCCGGGGTTCATCCAGAACCCGTTTATCAAAAAGCGCAACTTGGCATGGCAGTTGGACATACCGGCAACTGCAGAGACAGAGGATGCCGCAAAGTCTGGGAATGAGCCGCAGAAGACACATAGTGACGACGACAGGCAGGAGCACGCTTCCACGGATGCGCCGGCGCGCCACAGCGTCTCGGCCGCCCTGGAATCCGGCGCCGCATCCCACCCGGACCCGGCGGGGCACTTCTTCGCCCACCTCGCCCGGCACACCCTGAGTCCTTACCCGCCCGCACACCGCGCCTCGCGGCGGACGCCTCCCTGCGGGGCCTCTTCCTCGCGCACGCCGGGTCCCGGCGCGGCGCGCACTTTGTGGTGCACCAGCACGACCACCCGGTCGCGGGCGTGCACTACGACCTCCGGCTGCAGGTGAACCCCACGAGCAGCGTGAGCTGGGCGGTGATGTACGGGCTGCCGGGGGACCCGAACTCGGGGCGGCTGAACCGGAACGCGACGGAGACGAGGGTGCACTGTCTGTGGAACCACGTCGTGGAGACGGGGAGTGCGGGGACGGGAAGCTTGGTTGTCTGGGACTGCGGACGGTTTGAGGTTTTGGAGAGGCGGGTGGGGAGGGGGCCGGTGGTTGATCCGGATTCTGCGGAGGAAGGAGGGGAGGAAGAAGGGGAGGGAGGGGGAGGGGGGATTACGGAGCAGGAAAAGTTGGAGAGGGCGTTTGGGGAGAGGAAGATTCGGGTGAGGTTGTTTGGGAGTAGGCTCCCGGAGAGGTACGTGTTGAATTTGAGGTTGACAAAGGGCGAAGACGCGGAGGGGAGGCGGAAGAGTGCGAGGGCGATGGGGAGGCCTGTGAGGCGGAGGAGAGGGGGTGGGCAGGCGAAGACGAGGAAGCGGGATGTTGTCGAGACGGGTTCCGAGGGGTCGTCTGGGGACGAGGGGGATGGGACGTGGTACCCGACCCGCTTGGAGAGGGGAATCGCGGCGAGAACGATGAGGAGGAAGGGAAGAGAGAGTTGTCGGCGATGGAGCAGGAGATCCGGGAGCTCGAGGACGAGCACGTCCGGCGCACGAACGCGTACAAAGGCGCGGAGAACAGCGTCGGCAGCGTGTACCAGCGGCGGTGGTACCTCTCGCTCGACCGGGAGGGGTGCGGGTTCGAGAGGAGGCACGTCGGGGAGAAGCGGGTCTGGGTTCCAAGGGATGGTAGTGGGAGTTGCAGTGGAAGGGGGCGGGAAGGAAGAGGAGAGGTCGATGAAAGCGGGAGGCTGAGGTTTCCATTTCACGTCCGCGGCCCGGACGTGGAGAGGAGCATCGTCACGGGACGCAAGGGGGGCGAGGTCTTGAGGGACGAGGGGGTAGAGGGGTTTGTCAGGAGAAAAGGGTGGAAGCCTGTGTTGAATTGAGTGGGCGACCACGATGTTTTCGGGTGTTTGCAGTTTAGAAGCGTGAGAGTATGCCTGATGCCAAAGAAGCATGACCTTTTCCATCGCCGGTCATTGTATCATATTAACGTCAACAGCCTACGGGTCAATTGTAGTTGGATAGAACTTTCAGCAAGGGTTTCAAGAGCATTGCATCGCCGGCCGAGAGACTGGGATAGTCTAAATGCTAGAAACTGAGGTTTGAATAACAACATAATTACAGATGGAGGGGCCTCGAGCCACTGGTCCGAGCCTATCTTATTCAAACCCTTACGGGAGGCCATTGTATCCGTGTTTAGACCACTTCGCCCAGGCTTCCAGAGGCGTCGTAGAGTTTTTTTTGTTGGAAACCTGGGGGGTTTCTCCTCTCATCAGTTTTGTTCGCCTTGGATACCTGACCACTGATGGCTTGGGGTCCTGTTTTTTCCGATCTACCTAACATTCAACACGCACCAGCCAATCTCCAGTCGTCTGCGGCAGTCGAAATCACACCATTCAAAAGGCGCGCAGCGTAAGTAGTCCCTTGTTCTGCATCATGTACGCAAAATCTTGCTGTTCCAGCATCCGCCCATACTCCCCCGCCAACCCCCACCGCACGCCCAGCCTCTCCAGGCAGCGCTTGATGGAGTTCGCCCCATCTTCGTACTGCGCCAATCCTTCTTCCCTGACGAGCCACGCGAGGGTGTTTGCTGCGCCGTACAGCGAGTCCAGGATGAGCGGGCTTACATCGCTCACGCTGTCGCCGCCGCCGGAACCATCCTTCTCCATGGAAAGGATGAAGAGCAGCAACTCCTCGGCCAGCGCTGCAACGTCCTTGCTGGCATTCGTCAGCGCCTCCACGGAGTGGATCTGCTGCGCCGTCTCCTCTTGAGAGCGCAGTCGCCCGTCGTGGCCCGCGGGACAGCTATAGGTGTCGTGTAGCAGGATCGCGGCGGAGAGCAGTACGCAGCGCGGCGCGAGAAAGGAGAGTCCTGGGGGCAGCCTCTTCGCCGTTGAGGACAGCGCCGCGGAGAGGGAAGTGATCTCGGTAATGGCGGCCACAGTGGACATGTTGGGGTCCTTTTTGTGCTCCGACGTTACTTTGCGGATGTGTGTTATGACGTTGCCGGCGAGCAAAGCGGCGCGACAGAGGGAGGAGAACAGGGTTGGGGAGGAGGGGGGTGGAGAAATGATTGTGTGGTGAACTGCACGGCCGACACGGCCTTCATCCTGGATCAAGTCAGCCTTTCTCCTCGGAGTTACGTGTGGAAGGGAGGAGATGAAGAATGGGAGAAGGTACCCAGGCCTCGTCGTCTACGGGGAAGGTCTCGTTGTCTTGCGGCTCGGGTGAGAGATAGCGCTTCTTGTTGCCGAGGCAGATGATGCGGTCGAGGGCGAGGATCCCCCACCAGGTCCTTTTCCGCTCTTCCATCTCCGTCCACGTCGTCTACTTACAATCAGTACAGGTTTGAAACGTGTCAGGATACGGATGACAATACCGGCGATTTCAACAAGACGTTGCCGTCATGGAACCCCGGCAGCCCGAGAAAATCGGCATACCGCACACAGGACGCAACGGAGACCCAAGCGGCCGGGTACACCGCATGCGCGTACTCGAAGTACGCAACGAGGACCATGGACTGCAGGACCATCAGCGATGTCGCGCCGCCGTTCTCCAGCTGCGACAGGAAGCGCTTCGCGGCGCGGTAGACGGCGAGGTGCGCGGTGGCGACGCCGGGAACGGGGCGGGTGTTCATAAGTTTCATGGCCAGGAAGAGCATGGCCAGGTCCGGACCGCCCTGGGCCAAGGCGGTTCCCATGTGCATACGCTTCTTGGAGACGATGGGGAGCCAGGCGTGTGTCTTGGAGAAGTAGGCGTTGACGGTCTGCTGCACTGCGGCACCGTCGCCTAGTTGCTCTAGGACTTCCTGGTTGGCGTGTCAGCTGGTTTTGGCCTTGTGAGGATGCTGCGAAGCTTGGTGGTAGGAGTAAGGTGCGCCACGTACGGCGGGAATATCAAATGCAGGCCTTGGCAGTGATTGGTTCATAGCTTCATAGGTCGATGTGTCAAGAAACACGTCGGGCGGGTACTGCGCCGCGGGCGCTTGATCCCAGAGCGATGCGGCGGCGCGTACGTCGCCGCGGTGTTAGGCGTGTCTTCCATGCTGCTGTCACGACCGCCGGACCCCGAGGCCGGGCCCGACCCTGGATCAAGACTGTATCGGTCCTCGGGGCCAGTCGCACCTACAGCCGCATTCGTGGCGGAAGCGCTGGGAGTGCCGCCGGCCTGGTTCAGCCGGCTCTCAAGCTCTAGCAGTTTCAGCTGCAGGGCGGCGAAGTCGTCAGCGGTCGGCGCAGGATGCGGCGACGACTCGGCGTAATCGCACCGGCGCTCCATGCGGACACAGAGCCCACATGCAGGACGGGACTTGTCGCATTTCCTCTTCATTTTTCTACAGCTAGCGCAGGCTTGAGGGGCCTTGGCCTCGTCGGCGTACCGGTCCCTGGGCGTGAGAAGAAGGGCCATCTTTTTTTTTTAGTTATGAAGAGGACTTCATGACTATACACCTTAGTGGTGTGGGAATAGAGAGGGTGGAAGACTCAAGGTGAAGTTTGTAGGGTTGAATGAAGATCGCACTAAGGTGTCAAACGGACGGGTGCTGACAACTGCAAACTTATTTTTCGCAGAGGGTGGATGCCCTTGGGTTCTGTGGGATGGCATTGCTCTCGGACTAATCTTTCCAAGAAACTGTGAAGATACGGTAAAGTGCACAGAATCTCACAGAGCACACGTCGCATTCAACCATCTGACAGCACTATTTGACATCGATCTGGGAACCAGCCGCTGAGAACTCGGAGATCGACCTGGCACGATGTGCCGGGCTTGACGTTGGATGAGCCGAGGGAGTGGGGCCGTTCTTCCGCTTCACCGCTACATGGCCGCCGCCGTCGCTGTAGCAGCCAGCCGTCTAAACAGCTGCTCTGGGGTAAAAACGCTTCCCTCTGGTGGTAGGTTAAGGTCGATGGTTCAGCGGAGGTTCGTCGGTTATCGATGTCCAAGCACCTAAATTGCGCAGCTGAACTGTCTCTGCCCAGCTTGCCTGCCCAGATTCGAGCCCAGAGTAGATAATCCAGCTGGAGATTGCATGGATCGCGTCGAACAAAGGTGGAGCTGGGGAGGCCATGTCCTTGTCCTTGTCAACGAGAATCTCAGCCCGAACATCGGCTGTCCGCCCCAGGAAGACAGCACAGGACGCAAGTTGGCAAGGTCGTCGTCCCCCCCCCCCCGGCTGGGGGCGGATCCCTGCAACCAAGCCCCAAAGCCCCCTTATTTGCGCTGGACGACGAGGCGGGCAAGCGGGCCAACATGTTTTGTTGTACGGGGAAAGTAAACAGAGGCAATGAGTAACTAACCTTACGGGACCTTCTTCCTTTGTCTGCTGTCCTCCCAACTTTTCTTTGTTCAACGTTTTCGTCATCGTAGTCGTCGAAGTCAACGTCGCATTCGCAGTCGTCATCGTCCGTCCGTCGTCTCCTCCTCCCCCTCCAGTCTCCGTAGCGCTCTCGGCTCACCTCTTCTCTACCTCCCCCGCAATCATGGCCGAATCCCCGAGCCGCTCCGGCAGCCTCCGTGTCCGCCGAACCCGAGGCGGGCCCTCGAGGAACTCGTCCGCCCGCTCCTCGGCCGCTTGGGAGGACTACTCCTACCTCCACCCGGCCAACTACCAACAGCAGCACCACAACTTGCGCCCCGCCTCTTCGCGCTTCTCCCTTAACGAGCAATTCGCCGCCACGCGACAGGAGTACGAGTTCGGCGACGACGACACCTCATCCATCGTTGATCGCATGACCATCGCCTCGGACCTCGCCGACGACAGCACCATCGCTGTGAACATGGGCGCCGAGGGGGACTACTACGACCTGCTGTGCTTGGCCAAGGACCCATCCCTAACGCCGGACCAGATCCGAAGGGCATACCACCGGTTGGTGCTGTACCTGCACAAGGACGGCCTGCCCGAGAACCTGCACAGCGTCGCGCAGCCGTACTTCAACCAGGTGCAGAGGGGCTTCGAGACGCTAATCGACCCGCACCGACGAGCACTGTACGACGCGAGCAAGCTAAGGGATTTGACGAATGCGCCCAAGCTCCCTCTCGACGAGGACTATCGATATGCATATGATCTATCACTGAAGGAGCAGCTGAGGCAGCGGGCGGCTGATGTGGTGCAGACGTCGTCGGATCTGGGAATCAGGTTCGATGCGTCGAAGGCGGTCCGACAGGGCTCTGCCGTTACCCCCTTGGATTTCACCCTGAGTCATTCCGTGACAGTAGGACTTCCGGTGCTTGGCCGGCTGGTTGAGAGAACAGCAATGTCAACTAACCAACGCGTTGCGTCAACGTCGAAGCGAACGCCGTCTGTTGCGATCACTGAGAGTGAGAAGGCAAATGCCGACGACTCGCGGGAGCCTATGATATACCTGCCTCCGCCGCAGGTGACCTTGACCGGCTCTGTATACGGCATCGTCGAGGAGATATACAGGGTTCCTCTGCCGCTGTTGGCGGACCGCTATCAACCTCTATTACCCCTGACTATACCCCGAAAGCGCATCATGCAGCTTGCTGAGCAACGTCCATGTCCCCTGATCAGTCTGAAATTCCGACAGGACATCATCCACAGGACGGCAGAGGATCGCATTGCCAAGACGGAAATCGAAGTGGAAAGCGAAGTGCTCCCAGAAGCGTCACTAACGGCCAGAGTGTCACACCCGATCTATCTGCCCAATGATCCAAACCCGATATTACTGGAAGGTAGCGTGCGGTCTGGAAGACTGTGGATGCGGGGCCCCCTCGCGTTGGGGTTGGGATTCATCGCTGGATGGGAGCCGGAACTGCGTACGCGACCGCGGACAGCGGCGACTGGAGCGTCTGGCCTGGCGAAACGATCAAGTTCTTCACGGACTTTTCCCAGGTGAGCAGGAACCAGCTGCTCACCGAGTTCCCCATGAAGACGTCTGCAAGCTTCGAGATAGGATACACGACATCGCCGGAACGGATGCCCTCTACGGGCCATGAAGACTCTCCGAGAGGAGAATGTGGTATTCGCGGGCTAGATTACGAGAACAACACCAGCAATGACGGCTCATGGACAGTCTCGGCATCTTTGACGGCGGACACGGTGGCTGGCTATATCAGGTACGGCCGCGACCTGCCGCCACTCGGTCCTAGCCCCGCCAGACTCGAATTGGAGCTGTGCTCCAACACCCTTCTCGACCGGTACGTCGCCGTCCGGAACCTCTGGACCATCGGCCGGTTCTCCAAGCTCGGCCTCGAACTCGGCGTCAGCCCGCATAGCTTGCACCTCTCCCTATACTGGTCGCGCCTCAGCCAACGCCTCAGCATCCCCATCCTTCTCTCTCCACGCGCCGAGTACAGCCCCTCGATCATCTTTTACGCGAGTTTCGCACCCCTCGTCGCCTTCGCTGCGCGGCACTTCCTCTGGAAATCCAAACGCGCCCGCCCCACCGAGGTCGATCTGCAGGCCTACGTCGCGCGCAAGCGTGCCGCAGCCGACGACGTCGCCTCCCTACTCGCGGGGGCCGTCGAGGCCCGCCAACGAATCGAACGCCAACGTGGCGGGCTCGTCGTGCTGAGCGCAAAGTTCGGCGTCAAGGAGGAGGCCGGCGGCGACTGGGCTGCTGAGGAGGTCGCGGACGTGACGCTTGCGGTGGCGGCGTTGGTGGAGGACGGGAGGCTGCGAATCCCGGCCGGCGTGAGGAAAGGGTCGCTGTTAGGATTCTGGGACCCGGCGCCGCTGCGGCGTAAGGCGCTCCACGTGAGGTATCTGTGGCGAGGAAAGGAGAGTACCGTTGAGGTTATGGGGCGGGATGAGCTGGTTCTCCCGCCTCCGAGGAGGGATGCGTCTTGATGATGAATGCTTGTATGATGACATGTATGAGATGGATTCTTTGCATTATAGGAGTCATTGGAAGGGCAAGGGGCGGAGAGGTTGCATGGGAAGGTGTTTTTTCGGTTTACACATCCCGCTTCAGTCAATCTGTTAGACGGAAAAATGCGATTCTTGTGACGAGGGATTGACTCGTTCCATGGACAGATCGTATGACGCTTATCGCGATAGAATCGGAACATTGAGTTTCATCCCGGGCAATTGTTACCTATCAACAGTGTCTTTAAAACATTGACTTATCACAGTCACGAGAGCAATAAGAGAACAGCCACACGAATCTGTTTGCGATCCTCCGCACTAAGGTCTACGCGCTCAATTCAATCTGTTCCTTGCTCTACCCCCACCCCTTCTTCCCAGTGCCGCTGCGACCATTCGCATCCCCTTATCCTTCCCCCAATGTACTCTTGTTCCAGTCCCATCATCCAGATTCCAAGCTTCGGCGCCCTTCGTTATGAGCTTCGGAATCTCTTCCCGGTCGGATGGAGTATTGAGTTCCTTGATGTGATTCCCAAGCACAACCAATGTTTCCGTATTTAACTTCGACGTCTGTTCCATTGCCTCGTACATTACCGTCATTCACAGTCCATTGGATCGTGCGTGACTGCCAACTTCAACTCCACCAGACATTTCTTGAACCCCTGCAGACATTTCTCAAACTCCGGCAACCTCTCAAGCAGACCAGACAAGTTGGACACAAGAGTCTCTGGAGAATTGTCAAATTGGATCAAGTTACGGGCGGTAGTATCCTGCGTGTTTCTAGCCTCTGGTTCCCCGAACAAACCGTCATCATGCCCGTTGAACGGGGAGTTAACCATAATTACATCGCCATTCGAAACAACCGTTGTTAGTATTCCTACCGATGCTTTTTCGCAGGCGATTCCATGCGCCTGACGGTCCAAGCCCACATCATCTCCGTGGGTTATATACCATCCTGATGGCTGCGGTTGTCCTCTTCCTTGTTCCATCGTGTGCGCTAGGTAACCCGATTTCGGTCCGAGATTAAAGGTTCGACTAGTTTCTAATCCTTTGTCCGATTCATCAACCACCTGTTCGAAAGAAATGGCGCGGTTATCATACCTACTGTTAACTCCCTCAGCCCTGTGTCTTGGTGGAGAGATGTAAAGGTGAAAGAAGACGACGCGTTCTTCGACGCGTTTCCTGCTTAAATACGGAGGATGACATGCACGTAAGCACGTAACGGCCCCTCGTCCAATTGCAGCACATGCCTTACAACCATCCTAGATCCAGGTACGTACCGCGTCCTAGGCGATCAGAGGCCTTTCATTACGTGACAAAGCGTGACTTGACGCATTTTGCCTAAATGTTTTTCGTCGATTCCACCACAGTCAGTGCCTACCGTACAAGCTGCCTCGTCCGTCACCAAGATGCTCAACACATATTGGTATGGCCGCCGATCCGCTGCTGTGTGGAAATAATTACGACGATGAAGACAGTTTTCTCTGGTCTTAATTTGGTATGCAGGGCCACACCTTGAGATAGTAAGTAGCATCCCGTCCCGGTCACAGTTCTGGCTGTTTGCCTGGCGTTGACACATTCTCTGCTTCCGTCTCGGCCCCACCAAGCTGGAACGGCGGTATCGGCTAGTCCTCCGGTCTGGCCTGCCGATCGCAGTCCGCACTTGCAGCGCAAATGATCCCCACTACAGCACTGGCTTGCACATGCTTGTCGAGAATTTGCGTGCCAGTGCTGAAGTCGAGATTCTACAACTGAAGTTCGAATCCCGACGGTCTGCACACAACAACGAAATCACGATCATGGTTTGCGGCTACAATCACGAACCCGACCGAAACCCAATGGCACCACAGTTTTTTGTCCCCTAGGCAGTCGTCGGTAGGTTTCATTGCATGTACCTGTGAGGCCCCAATTCCTTGGCTTGTTGCATGCATAGCCTCATGCATCACGTTATAAGACGCACGTCACAAACGACATCGAGTAGCCATCTTTGTTAATTGAATCAAACTGCGATACGAGAAGTATGCACTGTCGACTGGATGCGAAACTAGGTATATTGAAGTTTGTTTGCATGTTTTCTTGAGCTACCTAAAGTGTGGTTGCGCCGATAGCTTGACCCGACTTGGGAATCAAGAAATTGCTCCCCTGGACCTTCTTGTTCGAACCTCTTGGTCCCTTCAGGATCGAGGCATCAACGCTGACAAATGAGCTGTTGGACCAAGTTCCTGAGTTCCACGAGTTACCCGACGCGGTCACGGTGCTGACGAGACTGACTTGTGCAGTGCCCACATTGACAGCGGCAATGTTGCCAGTCATTTTGGAAGACGAGCTGCGCATGAGGAAGCCCGTGTCGCCGTTGTTCCAAGCCGTGTTACGCTCGAACGTCAGAGAACCTGGGTTGCCGTTGTCGATGAAACCCTTCTTGTAGTTGCCGAAAGCAATCGAGTTGCGGATGACGTGGTTGGCGGGCGGGTTGTCCGTGATGCCCAGCTTATAACCATTGCCATCCCCGTTAAAGGGAGAAAAGCCCCAGCGGTTATAACCATTTCCCCAGGCGTAAACTTCTTCTATAGTGACGGGGCTAGCGAACATGAACAGGTCCAGACCGTCGTCGACGTTGTCCCAGAGCCGCGCATTGCGCAGAACGTTGCCCTCACCCGAGCCCGACTTGCACGCAAATCCGTCGGCGCTCTCGCCGTTTTTTCGAGGGTCACGGTTACGGTACGAGTCCAGATTCACAACGGTGTTGTTGGCGGAAGCTCCTTCAAGCTGGAAGCCGGTCTCGTAGTTGTCGTGGGTCGACAGACCGTCGTAGTAGTTGTGAGATGCATCACGGGCATAGATGCCGTAGGGACCGTTGATGATTTCGAGGTCGTAGATTGCCCAATAGTTTGCGTTCTGAATGTGAAAGACACCTCGCTCGGGGTTGGGCAAAGCTTCGTCCAGGGCCTTGGGGGTTCTTGCTAGTGTCAGTGATACCGCTTTCTCTGGCACGTTACTCGACTCACCCAGGCATGTTTTCGCCATCGATAATAACCTTTTCGCCTTGATAAGGCCGGATACTGATTGGAGACGTCCTAGTACCACTCTTTCCAATCTGTATGTTCGCTGACGGCGCATAAGTGCCCTTTCGGAGATAGATAGTATCACCGGCCGTGGCGGCAGTGACAGCAGACTGAATGGACCCAAACGGGGCGTCTAGGGTTCCGGTGCCAGTGCCGGTGGGAGAGACAAAGATGTCACGGGCGGCCGCACTGCTCAGGATGGCGAGCGACGCGACAGAAACAAGGGCGAACGGTGCCATGATTGTGATTATATTGATGACGACAGGTTCTTGTAAATATATCTAGCCAAGCCGGGTTTCAACGACAACTTATAGTCAGGTTTCTGCCCAGCACGAGCTTGATTCGATATTGATTGAAGGCAACTCAATATGCCAGTCAGTCCCACAAGTCGGTACCAAATGTAACCATGCCTCTGATGCTTCAGTAACGGCCAAATAGCAAATCCCCCAATCACGGGCCGCTGTTGTAGGCAGATCATGATGGTCGCGGTCAGCGTCCGGCGTCGGCGATGGCTGTCGAAAGCAATCCTCGGAGAAAACGATCCCGCAAATAAATGAATGCATGGGCAGAATTCTCATCTCCCTCAACAGGAAGGACCAAGAAGTGGGACCCTTTTCCAGGCTCGGTCCCTGTCATGTTCATCCGACCAATTGAGATTGGTGGTTCAAGCTATGCTTATTTCCTTGTTTTGACTATAATGGCAATCCTCCACGAATCGCGGAGTGTACAGCTAGGTGGGCGAAAACTCCACTTAGGTTAGCTCGACCTGCTTAAGTGTAAAGAGAAGTACCATTGGCAAGTCTCAGCGCTGTGGTCCTTACAAGACCATTATCTTTGGAAAACGGAATTTCTCCGTTTTTTCTGGTCATTCTTCAGAACCACATATTGTTTACAAGTATTATGTTAGCTGTTGCTTTTATGGGATGACCACGGTTGTGATACCAAAACCCGAATATCTTTCTGTTTGGTCAATGTAGCATTAAAAGAGTCGTTTTAGCACGCAAATATGATAGGACAGAGTGAAAACCTTGTTTATTTCTCATCAGGTCATGAATGGCCGATGTCGGGTTGGATATACAGTAACGAAGGCAGGGCCATTAGCAGAAAAGTCTGTATCTTCGCATGATGTAAGACATCTACAGGTTGATGTTATGCGGTAAAGTACCTCTCAGCGCTCACGTAGAAAACTTGAGTTTTCCTGTCACATCTCTCTGATACGGTGAATGACATAAGTCGGGTGCAATTCTTAAAGGTTGAAGCCACTTCGGGTAGGTTATTCCAGCATGTGCACATGTGGTTACGACACAGCCTAAATTCACACAGTTAGTCCAGATGAGACGAATCGGAAAACTGTATCTTCAACGCCTGGGCAGGTGTTTGCGCTATAGCCGGCATCATAACAATGCCGCAGAGTCGCCCGTCTTATGCTGGTTTGACATCCCTTTATCCGTATCTTCAGTGGGTCCTTCCGGCTTGACAACAAATGGGTAGGGATTAACGTTCTAGGAGACAGTTGGAGTTGTCATTTCTAAACAGTATGTATAAATGAACATCTTGTTGAATGGATTCTCTCCTTAAAAGAGAACCCCTGTGTACGATCGTAACAGGGTAAAAGTTAGGGGTGAACCAAAGATGTATTTTCCATCATTATCTTCCTAACTACAAGACTTGGCTTTTGTACACAAGCTATATGATCTCGTACGTCCCTGAGTTAGTTCGGCACGAACATGCTTTGATCCCCTCAATGGATAACCGAGGGCCGAGTATCCAGTCTGTGCCTTCTGCCATGGTGTGTGTCCTTGAGTCGTGAGTGTCGTACAACCAGCTGGTGCTGTTATTCCAACACATCTCACACATAAGCATAATCAATGTTACTGACCAGCATATGTCCTTCTGAAATAAACATAAACAGAACCGAACCGGCCCAATATTCTATGCATGTTTTGACACGACGTTCACCCCATGGACATGTTCAATCTGTCGTTTGAACCAAGAATCCTAGGCTCCTCCTCGCGAAGTACTTCATGAAGCTTATCAGCAGCCACACATGCGGCGGGTGCTCCTACTGTAATAAAACCGCCCCACCAAACTGGCACTACTATCAACGCCCTGTCACTGCTCCGAGCCAAACCACCAGTTGCCAGGCAGGCTCCGTTCGTTCCCCAACCACCACCCACCAGAAATGTGACGCTAGCAGCAACGATGGCTTTGGTGTTGTGGCCGTTGGGATCTGGGACGTTGGCGACCCCGTCAAAGACCACATCGTCCTGGGCGGCGGGAAGGTTGAAAATGACAGAGGGTTTACCGTCGTTACTCTTAGGTCCCACAACGCGCAGCGGCATGAGCTCGGTGGAGAAGTGGAGGGGCATTGCGAGTTCGATTTTGTACCAATCTGGTATGATTAGGTGAAAGAAGACCTGGGTCTTGGTGTCTTTGGGGAGTGCCTGTCTCGCCACCTTCATGGTATTGACCAACGCATCTAAGTCGTCTGAGTACGCATCAAATGTATTCGGGAGTGGTGTCGCTGTCAGAATTTCGTCAAACTTCTAATGCCAAATGTTGTCTGGGTGCTAGAGGTAGAACCTATGTCCTTCGCCTTGGTATTTCTTCATATGATGCTTCACGATCCCATAGAGTGGCCGAGCAAGACCATCAGGTCCATTAGCACCCATCGCCGTGAGAGTGTTCTGCGTGCCGAGTTCGTCTTTAATCCCCTGAGATTGTGGTTGATCATATGCATCTCCACTATGCAATTTTGGAGTACACTGAGGAACTGAGAAAGCATCTAGTTTGCCACCACATGTACGTTCCTGAGGCTCTGGTTCAAAGTATCCATCGCTTCTTTTGTTGCCGCGGCGGCGTCTTGCACTGCGCAAGCACTCGCAGTCGCCGCGTCAGCATTGGAAGTCACCGCTTCAAATGCTTTCGTTCCATTCTTCGACAGCTTTCCGATGCTCTGGCTGATATCCTGCGCATCACGGGTTGTCGCCTCAAGGTTTTGCTCGTACATTTCAGCCATCTGTTTGACGCTCTGCATACGTACGTTGTTTAGCTCTGTGCCGCTAGCCACGAACTTTGACACATCATCTACCAAAGAGTCCACCTTCTTTTCAAGTTTTTGGTATACTTTGCTAGATTGCGACGCTGCTGTTCCTTCGTTCCAGTCTTTGCGATTGCGGTTCAACCATTGCGCGCTCTTGAGAACCAGGTTTGGGCCTGGTCTCATAAAAGACCGAAGTTCAAAAAGACTGTTTCCGGGGGCTTTTGTAATTTCATCGACAACGATGGGGACTGGGTGTTTGGGTTGTTCTGACATCTCGGGTACGGAAGCTGTGAGGCTGCTGTATTGATCGTCAGAAGAATTTAACAAGTGTGGATTCGATCAAGTTGAACGGTTTCGAGGGCTATATACTTATCGGTGGCTTAAGATCATTAATGTAAGGAGTGGTATGGAAGTTTTTGTTTGACGAGATGGCTAGTCTGAATTGAGAAAAGAGAAGGGTGGTATTTAAGATGAAACGCAGCGAGGAAGGATGTTGAGCGCAGGTGAAAACGTGAAAACGAGGGCTTTAGATACAAGTAGTAGGCTCAACAATAGATAATTATTTCAGAGTGCAAGCATGTTTTTCTACTTGTTGGAGGCAGCCCAGGTACTATTGGAGTTGGTAAGGTCTGGTAGGTGGTCGACGTGGCCGACACAACAGGTGGCCACACCAAGGCATCTCAGGACGACAGCTAAGCGCCAGCCGTGCTAACACTCACGCTCAATGCGAAACACTGAAGAAGTTCGTCTTAACAATCCATTTCATTCAAAGCCTTCTTGGCGGTTATCACAGCCTCCTCACTGGTGACTGGGCGACAAAGCCAAATGGAGGGAATACCAAGAAATGAGACAACATACAATTTGCAATATTGGTTAGAATCGGATTGATATAATAGCTGACCAAGAAGCAATAGCTGCGGTTGGTCCTGCTGGCAACCTTCCGGTCTCGAGATGAGAGCTAAATGACAGCATGCCCTGGTTACTGTATGCAACAAACACGACATAAGTAATTTCACACCTACAATTAAGGTTCTAAAGTCTTGCTGCAGGCAAAGAGAGGCTATATTTCCTTTAAAACTAAACGTAGAGAACATATCAGCAGACCAAATACAAATTCTCGACCAAAGGCTGCTGAAAGACTTCGCGGAGAAAAGCATAGATTGCATAATTCATGAGGGGTTTTGATGGCGAAGATACTTGTATTGACTATACATCTGCACGAAACTCGGTTCAGTATGGACGGCATCCCATAAAAACCTTTCGCAATACGACAATTTATAAAAAGCCCTGGCGGTTTCAACTTACAAAATGTAGACAGGTGCGACAAAGCAGCGAATTTGACGACAGCGAGGTGGATGACTCATCTCGGTAAAGTCCTCGCTTTGCCGACGAGACCGGAGAGAGGAGCTCGGGCCGCTGCCGAGAATCCGGGGGAAAAGGGTCCCCTCTTCCCCCATAAGGAAAGTCTAAAAACCCACCCCAGCGAAATTGTCCTATCGGCGTCTTGTCATTTCGCCGTCATCGGTGAGAGCGCCTTACGTCTGACACATCGAGGCGGAAATAAACGATCCCGAACAACGAAGGAAAACACACAGCGTTGAACTGGAATACAACCCAGTGTTCTGTTCACGGCATCGTGTTGAATGCTTCCTTTCCCCTCATGGCCGCATGCAACGAAACCCCGCCCAGCACAGAGGTCGGCAGCAGAAGTCCCTTGGAAGACGGGCCTCTGCCGCCAATCAAGTCAACTGCGTGAGCCAGTCAAGTAGCCACTTTCTCTTCATGAGCATCCTTTGGCTAATGAGTTATTGGGATTCAGCTGTCGCAGATGTCATTCAAGAAAAGTCAAGTGCTCCGGCGACCAGCCCTGCCAGAACTGTCGGCATGCCGGAAAAGGTGCCGAATGCACATACCCCCGCCGCAACAGACAGGTCAAGGTCAGGCAAAGGTAATGGAAACTCAATCCCGGCTCTGACTTAAGTCGAAACTTACGCGCGACGCAATAGCTACATCGATGGGCTTTTGGACGAGATCCGACGGCTCAAAGGTCAGGTTGCTCAGCATGCTTCGAGTTCATGTACGCAAGATGATGCCGTCATTCAGAGCAATCACATCGACAATAGGGCAACTACTCCTTTTTCTGTTCGAGGTAGCGACAACGAAGAAAGTACGGCTAGTGCGACCCTCGAAGTGAGGCCATGGTTCATTAACGCAAACGTCTTCCGCACGCCGATCCTGATAGGAGAAGTCGCGGATGCAGCATTTTCAACCCGCATCCGCCAGGTCATCTCCGACCCGTTTGCTCCCCAACCCCGACACATGCTCCGGGTCAACTATGCTCCAGACACGGAATTGATGTCCCTTGTGAAGTCGGAGGTTGCCTGGCCGACACCGTCGAGGTCCCGATTCTTGGTCGAGGTTGCGCTCAAATACGTTAGTCGCCGCTATCATGTCGTTCGCCAGAGTTTAGTCATGGAGAACTTGGAGCAAAGTATACACAACCCCTCATGGGGCGATCTCATGCTTAGGTCCAAGCTATGGGCTCTGTTCGCTATAGGAGAACTCTATTCGACGAGATCAATTCCTTCGGAGAAAGACTTCCCCGGCATGGCTTACTTCGCCAAAGCTTCTAGGATACTAGGTGTACTTGATGAACGTCCCGGGACAGACTCTATTGAGATTGTTCTCCTGCTTGTGAGTTGTGACAAAACCGTGACTGTATGAGTTCTGACCTGCCCAGTCCTTCTATTCTCTGGCTCTAAACCGGCGGTATAGCGCCTTCGTCATGTCCGGCACGGCAATGCGCATGGCCATTGTCATGGGACTGCATCTCAATATTCCAGAGTCTCAGCTTCCTGATCCAGACCTCCGAGAACATCGCAAGCGATTGTTCTGGACGACATACATATTCGACCGAACATGGGCATCCAAGTTAGGGCATCCAACTGCTATTCAAGACAGCGACATAGGTATAGACTTGCCGTCAGAGCCGACTGCAGGCCAAAGATTTGGTGATGATTTCGAGGACACGGCGTATCATATCGCCAGTCTACGTTTAGCAGCCCTCGTCACAAAGACTGTACGCTCAATATATGGTCAGCGCAATCAAGAAGGAGCTACTCTCTCTACCAGGGTCCAACAAGCCCTGAAGGATCTTCGAGCTTGGGTGGAAGACTTACCAAGCCATCTACAAGTTGATAATGCAGGCACTGGGCCAAAATCGATATCTCTCCATCTATCATTCAATCAGGTAACCCATGGCTCAACAGAGGCGAACTTTCAGAACATTGCTAACATCCATCCCAAAACAAGTGTGCAATTTTAGCCACTCGCCCGATTCTACTACATATTCTCCGGACACAAGTGGCCGCGTGGCCGACAACGTCGCCAGTGACAGAAACCCAAGTACCTGCAAGTGCAATCACACTATCGGAAGCATGCATCCGCTGCGCACGACACTCGGTGCGCCTCCTTACAGATTCTTGGATCGATGGGTCCTTTGCGACTTTCGACTACTTCTATACGCAGTACCTCTTCTCCGCACTAACCATTCTCGCTGCCTCGAGCCTATTAGATAGTCCAGAGAGCCGCAACGACAGGGAGGCTTTTGAGGAGTCGGCTAGGTTTCTCTCGCAGCTCAGAGACGCCGGTAACTTTTCTGCCCAGGAATACTGCCACCATGTCGAATTTCTGCGGGCGGAGCTCGAAAGGTTCTATGCGAAACGTATGGGCTTGCCCGAGGCCTCACGGGTGCCTGGGCCAGTTCCTGGGGTCGGGTTTGGGGTCGGTTCGATGCCTTCACAGTCTGGTCCGACGCTTCCCACGCAGACAACGGCAGGCATGGCACTTACGGAGCCGTCATTAGAGGAGCTTTTGGCACAACCGGTCTTGGATTTGCAGTTCTTGGAAGCATCTTTCTACGACGACTTACAAGGGCTATATTGGCCAGATTTTAGCACGGAGAACTGGGATACTTGGGCTGCGACTTGAGTTTACGACACCCAATATCACGGTGCCGATCCAACATTGAGAAGCAAGAAGTGGCGGTGTTCGTTGTCTGCGAACCTTGGAACAATACCAGTGTTGGATTCAGCATTCTTTCAAACGTTTTTCTACATTAGTGACCATTCTCTGTACATCTACAATACAAGCTTTCAAGAACTGTGCCGCTTCCTCTTGATAGGACAGAACCAAAACATCAATGATGAAATTTACTGCTTCGCAAGTAATAACACCAAATCGTACCGCGAACTAACAATCAGATTCACAATACATACCGCCCTCAATACGGGTGGTGCATGTTGCTTAGGACGTCGTGAGTGTTTGGCATAGGAGCAATGCGGACTGCGCTGGCTGCATCTGAACAAACGGACCTCCAGTGTACCGCGAAATCAGTGGTGCAGTTCATTGTTGAGGGTAGTAGTTCTGTTGTTGTGGCTGAGGTTGGATGGGGGCAGGAGCAATCATCGGCTGTTGGTGCGGGGGGGCATGTTGCTGCTGGTACTGCTGAGGCTGCTGCTGGTGGATTGCCTGGTTATTATAGTTTGCACCCTGGTTCATGTACGGAGGCGCAGGTTGGGCCGGAGTTGGTTGATAGATTAGGTCTGAGGTGACCTGTGTTGTGTTCTTCTCTGGCACAATGTGGCTGTTGACGACGGGCGCGCTACCGGGAGAGACCGGGTTACAGTGGAGTCCGGCCTTACGGTGACGATGAATCATGACACTATGAATAGCCATCGAAGTGACAAATAGAGAGCTTGTGTTGATGTCAGTGAAAGCCTTCGCGACAAGCAGCAGCAAAGGAGAGGACCTACAATTCGAGTCCACCGATTCCGGCCGCAGCAGCCATGCAGGCAGTGAATACAAGGTAAAGCCCTGTTGGCGTAGAGCTGTAGCAGTAGCCGTAATAGTCACATACGACGCTTCTATCGAACAAGAACGCAGCCTCGGAGGCAAGCAGGGCGAAGGAGCAAAGCCAGAACACGACAAGGAATATGTCGAGGGCCAAGACTGCCCAGTAGTTATAGGCTTTGGGGGTGCCAAATTCGGCGACAACGAGCCAGATGGTAACGATCAAAGTTGAGATTGACTGTAGGGCTTACATTAGTTGAAGGCAACCATAGGTATCATCCGCTACCACTTACAACAAAGATCATGAGGCAGTTTCCAGGAATGGGTACAAGGTAGATGCCGAACGCGCAAAGAGCTGTAATGACCAGGGCGAGGATCAGCTGTACCACTCTGATGGCAATGAAGCCCTTGGGGTAAAGCGGGATGTGCTCGCGCCCGATGGCCCTCTGATTAGAATATTTGTTGTTGCCTTCCATTTCTGCCAGCGTCTATAGTGAAATCGTGGAGGGTAGAGGTCGATGTGTATAGACAGCGGTACGGGGCCAAACTAAAAGCCGTTCAAGCGAAGAGGAAGACTGAAGATGGCGATAGCTTCCACTATATATCTACGCTGTGTATCAAATGAGGAAATGTGAAAGTAGGGAATTATCGCCTTGGGGATGCCCCTGGTCTTTTCTATGCCTGGCCTCCCTGGGCTAGCGGGTCAAGATTGGCAGCACATAATATCTTAAAACCCGCCCTTTGCACGACACTCAACTAGAAGGCCAAAAAGGCTTGTACACTAAGTGTGAAGAGCTGCGCCGTGGCGTCGAGCGGTAAGGCTTGTTGCTACCACGGCGTGGTTCCCAGACCTTGAGGGCGGACGAGCCAGAGTGCCACTTGGGCGCACCTTTGAAAGCCACATGATGCTTGGTCTGGGCACCAAGTGAGATCTACATGTTATTCTTCCGAAATCAGTCACATATTAGACCTGAGATCTTGGGCTTAGAGCTTGACACGGTAAACCAAAGGGTTGGGTCCGGGGGTACGTGTTCCAGGGTATATAGGGCTGTGACGGCTAGCTAGAAAACAGCGGCGAAAACGGCTCTTTAGTGCCACAAGGTCTTCAGAGCCCTGGCAAAAACAAAATGCGCTTGGAATCCAGCCTTCGACTGTGGCTTCGAGGGCTTCTTGGTACAAAGCAAGACGGCAATAGTGGGTGCGGCTGAAAAGTACGGCTAAATCTGCAGCCTTCGATACGAAGATACTTGCATCACTCTCAGTAGTGTCTCCAGAATGGGTGTTCATGCCTTACGTACCTAGTGTTGCACCCTCTGTGGCTCTCCAGGAAAGAGCAGTGTTTTTAGGGCTGAAAGGCTGGTAGGCGAAGATGTGATAGGATATGCAAGGGGGTTCCCGGCTGGCTCATCTGGGTAGCTTACACACCTGTCTCTATTTTCACTCCTAATTCCTTAAATCGACAGGGCCCTCACTCCCTTGGAATCAGCCTGATGTCGTTGCCAGATAAAATTGCGTTAGATGGCAGACCTCAGCCGCACTACCACTAATCCCAAAATTGACCAATGCCGAACGCCAACTGTGCAACACGTTAAGCCGGAATCTGTTTAGCTCCATCACGGTGCTTCTTATCAAATAACCGTGGGTTTCAGGTAATTTAAACGCGGGTATACATTGATTGAGATGAGATGGACCTTGTGTTTACGTGTGCAAATGGTACTCGTAAAAGAACGGGCTCAGGTATGTTGTTGCCAAAAGAGAAGTGCGGACTCGCAATTTCATTGTTTGGATTATAGGAAGAGTTAGATTGGAGGCTGCAGAGAGGCGCTGTCATGCACATGTGACTCTAATGGATGTGCATCGTTTTCTGTCGTCTAGTTATACCGTGGTAGAAGGGTGAAAACCCCCCAATTATTTCCGTTGCGAAAAAATGGGACCAAGTGCACATTTAGGGCACTTGACAAGGCCAGTTCTACTGGAAACGAGTTCAAATCGACGAAAAGAATTCGGTGCTCGTTTGGAAGATATGTTTTTCATTTCATTGAACAGGGGACAGCTTTTCAAATTCTTGCCGTTCTGTTCACCTTTTCAAGAGACGTAGTTCCGCGTCGACCAGAGGGTACGCCATGGCATAGAGGAAAACGTAATAATATGAGTCACTGGACAGTATTAATGTCCAAATAACTGAGTTGTCCCTAGTCGGTCGTAACTTCAGTAACTTGGACCTAGTCCAGCCTCCTAAACCAACATGAACACCAGCTTATATACCCTCCCAATGCATAACTTGTTATCGCGTCACCAGAGTCGTTTCCTTGCCGCAGAGTGAAATTCGAACCCCAAACCGCATTCACACCATACGTACTCAGTTTTGTTGTTATCATTCTCCAGTTGGCGATATGGGGTGTTGCCAGGCTTGGTACGCGATGTAGGTATGGCACGAGCTCATTATCAGCGGAAGAAATCTGAGTAAACTGCGAACAAGAAACTTATCAATGTTGCCACCACATTATAGCGGGCACCGCTACGTCTCTCGGGCCGCCTCTCTGTCCTACTCTGAGAGCTGGGATCCAGTAGCTCTTTGTACAGTTCATTCGGAGGTCTGGCCAAGTGGAGGAATGAGAAAACCTATTTCCCTTTGTTTCTTAGTTGATATTATGTACTGTCTCGCTGAGAGCGAAGGAAAGGCCAAATGTTTGAGTGAGTTCAACGATCTCAACTTGAGGTTCGGAACTCTTGGGGGCATCATCAGTTTGCCTTTTCACCGGCATGAGGCTCAACGGATTTACGACTCGGCATCTTCTTGAAGATAAGCAGGCCCCTATGGAGCAGACTCAGATAAAGAGGAGGAGTCTTGAGAGGGGCGAAATGGCACGACGAATTTAGGCTGGACATCGAGCCGCATGTTCCAACCTCTGATGGCTCTTCTTCCGAGCTGCGTTCGTCCTCTGAAGACGTTGGGTTCAGAAATCGCGTCTCTTCGAAAGCCAATTGGTCCCTTGGCGCGTGGGAGTTTCTGTAACGCGGTCAGAGCATGCTCGGCGCAAAATCCGGAGACTGAACCTTGATCGAATTCTCCGACGCACGATCATTCGCCCCAACATTCTCCTCCACCAGTGTCAAGTTAAGCAACGCCGAATCCAGCCGTGGCACGTTGAAGGCATGAATCAGGGAAGTACCCGACTTTTTTTCACAAACAAAATGTCAAGCAGTTCTAATGACCGTTGAACCATGACGTTCTGGCGGGATCTTTGTGTCAAAGAATAAGGTCAGAGTCGCCACAGAAGTCATGGGACCAATGGATGTGTATGTGTATGGCCAGATGTTTCCAATGAGCTGTAAGTCACCCCTTGTTAGGAACGGCATACTGCTGGCTATCTCGCAAGAATTATCATATAGGTGGCCAGCCTGAAAGTGAGAACCGACCCGGATCATCTGAGCACGTTCAATTTTGTATAAACATCCTCGTCGACGAATCGAATGCCGCCGTCGCGACTGGGTATCATATCCTCCCTGTAACCTCGAGAAATCTTTCACTTTCTCGCCCCCATCGGCCCACGCTTCGTGCCGGACTGGCTCAACAAGTCCACATTCCGTGGCAGATCGAAATCCCCCTCGCTTCGAACCAGAACAACATCTCTGGCTCCGGGCCAGTCGGCTTCGGTGGCTTTGCCTGCTGCTGTTGACCCTGGCCAGACATGACGACGTCTCCATCCTCCCCACCACCACCCTCCTCATCGCTCTCCTCCTCATCGTCTTCATCATCTTCAAGACTCCTTTTCAGCCCCGTCCTCACATTCTCGATGCCTCGTTCGCGCTCTTCTTCCGTGTAGACATCGCCCGCCTCCTCGAGGACGTACCGTTGTACGCGCTCAACGGTCCACTCGCGCACCCCACGCCAGACGTCCTCGAGCCCAGCCTCACCCGCGCCGCCTCCCTCAGAGGAGGAAGAGCGCAACTCTCTCGTGGTCTCGCGGCCGCGCTCGACCCACTCTTCGACACCCGGCTCGAGTTTCTTGCGTAGGAGCTGCAGGAGGATGTTCTCGTGCACGCGGCCCGGATACGCGACGTCTGGGAACACGTGAAGGTGCTGGAAGACGTGTGTGTTTTCCGTCAGCGTTTCGAGGAGGGACTGGAGGTTGCGGAGGAGGATCTGGGATTGCGCCTGGAGGGATGATCTGGAAGGGTCCGTCGTTAGCCTAATTTGATTTGCAACTTCTTTTTTGAGGTTTTCTGTGGAGGGGACGAGATGGAGTGGGAGGGCAGCGAAAGAGGGAAAGGAGCTAGGAAGCTGGTCTGGTGGTTAACTCACGGGGGTGGAAGCGGATTGCTCTTCAATACGTCAATCTTCAAGCCCTGGATGCTGTTGGACAGCTGGAATAGACGTTGGCGCGTCTGCTCAATCGCCTTGAACTCATCGGCGGAAATTCCGAGCGCATTGGGCTTCTCCATGACCGCGTGTTATCGTCGCGACGTTAGGCAGGCGCAGTATGGAAGCTCGATCGTAGGGTCGTCGAAGTGGGTTTTTCGCAGTCGCGATCGATGCGCCAGGTCACCTTATCGGGCTGCAATTGTCTCATCCAAAGCTTCTGGAAGCGATTGGGATATATTGCGGCGTGAGAGGAGTGCTCGCTCGTTTGCGAAGGCCTGGACGTCGCGGGGGTCGTGGGTGGGTTTTTGGGGTGAAGTTAAGGTGCGGTTCCAAGAAGCTTCGACCCCGTCGGCGACGTGACGTTCTAGAAAATCGGCCGGGGGTAAATGAGTGGAGTCGTCTGACTCCGCTTCACGCAGCTGGCTCTGGGCGGTGCCCCGCTACCGGTCAGTGCATTCCTGTGAAGGTTGCTGCAGGAGGGGGGCAGGGGCCATGCGGGACGGACATCTGTAGGCGAAAAGGGGATCGACCGCTCATTATGGAGGCTGGATAGGAAAGCGCTCGGCAATCAGTCACACGAGCGAGAAGCAACAGGTTGGCTTCTGACATGCATAGTCTGACGTAGGGTATTTGGGACATGCCCAATAGCATAGCATCTTGGTAAATGAAGCCAAACACAGACAAGGATGTAAATCCCGTGGTCAACTATGCTTGTTGCTAGTGCAAAATAGTTACCTTTTTTATTATCATAGCTCTATTCACTCTCAAGTTGCACATTTGTGATTGTGTTTGGTATTATTTTTGATCAATAGTCTTTTTGCTACCTTTCAGCATCTGTTACTGAACCCCCATCAAATTGTGACATACAGAGGACCTCCTGATCCATCTGATGGTCATGCTTCAAACGCCATGGATCGCAATGCGGATATCTGCGAGAGACCAATGAAACGCGTACTAAAAACCCAATCAAATGCCCCAGACGCCGTTCTGAAAATGCATTTTACATGGTCATCATCATGAAAGTAGGCCGAAGCCTTTTACTGGCCGTGAGATCCGGCTTGGCCATAGAGAACTCTTTGACCAGTCGTCGCTCTGTCGACCTCCCGGCCGTACTTGTCTACGGGAGGGTAACGAGCGCGACGCTCAAGGTCATCAAGAGGGATCTGCGAGCGAATGTACCTTGAGAGATGTTAGTGACTGGTGTTATCATCACTGGGGAAAGTTCAACTCACTTCATTCTGCCGTCGTCAACCGGATCGTAATCCCAGCTGGTGAAAGCACCCTGGGTGAGAGCTCCCCATACCAGCCGACGCTTGCGCTGAGACTGCAGAACCTGCTCCGTGATGGCGTCAAAGTCCCACTTAGCCTTTGTCTCGGCCGTGTACTCCTCGAGCTTTGCCTTGGCTTCTTCCTCCAATACCTTTCCGGAGATGGCCTTTTGGGATGCCAGGTTGACCAGTTCCAGGGGATCGTGCTCGAGGTTGAAAAGCTGGGTGCCGTCCACAGGGCAATGGATGAACTTCCAGGGTCCCTCACGAATCATCATGAGCGGGCTGATAGTGCCCTCACCGGTGTACTCGGCGTAGACCTTGTCGTGACCCGTCTTGCCCTCCAGGTGAGGCAGCAAGGACTTGCCATCCATCGGCAAACCGGGTGCAGGCTTCGTGCCGACCAGATCGCAGAGGGTCGGAAGGATGTCGAGAGTTGACACATTCTTGGTCACGCGGTGAGGCTCAAACTGATGGGGGTGGCGAACGAAGAGAGGAACTCTGACAGAGGACTCGAAGTAGCTCATCTTGTACCAAAGCCCACGCTCGCCAAGCATGTCACCGTGATCACCGCTGAAGACAATGATGGTATTGTCGTCAAGACCGCACTTCTTCAAAACCGACAGTAGTCTCCCGACGCAGTCATCGACGTAGCTGACAGCGCCGTAGTAGGCGCGGCGGGCTCGCTTGATCTGCTCGTCGGTGAAGTCGTAGTCCCATAGATCACAGACCTTCATGAGGCGCTTGCTGTGGGGGTCTTGCTCCTCCTTAGGAATGCGGACCTTGGGGAGGGCAATGTCGACGTCCTCGTACAGGTCCCAGTACTTGTCCTCGATTGTGTACGGGTCATGAGGGTGAGTCAAAGACACGGTAAGAGCGAAAGGACGCTTCTCGGGACCCTCACGGACGTGGTCATAAAGAAATTGGGTTGACCGATACATAACCTCCTCGTCGTAATCCAGCTGGTTGCTTCGCACGCAGGTACCGGCCTGAAGGATAGAGCTTGAGTTGTGGTACCACTCGAGGCGAGTGTCAGGCTCATCCCAGTTGACAACCCAGCCGAAGTCGCCCGGGTAGATGTCGCTGGTGAGACGAGTCTCATAACCGTGTAGTTGATCACCAATGAAGTGCATCTTGCCAGCCAAAGCCGTTTGATAACCCTTCAAGCGCAGGTAGTGCGCATAAGTAGGAATCTCACTCGAGATTTGGCTGGCGTTGTCGTATGCGCCGATCTTCATGGGAAGAAGTCCTGTGATCAAGCTCATGCGCGAGGGTGCGCACAGCGGCGAGGGGCAGTAAGCCGAATCGAACTGGACAGACTCGGCGGCAAGAGCATCCAAGTTTGGTGTCTTGATCTGGGACTCGGGGTTGTACATCTTCAGTTGAGGCGCGGCCAGCTGGTCGGCCATGATGAAGAGAATGTTTGGCTGCTTCGCGCTGGCCGACCCGTTGCCGTTGGCTGCGCTGTTACCATTGGTCGACTTGCCGTGGGCGGGCTGCGCCAGAGGCGACGAGGGGAGGGAGTTGAGGTCTGGAGCCATTGTGCTCTCTCAGACATCAACAATACGAGAAAGAGGGATTCGTCTCTCGAAACTCAGAGGACCTGCGAGGACGACTTGGGTGTTTCCTGCGTTGGTTGTGTGGTGGCAAGAAGATTTCTTTGTAGTGGTGGTGGGCGAGATGGCGGTCTGGTTGCTTATGAAAGAAAGGGTTGGTGTGTGCGTCGAGGGTGGTGATGAGCAATAATCAAAGTTTATACGTGATCATGGACGACAACGCAAGGAGCGACAAGCAAAGTGTGTGAAAGCACGACTAGCTGAACCTTCAAGACAATGTATAGAAAAGGGAGAAACTGAATCAAGTGGTATGTGGGAGAAGCTGTCCTTTAAGAAAGTGCGCCACGGGGAGAGCAGAGACGGGGGGGAGAAGAGAAGGAGAGACCAGTCCCATCTGTCTCGACTCTCGACCCTCCTAGGACCCTGGAGTCCGATAGGAAGAGACGACTGAACGTGGAGAATGAGACCGGGAAGGCGAAGGCAAGGAGCGACAACGCCAAACGGGGGCCACGCCCAATGCACAGACAATGTATATGCACATATGCAACAAGCGACGCGATCAGCGGGATACTTCAGATAAGGATACCCCAGATAACCACTTAGTACCCACCCTCCACCAAGTGGCCCAGCCAGCTTGGTGGACCTCGTCCCGGATCATGCAATGACACGGGGCTCCAGCTGCTTCTTTTCCCACAACCCATGCCTAGCTGCACCGCCTGCAAAAAGGAGGAAGGGGGGGAAGACACACGGCAGGACCAGCCGGAGTCCGCAGTCAACGAAATTTCTCCCCATCCAGCCAGATAATGGAAGGAAGGTGCTTTTGGTCATCAGCCAGGAACGCCTTACCAATGTAGGTCGTTTAGCCAAAGTATGGATTCAGTCGATGACTCTGCCCTGCCTGCCCTTTCTTCCTCGACCTTCTTCTCCCTTCGCTAACGTCAATGTCATCCACGCCACTACGCATACACCGACGCACCGACACACCACCTCTGCTAGTTTGCTGCTCTGCCCACAAACGAGGACAGGTCGTCGCATGTGTCAAATATGGCGTTTTTCCATCAAACAATTGCGAAATAACACATGCGGAGCACCACTCCGCCAGTCACACACTCTCCCTCTGGGTCGCAACCAACGTCAAGTCATCGTCTTGTTCCACCTCCTAGCTTATCGTATGGACGTCTCTGCATCATAACCATCATAAGGAGCAACATGTTCCCCGTTATGACTCCATTCATCGTCAGTTCGTAACGCCCTCCTTCGCAATGCAGCTAGCCTCCAAGGCGATGTCGAGGATTAGATGGCGGTGTGAACAAAATAGTCGGCACACGCTACAATCAGTAACAACGGGCGACCACGGAGAATGCAACGGCCGGCTAGACCTTCTAGAACAGCGAGCATGGGTTGGCCTGTCTCGTGCTTCTCCCATGATCAGTGGTCAAGTTCTCTGTCGCACGAACAGCCTTCGATATGCTTCAAGCAGGAATGACAGACTGTTTTCCCTTGCCTTTTCCCTGCTAAACGGACCCCTGGATCCGGACGGCTAACCCCAATCGCCCTCTTGCATCTTTCCATGTACCCAAAGACCAGCCCGCAACCTGCATAAGCGTCGCCTAACCCTGTCAGGGTCTCCTCCGATTAGCTGGGAGGATGGGATGGCCGAACCTGGCATGCCACAGGAATTTTTCTGGACACTGGTCAATCGACGGGGCCATTTCCAGTGCGCACACACGCGACAAAATTACGGAGGACTCCGTCCACTCTTCAACCGCACCTCCACAGATAAGGACGCGAGGCGTGGGGAGAGAACAAGCTGACGAGATGGGTCCAAGGAAAGATATGAGAGTACACCTTTCCCGGCAGAGACTTTGTGGTCGGCGAGCGTCTCCATTCCTAATATCTATAGCCATAGATTCAGTGCATGCATGCAGGGCAAAGTACCAGCAACTCGGTTACGAATTGAAGCGAACGGGGCGGACCTCGAAATTCTAGATGGCATCAATTGTGGAAAAGAACCCGTCGGAATTAGCAACCGCCTATATGTCGCCCCGTCCCAATTTGCATTCAGCTGTCCTGCAGCCTGAGCTGAGGCTGCAATGCCTTTCCCGCACCTGGCAGCCACCCATCTCATGGACAGATCTCTAATCTCAGTGTTTCCACCACCGGGAAGCCCAGGAGATGTCGTGATGGCATCCATCTCCGACCTCGAGCCGCCTCGCACCCCGCAATTGCGGGGTTACCCTCATGGCTGGCCGGTCACGCCATCGGCATAAGTTCTCTTACTCCGGGTGTGGCTTACACTTGCATCTTGTGCTGCCTCGAGACCTCTCAGTCCTTAGTAGGTGTGTTCCATCATCTACTGGTCACTGGCGCACGTACCAACTTTGACAACACTCACTAACTCCTTACCGCCGGCGTTAGGGCCCCGGCTTCCGGTCAAGCCATACCGCAATCACATCATCGCGCTCCAGTATTGCTTCATCAGCTAAACAGCGGGCATTTGAGTCAAATCGTCGTTTCATAAGCACCAAATTTGCCGATAGCGCAGCATCAGCATCAGAGTCATCATCTTCCAAGGCTTCCTTCCGAGTTCCCAACAAGGGCGAGGATCAAATCTTCCGACGATCCGTACCTTTTCTCCTGCGCATCCGTGTTGCCCCCTCTCCTCCCTTGTGCGTTTGTTTAGCCTCCATGTTGTGCCAGACGAGCCAGCTCGTTTTCTGCCGAGTCGTGTCATCGCTCTTACTGCATATAATTGATCATCTGATGATCCAGCCCATCACACACAGTACCTCTCCGCACCCGTTAAGTGCATGACGAGTGATTATCCTAGAGTGCCACGCGTAAAGCTTTGGCGTCTAAGGCAGGTATCCGTATGGATGGATAGCTTGCACATCCCACCCCGAACATCCCGTCCGACAGTCTGGCAGCCACACACGGCCTACAATCAACGCCAAGCCAAATCCGCCCAAACACCCCTCCATCATGCTTCCTGGAGTTGGGCAGCTGCAAGCTGCACAGAACCCAGACACATCCCTCAAATCACATCCCATCCTACCGAGCTGAGACATTGCTAGGGGCCCCCCATCGAAACACAACGTCACGTTCACCAGCGCACCAACCAACAACGAACAACAAATCAACCTTCCCTCGTCGAGAAGGCTGACAAGATATGCGACTAAACAGCACAGTAATCTACGGCAACAATCACCCTCTCGTGCCGTCAGGTGCCCTGGACCTTGTCCCATCCACCGCACCGGCTGGCTCGCTGCTCATACAACCATGAATATGATAGATAAGTAACAGCTTGGAGTCCACACACCTCAGGGGATTGAAGAATAAATCTTGCCGTGAATCGGCCGTGGTGGCTTGCGATCGATGATCAGCTAGAACATCGAAACTGCTCGCCAAGCCCCGTCTTAGCCTGCTTCAGTCTCCCGCGGCCCTCCTTTGACACCCTGCAAGGAGCCGCAATCATCCCCTCGCCAACAAGAAAACCAGCCAATAACCTGATAAAGGCATAACACCGCAGCCCGCGCACCCCCTTTCCCGTGAAGCCAGTTCAGTTTCCCCCCTCGTTTCCCCAGATCTCGTCCCGCCCCAAAGTCTCGAATAACCTCACATGACTACACGTCGCGTTTCGCCGTTGGTCCTTGGCATCCCGCCTGAGGCCACGGGATCACACAACTCCATGACATCCACAAGGCTACCTTTACCTTGTTCTTGCAATACATGCATCGCAGCCACTCTTTCGGAAACACACACACACACACACACACACACACACACCAGTCTCCTGCGGGCACGTCGTCTATCGTCGGCACAGTCGATATGGAGCGACACACAGATCGGGAGAACCAAAACAAGAGTTCAGCAATGCGGGCGTGACATTGAACAAGTTGATCTAAAGCGACTAAAAGACCTCGAGGGGAATCTCTTATGCAACCCTTTCCCGCCGCATCTCCAAGACTCCCCGCTCCATCCAAGTCGAATCCGAATTTCCCTACTTTGGGGTAAAGCAGCACCCCCGAGGCAGGGAGGCTGCCCACCCAACGAATGGTTTGTGGTTGTTGTCAGTGTTTGCTCATATGTACTCCTACAAGCATTATTCTCCCAGTTGATTGAGTTTTCATTACCCCGCAATGCAATCTCGAAAAGAAGAAGAAAAGAAGAAGAAAACCCCGCCCTCGCCTTGCTTGGTCCAAGTAACATCCGTCTCATGCATCCCGGAGAGAGTAAAAATATCCTGCATGCCCACGCGCCACCGCTTCATGCTCAATCGTCCCATCAATCCATGTCTCATATACCCTTTTTATTTTCCTCTTTCTCTTTCTTGCCATATGCTGGTTTGCTGCATATTTACTGCGTGCGGTAAAACTTCTTGTACAGAAGATGCAGAAGCAAGTTGACGTTCAGCTTGAGGTTCCCTTCGAAAAGGTTCATGAATTGATGGGCCTCGAACTGAGCCTGCAGCAGATCCTCAATCGGTACGAGGGCGCTCGCTCCCGGCATCTGGATGTGACCGCGGGACCCCTCGAGGGAGAAGACGCCCACCTCGTCGCAAGAGATGGTGAGGTTGACCCTCTCCCAGTCGGTGACGCCACTCCACCCCACGAGCACGCCTTTCTCTGCGAGAGCCCGAGCGCTATATTTGTAACTGCCAAACTTGGGGACCCGCCCGCTACGTTCCAGTTCGCGCTGGTGGTTGTACTGTTTGGTGAACGGAAGCAGGAACCGTTTCTTTCTGGAATGACGAGATTTAGTCAGCTTATGGCGACACACTTGGACCGTGCTTATAATGTGGGGATGTGGGACGGAGAGAGGGGAGACACTGTGGTTTTTGATAGACTTACCCTTTGTTCTTTTGTAGCGTCGCCATGGCTGACTCAATGTAGTCGTCATAACTCTTGCGCTGCTGCTCAAGGTATTTGGCCTTATCGTGCAAGTTGGCAAGAGTTGACCGGACACCCTCCAGTTCACGCTGCCGTTGCACGCGTCTTCGGCTCTTGGTTCTGATGTCGAGGGCGATGGCGTTGAGAATGTCCTGGTAATAGTTGTGCTTGGAGATTCTGCCCATGTGCTCCAGTCGCAAGATGTTCTCGAGAGCTGTCCGCTTCAGGTCGTAGTATGACATCCGCGTCACGTCCACCATGTGGGCGTCCGAGTATGCGCCTCTCGTGTTGGCGTCCTTCGCGAAGTCGTCGTGCAGGACTGACCGCCACTTGTGTTCATCATCGGGGTTGACGGGCTTGACAAGGATCTCCAAGAGGTTGGCGCCAGTCTGTACGCGAATAATGTATAGGATGCATCGCTTCGTCTCCATAAAGAGGGCCTTAACCTCTGCCTCAGGGTCGTCGATGTCGTGAAGCTTTGGCGTGAGATACATTTGGATGTCGGAGGACCCCGCAGCAAGCATCTCGTTCTCGTTGTTCTTGGCGCTACCTAGATCTTGCAGGATTTCGCGGAGAACATCATCCCGGTTGGGGCATATTGTAGGGAGATCACCAGCAATCAGGTTGTGGATGGCAAAGATGTCCGTCATCTTGATGTACAGGGTCGGCTTGTTCTTGGAGTACAGGTCGTTGAACTCGTCAATGTCGAAGTTGCGTTCGGCATCTGGAACCGAGATGAGCTCGTGAGTAATCTGAGCAAGTCGCTCCGTAGATTCGCCCACGAATGCATTCAGCGGTTGGAGATAGATGTTTTCTCCGCCAAAAGGTCTGCCCGACGCGATCTGGCCAAGCACCTTTGCAACCTCACCCAGGTTACGCTTCTGGAGGGGGCTCAGCTGCTTCTCGATGACTCCCACGTTCTCGGGAGCAATGACAGCGGGTTGCATGTAGAAGCGCCAGAGCCAATTCGTGACCATCTGGAGGAGGTGGTGTTGCGGTTCCTTCTTGAACTGTTGGCAAAGGGCCTCAAATAGTTGGCGGCAAAGGAAACGAAGACCGTAGGGCATCTTCGGAAGGAGATCTTCCAGAGCCAGCAAGTACTGGTCACAAATTTCTCTGAGGTCGCGAAGATGGTCGATGAAGAGGTCTCGGGTCTCCGGGTCTTTGATGGCCATCTCTCTAGGAACATCCAAGGGGCGCCGACTGGGACGACCGGTCCGCAGCTCTTCATTGTTGATAGCTGCCCTGTAGATCTGCAGAGGGTCGCTTTCAAGATCAAGAGCCGGGTCCTCTACGATGTTGTCCCGCACGATCGGACCAAGAAGCTCTCGGAGGTACTTCCGGTCACGAGGGGATCGTGTGTAGTTGGCGAGAAGCTTGGTCCAGAAGAAGTTGCCCCGCAGGTAATCCTGCAAGTTCCTGCTGCACTCAACTTCCTCTCGCATGGACCGGGCGAGGAGCTTGAGGAGGTAGTACTCCTCGCGGCGTTTCTGAGCGTACCCGAACAGACCCATCATAAGGTGCTCAATTCGCTTGCATTCCTTCTCGGGGGTGCCTTGTTCACGGATGCGCTTGAAGAGGCGTGCGAGGTATTGGGGTTGTGTCTGAAGGTTGAAGAAGAGCTGCTGGTAAGATTCCAGTTTCTTCCTTGAGCTCTTGTTCAAAGCCTTCAAGTCGAAATGGTTGGTGGACGAAATTGACGAGTTCGCCAGGAGACCGATAGAGTGTCCACCGTAATTGCTCTGGTGCCTGACAACCTCGTCCAGGGTGATCTTGTTTTTGACGAGGAGGGCAATCTTGATGTCTAGCTGGTCGATGTATTGCTCCAGCATTTCGTTTTGGCGAACTTGCTGAACCACCGTCTTCCGCATTCTCTCAAACTCAATCTCCTCGTTGAAGTCGAAGTCGCTGTCGTTCAGAAGATGGACAAAGTTCTTGACGGCGTTGACTGGCGGATCCTTGCCATGGGTGAGACTCTTGTACGCGTCTCCTTGAATCTTGGCGCGAACGAGGCTTTGAATCTTGACGACCTTCTGCATATTTTCGTTGAAGAATCGTTTCTTCTCTTCAAACTTGGCTCGCACGACAAAGGCTTTGGCGGCAGCTTGCATCTCGACGATCGCGGCCTCCTCCTCTTCGAGATCCGAGATGAGGTTGAAAACATCTCCTCTGACCATCATGGCGCGTGCAAGTCCTTGAAGCTGCTGGATTGCTGGGGTGTGGGATTCGAGCTCCTCGAGAAGCTCACCATGTTGCTGGCGATGCTGGTAACCCCGTATGCGCGCCTGGAGTTTGATGATCTTGGGTTCGGCACGAGACAAGGCGTCTTGTTCCGAAGCAATACGACGTCGCTCAATCATTCCTCGGATAAGAGACTGAAGATCAACGTAAATTGCCTCGTGGCTACTTAAGTCATCGAGGATCTCGGCGACATCTCGTCGGACGGCGGCGGCTCTGATGTGTGCTTGAAGGCTCTCGACCTCAGTGACATACTTGGCGAGCTCTGCCTTTGTCGCAGTGACTTCAAGGCGGACTGAGTTACCTCGGACCGTTGCTTGAAGGTTCTCGATTTCGGAGATGTGCTGGCTGAGTTCCGCTGTCGTTGCTGCAACCTCGGTGCGAAGCGACTGGCCTCTGATTGCTGCTTGAAGACTCTCGACCTCGGGTATGTGTAGGCTGAGTTCCGCCCTGATGGCATCGACTTCGGTACGAAGCGACATGCCTCGAATCACTGCTTGAAGGGCAGTCCATTGCGGCGCAGAGCCTTGGAGATGCCCTTGCTCTCGCGAAATCTGATCTCTAGTCAGCAGTGCCCTGGCAGCAGCCTGGAGGCTGATTATGCTATTGGCCTGTCTTCCCAGGAGCTCAAGGTCATCAGCAACGCGTCCTCTCAACAGCATTCCACGGACAGCGGCCTGGAGACTTTGAACTTCTCCAGATGTTTGGACCGTTTCCTGGTGTTGAGTGACGAGCTCCTTTCGGACCAAGAACCCCCTAAGTGCTGCTTGAATCTTGCGCACAGGTCCTGCATGACGGGCCAACTGAGATCTCTTGTCTCGTACCTCATCGCGGACCTTCTTGGCCCTAACGATACTCTGGAGCTGCAGGATATCGGGCTCCAGCCTCTTCCACAAGCGTTCCTTGTTGGCCATTTTGTTTCGAACGAGGAATCCGCGAGCGAGACTTTGCAGGTCGACCGCAAAACGTCTCATCTGAAGCCGGTAGCCAATGACTTGACGGGTAAAATCGGCTCGGATGCGAGATTGCAGATCGATGAGCGACCCTTCAACGCCCCAGAGCTGCTGCATAGTGTCGCCCAGGCGCATCCGTACTACAGCTCCACGAACCTGTGCCTGAAGCTCAACGATTGACCCCTCGTTCTCGCCCAGTTCGCGATCGATCCTCTCTTCCTCGGTCTCCTCGGGCTCAGGGGTCGCGGGCTCGACACCAAAGTCTGCTCCCATGTTGCCGAAGCTGGGCATGCTAACCCCGAGTTTATCAAGACCCTTTTGCATGGCCTCGAGTTCATGGTGCTCGAATTCAAGCTGTCCGACAAGGTTACCGATGCGGAAGTCGACTATGCCCTTTCTGAAGAGAAGCCAACTCAAAGCGTGGATGCAGTATATGACTTTGGGTATGTTCTTCTTCTCATACAAGTCGATCAGCTCGAATCTGAAGAGGTCTGGGAGTTCGACTTCGTCCAGATATCTGAAGAAGATGGCGATGTTGTCCGAGTGTCGAAATTGCAGTTTTTGATGCCGGAAAATACGGAATCTTCTGTCAGGGTTGAGAGCCTCAACCACCTCCGCGAGGGTGACTCCATCGCGAAGGGCCTCCTCTAGCTCGACAATGGGAGGAATCGCCCTGTGAATGACATCCTCAATCCATTCCTTTGCTTCACCAATATGGCAGAGGTATTCATAGGCCTGGAGAAACTGGCGCTGCTTGTCCATCCAGTTCCGCCCCTCCCATCCATACCCGCCTGTGCGCTGGCCAGCGCGGCTTGTGTTAGGTTTGTCTGCTCTCTGCAACCTGCGGCGGCCCTTCAGGCCCACCACTTCTTGCGCGGGTGTTGTGATTGCGAATTCGTCAGCAGATTCAGATTGAGCAAGCTTGGACAACGTGCGCAGCTGGCTTGTTGAAGATCGGCCCAACTTTTCGAGGTCTGGTCGGGCAAGCGCCGCAGAGTGTACCGCGGAAGGGGGTTCATATGCGTGAGGTAGGGCTGCGCTACCACGGCTAACCGTGTCGGACCGGCCGAGAAACATCGAGTTCGGCCGGATTGTCAGGGTTCGCGATAGCGGAGTAGGCGATGTGCTGCCGTCGTGCTGAGCGTGCGAGAGCTTGCCGCTGTCAACACTTTGTGTGCGCTCATGACGGTAGCTTGGACGAGGCGGTGAAGGGGTTGAAGCTGTTCTTGGCGCGGTAGCAGGGGATGGCGAGGCGGGAGCTTGGGGAGTGGCCGGAGAGACTGCCGAGTCATAGAGTAGATGTTGTTGTCTTGGTCTCTCTTGCGGTCGTGGTTCTCTCCTCCAAATGAGACTTGATGCAACCGTGAACCATCACTCTTGCCCCTCTTGTGAGAACTTGGTAACGAGTAACCGCTGGAAACTGAAGAGAGTTGAGTGCTTGCTCGGCTGTTCTCAGAGTACAGAGAGTACCCTGAAGAAGCAATAGATGATGCGGTAGAGGACTGACGGTTGATGTTGCTGGGGTAATCCAGGGTATGCGACTGTCTGAGAGGGTGCGGTCGGTGCGACATGGTGGGCGATGATTATGATACCGGAGGAAGCCTGCAATCGAATATCTGTGGGCTCAGGAATTCGGATGACAACATTAGGGCGCCTTTGTCGGACGTCGGTGGTACTGGTATGCAACGAGATGGATTAGGGTCGTCCTCGGAGTCTCGATCTTCGGACGGGCTGTTCGTCTCGATCTTTTATGATGCTCGCAAGGGTCGAGTCGAGACAGGACGACCAAAAGTCGGGGAATTCGAAGCGGCCCGCGGCGGTGCGTCGAAGCGCGAGTGAAGAATAGGAGGTCGGACTCTCGGGACGCATGAAAGCGCGCGCTGCGCAAACGTAAAAACCGTCGACGGCGACAAGGAAAACGAGGTCGACGACAGACAACGATGATAAGAAGAAATGTTTGCGACGTAATATTACCGATGAACAGACAGCCCACTTCACGCCAGTGCAGCCACTGCCACTCAAAGCGCAGTCGCAATCTCGTCAATTTGACCGGGTGTGGGTGGGATGTTGGGTCGTTAGGAGGTCGGGCAATGGAGGGGAAGGGTGGGAGGGAGTCGGAACCTGTTAAGGCAGTTTGTTTGTTTACTGCTGCGAGTTGGAAGCGGCAACCAGCCCCCTTGCAACCGGGGTGTGTCTTGTCTCCTCGCAGCGTTGGGGTGCCCAGGAAAATCCGGGTGGCTTGTGGCTCATGGTGGCCCCTGCATCGCACCCGCCCGGCTTTTTAAAGTGGGGGCAGATGCACCAATCTTCCGTGGCACGGCCCTCGGCCCCGCCTCCACTCTCTGTCAATTGGGCTGTCGTCTGGTTTTCTCTGGGCCAGGCTCTTCTGCGGAGAGCTTCGACCCAAGAACGTCAACAACATGATGGCCCGGTGAGGCCCAAAGCTGCAAGGCTGGCCTAGATGAGTATTCAGGCACTTCCCTTGGGTCAACCATCTTCGGGCGGGCCAGGGTGCCGTCTTCCCTGTGCTCTGATTTGACACATGCTATTGTCTACTCCATTTAGAGCCTCTGACACGTCGACCAATCTAACCTCATTATCTGTCGTCTTAGAAACGTTGTCAAGTACAGATGATGCATCGGGAGACGATGGTTGATGTTGAAGTTAAGAGCTGGTGGGGCATGCCCGAGAACCAGGATGGATATTACGTTCAATGTGCTGCATGGATCACATCATGATGTGACGAACCTTCCACGAGGCAAATTCTGGCCCTTTTCTGTGGCACCTTTGTTTTCTAGCTGCATCGGCGCACCTTTGAGATACCGCAGCGCATGTCATTACCTGGCGGAAAGTTGACATTTGCATGGTATTGTCGTCTCAGCATCTGACGGCGCCAACGGCAACGACATGGTTTGACTGGTTTTGAATGAAACCCAGGCTTTGGGGGTATGGCGGCTTCATTGACACAAACTAGGGATGGATCCAATTACGAGTACGCTCTTTACCGTCGTTTTGGCTTTTTGTGTATCCATCGATCGTCCTCAGAAGGCGCAACACTCGTTGTTTTTTATCTGTTTTCTTTTCTTTGTTCCTTTTCCGGTAAAGCTGAAACAGCCAATCATAGCTGTCCGTTACTCTCATGTTGATGTTGAGGAGCAATTTTTCAGGGCAGCTTGCTCCTCACATGCAAATTTCAACCATTCAGATACTATAGTAGAGGGTACACAAACACACGTTTTAACTCATGGGTGAATGATCATGACGAGACAGACTGACAAAAAAATGATCTTGAGAGTTGGATAAGCTCGGGTCCTCTCTATACCAACGGCTAACGCCCCCAGTCCATATTGCACCGCTCGGACATCATCCACAAGTCTCAGCCATACCCAGGTTGGACCAAAATGACATGAAAAGCAACAACATCACCGCTACTCTCATTGCTCAGAGCTGTCATTCGGATTCCCCAACAATTGGCGACGAGGAAACTCCGGACGTGTGCACTTCTCGAGGGATGGAGTGCACGGTACCTTACTATGGTATCCCACCGCCTCCCGTCAAGTGCAGGGCGTGTTTGCCGCTCGGCATGTTGGGCCACCCCAGTTCACTCTGGTCTACGCAACTCCAACAGGGGTTGTCCTCTGTCGGTTGCTCTGGCCAACCAGAGGCTACAAACTTTGCAGCAGGACTTTTCGACAAGGCATCTTGGTCTTCCTCTGACCTGAAATTTTCACGCAAAAATTACATATCGAGAGGATACACATGGGCATGCACCTGCGAGATGGGCGGTGCAAGATTGCACTCCTCTGTCTGTGTGACTGACAGAAACAATCAAGGCATTCCCATTCGACCTCGAAACCACTTTTTCGCCTCTGGACCACCAGGGTTCCAGCTGCTGTTGCGTCATATTTTAGGAGCCGGGTGCCTTCTTACATAATGCAGCATCTACCGTATGTGCCCTGGTCAGACACTGCTAATTATGCTCAGATGCACTTCTGAGGGCACTGGACAAACAGAGAGATTGGATGGCATTTGCTGCCCAACCTCTTTTATTCTTGTACGGGAGTCTTTCTTTCTCATGCAGGCCACAAGTGAGCTGAAAATTATGTACGTTGATCCACACTTCAAGCAAGCAAGCAGGAGTTGGATTCGGCCGTCCGAGGATAAATGGTCGACAACCCGATAAGGCCGTCGCTTGGCACAGTCAAACTGCTGAGCTAAGAGTTGCGCCGCACTGTGTTTTTTCACCGCCTGCCCAGTTGCCCCTCGTTTCGCCGGATGCGCAGCGCTCAGGGTCCGTTCACATTAAAAAATTTCCTGCGGGGTGTCGTCTCAAGATTTTTTTCCCTTCTTTCTTACGGGAAGAAGAGACATAACCAACCTTAGTCTTCGAATCGGCCAGACTTTATTTGCTTGTTCCATTCGAAAGACTAACTGTTCTTCAACTCCGTTTTTTGCCTCTTCTTTCTCCTGTTTCCTCGAGAAGAACAGAAAAAAACTATTTCCTTCAAGATGCCTTCCACCAACGGAATCAACGGCGCCAAGGTGCTCGACTCCAAGTCCGCCCTCCAGGTCTTGAAGGAGTATGAGAGCCGCGATGGCCTCGACATCTACGAGCTCATGGACACCAAGAAGCACGGTGGCCTGACCTACAACGACTTCTTGCTCCTCCCCGGCTACATTGGCTTCCCCGCCTCCGCCGTCGTTCTCGACTCCCCCGTCACCAAGAGAATCACCCTCAAGACCCCTTTCGTCTCCTCCCCAATGGACACCGTCACTGAGCACGAGATGGCAATTGCCATCGCTCTCCAGGGTGGTCTGGGTGTCATCCACCACAACTGCTCTCCTGAGGAGCAGGCCGACATGGTCCGCAAGGTCAAGCGTTACGAAAACGGCTTCATCCTGGACCCCGTCGTCATCAGCCGCGACACCACCGTCGGCGAGGCGAAGGCTCTGAAGGAGAAGTGGGGTTTCGGAGGTTTCCCCGTCACAGGTTTGTCAACCCCTTTGCTTTTTCTCACCGCCCTCCTCGCTTTCATGATTACAAACCTTTTTCAATATAACTTTCGTTCCACCAACTTGACGACCATGTCGTTCTGAGGAGACCTTATACTATGATCAAAGCTTTATGCCCAAATTTAGACTGTTGCAGCTACGTTGTTGGAAAACATGACTAACAATCGTCTGCAGAGTCCGGCAAGCTCGGCTCCAAGCTGCTGGGTATCGTCACGAACCGCGACATCCAGTTCGAGGAGGATGTCAACCAGTCCATCTCCAAGGTCATGGTCACGGACCTGATCACCGCCCCTGCCGGTATTGACCTCCCCGAGGCCAACAAGATCCTGGCCAAGTCCAAGAAGGGCAAGCTGCCCATCGTTGACAAGGACAACAACCTCGTCTCCATGATCTCCCGCTCCGATCTGAACAAGAACCAGCACTTCCCCTGGCTTCCAAGCTGCCCGACAGCAAGCAGCTTCTCTGCGGTGCTGCCATTGGCACCCGTCCCGAGGACAAGAACCGCCTAAAGCTCCTCGTCGATGCCGGCCTTGACGTCGTCATCCTCGACAGCTCCCAGGGTAACAGCATGTACCAGGTCGAGATGGTCCAGTGGATCAAGAAGGAGTTCCCCGGCCTCGATGTCGTCGGCGGAAACGTCGTCACTCGTGAACAAGCCGCCACTTTGATTGAGGCTGGCGTCGACGGTCTCCGCATCGGTATGGGCAGTGGTTCCGCCTGCATCACCCAGGAGGTCATGGCCGTCGGTCGTCCCCAGGCTGCCGCCGTCCACTCCGTCAGCAGCTTCGCCGCCCGCTTTGGCGTTCCCTGCATTGCCGACGGTGGTGTCCAGAACGTCGGCCACGTCGTCAAGGGTCTTGCCCTCGGCGCCTCTACCGTCATGATGGGCGGTCTCCTGGCCGGTACCACCGAGTCCCCCGGTACCTCCTTCGTCTCCCGTGAGGGTAAGCTCGTCAAGGCCTACCGCGGCATGGGCAGCATCGACGCCATGCAGGACAAGAAGGCCGGCAACGGCGGCAAGGACAGCCAGAAGAGCAACGCCGGCACTGCCCGTTACTTCTCTGAGGGCGACAGTGTCCTTGTTGCCCAGGGTGTGACCGGTTCGGTTGCCCACAGAGGGTGAGTTTAAAATCCATTACTGCTATTTGTCACGCTCAAAATGCTAACTGTCACTAGTCCCATCGGCAGATTCATCCCCTACCTGGCTGCTGGCCTGAAGCACTCCATGCAGGACTGTGGTATCCAGTCCCTCAAGGAGCTCCGCGAGTCCGTTGACAACGGCACCCTCCGCTTCGAGCTCCGTACCTCCAGCGCCCAGATGGAGGGCAACGTGAACATGGAGTCTTACGAGAAGAGGCTCTTTGCCTGAAAAACGGCAACGTAGCATTGCAGACATGATGGAACGGTTACAAGATGTGAATGGGACATTAGAAAAGGGTTGATTAAAATCATGAGGGATCGGCCAGGGAGGCATGGAAAAAAAGGGATTCAAAACATAAAAGCCTCTACCTCGGGAGTACATATATACAAAACAACCTAAAAAGAGGGGCGAAGCAAAGAAGGCTTTTGGGTTAGGGTGGCAGTTCTTCAGTCTAGCGGAGTTTTTGGAGTCTACAACGGAGGGCCGAATCGCCTTGAGATGATGCAGCGTTTCTGAATACCAAAACCTCCATCGGGGAAGAGAAATCAAAACGAGTTATGATGATTAGCAACACCACTCTGGTCCAAGATGCTGATGTGATGTCTATGTGTATGTTTGTTAAGGACTGGCCTGCCGTCTTGATGCCGATCCGTCAACCAACCAGGCGCAGCCTCGCGCACTGTCTTAGAAAGTCTGAGCAGATTCCTAGGAGGGATCTGATCATGTCGCGACTATCGTCGGGCACCTCTTAGACAGCACGAAGATCCGAAGCGTCCTTTGCCAGGAAACAAACCCCGCCTCACACTCAAGTCTCAGACAAAGGTGTCTGATCTGAGGCGATCTTAAGACGTATTGAAGAAAGTCGTCACATGCACAAACGGACAGGGTCTTGAGCAAGGTCATGATATTAGATAACTCGGGTCCCACGACAAAATATCTACCGCCCATGCATGCATGATGCCCGCTGATATACTAATGAAATGCCGCCAAATATGAAGCCACAGAAACACAACAGTAAAAACAATGCTTTTTGGTAACCCCCGGAATAAAGTGGTTGCGAGAGCCTTGCCATGCCAGACGCCAGCGATGATGGGCATATATATATGTGTATGCCCCCAATAGCAAGAAACAAGAACAAACTAATGTCGGTTAAATGAAAACGTTCATCAGTGAGAGCTGGCCGTGAATTTCGTGTTTCGCGTCTCGTTTTCGGAAGCCGGTTCGATAGACAAACGACCAAAGGCGTGTTTGCATGCCGTGATGGAGAGATGGTACCTCATGACCGCGCAGGGTTGACGGCTTCGTATCCCGCCGGCCCGTTCTTCGCACCTAGCAAAGGCGCCGTCTCCGTCGAAGCGCCCTGGCCGCTGCCAGACGCAACGACACTGCCCTCGCTAACGTAGCCTTCGTCACTCACGCTCTCGTCCTCGTCGTCGCTCGCGTCGGGCGTCTGCGTCAGGGCGTCGTAGTCGAAGAGCATGTAGATGGGAATGGCGCCAAGCAGCGCCGTGAGCGCGAGGAACCAGTACGCGACGATGACGTAGCCCCGAGCAACGCCCCAACTGAAGGCGGCGCCGGCGGCCGCGGGCCCGAAGGCGCGGCCGAAGCCGCTGAACATGGTGGCGAAGCCGTTGAGGGTGCCGAGGATCCGCAGCGACGAGGCCGAGTTGGTGAGCAGGATCGTCATGCAGGGGAAGCCGATGATAACGGCGAAGGCCTTGACGAACATGACGATCATGAGGGCGGCGTAGCGGCCGGTGTTGCTTTCAAAGAGAACCACGTAGGGTGTGAGGATGTAGACGACGGGGAAGGTAACGGCTGGGGGTTTGTCAGTCAGATCACGACGTTTACAAATGGGACCATATAGTTATACGCACCACAAGCGCGGAAACAGCGCAGGACACCAAAGTAGTTGCAGAGAGGAGGGAAGACGAAGAACTGGATCACACCGCAGGTGATGCCGTAGATGGTGAAGATGGTGCCGATACGGTCCGAGCTGAGGCCGAAGCCGCCGGAGAACTGGAAAGGCAAGTGGGTGTTCTCGGGAGTGTGGACTTGTTTGGGGTAGTTGAGGAAGACCGGGAGGATCTGGTCAAAGGCTACCGAGTGCAGGGCGAGGAAGGTGTAGCAGAGCAGGTTGATGCTCGTCTGCGCGGTGAAAACCTCCTTCATGCTCGGCGCCTCTGTCGACTGCTTGTTGTCCTCGGGCTGCTGGGTATGGGAGTTCAACATGGTAGGCACCAACGGCGCCGTAGCCTCGCCGTCGACGAAAGAGGTGCGCCTGACGTGGGCGTGGTGACGACGAGTAGGACAAGAGCGGCGAAACGGGCGGGTGAGACGCTCGCCAAGGAGAAGGCCCCAGTCGGGCTTATGGCGCTTGCTCTCGAGTGTTTCCTTCAGGAAGAGAGTGGCGGTGGTGACAGAGATGAGGAAGAAGACGGCGGCGATGAGGTTCGGCAGAGCAAACGGGTAAGCGTTGAAGAACCAGCTGTCTCCAAACAACGCCGGGAAACGACGGGCGGGGTTGGCGAAGAAACCGCCAAAGGCCGGGCCGAAGATGGAGCCAACGGACCAGATCAGGGGCATGATAGAGAACGCTCGAGGTTGCAATTCCTTCTCGGGGACCATTTCCGCAACCATGGTTCTAATAATTCCAACTAAAAAGTGAAGTTAGTCTTGTGACAGAGATAATAAGGAGAGTTGCGCATACCATTTCCGTTTCCGCTGCCTAGGATGGCTCGCACGATGATCGCCATCGGCAGGCTAGTGGACATGCCCCAGACAACGAAGAACACCATTGTCGAAATCAGACCGATAATGATGGTCGGTTTCCTTCCGATCCGATCGGAGGCTCTGCCCCACGCCACGGCGGTCACGCTCTGGGAAAGAGAGAAGACCGCAGATGTGTAACCGGCCCATTTAGCGACATCGTTTTGTGGGACGCCGAAGCTGCTGATCATCTCTGGAAGGTAGGGAAAGACGGATGTTAAAGCGAGAGGCTCCGCGAACCGCGCAATAGCTGTTATCAAAGTTAGCCTTGTGTTGAATACTGTATTGGGTAACGCCCTGTTATGAGATATGCCGAAGGCGACTGTATTCGAAACGAGTTTTGTTCCGACCTCCACGTACGGGCCACTTGGACCCAACGACGTAGTCAACCTCCACGATTCACAGTGATCAGGCAGCTTGGAAGATCAAAACCACGCTTGCGTCGCATTTTCGAGGTAGGTTCTTGGAGTATGTGTGGCTAAGGACAGGCGGCGGTAGTATGGCGAAACATGCAGATATCCAACCGTTCCAGAGCCCTTGATCTTACTAAATGCGATCCCACAACTTCCATAGAGCCTCCCGTCGCATAATCCCGAAGTTGTTTGCAAGGGCTTCCCGCTGATCTGACTCATCGGCACTTGCCCGCACTGGATGTCGTCCGTAGAGAGAATTGAGGTTTGTTGCGAGGATAGTTAAAAGCAATCGCCGAGACATGTTCTGAAATGTGAGGGCGTCTTACCCAGAATGGCCAGTTGCTTCGACGGCAACTTTGGTTTCGTTGGTTTGGTCATGATGATACTGCAAAAGGAACAAAGGCCCACGACGAGAAGAACAACTACACAAGTATGTGAGAAGTCTAGGTTGGGGAATATCGAGCGGATGGGCCGAAACTAAGGAGCCGGGACAGAATTTCCTGGAAACGCAGCAAGTCTAGGACGTAACAATATGATGTCGAAGGTAAGCACACGAAGTGAGTATGGAGAAAGCAGGGCGACCAACAACTTTAAAGTAAAAGTTTGTTGGAGAATTGGGGAAGAGAAGAGAGTCACAAGAACACACAAGCAAGGTAAGAAAATGACGGTTCGTCAAGCGCAGACAAAAAAACCAACGGCAATGCTCCACTTTCCATCTGCAGGCTCGCGGCTGCACTGCGCTGGACAGGGAATAGCGTGGGTATGCATTTCATGTCACCCGCAGTCATGCATCCAGCTCTCCTGCAGGGCGTCTTCGAAGGCCGTAAGAGCGGAAGGGGACCAGACCAGACTTTTTTTGTTATTCGACGCCGATCCCCGCGCCTCTGCTGACGAAAGATTCTCATACGATTACTGGTCAGAAGGGCGGTCGTTCTTGGAGGGGCGAACCACTTGGTTGCTTGGAAATGGAGACGGGGCACTTGGAAAGCCTCGCCTCCCGGGGATTAGTATTGCTAGTGTAAGAGATGGTGGGGAGAGCCTTGGGAAGTGGGAATTCCCGCCTGCCGTACCCTGACTTGGCATTCTAACATGTGTGCGCGCTATTGGAGAACGAACTGCGATGACATCCTAGCGCGAACCGCATAGGGATAAACAGACAACGGGGAGCGCGAGACGCGAGCAAAGTGCGCAAAATGCGTTGCGACAACGAGCGAGATGGGATGACTGTGGACGTCGTGTGTCTCGGATGCGATCAAGTGCGATGTTTAGGGGACGCTGGTCCGGCTTGCGCGGTGCCCCGTGTCTCCTACACTTCCCAGGGCGCAATGTTTTGCGAGCAGAAGCCGATTCCCTGCTGCTGAAGCAGAAAAGCGTTGGCCCGGTCCAGGCGTTACGGCGGGCGGGCGGACGGGCGTTTGGCAGGGAATGTTGCAAGTGGGTGGTGTCCCGGCGTATTTCTTTGAAGGGATTTCCAGGTTGTCCCAGATGTCCGTTGTCGGCAGAGGCTTGGTCCTGTTGGAGTCCTGTTGGAGTCGGTGAGGGTGTGGTGTGCAATGGGGCATGGAAAGCGCAGGGGCTCTCGCTATAGCCGGTGGTACATCCTAGCAGCAACGGGAGGTGGGAAGCAGGCGGTGCTCCTCCAAAAAGCCGCCTCAAAGCCAAAAAAGATGGAACGAAAAATGCACAAGAGACAAGAAAACCGAGGTCGCCCCCGCAATTGCCATGACGTCCAATCCTGCCGGTGGAGGGCCTCTTTTTCCGGCGGCGTTTGGCCGACTCGCCGAAGCCGGGGCCGAATGTCGGGGCAAGTGCGACGAAGCTGAATCATCATTTCGAGCCGATTGGGCAGGGGTAACCTTCGCTTGTGAGCGCCAGCGAAGCAGCGCCAACATTGCATGAGAACTTTGTGTTGCATGGCCATTCCAAGACAAACGCACATTTTGAATGCTATGAGACCACACACCGCCAGATGGGAGAACACACGACAAGACGGAAACTGAACAGCCAGTATCGATATCCTCAGAGACACCGGATTGGGGGGGGGGGGGGGGGTAGTGGTTGCCAGGCGAGCGCACCGAAAAGAACGATTGGGCGGAATCCACCCAATCAATTGCGTGATTACCGATGTTAGCCGATAAACGCAGCCAACCCGTTGCCGGATGAGGGTGAGTCTCTTAACTCGAATCGAGGAGGGAGGACAGGCGGCAATGGCGCCTTCCTAGCCGAAGCTTAGATAAGATGATGTAACTGCCCGACCGTGACGAATGATCTGTGTCTCTGTCCACCTGTGATGTCTTTCGGACTAAGAGCGGAACGTGAGACGGTTGATGCGGCGTCACGGGACGGATGTTGGGGCCCGTCTGAGCAGTAGTTGGCGAACTGAACCGTAGCCGTACCTCCGTACCTTGTTGGAGAAAATTGTTGTCCCTATCTGCCAGTCTCCGGGGAGGAATCGGCACCGGACCGCCGATGACCCGCAGAGGTCCTCTTCGCCTGAGTACCCAAGATAGGAAGGAGGCCAAGCATTCCAGTACTACGTACACTACCTACGAGAGGGGAACTCGGCGGACCCATTGAAAATAGCAGAGCTGTTCAATCGCGTCTGTGGGTGACAGTGCCAGTGGAGGTTTCACCAGGCGGCGGCAGCCGATCGGCAAACTGTGCTGATGCTGATAACATGGACGAAGCACGCAATGTTCGTAGCAACTTCAACTCTGTTTCAACGACATCTCTGGCAAAAAGGCGCAGAGACAATTGTTGTTGAAGTGCTTCAAGATGGCACACGAGTAAGTTTGTTTCTATCGCATTCGTGAGCCGTTGTCCTTGTGACGAGGAGCTTGACGAGGGAGCTCTGGCCTGGGCTAGCGTGGCTGAGCATGGCCCGCGATGATGCAACCATCGTTATCAGCCACACGGTGCCTCCCGCGTCTCATCCGTCCTCCTCCTCATCGCCCAAAACCACAAATCGACGGCTGCCAGCGCGCATGCCACGCACTCGAGACAGTCATACTGACACAAGCACAGAAAGCGCTACGACGACAAAATGTCTGATGAGCGGACGCCGCTGATCACCAATGTCTACATTGGTGCGCCGCGCCGCCGTTACCCGAATAATGTCTTACGTCGGTTCTGCACCATCGCGCTCTCATCCATCCTCATCTTCTGGTCCATCTTCTTTGTAGTCGCCCTCTTCGTCGACGAGCCTCCTCGTCACCACAATCACCGCCATCACGGCTGGTCCTGGTCCAACAGCCTCAGCCGTGGTCCCATCACCCATGAGGAGTTGCAAAAGATCCTCTTTGAGGTGCCCTCATCTGAGAAGGCCGAGGAGTGGAGCAAATATTACACAGCCGGGCCTCATCTTGCGGGCCAAAACTACTCTCAGGTATTTGTTCTAAAAAACACCATCCCCGAGAAACTCGCTTACACTTTATCCAGGCTCTGTGGACCAAGGAAAAGTGGGAGTCGTGGGGCATCCAGTCTGACATTGTCTCTTACGATGTCTACCTGAACTACCCCATTGATCACAGCCTCTCCCTGCTCTCGAAACCCAAGGATGACGAAGAGTCCACCTGGAAGGTTGAGTTCAAGGCCACTCTCGAGGAAGACGTTCTCGAGGAAGACCCGTCCTCCGGCCTGGAGGATAGAGTGCCAACGTTCCACGGCTACTCCGCCAGCGGCAACGTAACCGGCTCCTTCGTATTTGTGAACTATGGCACGTACCAGGACTACGAGGACCTCGTCAAGGCCAACGTCAGCCTGGAGGGAAAGATTGTGATCGCAAAGTATGGCGGCATCTTCCGCGGCCTGAAGATCAAGCGCGCTCAGGAGCTTGGTGCCATCGGCGCTCTGCTGTACAGCGACCCCGGTGACGATGGCAAGGTCACCGAGGAGAACGGGTACGAGGCCTACCCCAACGGTCCTGCCCGCCACCCGAGCGCCGTCCAGCGCGGAAGCGCCCAGTTCCTCAGCCACCGGCCCGGAGACCCCACCACCCCCGGCTACCCCTCCAAGCCAGGTGTACCCCGCGCTCCCGTCGACGACGCGACCCCCTCCATTCCGTCCATCCCTATCTCCTACGCGGATGCCCTTCCCATTCTGAAGGCTCTCAACGGCCACGGACCTTCGGTGAAGGACTTCAACAAGTACTGGAACAGAAACCTCGGACTCAAGTACAAGGGCATCGAGTACAACATCGGCCCCTCCCCCGACAACGTGGTCCTGAACCTCTACAACGAGCAAAACTACACCACCACGCCCCTGTGGAACGTCATCGGCATCGTCAACGGCACAATCCCCAACGAGGTTGTCGTTGTTGGCAACCACCGCGATGCCTGGATTGCTGGTAAGTTGGCGCGCCAATAGTTTACATGAATCAGAGAACTCACACAACAGCAGGTGGCGCCGGTGACCCCAACAGCGGCTCCGCCGTCCTGAACGAGGTGATCCGCGGTGTCGGCATTGCCGTTGCCAGCGGCTGGAAACCCACGCGTACCATTGTCTTCGCCAGCTGGGACGGCGAGGAGTACTCGCTGATCGGCAGCACCGAGTGGGTGGAGGAGTACCTCCCCTGGCTCTCCCAAGCTTCGGTCGCCTACGTCAACGTCGACGTCGGTGTTCGCGGCCCTAACTTCAACCCCTCCGCCGCGCCGCTCCTCCACCGCGTCCTCCGTGAGGTCACGCACCTCGTCCCGTCCCCCAACCAGACGGTTCCCGGCCAGACGGTCGGCGACGTGTGGGACGGGCACATCAGCACCATGGGTTCGGGCTCCGACTTCACCGCCTTCCAGGACTTCGCGGGCATTCCCTCGCTCGACTTTGGCTTCGGCGGCGAGAACGACGAGGTCGTCTACCAGTACCACTCCAACTACGACTCGTTCCACTGGATGAAGGAATTCGGCGACCCGGGCTTCGTTTATCACCGCACCATGGCCCAGATCCTTGGCCTCGTTGTGGCCGAGCTGTCCAACGTGCCCGTCATCCGCTTCAACGCCACCGACTATGCCGACGCCCTGACGGCCTATGTCGACCAGGTCGAGGCCAAGCTCACCGTCGCTGAGCCCGCCTCGGACGAGGAGCTTTTCCGCATGCGCGCCAGCATCGTCGCCGCCGACGCCGACGCCCGCGGCTCGCCCTCGCAGTTCCGCGCCTCCCTGCAGATCCTCCGCACCTCCATCGCCGCCCTGCGTGAGAAGACGGAGAAGCTCGACGCCACGGCCAGCTGGGTCGACTGGGAGCTCAAGTCCGAGATCCCCTGGTGGAACCTGTTACGCAAGATCAAGGTCGCCCTGGCCTTTGTCTGGGTCAACAAGTCCTACAAGGGCTTTGAGCGCCACTTCCTGTATCCCGGTGGCCTGGACGGCCGCAGCTGGTTCAAGCACGTCGTCTTTGCGCCTGGTCTGTGGACCGGCTACTCTGGAGGTCAGTAATCTGTTCATTTCCCCAACTTTCCCCATTGCATGTCGTTCAGACAAGGGACAAATGCTGATTCGTGATTGTAGCCGTCTTCCCCGGTCTTCAGGAGAGCATCGATGCCAAGGACTTTAACAACGCCCTCAAGTGGACCGGCATCATCAACGAGTGCATCGCCTCCGCCACCAAGAGCCTCTGAGAAGGGACCTAGCTGACAAGGCTTCCAACACCCGGACACTGGAAAGTTACTTTGATGACCAGTTTGGAACTTTTGTTATGCTTCATAGCATTTAGCTGGGCAGATTTTGCATGATCGCAAGTATCTTATCTAGCCAATCGCATGATGCCGGAAATGTAGACTACGTAAATAAGTTCCGATGACTCGCTTGACCCTAGGATATGGTGGTATTAGGGGCTTCAAAGTATGTATTGCAGTTCACTTTTTACATCTGGACTGTCATTGTAAACCGTGCAAACAATCACATTTTCTCGGCAATACGTATGTATCAGCATTCGACAATGGAATCTATGCCTCTATCGCCTCGGCTATTCATACAATCACAGCGTCTCCCGCAACGACGCCCTCCACACTTCTCAGACGGTTCTTTTCTTCCACGCACTTAGAACTTGTAGACCTGCTCGGGCTTGTATCCCAGCTCCTTGAGGGCACCGACCAGCTCGCCCTGATCCCTGGGGCTCTTCTTATTGCCCGAGACGGCGTTCATGAGGCCGGGGGGACCGCAGACGAAGACCTTAATGTTCTCGCTCTTGGGCTCGGGGAGGACCTGCTTCAGGAGGTCCTTGGTGATGAAGCCCTTGTTGCCGACCCACTCCTTGGGCGGCTTGTCGAGGACGTAGAAGGCGCGGAAGCGCTGGGGGTACGTGTTCTCGAGCTCGGCGAACTCCTTCTTCAGCAGGATGTCCTCCTCGGTGACGTTGCCAAAGACCAGGGTGACCTTGGTCTTGTCCTCGGGGTTGTTGAAGATGGCGCGTGCGAGCTGGTACATGGGCGTGATGCCCGTGCCGCCGGCGACGAGGGCAATGTGGTCGTGCTTGTTGGGCGTCCAGGGGTACTTGGGCAGCGGGCCCTTGAAGTCGAGCCGCTGGCCGGGCGTCATGTCGTGCATGTGCGTCGACATGGGGCCGTTGGGGTACTTCTTGACGAGGAGCTCGATGTAGCCCCTGGCGTCTGCGCAGCCGTTAGCATGGGAAGGGTCGCCAAAGGGACCGGGGGGGACTGACCCTCATCGCTGGTGGGCGTGTAAGGCCTCAGCGTGGCCTTCTCGTCCTCGGGACCCTTGTACTTTGTCAAGATGGCGCTCGCGACCTCGAGGCCGGAGACCATGTCGTCCTCGGGCAGCTTGAAGCGGAACTTCTTGGTGTTGTGGTTGACAATTTCGACGTCCTCAAGCTTGAGGGACACAAAGCCCTGGTCACCGCCGGTCAGCGCCTTCTTGGGCGCCGCACCAACGGCCTCCTTAACCTTGGCCTCGGCCTTCTGAGCAGCGGCAGGGGCAGAGGAGCCGGACAGGAAGTAGTAGGCGCCGCCCGCAACGGCGGCCGCGGCACCGGCGTACAAGGCCGCGTTGGAGCTGCCGCCCTTGGCGGGCTCGGTGGCGTAGCGGCGGGCTTGCTGTGACGAGAGACTCTGGTTAGTTCTCGTGGTTCAACTTTCGTGGCGGTAGAGGGAGTTCGGGTTCAAGACATGTCTTCATAATCTTGGTGCAAACCCGCAAATGACCCTGGTGATGAGGGGGGGGGGGGGGGTTGCGTGCGAGATCGGGATACTTGAGGAAAAAGAGCTTCTTACCAACTTCAGAGGCTGCGCGGCCCGGAAAGCAGATCGAGCGAACATGGTGATGGGGACTCAATTGAGGTCTTCCAAGACGTTAAAAGTCGTTCAATGGATTGGCGTCGAGGGAGGACAGAGTTGGTAGTTGATTGCGAGAGCCTGATTTGTTGCTGCGAAAGCAAGCTTGCGTGGATTGGATCTGAGACAGACAAGAGAGCTCTAAACCCGGGCAGCCCGCAAAGCTCCATCTCTCCAGCCTGGGGGGGGGGGGGGGGGCTACATGACGTAAAATGTCACGTGAATTCACCCGCGCTGCCCGATCCCCGCCGCGCTGGACCTCCGTTGGCCGGATGGAAGCAATACCTAGGTTGCATTTCTAAGCAGGCTTGCTAACGTGCTCAAAGGGCCTCATTGCGAAATTGTATCACAGCTATTGTCTAGCGCTTGTGACCGGCATTCAGTAGCGAAAACGCAAACTATAGAAGATGTGCATATGCTGAATGAATGCTCCGTATGTTGGTTTATATCCCCTCACACGGGGAAAGCTGGAGATTGCCCCCATATATTATGTACAAGCAAACAGCTTCAGTTGCTGAGAGCTTAGCTAAATCATCACCTCACACTCGTAAGGTGCCGCGGCCAGGAATCGGGAACTCGGCCGCCCAACATACAGTCTTCCACCATCTGCATTGAGCCCAAATGGGCCCTTCAACCGGGGCCGTGACCATCCACATTCTTCGTCATCCAAGTTACATGCTGAAAGCGACCAACCAGGGGCTCCTCTCTTTATGTCTCCTGCAATACAACAATACGCCTCTTGATCATCAAAATGAAATCAGAAACGCTCCTCCCTAACGTTCCTCATAGTACATGATTTAAGCCGATCCCTTGAGACAAGGGACCTGCTGAACAGAAAAATCTTATCCTCCGAGTACACCGCAGTCAAGGCCTATCGGCCTCGCCAGGATCACCGGCCTGTGTCCATGGCGTCGGGGTCTGCAGGCTTCTCGCTGGGAGTCTTTGCCTTCGGCGTACTCGACCGATCCACTAGCTTGCTCTCTGTAATCGCCTCCGTCAAGGGGCTGACTTGAGAGTCCGTCTTTTTCGCCGTTGTGTCCTGGCTTCCTCGGCGCATCATGCCGACGTCTTGGTGCGAAGCCAAAGTAGGCGTATTTGCCTGGCTACCGCCTCTCTGGCCATGATAGTGAACGACTTGGGGCGGGGGTTGTCCAGCCTGAATGCCAAGTTGCTGCGTGGGGTATGGGTCCAAGTCTTTGCTAGAAGTAGAAAATGTCGATACTACAGGCTGGTGATAGCCATTAGACGAAGACTGACTACCCGTTGGTGTGTGACCTTGTGGTTGATGTTCCGCTTGTGTTGGTGTTCCGACATCGTTTGGAGAAGTCGAACCCTCGCCCAGGTTCCCCGTAAGGCTGGTCATCCCGCCTTCGATATCCCGGAGCAGGCGAACGTATTCTTCTGGGACCAGTCCGCTTTCTTGCGTCTTTGGGTCTTCGGCCACAAGCCAGCCCTGGCCATGTCGATACGAGACCCATATAATCTGACCCTCCACTAACGGCAATTCGTTCTCGTTTTCTCTCTCAAAGTCAAAGAGAGCAACAGCCTTGCCATGCATCTCCTCGTCGGGCGATGTAATGGTGAACTGGTAGTCCCGCGAGTACCTCGATTGGTCGTCGCCGCGGAAACCAGGGGAGGATGCAGAGCTCGAGGCGTCCGAGTAAGCCTCCTGTTCCGCATAGTGCCGAGGAGGTAGGTCGCCCAGCTGGTATGCATGGCTGGAATGTCTCGCATCGTCGGGCGGGTAGGTGACATATTCCCCACCCGGTCCGTTCGCTTCCCCTCCCTGGTTCAAATAATATCGTTCACTGCCATCGCCACTAGTCCCAACATAGAAGCTGCGCTCTCGCTCGTAGTGTGCTGGGTTGAGCAGATCGTTGCTCTCGTCCTGGGAATGCCTTGATCGTCCAGTTCCGCCAAAGGCTGCAGCAGAAGACTTGTGCTTTCTGTGCCTAGAACTGACAACAGGGCTCGCCAAGTCTTCGTCTTCGCTCCAGGGTGGGCCATCTCGAAATTCCATGGGCGGCAGATCGTGGGCCTTGCCGAAGCCTTCGGGCCCCCAGGAACCAGTGTCCCAGCTCGTTTTGGTTTCCCAATGGGCGGGAGGATCGGAGAGGCGGCGCGATTCGCTGGCGGGCGTGCTCAGACCAGACGCAGGATGCGACGGCTCTGGCGCGGGTCCGTAGTGCATGGGGTGCATCATGGGATATGCGAAATCCCGCACCAGAGTGTAGGAAAGGTTCGAGGTAAACATTGGGAAAATGTGAGAAGGTGGTCGCGAACGCGACGGGACGGAGCCCGTCGAGTACTGCGATAGGCGATTCTTTGAAGCGTGCGACATTGGTCTCGGTGCGGCTGATCGTCGGCTGGGTGGTGATGTTATTAGTGGCGGTAGTGAGGGGTGGTTCGGGTTGGTGGAGGGAGAAGCTGCAGCAGGTGGGGATGTCACGGGCGAGGAGTTTTGTGACAAGAACGTGGTCATCCTGAGATTATCGCAATCGTTGGGGAGCCAGCAAAAGGATGACAGGCACCCGATTCGCGGATCCTACGGCCTCGTGCCACCGGTTCCAGCAAAGTCGCCGCAGAACAGTCGGCCGTAGTTTGCCGACGACGATGGGAGGTGGAATATGATTGGTAAGAAGTCGGTCCTGGGCGACAGCCGCAGTGAATTCGAAGGTATGCGCAGGCGTAATCGTGAGTTGTACTGCGCCAGAACGGAGAGGGTTAGCCTTGGTATGCGGGCTGCGAGGTTGGTGATTTGAACGAGGCGAAGACGAACAGATTTGGTTGAAAAGAGCAAGGGGCAACGGCGGCGGCAGAAGCAGCAGCAAACGGGCTTTTTCGCAAGGTGTCGCAAAACGAAAGTCGTCGCACGCGACGCTGTGGGTTGGAAATCGAATAAGGAGCGTCGAGAACTTAAGGCCAGAAGCGAGCGTGCCGATGGAAGTCGGGCCGCGGGGTCGCTCGGCGTGCAACAAGAGGAGGGTCGAAGAATGAAGAGGGCCGAATGGTGCAGCAGATGAGGGGGTGGATGAGAAGGAGGAGGAGGATGGAAGAAGAAGAGAAGAAGAATGGATGAGTGGGAAGGATGAAGTGAGGTTGGGAATAATCCGTCTGGGTTCAGGTCGCTGGCGCTGCTTTGGTGCTGGGCAGCCGCTGCGCAGCGAGAGGAGAGAGAGTCCAAGTCCCCAGGTCGCTTTGCTGATGAGATGGTGGCAGTGTGGAAAGAGAGGTACCGCGACCCGTCCAGCATCCACGTCCGTGTCTGTACAGGGCGGAACAGAGTGGTGGAAGACCTGCGGAAATGTACCTTTGGAGAGAAACTATGTGTGTGTGTGTGTGTGTGTGTGTGCGTGTGTCCCGCAGCCAGAAACGGCCGTCCGTGCCTTTTCGCACCAGAGCAGCGCAAGATTGGACTGGACTGGACCAAACTGGACTGCAACGAGCTACCTCAGGTATTGGTCCTGGACGAGCACAAGTATCTGTACTTTGACGTCGTACTTTTGTTAGGGCACCTTTTCGCCAGTGAGCAAACAAGCTACAGAATGACCCCTCTGGGGGGAGGGGATGGGGGTCGCACGAAAGAGCGGGCGGGCGGACCACTCACTCATCCACTATCCCAAAGTACTTGCGACCTCGAGGGGGAAAGCTCAGGGACGCAAGAACAGACACTTCGACCCCCAAACGCACTGGGACTGCACCTTGCTGCCTCTAAGCGCGTCGCGCAGTGATCCTACTGGCTGTTGGCGGTTGGAGCTGGCGGGAAGGGGTGGAGGGGGGGGCTTTATGGAGGGGGGCGGACGAGGAGCGGAGGGGACAGGACAGGAGAGACGCCGCAAATGAGAGTTAGAGTGAGAGAAAGAGGGCGGTGTGTTGAGAGGTGAGGGGCGGGAGAAGAAAGAGGAGGATTAGAGAGAAAGGATCACAGCAGAAAATAATGACACCAGCGGCGGCGATGGTAGCAGTAACAATACCCTCAGCAGGAATACAACCTGGAGTGTTAGGTTAGGCAAGGCAAGGCAAGGCAAGACAAGGTGCGAGAGAGAAGGGGAGGGGATGGGGGGCAGGGGGGTGGGATTCGGACAGGACTTGGACCTCACTTGTCCTCTTTCTCTCTGTCTTTCTCAAAGAAACACAAAAACAGCAAATAGATAGAAAGAGACGCCCGGAACCGAGTCAGCGCCAGCTTCTGCAATCGGCAGGACGGACTCGCTGCGGGCTGGATTTGGATCCTGCCGCCCACTGGCCCGTCCATAGTACATATTAGTTTACATGTCAGTACCTTGCGTAGTACCACTCAAAATGTTAGATCTGAACTGGAAAGGTATATCCTCCGTTACTGCCGTGGGTAACAATATCTGGAGATTTGTCCGGAAAACAGTAACAGCTCTAGCCCGTGGATGCTGTGCAGCTCGTTCTGGCAGGGGAGTTTACGGTTTCCAACCCAGCATGGAAGGCCAGGCCAGGCCAGGCCAGGCCAAAGCAGTAAGGTACATACATACTGTAGAGCAAAAACAACCCGGTGGATGTTGGACAGGTGCAGGCGGAGTTGCAGGTACGGAGACTTCATGTACACCGTCGGTACGAATACGCCTTCACGCAGCTGCTGCGTCGCGAGAGGGTACTTGATCATGTACCTCATCTCTCTGCCTCGCGCTTGCACTGCCCGCAAGACCAGCAAGCAGGTGGGCTTTCGTCCCCTTGCCAGTCTCTTCTCACGGTGGCTTCAGCGTTCTGGCCCGCTTAGGATCTGCTACTCATTCAACAGATTCGTCACCTCTCCGTCCCCCCCTTTCCATCGGTTCCATCACCCATCTCAAGGGAATCCCTTCAGGTGCTTGCTTCAACTTCCTTGTCGACGACGAATCTAACTCCGATGCTGCCTGTTCGCCAGTCATCACCTACCACCGCCCGAAGCGAGCTCATGCCGAGCCGCTCTCCCGCTTCTTCCCCTCGAACACTTGATTGACTTGCCCATCCGTTGTTCAGGCTTTCTTCTAAAGCAATAGGGCACGGTGACGGCCATCCGCGCGTTGCGTAGGGGTCCCAATTCCCTTTTTAAGCCCCACCAGCTTGAAATACAACCTCATCGAGCCGCCTGTGCTCTCCAACACGCTACTGACACGCCCGGCCCAGCTCGTCCAGGCTCAACGTGGGATTTCGGCCTCCACTGGACGAAGACGCATACAGTGAGTGTCACCGCAAAGCAAGGGCTGTCCGCTCCATGTTGTTGAGTACTGCTAATCCCAATGGGAGTTCACTCTTCTCCACAGCAACGGCCCAGAGCCTTTACCAGATCCAGAAGGAAGAAACTTGTCGAACAGGGCAAAAGCGGCACACAGTGTCGTTGTTGGTCCACCGTCTCTGTCATCAATAGAAAATTCAATACTGAACGCTTCTGCATCGGCCGGCGCAGATTCCCGTTCAGGTCGCACCAAGGTCGGACGGCCGCCGACCCACAGTTGATTAGCGAGGACGTCCCTGGCGCAAATCGTACTTGGAGTCCCCAAGACCGGCCGTCCACTGACATGAAATTCGCCCTCTTGGTCCGAACCATAGTGATGGGAACCTTTGCGTGCGTGCGCTACAAGGGGCTCGAATGAACTGGAACTGCTGGCCAACAATAAACGTAGCGAAAAGACGGAACTAGACCATACGGCAGAAACAGCAGAGATCGGCATCGGACCCCACGCCACAGCCATCGCACATATGACTCCAATATCTCCTACGTAGCTCAAGGGTCTTGGACTTAACAATCAAACCCTCTCTAAGATGGTGCCGTATGCTACGAACAAGCTCAACACCCAGAAACTCCATCTGTGCAGTCTCCCTCCCTCCCCAAGAGTGGACAGCCTGGAGCGCAAACGACCAGCTACCTACTGGTTAGCCAAGCGCTATCCTACTAGCTGCATCTCCCGTTCATTAGTGCCAATCGTGGGGCAACCCACAAACCGACGGATGGGCTTCAGTCGAAATTGCGTTCTTGTCCTCCGTCCACAGGGTGGAAATGGGCATGGTGAAACTCCAATGCTGATCGGTCGTCTCCCGTTACCTGCGTCTCCTAGAAGTTCCCAGCTTTTGCTGTCAACCGTCAGCGACCACGTGCAGAACAGCCGTCGCTGCTGTTTCCAATTGCATAGTGGAACTGGCGTGGTTAGAGATGGGCGGGAAAGGATCCGGCGGCTCGCAGGTCATCGACAAACCCCAATCCTCGCCAGCCTGCAGCTGCAGCTGGGCTACAGCCATTGGCATTGGCCCGCTACCCTCGCACAAATGCATCTGAAGACTGGCAGCAGCAGCAGCAGCAGCAGCAGCAACAACGCACAGCACTAGAGCGATGCAACAACTCATTGGACGGTCTGCCTAGAATGAGCGGGAAGCGTGAGCGCTGCGTTAGGCTGACCACAGCACAGGCAAACAGGGTGGAATCACAGGCCACCCGTTGACCCCGAAAGACAGGTATTCCTCCGATGATCAGACCCGTTCGTTCTTAACCAAGGGTAGCACCGTAACACAGGATTGATGGACCGACTACAAGCCCCCCGGGAAAGGCCTAGCCCCGTGATGCTCCAGCGACCAGAGCCGTCAGGGTCCTTTTCGCAAGCGAAGCTCTGTCGTGCTTTCCCGGAGAGCGTGGAGGTAAGGTGCGACATGCCCTACCACGCGTGACCTGGACGCGTCCAGTCGAAGGCAGGCAGATGTCTCGAGCCGACAGTCAGGACTGTATCCGTAGACCCTTCCTCCTTTGGCTGAGCGGCGGACGCCATCAGTCGCCTCATTCGTTGGCTGGTCTATTTCTGGAACATGTGCGCTGCGCACGGCATCTGCAGTTGATCAGCTTGGAGTCGGTGCTGATTGGTGCCCTCGTGGTTGCTCATGGTTGTCGTTTGTTTCAGAATCTGTGAGCGCCTGCTAGCCAATCACGTATGGCCACTGCGGACGGCCACGTGAAAGGATGCTTTTTGAGGGCGCCGTTCGGACCAGTTCAAGCCTCAGGCAGTAAGGTAACAGCAAGAGACGGGGTACTGTCGGCCCTGCTCGGGAAATCGACGGTACCGAAATGGGCCCACCTTGCTTGACCCTCTATGGGCCGACATTCAGCCGAAAAGCGAGCTACCTTCTTCAGCCAAAAGGAACGTCATTGAGGCTCGGTAAATCTCTTCCTTTCATCAACATCAATTGTTGGCCTGGGAGCTTTAG